TGCTCTGGACGCGATGCGGCTGCATGGCAAGAACTGGCGCATGGTCTCGCAACACGTCGGCACGCGAAGCGACGGGCAGTGTCGCGACTTTTACAACGCCTTCCGCAAAAAGCTCAAACTTGATTCGATGATTGGGCTGGGACAAGCATCAACCGCATCCCCTGAAGACGACGTCGACATTCAAGGCGAGGGCGACTTTATCGAAGCTGCTGCAGGCGCGCTGCCCTTCGACGGCGTCATTCCCGCCCATTCCATCCCGTCTGTCACCACGACCCTTCCCGATGGCACAAAGCAACTAGTCACATACTGGACTCGTGTCGAGCGCGAGCGGCTGATCGAAGGCCTCAAGCAGCATGCCGGCGATTGGAGTGCCGTTGCGCAGGTAGTGCAGACCAAGACGGCCACCCAAGTCAGAAACTTTTTCCACACCTACCGTCAGCAAATGGATCTGGACCAGCTGCTGTCGTCTACTCCTGAGCGGCGGTTTTCACAGTCGTCAGTGGACGAAATTGGTAGTGTGCCAAACGCGACTGCAGTTGCCAACGAGGCGGACAGCCAACATGTGGGCTTCATGAGTGATCATGCTGCGGAGGTGGGCGACTCTCTCGACGTTCACCACGCCGTCGGAGCTGCAACTGAGCCCGTGATCGAAACTGTGACCCAAGTAGATGAGGGCAGCAATGTTGATGCAGCTCCTCCTGCAGCAGGCTTTGCTGATTCCAACGAGCTGGCGCATTCTGATGAAGAGCAGCAACATGCCTCTCCTATGGCTGGCGTCGAAGAGTCCCAGCAACGTGCCGCCGTCGTCCCAGCCCTGGATCGTATCGATTCGAGCCTCGTAGAAGCAACATCCCCTTCTCTGAACGAGCCAACGCTGCCTTTGATCGACGAAGCCGCCGTGTCTCACGAGGACTCGGGCCTGCCCTTGCGTGCTGAAACTCCACCACCACCACCACCAGTGGTGGCGGAAGAAGCATCTGTGGCTGTTGAGGCAGCACCAATGGCCGTGGAGGAACCACCATTGGAAGTTCCCGCAGTTTCGGACGATGCGTCAGCTGCTTATGAAGCACCTGCAGTACTCGAAGAAGCGTTTGCGGTGCTGCATGAAACTCCAGTTGCTTTCAAAGACACTCATGAGGAGCCCACCGCCGCCGCGTCTCCTGCCTGCCACACTGCCGACACCGATGCCATGCAAGTGGAATATTCTGAAACTTACCCTGCTCAATTGGAGGCTCCCACTGTTCCGACAGCCGAGACGACGTCCATGATGCAAACGGACGGGCACATCGAGGCGCCAGAGCACACTCCGTCCTTTGTTGATCCTGCATCGATCCCGAATCAGCCAACTCCTCTGCCCGAACCTTCGGCACCTCTCGACATTGCATCGGACCTCAGCCAGCACCACCCACCTCAGGACGATACGCCAACCATTCCGCCGAGCTTTGAGCCTCATGTCGAACCTACAACGACGGAAATCGACAAGGCAGTCGACGCGCCAGCGGGCGAGACGGCTGTGGCAAGTGACGTCCCCGACGAGCCGATGTCAACCGTCGTCGCTCCAATGTCGACAGAGGAGGATGCAGTTGTGGCCGATCAAAACCCCGAGTTTGCTCTTCCAACTACCAGCACGGAAGTCTCGCCGCCTCTGCTTGTGGCTGAACCGAGTGAGCCGGAACAAACTCTTCATTCTTCATCAGAGCTCAGCCAGCAACCTGTGCCCGCCGACGCTGGCGAGGACGGCACTGTCGTCGCTCCTGTCGACGCTGCCACTCCTGCTGCGGACGTTGTTGTTGCTCCCACTGACGCGGCAGCCGACACTGTGGCAGAAGTTGGGGTGGAATCCCAACCAGCTGAGCCGCCTTCCTCCGAGTTGCCCGAGTCTCGCAGCCCTGTTGCATCTGAAGTCGCGTCGGCCGAGGAGGCGCCACTGCTGCCTCCGTCCACTACGGAGGAAGGAGCCAACAACAACGAGGCTCTCCCTTAATGAATGCGAACGGAGCCGGGTTGTTCCGTTTTGGTTTTGATTTCACAAGTTTGATTGTTTTATGTTGTTTCTGTGCGTGTTTGTGTATTTCGTTATGATTAAGTTTTGAATTTTACAAGCAATCGATAGTTCCACAAAAGTCCATCTTGTTGTTTGCATCAGCTTTGCTCGCTAGAGTCACTCGCCGCCTCGACAAGCATGGATACGACTGGCGCATCCGGATTGCGCATTTGGGGAGCAGAAAAGGCGGAGTGCGCAGAAGTGCTGGCGTCCGCGTCCGCAGGACTTAACTGTGCTAGTAAAGACGGCCACAGGAAGGCGCTGTTAAATCGGTTTGCGAGCTGCTGGAAGGCGGGTGAAGCGATGGTTGCCTGCGAGAGAGGTGGGGGAGCTGGCGCATCGCCGTCACCATGCGAATCACCAATCGATGTGACCAGGCGATGGTACATGGAGAGCGTCGCGGCATTCGGTGGCAGCCGACGCATATTCCTCAGACGAATCGCAGAAATTGCAGAAGCTGCAGAGCCAGCTGCATCCTCTGCTGGCGGTTGTTGTTGTTGTTGTTGTTGTGGCTGTTGTTGCAGCTGTTGTTGTTGCTGCTGCACGTGAAACGCTCGCAAATACAGCGACTCCATGGAGATTGTAGCAGGAGGCTGTGATGAAGCAGTGGTGCTGGAACGGTTGTTGGGCAATCCGATGCTTGGATCGACGATGGCGGATTGAGCTGGGGCGCGAGTGCGACGAGAAGTTAGTGCTCGCGCTGTAGCAGGTTGTTGTTGTTGTTGCTGTTGCTGCTGCTGCTGCTGCTGCTGTTGCTCGGCGCTGTCGGGCTCTTCATCGCCGGAAGGGATGGCATCGTCATCTGACTCGTCAAACGCGTTGTTGCTGTCGTCGTCTTCCTCGTCCTCGCTGCTACTGTTGTGGCATCGTCGGCTGCTACTCCCTCGCCGTCGCCCAGCGCGGCTACGTGAGCTCGAAGATTTAGCGCTCGGGGCAAGAGCTTGACGTTTGCGCGGGCCTGGCTTTTGCGACCGAGGCCGTTTGATGGAGGTGGTCGTAACGACATTGTCCTGCTGCAGCGCATCCACCTGAGCGTTGTACTCCTCGACCATGGCCGTGAACTGTGTCGCGGCTTGCTCTAGTGCTTGCGGACGCGTTGCTTGGACGGTGTCCTGAGCCTGGAGCAGCAATTGGGCCGCTACTTCGGCGTTTGCGGGAGGTCGTGCGTCACCCAACACGCCAGAGGCTTTGAGTGCGGTGGCAGCGGCAGCAGCGGCGGCTTGCGCTTGGAGCGCCAGAAGCAACCCGGATTTTGAATTGTTGGTGGGATCGAGGCGAGCATATTGCACAGGTCCTTTTGAAGAAGTAGTAGTCGTGGTAGTAGCAGCGGCAGCAACAGCAGCAGCTTCGGAACTGGCACCAGCTCCGGTGCGCCGGCGACCTTTCGATTTCGCCTGACGGGAAACAACAGCGCCATCGAATTCGTCCGAGTCACTTTCCTCTGCATTTGCCAAATCACCCAGCCCGGCCTCGTCCTGCCCTTCATCAATGTCTTGCGATCGCCGTTTCCCCGCGCCGTTGCCATTCAATCCTGGTCGGCTGGCAGCGGGCAACTCGACATCCGCCGCCGTGATGGCAGACCGCTCGTGCTCTCGCCCAACGAAATTGGTCACCAAAACAGACTTCTTTTGGATGCGTTCGTGGCGGTACTGGGTCATTTCGTCGTGGTGAAGAAACTTCCAGCGCCTCCAGCACTGGTTGTCTGTGCGCGGGGCCATTTCAGTGGCAATCCGCGCCCACTTGCCAGTGCCAAACTGCTCGACGGCAGTCGCGAGGTTTTCGTCTTCTTTGGGCGCCCATGGCCGATGCAGTAGACTTGGGTCGAGCACATTGACCCATCGCTCGCGGCACTGCACATCAGTGCGATGCGGAACGCACGCCTGCACTTTAATCCAATTCCGACTGCCAAACGTGTCGACCGCGATAAACAATAAGGCGTCTTCTTCCGGCTCCCATTTTCCGCGCTTGATGCTGGGGTTGAGTGTCTTGTGCCAGCGGTGAAGACACTGCTGACCAGTTCGCCCGGGCAAACGCGCAGCAATGGCCTGCCAGTTCCGCTCGCCGTAGAGGCGAATCGCCTCGCGAAGCATATCGTCCTCCTCAACCGTCCACTTGCTGTGTAACATGAGGCTGTTCAGACTGCGCTGAAAACGTCGCAGATACTGGCCTGGCGTGCGGTTGGTGTTGACGGCATGCGCAATGGCCTCCCAGTCACGCTTTTTACGCAAGTTGGCTTGCTTGAGCAACGCAATGTCTTCCTCTTTCGTCCAGGGCCCTTTGTTGATCCGCGGATGATCGTTGTTTACCCATTGAATCGTGCACTCGGCGGCGGTTCGGCCCGGAACGAACGAGCGCGCGATTCGCTCCCAGTCGAGTCCAACCAAATTTTGCTCGAGCTCCTCGTTCGGAATGTCCTGGATACCCTGGATGCGCTGCGTGACCTCCATGAGTTGGTCGTAGATGCGGTGCGCTTGTTGCACGAGCTCTTGATACCGCTGGGCGGGATTGTCGTTGCTCGGAACAGAAATGGCCGAGGCTCGGTTGGAGCGCCACCGCGCAAGGGCCGCTTGTGTGCTGGGGTTTGGCTGCAGCGGCGGCTCTGCAAGCGGAGAGGATGACTCGGTGGTGACACTGCCAACTGCGGGAAGAGGGGCTGCATGGGGCGCGGGCAACTCGCCATTGAGAGCGGGAATGGGAACGGGCACAAAAGCCTCGTCCACATGACGCTGTGTCGCCGAATCCGTCAAGGGTAGTGGCAAGCTGGCACTGGAGGCCGAGGAGGCTGCACGGGCCGCACGTGCGGCAGCCAGCAGCTCGGGCGAGTTTGACGCCTCAAGGTCTTCCGTCAACTGCTTGTGCGCTGCCAGCAAGGGTTTGAGGATGAGTTCTTGGTTGAGCTGGCGCACACCTTTACTCAGCTGGACACGCTCTGCATCCGACCACAAGTGAAGCTTCATCCCAGGTGCAGTCGCTTCGAGGGCGGCCTGGTGGCGAGCATGCGCATCCGGATTGGGAGGCGGCGACTGGTCTTCGTCGTCAACAAAAAACGACGCAGACCGACGCGGCAGCACGTTCGGCTTGCGCCCTCGTTTGACATCACCCTGCGCATTCGACCCGTCTTCCACAGAGGCACCGGAAGCGGCCAAGCGAGCCGCGGACGACGCATCCATGCCCTGGGCCAAAAGCTGTCGCCGAATGGCAATCTTCCTCTGCACAGCTCGCCAATTTGCGCGCTCCGAGTTTGTTGCAATCTTGATACCACGTTGTTGGTCCTTGTTTCGGGCCTGCGCCACCTCGACCTTGGCGAGCTGCTGCTTAAGCACTTCCTGCGATCGGCGGTTGAGCTCAAGCGCCCGCTGCGCCAGCTCTCGCCTCGAAAGTGACAGCAGAGGCACCTGCGATGCCGAAGCACTTCCAAACGTTGCCAACGAGACGGATGAGCTGGGTCTTGACGGATGCATGGTTGAGAAGGAGTTGTCAGTGGTGTTATTGAGTGCTGCTGCTCCAACGGCCGCAGTGCTCGTCGTAGCAGCATTGCTTGATGATAGACCCGGGTTTGTAGAGCGACTTGTAGCATTAGGAGCTCTTGTAGCACTTGTCGTAGTCTTGGTCGTCGTCGTCGTCGTCGGAGTCGTGCTGGCGGACGCGCGATTCAAGCTCAGATGCGCCGACGCGATCAGGGCTCGGGTTGAGCGTGCAATGGACGACGCTGATGATGATGATGGTGATGATGATGCGTCATCGGTACTTGGCAGAGGAGCTGCGTCTGGATCGGACGTCATCCTCGTGGACAGCGACGACGGAGGCGCGAAGACGGCCTCGCTCTGGTCCAGCGACGGAGCACTCGCAGTAGCAGTAGCAGTAGCAGTAGCAGTAGTAGTCATAGTAGTTGTCATAGTAGTCACAGGAGGAGGAGTGGTAGAGATGGCGGCGGTTTCGCCCGAGCGGGGTGACTGCGAGCCAGTCGCTTCCATTGGGTTTGCACTTTCGCTCTGAGCGAGAAGGAACGATGACTGAGATAGATAATACAAGAATTCAAGCGGAAGTTGAGGTTGTTGTGTTGCTAGATGAAAAAAGGACAAAAGAAAATGCATTGTGGATGGTGATTTGTTGCTGTTGGTGTTTCTGTTCTTGTTGTCGTTGTTGTCGTTGTCGTTGGGTGTTGCGCTGCTGTATTTCGTTTGATCGCCCAAACAACGAGCTACACCACGTTCAGGCAAGCATACACGCGCGGGCAAAACGACCATCCGGAACAGACTGAGAGAATCCACAAAAAGAAGAAATCAAACTCAAACGACAAACCGACCAACGCTTCAAAAAACAACAAATGCCATCGCTGTGCGTGAGGTATCCACTCTAAGCATCCACGCGAGCTCGCTTGGTGTCATCTTCGTCGTCCTCGTCGTGGGGACGCTTGGGGCGGACTGGAGTGTCAATGTCATCCTCCTCCGGAATGTCCTCGTCTTCGTCGTTCTGGCCGCTGGGGTCAAAGTCCTGCAGAAGCGGGTTGGTTGTGGGTAAACGGTCAAAGATTGAGTCGAAATTCAATAAGAGTTTTGGTTGCGCTTTCTGAACGAGTCTGGGACGACTATTCAATGCTCTGAAACTCACCTCGGCATCATCCTCAATGTCGTCGCCGATGAGCTGACCAAGGCCATCCTCATCATCGTCGTCTTCTTCGTCATCCTCCTCGTCGTCCTCCTCGTCGTCCTCGCCGTTGTAATTGCCTGTCATGATTCGATGAACAACTTTTCACAGGCAATGCCGTTTCCCCTCCAGACAAGTGCGCTCACCCTCTTCTTCCTCGTCATCGTCCTCGTCGCCCTCATCGCCAGACTCGCCAATAATGACCTCGTTGTTGTCACTAGGCAATATCAACACACATTGATCAGGGATGCGTCTTGTTGTTTGTCCGCTGGACACAAAACAAAATAAACCACTAGAAACGCGCGGGACTTGCGCCTTACACATCGCTGCCATCGAGCACGCGGAGAGAAGGAATGAGCTTGAACACGCGACCATGGTAGTCCTCTTCCTTTGTCAGCTCGTTTTCCAGAAGATCGAGAACATCCAGCTTTGGCAGTTGAGTCTGGAGAGGGAAAGGAAAAAGGCAATGCCAGACACACACAACACATACACAATCACAATCAGGCGCAACACACACTGAAGGAGAACTTTGCTCTCCGCCCAGCTTGTCACAAAAAAATGCAATTCCGTACCAACGCAGCCAGCTCAGCAAACGATGCGATGCGGTTGTTCGCGAGCTCGATCACTTCGAGGTTTTTGCATGCAGCGATCTTGTCGAGTCCTCCAGTAATGCGATTGTCGTTCAGGTACAGCTGGAGATTGCAAAATATTGTTTCAAGTAAGCATTTTTGCTGAGAAACTGAAATTTGACAGGTACCAATCCTGATCCGACTGTGTTACCTTGCGGAGCTCGGGCAAGACGGGAAATCCCTCCAGCGACGTGAGATGGCAAGCAGCGAGTGACAGCTTGGTCAGCTTGGTGAACTGCTCCGTCAAACCTTCGATCGCAGTGAAGCGATGGTTGTCCAAGTTGAGCTCGGTGACCTGTGTACAAGTGAGGATGTGAGCTGTTTTGGTTTGTTGAATGAAAAGCTCGGAGAGTTTTTCAATGCAAGATACTGTTTTCTGCTGAGTTGCGTTGGTGCGTTGATGATTGCATTGGATTAGGATTTGGATTTGTATGGGACTTTGTATGGAACTGCATTGGATTTGGCGTTGGATTTTTTTGGGATTGGGATTCGCGTCGCCTGCTTCACCATCACCGCCACCGCCGCCGCCACCCATCAAACTCGCCATCGACATTTGACAAGTCATCCATCATGAACGCAGGTTGGAATCGAGGTCGCAAAGCACATCATCGCCCCGCTGGTTGGGGCCACACAAACCGACTGCCCTAACCCCCTACCCACCCAACTCGAGCGGAAGACGGTATCAGCACGCCCAGAACAAGTTAGTAGACGGCATTTTCGTTTACATCGGAGGGGCTTCGGCCATTGAGTTGAGCAGCGATTGCAGCCTGCATGATGATTGTCGGATTTTGTTTGTAACGTGAATGGACTGCACTGCTGCTCATCCGAAATCCCCAAAAAAACGCAAGGATCAACGAGTCCTGGAAAATTGTTTTGACTGGAAAGCGTTGGAGAGACGTTGATGCAAAGGACGCAAACGTGAATGAGTGTGAAGCGGCAGCTTCGTCAAGCTCACGTTTCGTGCTTCACGTAGTCGCGCTTCCGCTCGCTCGCTTCATAAACAATGTCTAAATATACAGCACCTCTCTTCCATAATATGGCTTTCTCCAATAGGGGCACTGTTTTGTTCCAATCAATTTTAGGCATTTCTCGCCAAACTTTCGCGCGCTTTTTATTTTTGATTGCGCCACCACGTAGTTCTTCTTGTTACACGACCCTCATGGATTCAAAAACTCGTGCTGCAAGCCAGTTCAGGTTTGGACAATACGGGGCGCGTACGGAGCGCAGGAGGGGCACTTGGGCAATGAAGCGAAACGTTCACTTTCTGTATTGCATCACTCGCCCACTCCCAGTCTGCACCAGCTCCGCCTCCAGAACTTCAAAAGGTTTGAGGACGTCACTCTCACCATGACACCCAGCCGCAAGATTATCGTTGGCGCGAACGGCTCGGGCAAGACGCAAATCCTCTGGGCAATTATCGTCTTCTTGCGCGGCCACAACTCCCGTATCCCCAGCTCCCAGCACTTCAAGAACACAGAGTTCAACTTTTCAGGTGAATTGCAAGACCTCTTTGGCGACCGACTCTTCGTCAATCAGTACAAGGCGCCACACACGCTCGTCCGTGTCGGCGCGCCAGACAAGAAATTCACGCTCACGGGCACGTTCCATGACACCAAGTACCATCACACCAACGAGAACGTGATGCTGGAGTATTCGCTCAGAGACGGTTTGCTTCAAGACAAACCCGACAACCACCGGTCACTTGCCCCAATCCGCTTCGCCTTCATGCCACCGATGTATCAGTGGGGAGACATGATGGAGGAAAGGCTCAGAGAGTGCATGTTCCTGACCGCTGGAGTTCAGCATATGCGTGTCCGGCTGGTTCAGGCAAAAAAAGACTTTGTGAACGATGGGCTCCGTCACCTCGGTCTTCAAGCCACCGTCTCTGCGGTTCGCGATGGCAACTATGGACCGGTCACGGCCACTGTCACCGAGAACGGAGTCACCCTTGACATTGGTGCCTGCGCCGGCTCGCTGCAGAAGATTATTGCCATTCTGACGCTTCTCTACCATCTGACCGCTGGCGCAACCATCAACGCTGCGCAAGACGACGCGCGCGGAAAGAACATTGAGCACGAGCCGAGTCCCTTCAAGCAGCGCATCTTCCTCATCGACGAGCTCGAAGCACTGCTCTGCGAAAATGTGACAGCCAAGCTGTATGACTTTCTCGTCAGCATGTGCGACAAGCACAACATTCAGCTCATTGTCGCGACCAACTCGCGCGCCATCATCGATCCGCGCATGAAAACGGACCAACAGATTATGTTCCTCACTCCGGATGGCAAGGTCGTCGAGCTGACAGGCGAACTGCCCACGGACGAGCAAGGTCACCCTTCCCTCTATCCAATCCTCAACGCACTCAGCCAAGTCAAGGACAGCAAGCCGATTCTTGTTGTTGAGGGTGACAACGACGAAGAGTTCTACCGCAAGTACACGACCCTCGGCCAGCACTTCCACTTTGTGACCACATCGGGTGCCGTCAACAAGCAAGGTGTTTCCAACATTCTGACGCAGGCCAAGCTCAAGCACGTCTTTCTCAGAGACAGTGACATGTACGCCGCTTCGCCCGATCTCCCAGCCGCCCAGGCTCGGATCACAAAAGTTGTTGGCGCTTCCGTCGTCTACACGCTGCTGCCGTGCATTGAGTCGTACTTGATTCTGCACCGACTGCTCAGGAGCACGGACGTAGACACTCGGCGTCTCAGGGTTGTCCAGGCCCTTCCGCAGCGCAAGTGGTACTTTGTCTCGAACTTCAAAGCGTTCTGCAGAGAGTCCTCTGATTCGGCCCTCGCGAGTGCTTCAGGTCCTGGCGAGACATTGCAGGATCGCGCGAGTGATTTGGCGTCAAGTGAGAACAACGATACCATGGCCATGCTCGATATGGTCGATCGCGTGCACGCAGACTCGCAAGACGACTCGGACGTGCTTTGGAACGAGATGCTCGCCCAGCTGACGACCAAAGTCACTTCGACTGGGAGCGAAGATCGCGTCCTGTTTTGGACCACGTACGTCAAGATGGTTTGCGGCCATGACCTGATGCCGAACGCGGCGAGCGTGATGGGCGGCCTCAAGCTCGAAAATCTTCATCCCGGCGTCAAAGCCCTACTTGACCAAACCGAGCAGGCTGTTCTTGCGTGTGTGCGTTGAACCGTCTCATTTGCTTGCATTGTTGATGTCACTCCTCATGTGCTGTCTACTGGAAAATCCAAAGTGGCTGAACTCGATTTGGGAGTCCAGTCAGTCGTTATTGATAATTCATTGAAAACAAAGATCAATGTCTGTGACGTTCCAAACCACTGGCGAGCTCATGCGCGAGGCAACGCGTGTTTTCACCCAGGGCGACGATGTTCGCGAAGTGTCTGAGATCATGCAACTGCAGCGCCAAGTCAGCGACATTCACGAGCAGCGCGAACTCGCTAGCAAAGCAGCCATTCTAGGTACACGAGCCTCGCTCCAACGCCCCGCCCCGCACCCCATTGTCGACAATTTTTGCTGTAGCACACAACCATGAATACGGCTCGAGATGGGTGACTGTGCTGCTTCCAAGTGCAGAGCACAAAGGGCGGCGTAGTGTCGTTTGGGTGAAAACCAAAAACCAAAAACCCAAAAACAGTTTGAAAAACGCTGGCTGCTGCTTTTTGCCGCCAAACTCGAACTGTTGCAAGTCCCGTGCGCCTCGGCTGTCACCGTGTCCCTCATGCACACATGACAGAGTGTGGTGAATGCGTATCAAGATGTCAAAGGAGCGTGGAAAAACGAGTGTGGAAGAGTTGGAAACGCTCTCAACAGAAAGGCCGAAAAATCTAGCAGTTTGAAACGGTTTCACCTTTTTTTTTTTCTTTTTTTTTTTGGTTGTTTCGTGCTTCTTGAACTGGTTGGTTTTTGTATTTCTTCCTCGCTTCGTGTAGACCTTTGCACTTTGCAACTCGCTTTCGTGATGAACGATCAATCACAGCTCGAATCACCCATTGAACTCACTTGCATCATCACCATCCTCTCCCCTCCCCCCAAACAAAAACAGAACTTACCGCAAAGTTGAGCGCCGAAGAGAGCAAGTGCGTTCGCGCAACGCCCGACAACCAGCATGCGGAGGTGCTGCAGAATATCGAGAATGACAAGTTTGCATTGGCAAAGTCCATCAACCACTTGGACCGGGACAACCAAGCGCTCACGAGCACCATGCACAAATTGGACGGCGATCTCGATGCCATCCAAGCTCGGCGACAGGCAGTCGAGCAAGCCCGCACTGTTGGTGTTCCTCAAAACAAGTATGTCGGAGGGGTGATGCTTGGTTTGCATCCGGGGTTTTTTTGTTTTTTTTTTTCTTGTGCTGTCTTGAACAATGGAGAGAGCGTGCCATCCCGAACCAAGCTTATTTTCCGGCATGCCACTTCCCGCAGAAGCATTGTCTCGTTGTACATGAACATTACCAACATCAAGTGGGACTTTGAGCAAGACAACCTCGTTAAGGGCTTTGTGACAAAGAACAACGATGTGCGACCATTCTCGCTCGATCCTAAGGTCCAGACGCCCTACTTTATCGCAAACTACCTGTGGGAAAAGTCCATGTAAACTGGGGTCTCCGGCTCGGTTGCGCGCGGGAGAAAGTGTTTGATGAGAGTTGATGTTGTTGCGAGTTGGTTGTAAAGTTACGAAAGAGATTGATAATACAGTGCCTTGTGGAAAAAATCTGCTATGACCAGCGAGCGAGTTGTGTGTCGTTGGTGTTGTAGAAGTCAATGGCAGGTCTATCATCCATGGAAAGTGAAAAGCAGGCTGAATCTCATGCATTCGTGCACAACAACCAATCTTTGTTGTTTCCATCAATGAAAGCCACCCGAGCAAGCAATAGAAAGAAGACAGTGGAAGATCTAATTATTATTTCACCTTCTTCCTACAATACGGACGCAACAAGGAGTGGCCGCCCGTGGCCTGCAATTGGCAAAGGGGTTCATCAATGCTATCAAATCAATTTTCAACGTCAAAATCAACCATCGTGCGCTCTAATCGCCACCAGCGCCCGACTGCTCCAACGTCGACCACCTTGGTATTGAGTGCACTCAACGATAGCGGGTGTGAAAATTCAAGCTGTCCAATCTTGTGTCTGTAGCTCTTGCAGTCTGCCGACGTGTCCTTCCGTAGTATCAACGAGAATAAAACCAAGTCTCTACAACAAAAATTTCAGCAAGACCAAATGATTAGCTCAACACCACCAACGGTGCAGTCGGACCAAGCAGAATGAGATCAAAGGGAATTAAAAAAGAAAGAGAGAGAGAAAAAAAAAAAGACCGCCAAGAAACTTCTCAGAACCACCAGCGAAACACATGTGGATTTGCTCGCCCACTCTCGACTCGACACAAACGAAATCAAACCCCCCAACCCCCTTACAGGTGGTATAATTGGTGCTGCTGGGCGAGCTCGCGTGCGCTCTGGACGGTGGCGAACGTGCGAGCGTTGCGCGCGGCAGGGGAGAGCAGATAGAGCTCGTTTCCGCTGGCGACGAGGGCTGCCCGCTCGTACGACTGCGGCGCCGGGTTGGTTGCGACAATGTACCCGAGCGAGCCAAACAGCCCAGCCCAGCCAGCGGCAACGTGCGGGCGCGTGCGGATGGCCTTGATCGTGTCCAGCGTCGCCGTCTTGTAGTCTCCGTACAGGACGGTGATTTTCTCGCGGACGGCGCTTCCCATTCGTGCAAACATGGCGAGCTCGAGCACACAAAGTGAGACTGCCGTGAGTGCCAAGGCAACATATATAGGTAAAGTAATATGAAGAAATTCCAAAAAGCAAATCAAAACAAAAAAGGCTCAGTGGGGCAAACAGAGGAAACACTGAAGGCAACAAGAAGGTAGTTTTAATAAAATGTAACAGACTCTGGACCAGCAGGCGAAACGAAGTGGAAAAGAACAAGAAGAAAAAAAACGATGGATGATGAGGAAAGTTCAGACTATCGGGAGGGTGGCGAAGGGGCGGGGAGGGGGGTGAGAGAGATGAGAAAGAAAGAATACAAAGACATGCACATCAAAGAAAATCAAAAAGACACCCTAGTCGAGCGCTCTCAGGACGAATCGTCATCGCCGTCGGTTTTGGCGCGACGACGACGGATCGGCGGGAGCCGTTCCACCTCCGCTGGAGCATCGGCACATGCAGGCTCCAGCTGGAACACGTTGAGATTGTTGGGAATGACACGCAATGGCAGCGGGAGTTGGGCAGCCACCTCGGGATTGGCCTGCAAGACAAGAACGGCATCAAGAAGGAAATGGACGGCTTGCTTGAGGGCGTTTGCCTTGTCGGCGCGCGGGTGGCATCCAGGCACAATCTTGCGCAAGTCCTCGACGCAATCACTCATTTCCTTGCGACGGAATTGCTCTTTGGCATTGTGCGTTTCGCGGCTGCTTTGGAATGTGACGGACTTTGGCGTGTCCCTGGAAGAGCAAAAAGACAAAGAGAGAGAGAGAGATAGAGAGAGATAGAGAGAGAGAGAGAGAAGCAGCGCAACCAAAACCAAACCGTAAGGAAACAACGTTGGATACAAGTCAGCAGCAGGGAAACAAACTTCAGAAAATGGAGTCGATTTAAAAAAACACAAAACTTACGGTTGCCGCATGCGGTTCTTGGCAAACATGGCCACCGGATACGTGATGGCATCTTCAGGATCGAGCCGAGACCGGTTGCTCTGAACCAACTCCTGCGCCATTGCGACAACTTTGTCTGTAACAACGGGTGGTGGTGGCGTTGGAGGGTCGTTCCTGCCTTTAAAAACGACAGAGTGGTAGATTGGCGCACCAGGCTCGGGCCTCGAATTCGTATCAGAGTCGACCGACCTTGGACTATTGTCCTCTCTTTCCTGTTGAGATTTTTGCAACGACGCTGTTGTTGCTGCTGCTCCTGCTGTTGCTACGGCCATAGCTGCTACTACTGCTGCTGAGGGTGCTGTCGCCGCCGCTGCGGTGGCTTTGGACGGAGGCAGGACCGGACCCGATGCGGGCTGCTGAACCTGTGGTGCCAGCGAATGGACTGGCGGTGGTGGTGGTGCTGCTGCTGCTGCTGCCTTCGTCACTGGCGCAGAAGGATGCTGAGCAAGAGGATAGTGCATCGTCGGCTGTGGGAGCGGGAGAGGTGTGTGTGATTGCGAGCCTGGCTGCGAGGGGGCCGTGGGAAACGACAAAGAGTGCGACATTGCGTGGGGATGCAGGGGAGGCGGCGGGGGCAGAGGCATGTGCGAACCACCATTTGCTGGCCACGTGTTGTTATTGTTCATCAACGCAGTTGCGGCTGCCAGGTGGGCTTGCCGCAGAGCTTCGGACGGATCGGGCTGAGGGAAGCGAGAGAACAAGCCCGGCGCGGGGTACGGAAGCGATCGTGCGTACATGGCTTGGCTCGCCTGTTGCGGACCGACGAGGCCGCCCAGCGGAGCTCCAAACGCCGCCGGCCCGTAAGGTGGAATGTGAGGGGGGTACTGCATCGCTGGTGTGTTCGAGTAGACTGGAGGAGGAGGTGGTGGGGGTGCAAGCTGCGCCGGCGGAATGTTCATGCCGGGGTAGCTGCTGAACGGCACATACCCTGGCAAGCTGGAGGCGTGGGAGAGTGCAGGAATGGATGCCGAGGCCGCGTGTGAAGCCATCGCCAACGCAGTGTCGAGGACTGGTGTCACTGAGGCTGAAACCGGAGTGGCATGCATGGACGTGTTCATGGGTACAGCGGGTGATGGGATATGTCGCCCCACAGTCACGTCATACTCGGCTCCAGGGACCGGCATGGACGAAGAGGTCGAACTGGAGAGAATGGCTGACGGGGTGCTTGACGTCGAGTCGGCCGATCGGTCGGATTCGAGAGCAAAGCGCTTGTTGGGCAGGGCGAAAAACTCGGTGTTAGCGCCCGCAGGGGCGCGTCGTTTCCTGTTGCTCAAATCTACGTTGGGGCTCAATCCGAGTGCGCTGCTATTGTTGTTGTTGGTGACCGCCGCAACAATGGGCGACACTGGTTTGGCGTCGTGGCGACGTATTTGAGCAACCTGTTGAGGTGTCAGTACGGATGTGGACGAAGGTGGTGCAACAGCCAACAAGGGCGCACTGGGCGAAGGCGAACGCACGGCAGGCAGAGAAATCGCGGCAAAATCGCGTGTGGGTCCGGCGGTCGTCGCGCCACGAACAGCAGCAGCCTCGCTGTCGGTGGGTAGAAGAATAGCACCCAAGGCGTCCAATTGGGGCCGTTGCGTTGCAGAGCCGAGTGCGCCGTCCGCAGGACGGGGGTATTTTGGCGGACGGCCTTTGCGTTTGGGAATCTTTACAGCATCCTCTTTAGGTACGCGCTTGGCCTTCGCGTTGGCTGGGAGTGCAAATTCAGCGGCGGGGTCGGTGGCACCCGGTGCGGCAATTTCGGGAGCACCCGAAGCCGTGCTCGCGGCGCCGTCATGCCCTCCATCAGGCAAGCTGTCGTCGGGCTCATCGCCAGCAGGAGGCTCTGAATCGACAGATTCCACCTCTTCCATCGAGGTAATGTACTTTTTTTCAGGCTTGGACCGCAGGTTTGCAATGCCCAGCTCCCGGAAGAACTGATGGTTGTCCTCGTACTGCGACGTGAATGCAATGACTGACGACAGGCGGTTGAGAGATCCGTCTTGGCGAATCTTGCAGATGGCCTCGTAGCCGTTGATTTTGGGGAGCTCAATGTCCACGAGAATGAGATCGTACAAATGCTCCTTGCACATTTGAACAGCCTCCTCGCCATCCGCGGCGGTATGGACCTCGCGCTTGAATTGGAGCAGCTGATCCCGCAAGACTTGTCGGGTGATTTCGTCGTCTTCCACCACCAGAGCCGTGCACGACTCGTAAGGGTTGGTCTGGGCAGCCAACAGCAACAGTCAGTCAAAAAAATTCGCAAAGCCGTGACTTTCACACACACACACACCTTGCCGACAAGCCCACGCCAGCCAAATGAAAGCTCACAAAAAAAAGAACATCCAACACGGTCTCTTACCAAGGCATGTCTTGGACGAAGTGCAGAGACTTCCGACGACGACGGTGTCAGTGGCCGGTTTGCGTTGTGCGACGAGGACGAGTCTCGGAAGAGATGGAAAGCGGAAACGAGGTTGCGAACATCGTCAAAAATGTCGATGGACGCCACTTTCTCGGCCTTGGAAACAATCTTGGACTGCGAAGAGGAGGAGGAGGAGGGCTGGGCGGACACAAGCCCTTGGGACGGGACGCTTTGCGACGATGCATCCATCGCAGTGACATCCGAGACAGCAGGTGTTGACGAGCTGGCGGGGGGCGACGAAGAGTAGGCACCCATTGGATACTTGTTCAGATCCACAGGGCCATCAATGACAAACGAGAGGCGGTGGCGTCCCCACTTGTCGATGGCAGCCGCAATATCGCCCCATCCGAATGGCTTGTTCATAAAGTCGTTGATGGCCAAGTCAGAAGGCAGCGCGAGTGCCGAGAAGGCGACAATCGGAGTGCGAGTATTCCGGCTGGTCTTGCTTGTTCTAAAGGATGGAGGGAAAGAAAGAGAGTGTGAGTTGTCAGTGCTTGGAAAGTCTCCGTGAAGGCAGTGTGAATGTAGTCAAACCAAGGGGGGTAAGAAGGGGTAGTGAGAAAAGAAAAAAAGGGAGACCGCACGTACCGAATAATCTTGGAGGCCTGAATACCATCCATGACGGGCATGACGAGGTCCATGAAAATGACATCAAACGTGTGCTCTTCAGCCAATTTCACAGCCTGCAGGCCGTCGTCTGCGTACTTGGCCTCAATGTTGAGCCTTGCAAGCCAGGTTTTGACAAGGAGCTGCATGATTTCGTGGTCTTCGACGACGAGCACCTTGCAAGGCTTGACGGCATAGTACGAGCCAAACTGGTCCTTTGAGAAAATCGCGCCCTCGTCGGAGGTCTTGGCGGCGGCTGAGTTGTAGGTGATATCTCCAGGGTTGTGTCTGGAGACGCCCTCGTACTCGGACGCCTTGCTGTGCGTTTTGACGCGCGCAGTGAAGGCCGTCGTGTGGCTGTCGCCGGCTGCAACTACAGCCATTGCGTCCGTAGCGCCCGAAGCGTCGGAGGCAGCAGTGGCGGCGTCTTCTGCCGTGGAAGCGCATGCGGGCGTTGCCAACGAGGCTGTTGTCGGCTCGATTAGCATGGCGTCCTTGCTTGTGTCCTCTCCTGGCGAGGACGGGAACGACGACGAGTCCGACGACGACGGCGACGAGACATAGAGCGCGTCTTCTGGTCTTTCCGACATGGCGGGAGGCAGGCGGGGCGGAGCGGGGCGGAGAAGAGGAGGGGGGTGAGGTGACTCGGGAGGGTGAGGTTTTTCTTGGTTTTTTGTGTCCTCTTTTTTTTTTCTTTGTTTTAGTTGTATTCTTTTCTTGTTTTGCTTGCGTGTATGGGTGTGGTTCTGTTTCTGGTTCTGTTTTGTTGTTCAAAGCGCACGACAGAGAGACAGAGTGAGCGGGAGAAAGGGCCTGAGAAGGGGACGATGTGCTGAGAAAAGCCAAAAAGCAGAATCGAGACCAACCCACCAAAAAAAAAAAAAATTCATTATCATAATCAAAGAATAAGAACACAATGAGAAAACCATACAAAAAAAAAAAAAAAAAGAACTTGAAAAAAAAAAAAAGACAGAGACCGCGATAAGAGAGGGGTGGGAGAGAGGGGAGTGGCTTGCTGGATGAAGCGAGCTGGTGGATGCCACGATTGCACTGCGCGACATGCGCGGCACACACGAACACACACACACACCAAAACGAGGGGCGAGCGCACAAAAAAAGCGAAAAAAGCGAAAAAAAAAAAAAAAAAAAAAGCGAGAAAAACCAGAAGAAGAAGAAAAAAAAAAACATTGACACATGCAGCGAGGCCCCATGGCAAAGCGCGAAAGCCGACACTCAGACCCCCCACCCCCACACCCCGAGACAGCCACTGCATCACACGACACGGCGAAATGGAAAGGGACGTGTGCAGCAGGAGGGCGCCAGAGGACGAGGGCCAGCGCCGAGAGAGAGAGAGAACTGAACAAGAAATCTGGCACACCGGCAACATGACGAGAAAAGCCACGCACATGCGCGCAGAGGCCAGCGGCGGGACGTAAAAGCATGAGGGGAAATGACGATGTCGCACTGGATGCGTGTGCAGCGCACGAGCGAATGGGGGGAGGGGGGGCGGTGGAAGTGGGAGAGGAGAAAAAAAAAAAGTCTCGAGACTTCGCGCCAATGCACGCGCATAGGACACGCACGCGCATGCTCGCTGCTCGCTCTGCCGCCCCGCTTCCGCCGTGCCGCTAGCTTCGACACGGACAAGAGCATGTCAGCTTACGCCCCGCGGTAGCAGAGCGAGCAGGGCGCGCAAAGAAGGCGACAAGAGGGCTCGCAAGCACAGCGTCAATCATAATAATAGAAGAAAAAAAAAAAGCTTGCTTCCAAAAAAACAGTGATCGAAAAGCGAAAAACGTCCAAGCAACCAGCCAGTGCCGTTCCCACACCTCCAACCACCCCCACATAAATGCAAGAACAGGGGGTGCTGCATGAGGGGGGAAACAGGGGGTGCTTACACGGCTCCAAAGAGAGACGGGGGTGGCACCGAAAAAAAAAAAAAAAAAAGAAAAGACGAAACGGAAAAAAAAAAAAAAAAAAAATGAATGAATGGGGTCAACAATCGAAAAATCAAAGTTGATCTGCTTGATTTTGCTGTTGTTTGGGTTGGTTTTGCCGCTCTCTCTCTCTCTCTCTCTCTCTCGTCATCAACCCAGAGAATTCGCGTGTGTGGAGCATCGAAGTAACAATCCCAACAAGACAAGCACAAAACAGGAGCGCTCAACAAACTCTGAAACCACAAAACGCGAAACGTTTCGTTTTTGCTTTTTCTACTTTGGTCTGCTCTGGTTGGCAACAAGGGCAGCAAAATCGGCCGTCAGATTCGCCTCTGAAAGCTGTGTGATCAACGTCTCAATCTCGCAGTCACTGCGTCGACACTTGCGGCAATAAGGAAAACAGGCAAGACACAAGGAATTCCGTCAAAAGCAGCATAAGCTGGAAAAAAAGCTCCCAAGGCCTTTTCGGAGAGAACGCCATGGAAGGAAGGAAGGAAAACGAAAAAAAAAGAAAAAAAAAAAGGAAAACTGCTCAGACATCCTCCAGCAAGCACCACGGTCTGTCCCCTACGCTGGTGACGCCATTGAATCACAAATGATTGGTTAGGAGGGAAGAGGGGCGAGCGCCCGTCGGAAGGATTGAAAGAGAGGTCGCGCGACGAGGCTTCTTTTCAAATCGAGGTTGAGCAAACACCAAAAATGATTACCAAGAGAAAAAAAAAAACAATAAAATAAAATAGGACTGAGCTTTTTTTGCTGTGTTTAATGCCCTTGGACCCCTGTGGCTCTGATGAAAAAAAGGTGCATAAAATGCCAACTGGTGTGGTGCTGCAGATTTCGAGATGCGCCAATGAACTCGGACAACATGAAGCGAATTATTTACAAAAAAAAAAAAAACCACCACCGCATTACAGATTTTCGCGCGCGTGCCTCGGCTCGAGATTTTGGCTCAAATCCCCCTTCTGCAGCACTCGCGCGGCTGCAAAACTTCTCTCTGCCGCACTCACACTCTCATTGTGCATCGAATACAAAGATGCGCTGGTGCGGAAGCAGGAGGAACAGCCACACAACGGTGTGAGTCACCCGGAGAGAGAAAGAGGATCTAACACTTCACACTAAGGTCCAGCCTCGCGCGTGCAGACACCCTAAAAGCGTCGCGCTCAGAGATCCCGGTCCAGTGTGCCGATCGCTTCTAGCTGTTTCTGTCGCTTGCAGGGGCGTTTTTTGTTTTGGGCTCTCTTGTTGGCTTTCGGAGCAACGTTGATTGAAACCCCACAGCAACCAAGGCCGGCTGAACACAAGAAACGACCAACGAAAATTGCACAACAGGTTTTTTTGAAGGTGTTTAGGGCCTGTGTCACCAAAGGGAATAAGAGTTGAGGGGAAAAAAATTAGCAAATTGAATGGCAACCAGAAAAGCGTCCAAGAGAACGGAGTCGTTCGATTGGACGGAAACCAATCTGAGCAAAACTCAACGTGAACAAAGTCTGGAAGACCCGCTCCAGATCTAGACAGAGGTCGTTGGTCGTTGACTCGCCAGTGCGTTTACCAGTGGCACAGTAGTGTCCGTGGTGGAGTGTTCACATCCAGTTGCTTTCAAGCAGCCTGTAGCCCCGCAGCTGCTGAATACCCTCGCGTTGACCTCGAGCGTTGACCTCGAGCATGTTTGCCTCCCAAAGCACTAAAGTGGAGATTTGTGCTGCAGGTGCACACTGGAACGAAACATCTGTTCAACCTCGTTTGAAGAAAAAAAAATCAAGCGTTCTCCCTCAGCAACCAAACAATTGCGAAAGTTTCTAGTTATCTTTCAATTTATACACACAAAACTAAACACTGGACGACGCACGAGCTGCACACTCGGAAATTCATCACACCCCTGATTGACCCCCAACTCGTGGCTTTCGCGGCTGAACACCGACTTTTCCTCAACGAACAAAGAAACAACAAGCAAGTCACCGTCACTGCGCATAGCGGGCAGCCAGCTCGTCTTTGAAGTGTTGATGGCGAATTCCGGGGGCACGCGACAGCGCGAATCTCTCAATGGCGCTCGCGACATCCATGCCTTCAACTTCAATCAAGTACGAGCAAATCATAAATCCCGTGCGGTTGTAGCCGTAGTGGCAGTGGACGCCAATGTCTCGGTCGGGATGGGTAGCCCAAAAGCGCGCTGCCGCAGAAATGAAGGCATCCACTTCGCTCCGTGACGGCACGATTTTAGACGTGGACGGGAGCTTCAAGTACTCAATTTGCCCAAAGCTCTCGGGCATGTACGGAGGTGCGTCGCTGCCAAGGTCTAGCACCAAGCCGACAGAGGGGAGGCTCGAGGCGACATGGTCTGGCGAGTGGTCGTCATCATCCTGCCGCGGGACGCGCATGGGAACAAAATGACCGTGCCCGGGTTTGCGCTCTCCTCGGGCTCCGGTCAAACCAGCAGACACGATTGCTGCATATGACATGGGGGCTTGCGTCAGCGGCTGAGGGTTTCCTGAGGTTGAGCTGGAGCTGCTAGAGCTCGACACCAGACTGTCCCCTAAGGGCGGAAGGTTGGTGTCGCTCGGTAAACGGCTGCTGGTCAGACGTGCAAGAGAAGCCGAATGAGCAGCTGCGGGCGAGGAGGTCGGAGAGTGCCCAGGAGAAGAGAGACGCTGGTGTTGCCAGGCATGGCGCGGTGGGGGAGGTGCGGTGACTGGAATGAACAGACCAAAGGCTGGTGTTGCACGCCACTTGTCAAAGTTCTTCAACGACCACTTGAACTCGACCGAGTTACCGCGCTGCACGTGGTGTGGGTGCTCGAGGTCGTGAAACTTGGCTTGGTCGATCAAAAACCGATTGATCAGCGCGTTGACCAGCTCACGCTTCTCCACCATGGCCTGGTGGCCCGTCTCGGGCAGAATCTGCGGCTTGACGGACAATTGCGCTCCGAGAATCTCGTGGACGGCATGTGCGTTGGCTGGAACCGTCAAATGGTCGTCAGCACCCGAAATCAGCAGGACTGGGGCGGTAATCTTTTTAAAGTCGTCGGGGGTTGGGCGGATGGCTTGCTTGCTCAGCGCCTTGACGACGTGCGATGGAGTGTTTGCATTCCAGCGAAGCTGGCGGCGCTTTAACGCAACGCTGGCAGAGCGATGCAGCATCCGGGCAACCGAAACCGAGTCGGGCCCGCCTCGGCGGTCGAGCGAGCGCAGAACGTCCAAAACGATGTCTGGCAGGTCGAGAAGCCACGCTCGCGACGCGTGCGGGGCGCTGGTCGTAGGTGTTTGGACAATGCAGCCCAGCATGACAATGGCGGATACGTGTTGCTGGATGTGCGGGTAGAGCGCCGTCGTGACAGACGTTCCGTACGAGTGTGCGAGCAGCACATTTCGGCGGCCTCGGTATCGATGGAAGAGCTCGATAGAGTCTTGCACGATCGATTCCCGCGCGTAGAGGTCGTATCTGAAAGCGACAGACGGCAAAAAACAAAGATTGAGTGTGAACGGAACCAGGCAATCTGATAAGAGAGGATTGACTTGGATGTCATAGCTTGATCGAGATTTCCGACGAAACGTCGATCGCCTGCTTCAACAAGCACAGTGCTTTATTGGGACCCCCATCACTGTTGAACCACTCACCGGTGAGGCTTCTCGCTCTTGCCGTGGCCGACGTTGTCCCAGGCGACAATGGAGCAGCGGCCGTTGAAGAAGGCAATCTGCTCCATCCACTGCTCGGCCTGTCCGCCAGCGCCGTGCAGCATGAAGAGGACTGGGACATCCTTGTTCTCGTGCGGGATGTGAACGACGCGCAGTCGCTTGCCGCGGACGAGCTGCAGGCTGCTGTTGGCGTCAATGAACTGAATCAGCTGCGATGCTTCGGCAGTCTCGGTCTGGTCCACCGCCGCAAACCGACGCCACGCGTGGCGACCGTACAGCACACCCAGCGGGACAAGCACGCTGCTGGCGGCGGCGGCGGCGAGGACGGTCGACGAGGAGACAACCCCGTCCAGCCCGCAGGCCGACCCAATGCGGCTCAGCCATCCCATTTCTATCTGCAGGTTGCAATCTCACTCGCTTTCTCTCTGTTGATCTTCAGTATCGATCTCGAATGGTTCAAAAGTGGGGGGTGTGTTGTTGGACACGAAAAACGCGGGGATTGTTGTGTTTGAGCAAAGCGGATGAGAAAAAGAAAAAAAATGAATGATCAGGGTTGTCTGATTTGTTCGGCTTTACCCAAGTTCACTTCAATCAAACAACCAGCAAGATAGACACAACAAGCAAGCAAGCAAGTAAGCAAGCAAAAAAGGGTGGCGCTGGTGGGGGGGGGGGAAAGAGACCAAACTGACATTTACATGTCGTTGTCGTCAACAGGCTCAATGTCGTCTTCGTCCCAATCAGCAAGAGCAGCCTCCGTCTCTTCGTGCAGCTTTTTCAGGCCAGTCAGCTCCTCCAGGAACGTGGGCGAGTTGAACGCCTTCTGGAGGAAGGAAAAGCCCTCCTTGCGGTATGCGTCGACGACAGTGTTGGAGCATGCAGTGCAGCGATTGAAAGCATGGCCGATCGGCAAAACATTGTCGAACTGCGACAGGAAGCCGCGAATCTGATGAGGAAGCAGACCCAATTCCGTGGAGACTTGCTCGGTGTTGTGCGAAGCACGGTCGGTGGTGCTCGCAGCAGGTGCCGATGCGCTGTCAAAATAAGCAAAAAACAAAATCACACAGAAGAAATCACAAACAAGGTGTGAGGACGCCAAGTACAACAGGGGAAAAAAAAACAATTTAGATTTCGATCAAAATCTCACCCGAGAGGATGGTGGAGCAAGCTGACCAGCAGCTCAACAGCGAGCGATGCGGCGAGGAAGGACATGCCTGGGCGGGCCACGGTGCACTGCTGATCTAGGGTGCGATCCTTGAGAGACTGGTGTTTTGTCGGAATCGAGCATATGAGAAACAGTGAGTGCAAGGCCAAAGTCCAATCAACACATAGTGCTCAAGTCCCACATACATTCGAGGGCGCCATGACGTCGTTGCAGAAATAGCAGCCAAGCTGCTTGTGCGTCGCAGGATGATCCGGGGACGGCACAATGCCATGGCGCATGACCACGAATGTGTCAAAGCCAAGAGCAGTGTTCAAGACCAGCTGACAGTGATAACCAAGCAAGCGAAACAAACAGGAACAGTCAGACGCAGGGTTTCGAAAAAAAAAAAAAAGGACGACGTTTTGGCTCTTTTGAGCAGTTGTTTCAAACAGACCTTATGGCGCGATGCTGCCAGCAACGTTGGCAGCCAGCGCGACTCTCTGGTATCCATCAGCAAAAAGATCACGTCGTGTTCATCAATCAGAGCCTCCAACTTGGCGACTGTTTCCTTGGCTGTGCGAATGGGCTCCTCTCCTTCGACCGAGTGCCCTGGCATTGGAATGGAGAGATTGTGACCCTCGGAGACCTGGATTGGCGCACGGAAGCGAAGGTGTTCACACGCAGAGCAAAAAATAACAAGCGATGAGTGCTGTTGGAGAGAGCGCGAGATTTCTGTTTCCATCTGTTTCCACAAAAATGCCAGCAACCACCAACACGACTCACCATTGAAGGGAAGATGCGCTTCAAGGCGGCAGCTGCGGCAGCTGCCTTGGGCTTTCCACCATCAAGGCAGTCCTCAAACTGGAAGAGCGTTTGCCGCACGGGGTTGGAAAATGAAACGCGGCTGTTGTCGACAAATGTGATGTGGCGCACACCCCAGCCCTGCAGAAAGTATCACATTGTATGTGTCAAAGATGGAAAAGAAAAAAAAAGAGCAGCTTTGTGAGTGCTGAAACGGGCATTTGGTGTCAAGTCGAACAACACTGGCTGAATGCATTTTTTACCATCAGGGCTCGAGCCACGTTGCAGCCCAAGGTGCCCGCACCAAACAGCAAGCACTTTGTGGAGCTGATCTTTTCCAGCTCGAGGGACGGGAGCAGGCGCCATCGCATGAGTTTCAAATTCAGATCGACAGCAGTCTCTGCGAGGCTGAGGACGGGTGCCAAACGATCGAACGATTTGTCAGTAGCGCCAACACGAAAACAAACATGACTCTACTGGACATTACCGAGTCGGATCCATGCTGCTGCTCAGATCGACAATGCGAGGCCCGAGCTTTTGCTTGGCATTCTTCTCCCAGCCAACCACCTTTGGACCCTCTGAGAAGGTGTTCGGAAAAAAAAAATAATCAAGGGGGGAGGTGTCAGCCATGAATAACGTGAAGCGTGCTAGTACGAAACGAAATTTGAAGGCCGCTTAAAGTCACAAAGAACGCACCAGCCAGGTCCGGAGCTGAGAGTGGCGTCAGACGGACAGTCAGAACAATGCTCTGGCTGAGATCGAGCTCGCCTCCGCGAGATACCTCGCGATAGCAGATAATGCGCACGTTGCGGTTGAGGTAGCCCTTCCAGTGAGACAGGAGCAACAGGAGGTTGCGCAGAGGCCAGCCGGGATTCTTGGCCAGGGCGCAAGGGTCGGCAAAGCCAATGGTAATCTAACACGGGTGGGGGGAGAGCGAGACAAAGCAGCAATTTGGTGGTCAGATATCGAACTGTTCAACCCCAAGAATTTCGCGTTCCGGGAATCAGCCAGCGAGAGCTCCGCGCTTACGTCGTCAGTGGCTTCAGCAGGGAATGCAGCCGCCCAGTCCGCGAGCGCGTGCGCCTGCAGCTTGTCATCGGAAACCTTGCTGACAAGGAAGAATGCGGCTTGGTCGGGATGCGTGCGCGAGAGCTCTGCATGGGAGGCTTGGAAGGAAGCCATCTGCTCGCGCGATCGACAATCAGGACGCAAGTCAGTTCATCCATTCGAACCGATGCGCGAAGGGAGGAGTGTGCAACTGGCACATACCTGGCTCGCAGAAAAAGTGTCAAACAACGGAGCTGGCTCTGCCACCGACTCGAGCTCGCCAACATACAGAGCAGGGAAGGCAAACCAGTAGTAGAAGTGGTACTTTTTCAAGTCGGCAAAGCAGAGCAACAGGAAGCGATTGAGCAAGGCTGGGTGCTTGATGGCTGCTCCGGATGTGATGCAGCCCCACATCTGTTCCAGGGCGGTCGAGAATCGATGGTGCATACAAGTGGTGTGAGTGAAACTTGACGTTGAACAACTCCAAATCGCACAAAAGCAAATCAAACCTTCTTTGCCATATCCTCGAGCATGGCCTTCTTGTCAAACTCTTTGAATGCATCTGCCGTGTTTGCATTGAACAGCGTGCCCAGCGCAGGGAAGCTCTGCGTCGGGATTGGCAGCGATGCAACCTGAGCACTTGCGAGTCTAACGCACGGTAGCACGAGAGGTGAGCAACCCATCGCGTTCATCCAGAACAACTGCACACCCCCCCCCGCCCACGCGCATCACAGAAGCAGAACGTCTCCAGCTGTTGCACACATCAACTCCCTCGACATTTGGACATTTGAGATTCAACTGTGCAGCAGGCTCAAAAGCCACGGAAAAAATGAACGAGAAGAACGAGGGGGAAATTTTGTGGACCGGCACTTGGCTTGTAAGGCATGACTCGTGAACAAAACAGTATGTATGTGTGTATGTGCGACGGGGTGTTTTTACGCAACTGGGCAAAGAACGCCTCGAGGTCGGTCGGAGCGGCTGCCTTGGCCGACGACGACGACGGCGACGACGACGCGGCGGCGGACTCTGGGGCGAACGCGGCTTGGTTGACGCAGACGCGGGCTGGCATGTCGGGATGCTCGCCCATGGTGTAGTAGCCGAGGACTGGGTGCGGCTCGTCGCTCAGCTTGTAGACGTCGAGCTTCTGGCGGCTCAGCATGTGCCAGAACGACGCGTCCACTGCGCTGGAGAACGGAGCAAACTGCAACGGCGCCATACTGGAATCCAAAAAAAAAAAAAAAAAAAAAAAAAAAAAAATTCTAGGTCGGAAACAATGGAAGAGTGAGTCGATGATGATGACATGGGACTGTATCTGAATCACAGGTCTGGCATTTGGCTCGGCGAGGATTGAGGTACCCTCTGCCATTCAAACGCTGTATTGCAGTTTGGAAACTTTTTCTCTTGATCTGCTGATGTTGCAGCGATTTGAACAACTCCAAAGTATGAAATTGAAAAACCAACAAACAAAACAAAAACAACATTCGAAAACTGCACAGAAAAGGTTGCTCAACGAGTAGACAAGCACTGGCAACTGAAAAAAAAAACACGGGAGGAGGGAGTCAAAAGCAGACAAAGTACAAAAACAAAGGGTGGTAATTTTTGAATCAATCGATCTCTGATGTTGGGAAGGGAGGACGGGAGCGGAGTAGGACAACCTGTGAAAAGGCGCGCGGCGAATTCTCAAAAGCAAGTCATTGGGAGAGAAGCCAAGGGTCAGTAGCCGCCTACTCTCCAGTGCTTGTAAACTCGGGAAGCTCAACCACCGTTCCAGTTTGAGCCAGCTTCTCGGATAATGAGCGGTTGATGTCTTGCAGATATTTGATATAGTCCACAGAGCGCTTCAAAATGGAGCCCTTCGAGGCCTTGGGGTCGATCTCTGCGTTTGGTAGCAACGATCCCAGCTCTACAATTCTGTCATTGATGTTATACCTGCGGCGACGTTCGACTAAGAGAGCAAACAAAGACGCCAGCATGATGAGCACACATTTTACCAGCAACCCAAACGGGGAGGGAAGGGGGTTGTTTGTTTGTTTGTTTTGTTTTGTCAACAAAAGCAAAAAAAAAAAAAAAACTTACTAGCATTGTGATTATCCTTCTTCTTCCGACTCTTGATCAACGTTTGAATGTCATCAGGATCGTAGTCGCTGGGTGCGGATCCCGCCATGCCAGCGCCAAAATTGAACATGCCGCTGCCAGAGGGAACGCCACTTTGCGAAATCATGGAACTCTCGAGCGAAGACATGGCTTCATCCTGACCGTCGTCGAAATCATAGCTGACCTCCTCGCCAATCACAGAAGAGGCCGCAGTGGACGAAACAGCCGTGCCAAACTCCGCGCCAACCAATCCTGGCGGGAGAGACATGCCCGCGTCGCCAGGCTGGTTCATGGTGGTGCTGATAAATTCTTGGAGCTGCAGGCGCTGTTTCTCGTGCAGATGGTATGCTGTAGGGAAGGCAAGCGACGATCGCACGTTGAGGACTTGGCGTGGGACTGTGACGGCTTCGGGGAAGGCGCCGGCAGGTTGAACGCCATTGAACGAGGACGGTGCGAACACGCCCAGTGCCGCGCTCGCCAGGTTTGGTGGCTGTCCGGCCGAAATGGACGATGTCCGCGAGCTGTCTGCCAGGGAGGACTGTCCGCTCTCCTGCTGGTCTTCCATCGCAATGTCCATTTGGCTGTCGAGGCCACCGCTGGCGTCATGCTCGTTGCCAAACGGCTCGTGCTCGCTGAGCGGCTCCTGCTTGACGGCACTCGGCAATGGCTGCGCCAGCAGTGTGGATGATCTGCTCCGAGAGCCCAGCATGGCCTGCTGCTGCTGCAACTGGAGGCGCATCTGCGAGCGAAGCGGGGTGCTTGGAACGCTGGAGGAAGGGCGACGCTTCTGCTCGTCGCGAAGGACGGTCGCCTGGACGACGGGGCCCGCGCTTCCAGGAGCCACGCCCAGCATGCTCATTGAGCGCATGGGTGCCGTGGTTCGCCCAGCAGAGTTGGGGGTGAGCTGGAGGCCGATAGACGGGAAGTTGAGAAGCAGGTCGTCGACCGAGCCGAGTCCGTCCGCGCCGACCGCCGAGTGGTCTAGCATTGAGCTCATTGGCAACGACGCAGACAGCTGCTGGTGGGCGTGCGCTCCAAACTCATCCAAGCCGTGAAGCGCAGCTGCGTCGAGCTCGCCATTTTGAAGCCCAGCTGCAGCTCCAGCACCCAGGCCGCCGCCGCCGCCGCCAAGTTGGAGTGAGTGCATGTTCATGCCGAGCATGAGCGAGCTGGCAGGTCCGCTCGCTGCTGGCGGCACCATGAACGGCCCTCTGGCATTGCCTGCGGCTGTATTGCTGAGCCCGGCGCCGAGCTGGAGTTCGACTGCTGCCGCCACTGCTGCCGCCGCCGACGCAGGGTCGCCTGCAAACCGGAACCCTTGCTGCTGCTGTGTGCTGCCATCCAAGCTCGCCATCGAGGTGGACGACGACGATTTGCGCCCGCCTCGTCCTCGACCAGCCATGAATCCTCGCTTTTTGCTTCTTTTTTTTCTTTGAAGGGGGGGGGGCTTTTCGCTTTGTTCGTGGTAGCCGAGCTGCGTGTCGGATGAGACTCTCTGTGGAATCAGATCAAAAAGCAAAAAGAGGCGTCTTTTTGCTTTGCTTTGGTGGAGGGAAAATGTCGATCGCGATTCAGGCAACGAGAGAAAAAAAAAAAAAAAAAAAAAAAAAAAAAAAAAAAAAAAAAAAAAAAAAAAAATGAATGGAAAAGTCAATTGAAAAAAAAAAAAAGAAAGAAAAAAAAAGGGACAAAGAGAACAAACGTGAGTGTGTGTCACCACTGGAATAGGCAAAAAAAAAAAAAAAAAAAATGTCCAAGAAACCACCGCTTCGCAAGGAGACGGTCGAAAAGGAGAAAAGACAGGATGAAAGCAAACTGAATGAAGGAGCAATTCGAGAAAAAAAATGGAATCAAAAGGGAAGGAGAAGAAGATTAAAACAAAAAACAAAAGGAAAAAGGAACGAGGTTTTGCCCCTGCTTTTCGCATTGAATTTTGTTGCTGGTGGCTGCCAAACACCCGCTTGGAGTCCCCCCCCCTTCTGAGCAAACACGAGATTGGCTGAGTGATGAATGTAGGGTTTTGACGACGCATCTGGAATGGGAGGAGCACGCTTGCGGTGAAACGTGAGATCATGAGATCAGAAGGTTTGGCTCCAACAAGAAAACGCTCCGCACCATGAACAACTATGCGAGAACCCTGATTGCAAACGACACTGACAACGTATCATGGAAGTGCGAATGAATGATATGCAGTACAAGTCAGCGCCAAGAACGCGGCAGCTGGAAGCCATCGAATATCGCTCATCCAGCCGAAAATACTGGTTTTGAACTCGGAGGGTGCCGCGTGTGTAAACAACAATCATCGCGTGTGTAAACAACAATCATCCGAAACAAACCTCGAAAAGCGACAAACATTTTCAATCACGAACAATCCCCGTGCGGTAGAGCCAATCGACAATCAGAGTGGACATGCCGAGACCCACAGCGCCGTAAGGATCGCCAGTGATCGGGTTGTACTGCTCCCAAATGCCGCTCTTCTCGACAAGGGCGAGCCACCTCTGGACAAGAGCGTCGGCTACGGCCGTGTAATTGCGCGAGCTGAGCGCCTCAATCACAAACCAGTTGGTAAAGCCCCATGTCGGGCCGCGCCACATCAGGTCGTCGCTCTCCGAAAAGACCGGGTTGAACGAAGGCGAGTCCATCGACGTGGTTGGAACAGGGAAGGTCGACCAGTACTTGGACGTGTTTGTCAGATCGCCCGCGATGATGTCGTCGGCAATGTCCTTGCCCACGTTCAGGACGGGGAGGAGCAGCGGCAAGAGCGTCTGCACCGTGTTTTGGGACGCGCGCTTCTCCTCTCCCGTGTGCACGTTCTTGTACAGATGGAAGAACCTGCGCGTCTGCGGGTCGAACATTTTGGTCGTGATGGCCTTCGCAGTGGCGTTGCCCGAAGCGTAGCACTCTGCCGCAAGACCTGCCTGCCCGATCGACTCGGCAATCGCACCAAGAAGGGCCCAGCCAGCTGCGTAGATGCTGTTCACGCCGACGTCCTTCATGTGGAAAAAGTTGAACAGGGGAAGGCCGTCGATGGCGTGCGGCGCGTGAAGGATGGCCGTCTGGTTCCAGCCGTACAGGAACTTGTACGTCAAGATGAGCTCTTCAAAGCGTGGGTAGAGCAGCAGGTACGGCGGCTGTGGCACGTCCTCAGGAATCCCGTAGGCTTGGTCGTAAGCGGGCGACGCGTCGAGACCGCTCTCCCAGCCGTGCAAGACGTACACAAGGTCATCGCCATCGACCGCGCGAGTGTCGCGCCACCAGCGGAAGTACTTGATGAGCGGGAGGAGAAACTCTTCGGCAATTTTCTGCGCCGCAACAGGACCTGCTGTCGCCAGGGTAGCGTTAATGATGGCGCGCAGGCTCCACGGCAAAACCGGCATCTGAGTCAGGTCGCACGCACGCTCGTTGCTCCAGTTGTCGAGCAGCTCGAGACGCTGCGCATCGGTGCGGTTGCCCCAGAAAATCTCCTCCGGGATGCGGCCGTCGGGCTGCTGCATCTGCAGCATGGTGCGCAGGTCGAGGATGGAGTTGGTGACATTGCGGTGTGACCAGACAATCATGTGCGATCCGCTGTCCCAGAGCCACTGGTCGGGGCTGTACTTTTGCAGCGAGGGGCGGTAGAAGTGGAAGGGGAGGCCCCACAGCTCGCCTGCGCACAGGTGGCTCTCGAGGAAGTCGTAGCATGTCGAGACCACCTGAGCTGGGGTGGACGTGTTTTGCGGCGGTGCGGGCGGGTCTGGCGCGCGTTCGCCCACCGCGCACACCGACTGCAGCAGCAATGCGAGCAGAACAAACACAGATGCAGCGGATCTGGCTTCCGAGAAGCGGTGAAGCGCCCGCTGTTGTTGCATCCAAAAACGTCGAGTGCGCAAGACAAATCACAACAAAAAGGGGGGAGTGCGTCTTGATTGAAACAACAGCCGACGGCAGATTGCTATATGGAGACGAGGATTGTGGTTGTTGTTTTGTTGCGCTCGGCTTCTTAGATTGCGGTTGTAATGGAAGAGGATTGTTTGGCGTCGCGTTCTTTTGAGTTGCGAACGGCGGTCTGCTGAGCTGATACTTGAGCGAGGTTTTTCCATTACAAATGTTTGGATTGATGCTCTTCCCACTTGCTTGCATCCAAGGTATACAGTACACAACACGATTGTGTCGAGTTCTCCATGACAGTGATGGAGATAGCAGCACCACAAGCCGTGCCGCTGTCTTTGTTCTTTCTGCCTATCCGTAGCATTTTTGGACAAATTGCGATTGCACGAGCTGCCACCATCGGAGCAAGTCCGGTCGAGCAAAAAGTAATTTTTCAGCCTTGCAAGTGTGTTATTATTATTAGAACGCCGCTGGCTCGCAGATTACCAGCTGGGCGGTCGCGACTCGTCGGTTTGCTTTTTGGCGCAAAACGGTTTGAAATTGGGATTGAATTCTGGCGCCTTTCCGGATTTGTACTTGGCAGTCACTCTTTCGTCCAGTCGCGACATATTCATCCCGAATGAGCAGTCGCGGCGGGCCTCCCGGCAGCACCGCATCGGGTGCGAGCCGCACAGGTGGAGCGGGCCGTGTGGTGGTCGCCCAGGGTGAGAATAGCGGCGTTGGAGCAGCAGCACCAGTGAGCGCCAAGCCGGCCGCGCCAACACTGGACGCCGCGCAGCTCCGTCGGCAGCAACTCGAAGCGTTCCGCGCTAGCAAGGCTGTAAGTGTACTACTTGTGAGCCTGCTTGTGCTGGGGCAAGGGGGGGGGGTGCTGTTGACCGCCACTCTGTTCGCTCAACCGAGACTGAATGAGAGTGATGAGGTTTTTTTTTTTGGTTTTTTTTTTTTGTCGCCCACGACTGATCTCGTTGTGCATTTCGCGTTGTAGCAGCCAAAGGGCAAGCCGACTTCAACAGCCCCTTCAACTGCATCCAAGTCCAGTGCAATCGCTGCCCCGACGGTGAGCAACCAACACAAACAAGAAGAATCGAAGGCGACAAAAAAAAAAAAAAACGAAACAGTTTTTTTTTTCCCGCGCTTTCGCTCTTTGCAATGGTGTGCGCATTCTCGCCTTTGCTCGACGCTAACAATGCGTGTTTGTTCTTCTGGGATGTGATTTTTGGTGTCTACAGACAGCTTTGCGTCCATCCGCACCCGCACCAGGCACGCAATCGCGAGCTGCAGGTCCCTCCACCCAGGTACAGCGCTGTTCCAGTGCAGGATTGGTACCATCCGTCACTGTCACTCACCAACTCTTGCTTCATGTGTGTGTGTGTGTGTGTATGTGTGTGTGTGTGTGTGTGTGTGTGTGTGTGTGTGTGTGTGTGTGTGTGTGTATTGGACTTTTCGATTTGTTGAATTGCGTCGGGGGGTCCAGGCACGGCCAACTAGCACGATGCAACGAAGCTCAGCGATGGTACGACACCTTTTTCTTTGCTGTCGTGCGCAATCGCTGAGCGCAAACAATTCATGCTCACCAACCCTTGCATCATCAAACACAGACTCCTGCAGCACGGGTGGCAAGCCGGCAACCACAGCCAATGTCCGTCGCTGCTCCTCGTCATCTGATGGCAAACGTTGGAACTTCCACTCGGGGCTCCATCCGACCATTCGTTGAGGAGCAGTTTCAACAGCCTCGACCAACGGCAGCCTCGGTGTCCTCGTCGGGAGCGGCGTTGCAAGCTTCTCGTACGCAACAGGCTTCACGGGCAGCGCCGGCGGCTCTAGTACAACAAAAACGGACAGCGCAGCAAGCAGCGCTCGTGGCACCCATCCCACACGACGACAATCGAGATTTGAATCGTGTGGGTCAGGACGAAGAGGATGAAGCCGACTACATTGAATCCGAGATGGATTTCGACGACAGTCGGACCAAGCTTCGAAGCTCGCTGCAAGTCGATCGACCGCTGTTCTCCCCCGAATCTGCGGATACCTGGGCTGAACCTATGGTCACGTTGTCATCAGCATCTTCTTCGGCCCCCGCCGATGTTCAAGACGCACAACGAGCAGCGAAGCGATTCAGGGCAGGAGAGGCAGAACGGCAAGAGCAGGAGCAGCTGGAAAGGGTCGCCAGCAACATGCTCGTTTCCAACCTTGCGTTTGCCCCACCTTCCGGCGAGGATGCTGGCGTCCAAGTGTCTATTATCAGTTTGGAGGCCATGGAAGAGCTGGCTGCAGCTCAACGAGAGGTCAGAGCTTTGCACGAAGCGCGAGATCAGCTCGAATTCCAGCACAGCGAAGCGATGGTGCAGGAACACGACGTGCGCGCTGGGCTTCAGGCAAGAATATCGGAGCTCACGTCTCAAGCGAACAATCTCGCCCGTGACGTCGAGGCTGCTGAACAACGCTTTGCCAACCAAGTTGGCCTGACGCAAGCCGCCGACCTGCGTACCCACGAAGCCGAGTTTGCCCGCAGCGCCCTCGAAGCCGAAATGGCTGTCGTTCATGAGCGCTGGCAGCTCCTCGTCCACGATTTGCAAGTTGCGGTACGTTGTAGCTGTTTCGCGCGTTCGATTTTACGAAAAAAAAAAAAAAAAAAAGGTCTCACTCGGTGTTTGATTGGGATGAACCTTGTGTTGGGTTTTTTTTTCGGAACAGGAAGGAACACTGAGATCCGTTGTTCAAATTGCTGGTATACCTCGTGGTGAAGATGGATTAGCGCCCGCTGGACTCATTGTGAACTGGATCAGTCAATTGGTGGCCAGCGGTGAGCACTTGGAAGGGATTCGCCTGTCTCTGGATGAACAGGTATGACTCCCTTTTTATGATGGTCTCTGTGGTTTGGGGGGTTGTGTTTTTTTTTTTTTTTGTTTGTTTGTTCTTGGTTGCGATTTTGGCTCAACAAGTTCTGCGCTCCAACAATCACAGCTGGCGCAAGAGAGACACCGCTCGGAAGTGCTCGAGCAAAGTTTGATGGAGGCCCAGAGCCAACTGAAATACGCGTCTCTCATCAACAAGGTACGGCCAAAGCACATTCTTGCTGCTTTTTCTTGATATTGTTTGTGAAGGTGACGAGCGACTCACGCTTCACGCTTTTTTTTGCTCCTCACCCCATGCAGTTGCATGAGGAAGAAACCCAACTTGCCACGTTGAATCGCAACCGCCCTGCATTGCGGAATGTGGAACCGAGCAGGCCAAGTACCCGTTCCAAGTCAAAGCAAGTCATTCACATCTTGAAGGAGCAACGGCCGCCCACTCGCAGCGAGATGTGCGCTGCGTTCGACAATGTAGATGTTCCGACAGTCGAGCCACCGCAACCCACACAATCCGTCCCGGCTGTCCCGGTCGAGGAAGCCATCGTACCGTCATCTGAAGAGGACACGGATTCGCCCACGCCCATGGCTGATGCCGAAGACAAGCCCAAGAAGAGCAGCCGCCGCGACGTTGTCGTTGCGCTCGGCCAGGCCAACCCGCTGCCAGCAGGCGAGCAGGCAACGTTGGTGCGCGAAGCATCGTCGCTTGCTCGCGAGTGTCTGGCGCTTCGCATGGGCAATGAGATTCTCGTGGAGCAGAAGCGTGAGCTGATTGTGCGTCATGAGCGCCAAGTACAGTAAGTAGTCACCTGCATGTTACGAGAACTTTTTTTTCGGGGGGGGGTGTTCGAACGGCAAGTGTCGCGCGGTTTGCTCATCCTGTTGGTGTTGGTGGTGAAAATAACATTGCAGACAATTGGAGCAGTCGTTCTCTGAGCGCGTGGCTGAAGTGAATGGACAGATGATGGGTGGACTGCAGCTCGCCATGCAACGAGTCAACGATCTGAAGGCTCAACTGGCCGTGTATCAACAGCGCTACCCCGAGGTTGCTGAGCGCCAAGACGCAGGGTCTGATGAGGCGGCAGTGTAAACAAGACTGACGTGGGGAATTTGGCGTTCCAGTGTGTTTTGTGCGGTTGATGTTTTTTGTGAGAATTACACCGAGTCGAAGATCCTTTTGTCCAAAGCCAAAACCCGTGCGTATTCACTCTGAGTGTGGTACATGTATGTTCCACCATACCAAAATGATTGTTTTTTCCAATCCATGTCAGTTCACTCTTATTTCTCAGCTCCAATGCTTTCCCGCGCTTCGCTGCTCGCCACCAGCCGCCTCGCTGCAACTGCCGCGCTTCGTCAGTGTTCTCCCTCGGCGTGTTTGCTTTGTCTTTCTATTTCTCTCCCCTTCTTCCTCGCTCGCAGTGTCTGCGACTAGTTCACCCCCTCACCGATCGTCAACGTCTTTCAACTTTCGTTCGTTGTCTTGGCTTCTTTCCCCGCGCGCTCCATTTTTTGAACAGTTCTTCTGTCTTTGCTCTTTCTTTCGTTTTGTTGATCTGTGTATGTGTGTCTATGTGGTTGTCGTTTGACGTGCGTTTGGCCATGCCTTGCTGGTGATGACGATGAGCTAGACCGAGACAAACCGTGCTTCCATGTGCTTCCATATCAGCCCCAACTCAACGCCCTTCCCCCTTCCCCCCCCCCGAGCGTCCCTCTCGCCCGATGACTGACTGCTTGGCCACATTGTGTGTTTCTGATGGTGCTCTGCCTTTGTTGCGTTTGTGTGCTGGTTGTTTAGGTGCCTCGGCCGGCCGCAGCTTTCATCGCGCTTCCGCCATGGCCATCGCTGCCCCTGCGTCCGCCCGCGTCACTCCCGCTGTGGCTCGCGCTAGCATGGCTGCCCGTGCCTTCTCTGCTTCGGCTGTCAAGGTGAGGGACGGCACGCTTGCCGAGAGAGTGGCCTTTCGATGCGATCAACACGCATGACCGGTGTGACTCTGGACTTTTGTCACTCACGCACACACACACACACCTCCAATTGTCACGATCATTCGCAGCTGTCATCGGATGGCAAGGTTGTCGACGCCGAGTTCAAGCCGGAGGACGCCAAGAAGGAAAACACAACCGAGCCCGAGCCGGCCAAGCCCGCCGAGGTGATCAAGGGCTCACTCAAGAAGCACGAGTTCCAAGCTGAGACCCGCAAGCTGCTCGACATTGTTGCCAACTCGCTGTACTCTGAGAAGGAGGTGAGTGACTCTTTTGTGGGAGGGATTGGCAGGAGAGGGGGGCAAGATGAACAAACTATAACCCAATGACTTTCGTTGTTCGGTGATTCTCCAGGTGTTTGTGCGTGAGGTCATTTCGAACGCTTCAGACGCCCTTGAGAAGCTCCGCTACCTCCAGGCCACGAACGCTGAGACCTACGCCGGCTCGAAGGGCCAGCCCTTGCAAATCCGCATCGATCTCGACGAGGCGGCCAACACATTCACCGTCCAAGACACTGGTGTCGGTATGACTGAGGCTGAGCTCATCAAAAACCTCGGCACGATCGCTCATTCTGGCTCCAAGACCTTCGTTGCCGAGTCGAGCAAGTCTGGCGTGTCCAAGGACAACATTATTGGCCAGTTTGGTGTTGGCTTCTACTCAACCTTCATGGTTGGCAAGACTGTGACTGTCTACTCGCGCTCTGCTGCCGAAAACGCCAAGGGCTATGTGTGGATTTCGGATGGGTAAGTGGTTTGCTACGGTTGTTCGGAGGGCCAGGGAACGATGTCTGACCTGGTGGTTTGTTTGTTTTTTGTTGTTGTTGTTGTTTTGGTTTTTTGCGGATTCTACAGCTCTGGCGCCTATGAACTCGCAGAGGCTGATAACGTTGCCATCGGTACCAAGATTGTTGTGCAACTCAAGGCCGAGGAGGCCAAGTATGCCTCCAAGACTGTCATTGAAGGCAAGTCGTACGCTTTCGCTTTCCGCAGCAATCCATCCGGTCACTCTTTTCCCTCACCCCTGCCATGCCTGTCTTCACACCACACTTACACTCACTTGCTTCAATATTCGATAGACATTATCCGCAAGTACAGCAACTTTGTCGGATTCTCCATCTTTTTGAACAACGAGCTCGTCAACACCCTGCAGCCCGTCTGGACGATGGATCCCAAGAGCGTGACGGCCGAGATGCACACCGAGTTTTACCGCTTCATTGCTGACACGTACGACGAGCCCACCTTCACTCTGCAGTACCGCACGGACTCGCCTCTGAACATTCGCTCTGTCTTCTACTTCCCTCAAACGCACATGGAAAAGTTTGGCATGGGTCGCATGGAGCCTGGCGTCAGCCTGTATTCCCGCAAGGTGCTCATCCAGCCAAAGTCAAAGCAGCTCCTGCCTGAGTGGCTGCGCTTTGTTCGCGGCGTTGTGGACTCTGAGGACCTGCCCCTCAACCTTTCGCGCGAGATTTTGCAAAACAACCTGCTCATCAACAAGCTCAAGTCCGTCCTGACCACCCGCATTCTCCGCTTCCTTCAGGAGCAGGTCAAGAAGGACGCTACCAAGTACGACGCCTTCTTTAACGACTTTGGCAACTTTTTGCGCGAAGGTGTCTGCACCGACCCGCAGAACAAGGGCGACATTGCCAAGCTGCTGCGCTTTGAGAGCAGCAAGACCGAGGACGGCAAGAAGATTGGCCTGGAGGAGTATGTCGCTCGCAACGCTAGCGAGACTGCTGCATCATCCACCGAGGCTGGTGCCGCCGATGCTGCCAAGGACACCAAGGCTCCCATCTACTACCTTTGCGTGCCCAGCCGCGAGCTCGCCAAGCAGTCGCCCTACTTTGAATCCTTCCAGAAGCGCGACATTGAGGTCCTGTTCCTGTACGAGCCTCTGGACGACATTGTCATGCAGAACCTGCAAGAGTTTGCTGGCCGTCGCGTCGTGTCGATCGAGTCTTCCAAGGCCGACGACTCGAAGGAAGATTCCGAGCTCGACAAGATCGAGTGGGTCAAGAGCCTGTCGTCGTGGCTCCAGACGACGCTTGGCAGCAAGCGCGTCTCGTCCGTCCGCGCCACCCGCCGCCTCGTGCAGCACCCCGCCATTATCGTTGACCACGAGTCGGCATCCATGCGCCGCATGCTGCGCATGATTGACACGAGCCGCACTTACACGCCCTCGGTTGCACTGGAAATCAACCCAGACCACCCCGTCATTGTCAAGCTCGGCGCCGTCAAGGAGTCCAACCCTGAGTTGGCTGAGCAAATCGCCGAGCAGCTGCTCGACAATGCTCTCATTGCCGCCGGCGTCCTGGATGACGCGCGAAGCATCCTCGGCCGCATCAACACGATCATGGAGAAGGCCCTCGATTCGCCCGCCAAGCCCAAGGCGACCGAGACCAAGCAGTAGCTTTCGTTGTGGTTGACAAAAACGCATGTGCTGCTAGTTTTTCTTCTTCTTCTTCTTCTTCTTCTTCTTCTTCTTCTTCTTCTTCTTCTTCTTCTTCTCACGGCATGACGTGGATTGAACATGTTGAACGTGTGAGCAGGCTTTATGCCAAATCATAAAGAATAAATTACAAAAAAAAAAAAAAGAGGGTTGTACTTGCGCCTTCGTCCTCATATACCGCATTGCGACAGTAGTTGTATGCTTGGGTAGCTTCAGTGGTTTGGACGATGCAAAAGGATGGAATCGCAGAGAAGGTGGAATGAAAAGACGCAATTATTCGAATTTTCTCACAAATGATCAACAAAACACCAAAGAAAATGGAAGAGGCAACCACACAACACAGAAAAAAAAAACATACTTTTGGCACAAACGCTCCGATGGCACAAACAACAAAAAACGAGAATCAAAAAAAGCCACCCGACAGGAGGGCCTTTTAGATCAGATTCTTGTTGTTGGATCAACAATCTTGAACGCGGAACGCGGGCGAACAAGACAACGGAGGGAGGGGTGGGGCAGAGAAACAATTCTGGGGAGCTCTTGGATTGTTTAGCAAGCGGGCTGGTTGCTGCCGTTGGTGTTGAGAATCAGGGCAACGATGAGACCGTACAGACCGAGGACCTCAGCGAAAATGAGAATGAGAATCATGCCGACGAAGAGCTTGGGCTGCTGAGCAGTGCCACGGACACCAGAGTCACCGACAATGCCAATAGCGAAACCAGCAGCAAGACCAGAGAGACCGACGGAGAGACCAGCGCCGAGATCAATGAAGCCCTTGAAGAGCGAGTAGGTGGTGGGGTCGGAGAAGCCGTTGGCAATGAGCACAGCCACGACGAGGCCGTAAATGGCAATGATACCAGCCATGACGACGGGGATGATGGACTTCATGATGAGCTCTGGGCGGAGGACGGACATGGCAGCAATACCAGTGCCGGACTTGGCAGTGCCGTAAGCAGCGCCGAAGGCTGTGTCGTCATCACAGAAAAAAGCAAGCACAAGAGAGAAGAAAAGGTGAGAAGTGTGTTAAGAAAAGAAGGCAGCAACGGTCGAGGCGGCATGCGAAACGGGAGCAAAACAAAAAAAAAAAACACGAGCAAATCGAACAAAGAATCAAGGAAAAAAAAAAAAAAGGATGAAAGAAGCGAAAAAAAAAATGGTGATTGTCAGCTTCAACTTTAGCTCCTTCTGTTGATTGTGTTCAGTGTCTGGCAGAAGCTGAAGATGCGCGGCACCCCAACAAAAAGAGAAAAAACAAAAGAAGAAAAAAGGAAATGGAAAGAGAAAAGGAAAAAGGAAAAAGGAAAGGAAAGAAAAAAAAGAAAAAAAAAAAAAAAGAGGGGGAAAAAAAGCTTGTTCGATTCCCCAAAGAAAAAAAGAAAAAAAGAGACAAAAAAAATTCAAAAACTCGTGACAAAAAACAAAAAAAAAAAAGCTTTGAACAACATTGAAGAACGAATCTGTTGTTTGCTGCTGTTTGCCGTGTCGTGTTGCGCAGCGAGGAGGAGAGGCCGTGGTGGACGAGGATGCCATGCTGGTGGGCTCTGCCGCCGCGCGCGTGAGCAGAAGAAGCAAGAGAAGAAAGAGAAGAAAAGGGGGAAAAAAAAAAAAAAGTTGGGGAAAGCAAAAAAAAAGCAAAGAGCTCGGGGCAAAGCGAGTTCCCGGCGAACGAGAGGAGAGACAGAGTGGACCGGAAAGGAAGAGAGCGAGCCCCCGCAGAACGGGGGAGAAGAGGCCCGGCCACCCGAGTCGCGGGGGGGGGGAAGAAGGGCAACAGATCCCCCATTGGAAAAAAAAATGATGGGGGGAAAAAGGGGGAAAAAAAAAAAAAAAAAAAAAAAAGTCAAGCGCACATGGAGGGGGAAAAAAAAAAAGTTGTGCTTTTGTGTTTGAGTGCATGATCCCCCCCCCCGGAAGAGCAAGGCGCATGACCAGGGTGATGATGGCCAGGGCGATGGAGACAGAAGACGAGGCTGATGAGAGACACGGTGGCGGTTGGGGGAAGCCAGGGGGAAAACGAGAGAACAGAAAATGAAAAAGAAAAAACGAAAAATAAAAAGAAAAAGACAAAAAAAAACCTGCTTTTTTTTTTTTTTTTTTTTTTGGTTCCTTCTCCCCCTGTTTGAAGGGCAGCAACAGAAGGGAGCGAGGAAGATGGAAGGAGAGGAGGGAGAGAGGGGGAGGTAGATGGGGAAAGGGGGAGAGAGGGGGGAAGGCAGGGAAGGAGGGGGTTTACCAGAGAAGACGATGGCGGCGGTGGCACCCATGACGCCAAAGAAGCTCGAGTAAACGGGGCAGTTGTCGGAAGACATTTTGCTACTAAGTTGTGTTGTGTTTTGGTGTTTGGAAAAAAAACAAAGACTGAAGAATTCAGGGAAAGTGAAAACAGCCGTTTAAATAAATAGCAGCAGAGCACTGTTCAACAAATCACACAACCTTCAATCAAATTCAACAATCGTTGTCATCCAAAATCGGGTGGGGAAATCTGTGAAAACATGATCCAAACACACACAATCGGACAGACCCGACCGCTGTGTGTGTGTGTGTGTGTGTGTTACGACCTTACCCGGACCTAGAATCACTACTGAAGCGTACGAAATGTATGCGAAAGTATCGTTTACTCAAGAATATAGTGAAGAATGAGGAAAAGACCGATTAGGGATGAGCCCAGTTCGTAGCGAATGCTCGAAACGGGAGCTCAAGCGAAAGAGTCAACGAGATGGACGAGCAAGTCGAGGTGTCGTATTTGAGTTTTGCTTGTCTGATTGTCTTGAGCTCTTGTGCTTAACTCATCGTTATGAAAAAGGGCGCGAGGCGGGGAAGAGGAAGAGAATCGCAGAGGGGGAAGAGAGACAAGTTTGCGGGAAGAGATTTTACAGTTCGAGGTCACATTGTCTGAGCCCTGCCTGTGTGCCGGACCTCATCCTCCTGAGCAAGTGAAACATGGGTGATCTACAATGTTCTGAGCACTTTGTTCCTAATTCAGCGTCGTCGTTCTCTCTTTTCTTTTGCTTTTACGACCTGACTGAGCTGCTTTGGCTTGTGACTGGTCTTCCCTCTCCACACACACACACACACTCTCTCTCTCCACCTTCGCCCAAGCGCCCTTTCTGTTGCATTGCTTTTGCCGAATGGCTTTCCATCACACGCGCTCCTTCTTCCAGAGCTACAAGAACCTCACTCGCAAGCAGCGCGTTGCCGTCGGCCTCGCTGGCATTGTCGTCTCGCTCGCTGGCATCCAGTTTGCAGACCACCTCGACACGGTGCTCCTGGTCAACCCGCCAGCGCCATCAAGCACCACGACTACTACTACTACTAGTACTACTAGCACTGCGAGTACGAGCGCTGCTGGTCCTGGCGCGGCGCCCAAGCTCTAAGAGCCCAAGTTCTCGTGTCTCGCTCCGTCCCCTTTTACATTCGGACCCTCCTCCTCCTCGTCGTCGTCGCTGGAACCGCGCGTTTCCCTCCATTTCAGCTTCGATCTACTCTTGCCTGTTTCACGTTGCTTTTGTGGCATTTGAGGCAGACCTCGCATCTTCACTGTTTTCGCTTTTCTTTTGTTCGTTTTCGCTCCACTTGCACCCTCTTTCCACCCACCGCGACCCTAGCATACAAAAGAATGCTCGCGCTCCTCGCCGTCATCATCACAAGGCCGGCATCCTTTGCATGCTTGTTCGCGCTACTGAGCGGGTTTTTCGGCTTTCTCAACTACAAGGTTGACTTTGAACAAGTCACCTTCAGCTATGCGGCCGTCTACGAACGGCAGCAGCTTTCACGTATCATCACTGCGCCATTCTTCCATGCCAGCCTCGTCCATCTCCTCATGAATATGAGCGCCGTGTGGACGTGCTCGTTTTTCGAGGAAGAGCGCGGCACCCTCGAGTACATGCGCGCAACCGCCCTCTTGATCGGCCTCAGTGCCTTCGTCCACCTTGCCCTGACGCATTGCCTCGTTCTCCATGCCAACTGGCGCGGTCTCGTGGAACGCCGTGACTCGTACCGCACCTGCTTGTCTGTCGGCTACTCTGGCGTCGCATTCGGCCTTGCCACCCTCCTCGGCTTGGCTCATCCCATGTATCCCGTCCCGTTTCTGTTTGCCAACTTCCCAGCTTGGTCTGCTCCCCTGTTCAACCTCATTCTCACGCAGTTCTTGGTGCGGAGGGCGAGCTTGCTTGCCCACGTGTCCGGTATCATCGCTGGCGTCTTTCTGCACTTTGGTGGCTTGGATGTCGTGAGCAACTTTGCCGTCTTTTGCCTGGCTGCGCAGTTTGTGGGCGGATACATGCTGGAACACGATATGTGGCCGTTTGAGAATCTTGCCGATGGACCTGCAGCCGTGTTGGACCTGCCCCTACAAGTAAACCTGATTCCGTCCAGCGTTATCGCCGAGCGTCTCGATCGACGGCACCAACTCGAGTCAGTCATGGTCGGCGCACCCGCGCCTCACCGCCCAGGATTGTACGACATGTCCGCTGCGCAATCCCAGAGTGGCTTTGCTTCGCAGGTGTCCAGAGGCTCGAGTTCCAACGTCCGCAACACAAGTTTCCCACTTCCAGCTGCGTCATTGTCGAGCGGCCAATCCACTTCTCTGCCAGTGACTCCATATCGAGGAGGAGCCTCGACGTCCTCGGCGCCATCCGCTGTTTCAACCGCTGCTCGTCCTGCAAGGGATGACGAACTGGATCCCGAGCTGTCGTATCCGATCGACGCCCCTTTTCGCTCATTCTCACCCACACATCCGCATCCTTCACGAAGATGATTGCTCGATACTGTATCATTCTTATCTGTAGCTTGTACAATAGAAATTCCTTAATAATTCGTTTGGATTATGGTCGATTCGTTGTCGTAGAAAAAAAAAACAGAAAAACTAATGGCGGCCTTTTATGGATGCAAAGGGTATCAAACAAACACATTCGCCAAACAAGTCGACAGCAAACACGTCGAAAGCCAAAAACACAAAACAGAAACACTCACACAGTTTGCGGGGGAGAGAGAGAGAGAAAAAAAAAAGGGCGGGGGGAGCATGCATCAACAAAAGAAGAGCCTAAGAACACAAAAAAATGAACCAGGATAGAATAAGAAAAATGTAGCGGCTGTCGATTCAGTGTATGGTTGCTCTAGTAGTCGAGATCCAGCAGCTCTGTCGAGTTGTCGGCCACAGCATCGTAGATGGGGTTGAGCTGGCTGATCAATTCTTGGAATGAAATGCGCTCATCTGGAGAATCGCGCCAAGCCAATTTCATGAGCTCATAGATGCGGGCGGGACAGTTATCCGGCCGTGGGAGACGGTAGCCATCAGCAACCTTCTCCATGACCTCGGCGTTCGACAGGGTTGGGTAGGGGTTGCATCCGGCCGAGAAGAGCTCCCACAACAGCACGCCAAAGCTCCATACGTCCGACTTGGTTGAGAATTTGCCATAAAGAATGACTTCTAATGCCGACCACTTGATCGAGAACTTGGCGCCTTCCATTGCCGAGTACTCGTCTTCAATGTGTCGCGCCAAACCGAAGTCTGCCACCTTGACGATGTTCGGGTCGCGCACGAGGCAATTTCGGCAAGCCTGCCAATACACAACCATGCATACGAAAAGCCAACAAAAAAGTGAGTCAGTACGACATGCACCACAAAAGAGGAAACATGCGTGGTTGTTGCAAATGACGTGTGCGAGTCGGCGCTCATACCAGGTCACGATGGATGAAATTGCGCTGCTCCAAATACTCCATGGCCGAGCAAACTTGAACTGCCATGTACAACGTGATTACGAGAGGCAGGTTGGGATTGCCTCGGAGATGATCCAGCAACGAGCGGTCCATCAACTCGGTCACAATGTAAATCGGACGCTGTCGGCTGCAAATCGCAAGCAGCTTGACGAGATGGTCGTGATTGAATTGCCTACAAAAACACGGCAGAATTGAAGAGTGAGAGAATGCACTAGAGAAGCAGGCAGGGGCAACAAGCCAGCCAGCTCTAAGCTCAAAACAACCAACACCCAACAGCCATACTTCATGATCTGCGCCTCCTCCAAGAATGCATCTTCCGACATGGCGCCTTCCTTCATAATCTTGATGGCCACCTTGACGCGCTTTCGGAACATGCCGGCAAAGACCTCCTGCGAAGTTGTGCAGAAATGTCGCAGTGAGGTTGCTGTGAGACCAAGGCAAACCAACGCAGCCGTCACGACCAACAGCCACAAGCTAATACGTACACCAAACTGCCCGCTGCCCAGCTGCTGGCCGATGGTGAGCTCGTCGCGATCAATTTCCCACTTGTCACGCGCAAGACTCTTCACAACGGGTTGGTCGACGCGAGGCACGGGATGCTTCAATCGAATAAACAAGCCGCCACGATTGGTCGTGTGGTACGAAATGAGATCACTAATGGTCGGGAATTGGTGGCGCGGGGAGACATAAACCTCGCCATTCGCTCCACGAACGATTCGGTAATGTCGCACATCCTCGGCCGTTCTGTCAGAAGAAGGGCAGACAACGAGGGCGAGTTGAGCACTTAAAGTGGGAGTTTCACTGGTTCTTGCTCCACAGCGTGGAGGACCAGAAAAAAAAACTCGAGGGCTTACCGCAACGAAATTGAATATTCGCCTGGTTTGCTGTCGCTGGCGCGTAGCAAAAAGCTGCCTTCGCGCTCACGAATAAGTAAGTCGTTTGCTTGATGCCGACTCATCTTACCATGGAACCATCTGCACACAACGGAGAGGAGGCAGGGGGGGGGCAGAGAGAATGATGTTGAGCAAAACAATTTCCAGTTTGGGCACTCAGTGTTCAACCAGAACTTGAGTCTTACAATTCGCCATCGATGGCACCGTACTCGGCCACAAAGTTGCTCGGGATGCTGCCTTCGGCTCCGTTGGAAGCGCGCGCAAACCACCAGTTGGGATCGGATTTGTCAAACACCACTAGAATGTCGCCTGCATGGATGGACAAGTCGCCCTCCGAAACCGCCACGTACGGGTGCTTGGCAGTGTAGCGCTGTTCGTTTGGTCCGTTCAACGGCGGAAGGACAATACGAGGACGCTAAAGACGAAAGCAAGAAAATGGAAAAACAAAATGAGACAACGATCGAATATTCAAACCGAAATGAAGAAAAAAAAACCCTCTTTAAAAAAAATGCAAAACACGTACGCAATCCGGTCCTTCGTGAATTCTGACCTCCGGAGGCTCGGCAGCGACACTGTGATTACGAGAGGCCAGCGCTTCATGGGCGTAGGCCGTCATTGGACTGCTGGCAATGGGCAGAGGAGCTGCCGGCGTCGGAACGGCGACTACTGGCGCAGATGGCGCGAGATTGTACATGAAACAAGTGTCGCAGCCATGTGCCGCTTCGTGCTTGGCACGACAACACGTCCAATTTCCCTTCACGTATGCGCCGCGATGATACGTCGAGTACTTGTTAGGTAGAACGGCGAAAACTGCAGAAAGCAAAACAGAGGGGATGGGTGCAATGAGTCAATCGCGACAAGTAGTAGCAACAAGTATCGAGACGAGCCGAAAAGGGGAGGAGGAGGAGGAGGATGAGCCGTACCTGCTCGAAGCGCATTCATCCAGGCCGTGCGCTCCTGGTCGTTTGCAGCGCCACAGTAGAGAATGGCGTCTTCGTGAATGATCTGGAACATGGCAGCGCGCTGGAAGGTGCTGTCCTCGACAATTTCAATCGCGCGGAACTTTGATATTTGCAGCGACTTTTTCAGCTTGGAGGGGTTCTGTGTCAAAGACGGGGAGGAGGGGTAGATCAAAAGGCGAAGGGAAAGGCGGACGTGAACGGTGAGTGATTTTGTTCCAACCATTCGGATCGCGCTGTAGTGGCCCATGCTCGCTTGGCTGCTGTATGTGAGTGTATGGGCGTGGGTGTGTGTGGGTGTAGGTGTGTGGTGGGTGCTCAGTGTGCGAACGGTGATCGTGAAGTGATCGTGATTCCTCAGAAAGCGAGGAAAAGAAACGAAAAACCAAACAAAACCAAACAAAATAAAATAAAATAAAAAATAAAAAATAACAAAAAGGCCTCCAATTTGGATTATTTTGAAATTATTGGTTGGAGTTTTTTTTTTTTTTTTTTTTTTGTCCCCGTCGGTTGTTTCGCACAGAAAGGCGAGGGTGATGAGCGGAAGCGAGCCGAGAAGCACGCGACAAGAAGTGGCATTGGCGCACCACATTCGAGTGCAACGTGCGTGGCCGACGCGCAGCCACCATCGTCAGATCATCAGCTGCACTTTTCTTTTTCTTTCTTTTTTTTTTCTTTTTTTTTTTCTTTTTTTTTTCTTTTTTTTGTAATTATTTTTTTGTGGCTTTTTTTTTTTTTTTGAGCGAGTCGGTTCTTGCGCTGGTGACTTGGGGAACACCACACACTCACACTCGCTCACACATACACATGAAGAGAGAGAGAGATAGAAACACTGCGTTTGCAAGGATGACTTGAAACTCCGATCGATGCGATTCTGTTCAATGACCCTCCTCTCCTCACCCTCCCCCGCAATGGCAATGGCAATGGCAATACTTCAATACTTGGTCTTTTTTTTTTTTTTTTTTTTTTTGTTCTTTTGAGTTTCGCCACCCGTCCGCCCTGCCCTGCATAGACGCTGCTCTCCGTCGTTCGCCAAGTCAGACCACTTGCTCTTTGACGAGCCACTCATCCGCGCCCCTTCTCGCTCTCTTTTCCTTCCCTGCGCTCATCACACCCCGTTTTTTTCTTGTTTTTTTTTTTTTTTTCTTTTTTTCTTTTTTTTTATTAATTTTTCCAAAGCCTTTTTTTTTTTTTTTTTTTTTGTTTTTGTTTTTTTTTTGTCAAGTCAAACAAAACTTGGGACTCACTTCATGATCAGCGTCGTAGTACGACACCGCGTCGTTGCGCAACACAAAGTAGCGCCACTCAAAGTTCTTCATGAGGGTGGTGAAGCGCATGCCCTGCGCTCGCTTGAGCAGGTGGCCCTGCATCAGCACGCCGGGCGGGAAATTCTGATCGCCCATGGATGCTGCTGCTGCTGCTGCTGCTGCTGCTGACGCCGCTGCTGCTGCTCGTCCTGCTGCGCGTGATGTTGTTCCGACTATGGTTGCTGGCGAATGCGATGGGCTTTGCCTTTGCTGTTTTTGCTGCTGTTTTGTTTGTTTGTTCGGTGACGTTTTGTGGAGCAACAAACAAGAACAAGAGACAAAAAGAACAAAAAAAGAACGAATGAACTGTGTGCTCGACAGACACACTCGATAGAGCCAAACAGTCAACCCCAGACAACGCGAGAATATATTCATGGAAATGCAACATGATAGCACAAAGAGCGGCGGACAATGAGCAGAGCGAGGAAGGGGAACAAAGAGCGAAACCAGAGCGAAACAGCGCAAAGGGGAAAAGCCGATTCTCGCTTGACTCTGCACCAGCTGTGAGGAAGCGCTCAAAGTCATCACACACACACAACGAACTGTATGCATTCATACAGTATCCAACATTCGATCAACAAAACCATGAATAGAATAAGAAAAAAAAGCCTCTCTCAGTCCTTTATTTCCCTTCTTGATCGTCAAACGCTGAGCCAAAGGATGAGCTACCACAACCCATACGCACAGACGCCCGAGCCAGCGACGCCTGCGCCTGGGACGAGCCTGTACGCACCGTCGCCGTCGCCGTATGTGGCCGCGTCGCCAATGCCCGGCGGCTACGCGCCATCGCCTGCGCCGTCGTCGAGCTCCATCTACAATGCAGCCATGCAGCAGATGCAGACGCCGCTGCCGGTCGCCATGACGCCTGCTGCGTTCGACCCCGTGCCGCACATGATGCAGCCGCAGACGCCGATGGTCGAGTCGCTCGGCAGCAGCCATCACCACCACGACAACCACGACGACGACGACGACGACCACGACGCTGCGCCCGGCGCGGCCAAGCTCAAGACCACCACGGCCACAGGCACATCCGCAGCACCTCGATCTACAGGCCGAAGCAAGCCTCGCTCGCGCAAGCAGAAGAGCGCCGAGGTCTCCCAAGACATTCTGCCAGACGACCTCAAGGACCTCGTTGCGTGCATGATCTGCTCGCTGCTCAAGAACGCAAACCAGTTTGAAGCCAATGGCTGTGAGAATTGCTCCCAGGTACTGGAAGAGCTGGGCATTGACCAGGAGAACACGGCCTTGACGACCAAGAACTTTGAAGGGTAAACGATTTCCGCTCCAGCTTTGAACAAATGCGCATTCGTTGTGAGGAGAAGAAGAAGCAGCAGATCCTGCGATAAACAACAACAACCCTCATCTGATTGTTGTTTGAATTGCTTGCAGCATGGTGGCTCTCATGAAGCCAGACGTCAGCTGGACCGGGCGATGGCAGTCAATAAGTACGTCCGTTGTTGTCATTGTTGTCGTTGCTCTGTTGTTGTTGACTGACTCGACACGCTTGTTGTTTGCTGGTCTATTTTGCCTCATTTTCCACTGTTTGTATCACAGGCAAATTCCAGCCCGGATTGTATGCAGTGGGCGTCTTTGATCGTCCACCAAAAGAAGTGGTGCGTGAACTCGCAAATCAGGGACTCTGGCGAGCACGCGATGGTCGCGATCGATAAACACGACCGATCGCGTTTGTTGGCTTGGTGTTTGAGTGTGTTGTCGTGAGCAGGTGTTGGATGGTTCCAATGCAAAACCAAATCAAAATGTTCGTTGTGTATTCCGTTCGGAACGAGTATCTGGCGTTTCGTGGCAGTTACCTTCCTCCTCAGTGCTGAACTTGCATTTCGTGTGTTCTCTTGATTTTCTATTGATATTCTTGTTATCGTCCACAAACTCGAATCGCAGTCGTCTCTCTCTAGTCAGCAGCTTTCGTCTTGAATCAGCATGCTGATGATCCGATTGCTGGGACGCAGCAGTAGTCGCGCGTCGTCCGCCGCCGCCGCCGCCATCATGATGACGACCAATAGCATGCCTTGTGCTGGCGATCTCGTGTCCCGTCCGCTGCCCAGTGCTGCGTTGCTGCGCGCTGCAGTCGCTCCAGTTGGACACTCTGGTCGCTCCGTCACCACTCTGGCCAGCCTCACTGCGATGCCTGGCTCTGCACAATACTATGCTGCATGCCCCTTGGCTGAGCCTGCCACGCACAACAGCACGCTGCTGCTGGTGCCGAGTGTGACAGAGCTTGATCCGTCCGCCGTGTCGACGCTCCAGATGGCTGCGGCTCCAGCTGGCGACAGCGCCGTCCTCGCTGCGGCTCGTGGCTTGTTCGAAGGCATCCATGACATGACTGGATTGCCGTGGTGGCTGTCGATCGTCGCGTCGGCGTTCCTGCTGCGCACCGTGTTCACCTTGCCGCTGTCCGTCTATGCCACAAAGGAGAGCGCGCGGATGGTTCTTGCAGAGCCTCAACTGAAGGCCGAGATCAATGCCAAGCAGCACGAGGTTGCTGCCGAATGTCGCAGGAATAATCTGACGTACGAGCAGTTCCAGAAGCGCGTGCAACCAGTGGTAAGGCCCCCGACTTTCCTTTGTGCTGTTGTTGTACGCCTTCTGGTGTATCCCAGACTGTCGTGTGTGGGTGGAAACATGGGAGGCTTTGATGCAGTTGCTGCATCTGTTCTGTGTGGATTGCGTATCACTCACATTTGCTTTCCTGTTCCCTCCCCGCTTCAGCTGCGTGAGACTCAAGAACGCTTCATGACCAAAATTGGGTATAGCCCCATGCGATCCGTCGCGCTGGCTTGGGCACAAGCCCCGCTGTTTATTGCCATCACGTTGGCGCTTCGTGGCATGTCGGGCTGGCCAATCTCCCTTCGGCAGTACTTTTCCTTCCTGATGCCGTCCGAGACCAGAATCAAGCAAGACTTTTTGAATGAACTGGTGGCGAACGGTGTTGCCAAAGACCTGCTTGATGCAGAGCACATTTATTCGATGGCAACGGTCGGATCCCTTGACGCTGTGCCGGAATTGCCATTCGTCAGCCCGGGCTTGACCTCTGAGGGAATATTGAGTTTCACCGACCTCACCGCCCCCGACCAATTCTATCTTGTCCCCGTACTGATCGGTGGCATCATGTTGTACAACACACAGGTACGACTTGTTTTGGTTGGATGGGTTGGATGACAGTTCATTTAGTTCTCGGCTGTTTGCTTTTATTTCATAACGGCAATTGGGTGCTTTTGTTGGGTCGTGCTTTTTTTTGTCTCCATTCACAGCTGACCATCTCAGCAAGCTCGAACAAGTCGCTCGCGTTTCGCATTGGCTCGCAAATCTGGCGTCTCTTGGCAATTGCGATGGGCTTTGCCGCAGCCGTCAGTCCTGCGGTACGGCGACAATGTCGGCTGGGCTTTTGAATTGTGTATATTGAGATTGGGTACTTGAACTCTCACGAATCATCTGTCAACACGTGCCGTGTTTAGAGCGTGGGCATGTACTGGTTGGGCTCGGCCATCTACTCGGCGTTGCAAAACATTTCCTTCCGGATACCTGCAGTGCGAAGATTGCTCGGCATTCCAGTGCTTCCAGTGACGGCCCAGAATAGCAGACTACCCTTTCCCTTGCACAAGCTCGATCTTGGCAACGGTGTAGCGTCTGAAAATGTGTCGGCTGGCGCAACGGCTCTGTCTGCTGCAGAAATCTTACTCCAAAAGAAACCCAGTACGAGCATTTCAGCTTCCACGTTTGGCAATCACAAGACGGGTGGCCAGAGTTGGTCGCCCCTTCGTGCCAAAAAGTGACGAGCATCTTTGTGCTTCTGATCCTTCTCCTTCATGACAAAGACCAACCCCCCAACCAAGCCGAGTCATGTCCTGAGCCTCTGATTCTTTTCCACCGTTTCATGATTCCACGATTTCCCGCAATACAGAACAGTGAGCCATTCTTGTGCTTTTTGTTTTCGCTTCCATTCCAACCTCTCTCTGCAAAGCGATTTTTTTCTACTTTTGCCTCGTTCCTTGTGTCCATTAATTGACTGATCCATATCCCTTCAGCCTCCCGCTTTTCCCTTGCGGCTATTCCTCGTCTTCAAATTCAGACAACATACTGTAAAACAGCGGCAATCGAACGAAGCGCAGTCAACCTTTTTTTTTTTTTTTTTTTTTTTTTTTTTTTTTTTTTTTTTTTTTTTTTTTGATTTGTTTGTTTTTCCAATTGAGATCTCGCTTTTTCTCCTTTCTCAATGTCTGGCGCAGTCATCTCGGGCTTGCTCGCGGGCGGGACCAACGTGCCCTCTGCGTCGCGCAACTTTCTCGATCTCGTCAAGTCGATTTCCGAGGCGCAGTCCAAGCACGAGGAGGACCGCATCATGGCACGCGAGGCGGCGCAGCTCAAGGGCAAGATTAGCAAGCCGGACGTCTCGCCGCGCGTCATGCGCGAGTACCTCGTCAGGCTCATCTACTGCGAGATGCTTGGGCAGGAGGTCCCGTATGGCTACATTCATGCCGTCAAGCTCGCGCAGTCGACGTCCGTGTTTGAAAAGCGCGTCGGGTACCTCGCCGTGTCCCTCTTCCTGCACCCCGAGCACGAACTCATGCTGCTCCTGATCAACACACTCCAGCGCGATCTCAAGAGCCCCAACTGGCTCGAGGTGAGCTCGGCCCTGACCGTGGTGACCAAGCTCATCAGCCGCGAAATGATCCCCGCCATCCAGTCGCTCGTCGAGGCGAAGCTCTCGGACGCCAAGGACACGGTCCGCAAGAAGGCCGTGATGGCCATGCATCGCTTCACAATCGTCGACCCGACACTCGCGCCGCACGTCATTGATCATCTCCGACGGGCCTTGTGCGACAAGCACCCTTCCGTCATGGGCGCCGCCCTCCATGCCTTCTGCGACATTGCCGCCTCCAACCCGATATCCATCAAGGACCTCATCCCGTCGTTTGTGTCCATTCTCAAGCAGACAATCGAGCATCGTCTCGGCCGCGAGTACGACTATCACAGCATGCCCGCGCCCTGGATTCAAATCCCCCTGCTTCAAATCCTCGCCAGTCTCGGCATTGACGACCAGCGCAACTCGGAGCACATGTACGAAATCCTGAGCGAGACCCTCCGCAGAGCCGAGGCCTGCTCCCATGCGGGCTATGCCGTCGTGTACGAGTGCATGCGCACCATCACCTCGATTTATCCCAACATGCCCCTGATTGAGCTCGCCGCCAAATCCGCCGGCCGTTTCCTCTCGGCTGGCAACAACAATCTGCGCTACTTGGGCATCACCGCGCTCGCCATGATTGTGCAAATTGCGCCCTCCTTTGCCACGCAGCACCAAATGGTGGTCATTGAATGTTTGGACGATCGCGACGAAACGTTGAAGCGCAAGGTGAGCTTGTCGATGACCGCATGCATGCTTGTATTCGATCTAAAATGCGTTGCTAATGTTCACTTTGGGGGGGGGGGTTTAACCTTGTCCAGACGCTGGATCTCCTCTACAAGATGACCAATCCCCACAACGTCACGGTCATTGTCGACAAGATGATTAGCTACTTGCGCTCCACCGTCGATGTGTTCCTCCAGACCGACCTGATTGCACGCATCACCCAGCTGACTGAGCGGTATGCTCCAGACAATTGCTGGTTTATCCAAACCATGAACTCGATCTTTGATCTTGGAGGCGACCTCGTTCAGCCCGAAGTTGCACACAATCTGATGCGCCTCGTTGCTGAAGGTATCATGATTTTGTACTTTGTTGCTAGGGTTTCTTTGGGTGGTTGGTGTGCACATTCTGACTGCTTGAAATTCAGGAACCGATGATGACGCTGCTGACAAGGAACTTCGTACTTATGCCGTCAATGCCTATGCTGCCTTGCTCGATCGTCAGCGTCTGCCCGACATTCTTGTTCACGTCACCAGCTGGGTATGCTTCATTTGAATGTTTCAAAGATTTGTGCGCAGGCTGGTCGACTTAACGTTTCTCCCGGGTGCCATTGGCAGGTTCTTGGCGAGTATGCTTACCAAGTAGATGGATTGGATCGATCATTGATCATTGAGCGACTCTGTGGCTGGCTGGTGCGCGAATTCAAAGGTGAGTAGTGGATTTGCCTAAACCGCATTCTTCATTGGATCTTCTCACTGTCTGGCAATCTTCTGCGTTCACTTTCACACAGAAACAAGCACGCGAGGCTGGATTATCACTGCCATCACAAAGCTTGTCGCTCAAACAGGGCCGCCGAGTGAGCACGTGCGGCAACAAGTGGAGCATTTCCTTGCCTCCAATTCTACCGATGTGCAACAGCGTTGTCTCGAGTTCCTGGCGCTCTGTGACCAGCCTGCCCTCATGCAGGCGATGCTGCCTGTCGATTCGAGCTGTGACGATCTCGAGGTTGACGGCAGCCTCTCCTTCCTCGACAAGTTTGTTGCTGGAAAGCTGTCGCAGGGTGCCCAGCGGTACTTGCGGCCCTCGGAACGACCAGTTGAGGTTGACCCGTCTGCTGCGCTGGTCGATTTGACATCCGGCAAGAAGGCCTCTGGTTTGAACTTTGAGCCGTACGAGCGTGTTCAAGCCCCAAAGGCTGGAGCCCAGTCGAGTCCTGCGGTTGCCGCGTTGGCTGCGTTGGCCCACCACGGCTCTCAGCAGCCTCAGCTCACACAAGCCCAATCGGCCTTGTTTGCTGGTATGGGCGGTCCCGCTGCTGCAGCCGCGACCAACCAACCTGCTCTTCTGATTCCGGGCGCCGCAGCACCGGCTGTCGCGAGCTCTCAACCAGTCGCTCCGGCTGCGCCGGCGTTGAACAGCGAGCTTGCGAGCTCGCAGCGCAAGATGTGGTCCAAAACTGGCTACGCCAACAAGGAATCCCCAATGGCTCCGCCTGCCGCCGCTCCTTCTGCTTCGGCTGCTCCCCAACCCACTGCGGCCGCTCAATCGCATTCTCAACCATCTGCCGTCCAAGCCCCTACCCGGTAAGCTAGCTCGCGGAGTTGATTGTAACTGTGTATGTGTTTTCCGACCATTGTCTCATTGTCCGTGCTTGTTTGGGGGTTGTTTTTTTTTTTTTTGTTTGTTTTCCTTTTTACCCACGTATCGTAGTCACTATGAGCCACCGGCGCCTTCAGCTGAGGATTTGCGCAAGCAGCAACTCGCATCGGCGCTGTTTGGTGGCGTTGGCGCGTCTCCTGCTACAACGCGTGTGGTACCCAGCAAGACTGCCAGTGGTGTCTCTAGCCCTGCTGCTCAATCGACGCCGCCAATCTCGCGTCAGGCAAGCTCGATTGCAGGCGCCTCGACGCCGCGAAATGATTTGCTGCTCGTCGACTTTGACAACTTGGTTCTCGGCCAGCCTACTCAGCCGACGCAACAACCTACGCAACCGACTCAGTCTGCCATGTCATCGATGATGTCGGCTCCTGCCAAGGGTGTCACAAACGACATGCTTTCGTTCTCGTCGTCGTCGTCGTCATCCTCGTCCACTACTGGTGACAAGGCTGCGTCATCCTCTCACGGATTGGCCATGTTTGACGGCTTGGATTTCCAACAACCGACACAGCAAGCGGTGCCGCAACACACCACCGCACGCACCAGCCTTTCGTCGGGCGGCTTGTTCCCTGCAAAGTCCTCGTCCACTGCCGCTGTTTCCGGATCAGTCGGTCTCGGGCGTGACCTGCACGGAGACCTGTCCTTGCTTGGACCCTCGTTTGCCACGCCGGCGTCCGCACCTGCACCTGCATCACTTGGAGCGACCGTCCCCTCGAGCATGGGCGCAGCTGCCACAGCAAAGCCATTTGTGTCCAACACGCTTGGACAACGCTCCATGTCTCCGCTCACCACGCTGGGATTCGATGCTCCTCCGCCTCCTGCTGCTGCCAACTCGGCCTTCTCTTCCAGCCTGTTGGATTCGTTCGCTGCGCCGTCGACCTCGTCCAACTCTCTCGAGGCCAAGAGAGAGGTGTGTGCAGACCTCAATCTCAGCGTCGCGTACTACAAGGTCTGGAAGGATGACGAGCTGTCCGTTGTTTTGTACTTGTCCAACAAGTCCAGCAACAATCTCGCTGATGTGCAGACCAAGTTGGATTTCCCGTCCAACCTGCAGGTATGCATCCCTTTTGTTCTCCACACTGAACGGATTTTGCATGTTCACTTTTTCACTTTTGGGGTTGGAATAGGGTGCGATTGACAATGCTTCTACTTCGCTGAGTACGGATGCCGCCATTCGGCCTGGAGAAAATGTAATGGATGGGTTTTCTTTGTGTTCTGTGCAGTGTCGCTTGAAGTGGTGATTGAGAAAGCCGCATCTGACCCCCGTTATTTGCAATTTGCACAGGTTCGTCACAACGTGTCTCTCAGGTTTGCATCGCCAGCCCTCCAAATGGTGCTGGGTGGAACAGTTACGTATCGACTGCCCAACCTCGGTCCGCGATCGCTCACGTTTCAAATTGGCTTGCCCATGAGCGACTTTTTGCGGTATGTTGTGTCGTTTCGTCGTTTGTTAGCTGTGGGGTTTTGTTTTTCTGGTTGCAGCATGTTCATTTTGTTTCTCGTTCTTTTGTTCACACACAGGCCTCTGCGAATCACGACTGCGCAATTCGGGCAGCGTGTGCTGCAATGTGCCGTCCGCACGCAGCCCGAGTTGATGGAACGCTTCCGTACTCAACTGAACCTGCATTCGGTTGAGATTATCGGTGAGTGGAACGTTTTGTGGTCGTAAAACGAGGTGGTGGGAAAACTGTAATCTCTCATCCCGCAATTGATCTCTCATCCCGCAATTGCTGGTTTGTTTGCTTGCTTGCTTGCTTGCTTGCTTGCTTGCTTGCTTGCTTGTTTGCTTGCTTGCTTGCTTTGGATCAATCGTCGACAGGCGTGGAGGGCATTACAGCAGCTTCTGTCCTGCAAACGCAGTCTGTCTGCCTCGTGCACACCAAACTGGTCGAGCCGGGCACCATTGATGTTTATATTCGCTCGACCGACATGGCCTTGACAGACGCGGTGATGGCCCAATGCGCACCTGCTCTCAAATAGACGAGCAGTCGTTTTGAACAGGTTCTTGTCTTTGTTTTTTTTTTGTGAAGAAATGTATATTTTGTTTTTTGTTTTGTCGACAGGTGTCTTTGAACTGCTTAATTCTTTCCCGTCGAACCAAAGCCGCCTTCGCCACGTTGAGTGTCGTCCAATTGCTGCATGGGGGGGGGGGAATATGGAGATGTAGGCAAGGCAAGTGAGCACAGAACGAAAGCATGCTCTCTCTCTCCCCACGCACCAAAACGCCTTCGATAGCAGCATACCTCAACTTCAACCACGTCGGGCGTGGAGATGCGCTCCAGAATAAGCTGCGCAATGCGGTCGCCACGCTTAACTGAATAGCAGCCAGGCCATGAGCAAAGTGAGTGGCGCGGACAGGGCATTACGTTTCACACCCAATCAAAAAATCTTGCAAACCTACTCGTAAAGTCCTCCTTGCCAAAGTTGTACAAAATGACACCGACGTTGCCTCGATAGTCTGCGTCAATAACACCAGCGCCGACGTCGACGTGGTTCTTCCAAGCAATGCTCGAGCGGGGAGCTGTCAAAATCACCAATGATGGGTCGCCAGTTGGTGAATGTCGCGGAAAGAGACAAGCGCAAACAAAAAAAAGAAAAAAACATTGTATTCTCTTTATCGGTCTTATGCAACTCACCAACACGGCCGTAGTGGCCTTCGGGGACGGCGATCGCAATGTCGGTCTTGACGATGGCCTTGCCTTGGGCGGGAATAACCTCGTCGTAAGCACTGCCACCAAATCAGGCCCCAACCATAACAGTATGTTAGTCAAGAGTGGAGGTAAGTTAGCGTGTCAGTAAATGGAATCAAAGAGTCGCTTGGGCAGTCCGACAGTGCCAGTGCATTGCAGGGGAAAGCGCGCGAAATCAGAAAAAGGCGGGAAAACGGCACTTTTCGCGGGAAAAAAAAAAGTACAATACTGCCAACCTCCCGCGCTTCCATCCCTGAGTCGCCACTACCACTCGCACACGGGTAGAACACTCACCTGTACAGATCATAGCCAGCCGAGAGGGCAGTGCCGCGGGTTGGCAGCTTTGCGAATTCAGTGAGGCGCTTGACGGCAAGCGTGAGTGCACCAGTCGTGAGCGTCATGTTCAAACTGAGACAAAGGATGGAAAAAGGAGAGTGAGATGACAAATGGGGGGGGGGGATTTCATTCAGTGTGGTATTGACTGCACGGTGCTTGTTTCACACAAGCCCGATCTGAGGGATTTGGGACGAATCGCTCCATCTCAGTCTCATCAAGCTCTACAAGTTACCAATTCTGAAACTGCTGGAACTGCATTGTCATTTACATCAACCAGATGCCGTGATGGAAGCATTTTGTTCCGATGCACTCAGAATCATCAATCCAGAAAAAGAAAGGCGATCCCAGTCAGTCTTAGTTTTGTTCCCAAATGCTCCGACTGCAGCAGCAGGTGCCGAGGCTGACTCTGACGCACGCCACCGCGTCGCTCGCTGCCGGCTTCCATTCCACGGCCACCTGTAGCGCTGGATCTGAATCCGGCTCTGGCTCTGCATTTGCATCTGCAGCTGTGAGGGACGAGCCAAAGTCCAATGCCACTCCGCAGCATGTGCGCCAACCCGCTGCTCCGTCTGCTACCGTCCGCGCGGCGCAGACAACCTCGCCGTTGAGTGCCAATGAGCACAGTAGTCAACTCCGCGCAGATGAGCGGCAGCAGTCACAGACGAGGCAGGCCGCGGACAGCGCCTTGCGCACGCTCGTCGACCTCGCGTCAGCCACGCACAAGAAGCGCCGCGGAGCAGCAGCAGCAGCAGCAGCAGCAGCGCAAGCCAGGCAGAATAGTGCTAATGCTGGCCGCAGCCAGCAACTCACGGCGCTCGAGCGGTTCAAGCGCCGGTATGGCGACCAAGTGGACGAGGACGGATTTTTGCTGGAGCCGACCGAGGACGATCGCAAGCAATTTGACGCCATCGTGGAGGCACTGGGCAAAGTTGCTCAGCACAAGGCACTGTCGGAGAAGCACGCTGAGCAACTCGAGCGCCAGCAAATGATTGACCGCGTGGACAAAAACCCTGCGCGTGCGCAAAGCGCTCAGTTGCCGCTCGGCTCTGGCGATGACCAAGACCCGCGCATCCAAAAGTTGCTGAACAAGATGAGCCACAAACCTCAGCTGGTCGATTCTGAGCTGTTGCGACAATCTGCAGAGGCTGCAGGCCAAGCTCTGAACGTCGTGACCAAGTCAGCGCGCCCCGCGCACGTTGCCGCGATGGATGCCTTCCGGCCAACAGCAATCACCGAGGCAATTGCAACCTTGGCAGAGCAATTTAAACGACCGGCAAACCCGTCACAGCCGCGGCGGCCTGTCATCCCAGCTCCGATGCAAGAGCCATCCACCGTTCAGCCGCGGTCCAAAGAGACAACAACGCCCGAGCGTGACGCTGAGCCAACACCAGACTCCCCTGCGCAAGCACCCACAATCCCACGAGGTCGAGGACGGCGACGGAGAGGCGTGAAAGAATCGCAACCTGTTCACGAGCCGGACGATCTCACCAGCCCTGTAGATCCCAGAGTGCAACGATTGGTTGACCAGGAACTCTTCAAAATCTTTGGCCCAGGAAAGGATGGACAAAGTGCTGCTACTCCGCTGGATGAGAGCGACAGCCATCCTGATGAAGAAATGCAAATGATGGAATCCGCCGCTGAAGACGAGGTGCCTCGCCGAGGTCGGCTCACGCGCCAGAAACTGGCAAAGCTGGCTCGATTGGAGCGACTGCAAGAGCGCGAAGCGCAGCGGCAGGAACGCTTGGCGGCAGAATATGATGAAGCTGACAACGTGGACGCTGAAGAGCCCGAGATGGAGCACAACGGAGAGGCAGAAGAGCCAGACAACCCCTTTGATGCTGAGGAGCAACTGCAAGCAATGCACCAGCAGCTTGCCAAAGCCCGGCAGGTGAAAACGCGACAGATTCGAGCGCGCATTGCCGCTCTCCGCCGTCAAGGGCCCGACCAACCGAGCGAGGACACTCCCGCCGCAGCTCGCGAAGCGTATGCGGCTGCACTGGCCGCCGCCGTTCCGAAGGCAAGCATGGCGCCCGAGCTGGACGACACGACCAACGAGCCAATGCATGATGACGAGCTCGCGGAGGAACTGACAATGGCCGAACGCGACTTGCTCTCAGTGGAGCGCTCTGAGCAACTTCGTGAACGTCGCGCGAACGCCGACGACCCTACTTCGATGAGCTTTAAGCGACGGGTCGAGCAAGAGTACATGGATACCTTTGATCTGACTGGAGATTGGTCGCTGCCTGTCCGCGCTCAACGAGAAGTTCGTCGCGCAATTGTCGAGCGAGTAAGCACCCCACTGTGGTTTTTGATGTGAGCGGATGGGGGGGGGGAGAGAGAGCTTTTTTTTCAAAGAATTCTCACCTTCTCGCATGGTAGATTCGCAACGAAGAAAAGTCGGGCATGCAACTGCGACTCGGCAAGCTCCGACTCGCTGAAAGCGAAGAGGCGCTCTCCCTCCAGCGAGCCAAGGATCGCCGCAGCCAAATGATTGCCAACGCGTTGCTGAAGGCAACGCTTAAAATCATTGTTCACGACTCGCGCATTCCTGCAGCGCTCCGCCAAGCTGTTGAAAAGTCGCAGATGGAAATTCGCGGTGTAAAGCTCCTCCTGAACTCCATTGTTATCGTTGCTTGTGACTGCTCCATGTGTGATTTTTCGTTTCTCATCCCTTTTCCCCGTTTTTTTTTGTGTGTGTGCTGTGGCGTTGCTTGACCGACTCCTGCAGGTTCATGTTTCGCCGGATTACCGATTGGCCAAGTTGTACTGGCGTCCGACAAGCTTGAGCTCACCAGCTCAGGTTGATACCATCCGAGACCTGTTGACCGCAAACACCTCGCACCTGCGCTTTGCAGTTCAAGAAAAGCTCAATCTCAAGTACTCGCCGGAGCTGCGGTTTGTGCTGGACAGCGCCGAAGAGGACGTGGACCAGGTCAGTGCGATTCTTGATCGCGCTACTCGCGAAGACCATGACGCCAGCAGCAAGCCCAAGCTTGCTTCTGATCCCTCTCTAGCTATCGGTTCCTTCCGCCGTCTCTCCACTCCTCGGCAATCGTAGCATCATCAATCTGTTAAACTTTTTGAGGCCTTGGTCCACCGTTGAGTGGGTCTTCTGCATTGTAATTTTTGGATGTATTCCTGGCGATTCTATTGATGCAATCAATCAGCTTCTGCATGTTCCACCGTTCTCTCGTACTCTGACAATTCTGACATTCTAAGAGCGAGGTCATTCTTCGTTTCTCCAGCTTCTAGCAATGTTCGCACGCGCGACACGCTTTGCTGCATCGTCGTCTGCATCAATGACCTTGCGTTCGACCGTCATACTGCGCGATACGTTGGTGCGATCGAGCGAGGCGACCGGCCTGGGATTGCCTGGTCCATGCGCACCCGGCCATGATGGACGTAGCATGGTGACCGTCGCCCAGTCCCTCGCCCACCCGCCATCGCGACCGTCATCTTCATTCTGGTCATCATCATCATCATCATCGTCGATGTCGTCGTCGATCAAGGCTGTCAACGCGAGCATGGCGCCGATGAGCTTGAGCGTCGCTCGCCTTCATGCCAAGACAATGCACTCGTCGACATCCTCAGCCCCTCCGCCAAAGCCAGAGCCCACAACCAAGCATCCGGATTCAAGCAAGGTGCCGCCATTCATTGCCGTCTCTGGATCCGCGAGTGGAACGCCCAATGCCCAGCCAACTGCTTCTGCTCCTACTCCTCCTCCTCCTCCTCAAGCAACGAGTTCTGCAACGGAAACGTCGTCTCAACCATCATCTGCAAGGGCAGTCACACCGGAGCAGTACTGCATGGATCTAGTCAAGTACGCTGGAATTTTGGCATGGGTTGGTTTTGCAGTGAACAACACACTTACTTTGCTTGCTGCTGTTTCGACAGGAAAAATGATTACGAGCACTATCTGGAAACCTTGCTGCTTCCGAAGCGCGCACGAGATGTGTCTTTTGCTGTGCGCGCTTTGAACGTCGAGGTGGCGCGCGTGAGGTGAGCAATGTTGCCGCGAGTTTCCATGTTGGTGTTTTTGGCTGCTGTTATGGTTGCTCACCCTTCAGGCGCGTTCGTCACAGCGATGTTACCACTAGCAAGCACGCAGGACGTATTCGCCTCCAATTCTGGCTGGACGCCGTTGCCGCAGCTGCCAAGGTAACTGACTGCAAGTGATGTTTCAATCTCTTCAAAAAGCCCCCCAGCTCTCACTTTGGCGTTATTGTGCATTGGGGAATTGCAGCAACAGGGCACACCGCACCACCCTGTAGCTCAGGCACTTCAGAATGTATACAAGACGCAGAAACTCACTTCACGATGGGTGTCGCGGCTGATTGAAGAGCGGGTACGCATACAGCATTTTCGTGCTTGCAGGTGTTGCCACACCCTCACTCAACTGCGCACCTTTGCTTCTCAGACAAAACTTCTTGATGACAAACCTTTTGGCACGCTTCAAGACGTCGAAACCTATGGCGAGAATACGTATTCTGGGTTGCTTTATCTGTACGAATGGGGACAAAAATATATTCAGAGGTTGTTGTTGCTGCACGCTCACCATTGATCCGCGCTGCCTCTCTTTCGACTCTACAGAACTCTCGAAAGCATGGGCATCCAAAGCATCCAAGCCGATCATGCCGCCAGCCACGTTGGCAAGGCAGAAGCGATCGTCACGCTTCTTCGCGCTACTCCTGCAAATGCTTCCAACCGTCGTGTGTACTTGCCAATGGAGCTAACTGCCAAGGTACGAGCGAGCTCATGCATAGAAAACAATGATTTACAGCTTCACATGCTGACTACAAGCTTTTGTAAAATTCCCATAGCACGGAGTTGTGCAGGAGGATGTCGTGCGAGGAGTCAACACGAAGGCTCTCCAAGAAGTCGCGTATGAATTGGCCAGCAGCGCACACGTCCACTTGCAAACTGCCCAAGCCATGGCTGCAGATCTGCCCGCTGGAACTGCTAAAGTTTTGCTGCCCGCTGTAAAGCTACGACGAGAGTTTGTTTCGACATTCAAAGGTGTTTTTTGTGCGCTCATCTTGTTTCTTGGTATTTTTGTGGTTTCGCTAGGTCCCTTGTGCCGAGTTTCTGGAGCGGATTCAGCAAGCCGACTTTAATTTGTTCGAGCCTTCGCTGCAGCAACGCAATCCAATGCTCCCCTTCAGTTTATTCAAGCATTCGTGGCGCAAGACGTTCTGAAGCTGGCCGCTCGTGTTGCTGATTGATTCTGTTGACAATGTAAACAGATACAAGAAACGGAAATTGGGGAAAAAACAACAAGTTGAACATTTGATTTCAAGAAAAGTAACAAAAAGCGGGGAGAACAATGCTTGGAGCAACAAGGACGAGAAATTCAAACATGCAGAGATGACGAACAATCCCAACAAAGCGCTCTACAGCGGCAAAACGAGAGGTCAGCCAGAAAAGGCAGCAGCATGCAATGGCGATTAATTGGCTTCTTGCTGTGGTTGGTGGCGGGCAACGCCTGGCAATTTCTCGTCGCGCATGATTATACGAGTGTTGTATCCGCCGCAATCGCCACACCTCAAGCCAAAGACGTGGAATGGAGCGACAGATTTCGTGTTGCAGTCGTTGCACAAAATCGGGTCCTGCATCATGAAAACAAAAAATCCCTAGTCAGATTGCTCGCATCACCAGGACAAGAACAAATAAAAATGGCCACAGCAACCTACCCTTCGATCACGGTACTCTTCGGGCATGGGTGTGTTTGCAATCTCCATATCGATCATTTGCCAATGCGCCTTCATGTCAACCACACACTTGCTGCACATCGGGCATGTATACCTGTTCAGCAGCGACACGCGAGGTCAGTAACCCAAAGGACACAAAATCAACCACCGAACGAACGAATGCAAGAAAAATCATCTGTTGGGTGGATTCCTACTTTGATTGTTTTAGCATGCGACGAAGGCACTTGAAGTGCATGGGATGTCCGCAACTGAGCATTTGCACTGCTTCTCGCGAAGTAAACAAAAACTGTTCCACCAAAAGACAAACGAAAGGAATCAGCACAAGGTCGGCGTGGGAGTCAAACGAGAACAAGCAGCAGTCAGCAACAACAGCTGCAAATCGCACATACCTCGAGACAGACGGGGCAGTTTTGGTGAAGGGACTTTTCGGTGCAGCGGTGCTTGTCGCGGAGTTCGACGTTGAAGCAAGAATCGCACGTCTTGCAGTGAAAGTAGTTTTCCGCACCACCAATGCGACAGATGCCGCAGCCAGTGCAGTGGAACTGCTTCTTTTGCACTTCGTCGTCGTAAAAGCGGCAGATTTCGCAAAAGTACGCACCCATGGTGACGTTGCAGCGGCCGCACGTTTGCGTTGGGCTCTGCTCAAAGTTGCACTCGGTGCATTGCACCTTCGGCACAGCGTGGCGGTCGAGCTCGTGGTTTTTCACCTCGTTGTGGCAGAGGCGGCACGGAAAGTACTCGTTGCAGCACGGCGCAAAGAGCTTGCAGCGACGCTTGTAGTGTTTGCAGCCATATTCGACCACTGCAGGCTCTGCAGCTTCGTCGTCCGAATCGGAGAAGGCCGCCTCTGCCGGCGCCTCCTCGTCCTCTGCTGGTCCAAAATCCTCATCATCCGGTATGTCTTCGTAGTCTTCGTCGTTGTCGTCGGCCTGCTGCTGCTGCTGCTGCTGCTGCTGCTGCTGTTGCTGTTGTTCGTCGACTGGCAGGTTTTCGTTCGCATTGTCCAAATCCATTCCAGTATCGTTGTGATCAGCGGCACCAACAGCACCGCCAAGTCCGCCGGCGGATTGCTGCTGTTGCTGGGTCGTTGCCAAGCTGTCATCGGTCGTGTCCATGTTGTCCGTTCCCGGGTCTTGGTTTGTCGGTGCCTAAGAAAACAAACATGACAAAAACCCGAACAAACGTCAGACATCTCAGGTTTTGAAACCACAACTGTCGTACGGATTCCTCGTCCATCGTTTTGCAAAGGCAGTGACAATTTTCGCTCAAAAAATTGTGCTCAGATTTGAAACGCAAAACGGAGGAAAAGACAAAAACAAAAAAAAAGCAAAAAAAAAAAAAATGAAAACCTCAGCTTTTTTTTTTTTTTTTTTTTCCCAATGACATAACACGTTCGTTTTTCAATGACTTTGCATTATATCAAAACGCGGTTTTCTTTGAGCATTTCGTTGGGTTTTCGCTGTTGCTGAGGACTCGAAGTGCGGCTTTTGAATGCCGCAGAATGAAGCTTTGACGAGAACCCCTTCCCTTGGTTGGAGTGGGCTTTTCAGTGCGAACGAACGGCAGACGAGCGAGCTACAGCCAAGCAAGTCTCGCTTGCCGCCTGCGCTGGGTCCCCCCCCCCGACATACGCAGCCGTCCACCAAGCCAGGCCACTGCGCAAAACCAACCAGCATCTTTGTTTCTAATGTCGTGGATTGCGCAGGCCGTGACGGCGGAGGCCAAGCAAAGAGGTACTCCCATGCTCATCCAGCCATACGAAAACGTCCGTGTCCTGTCTCTCCTGTCGCCCCGCCGTCTCCGCAACTTCCAGCCTCGCACTCACCCCCCCCCAATCACTTGCCATTGTCCACCTTCGACCAAATGCGCCAAAAAGCCCGCGCGAGACCGACACGCACGCTTCCAATGCAGGCCAAGAAACGGGCTTTGGCTTTTTTTTTTTTGTTTTTGCTGGTTTTTTTTTTTTTTTTGGTATTACCTGAGCAGGCGCTGCGACGTCACCACGACCCAGCAGAGCGTTGATGAAATTCCGAGGCATGCTGAGAAGGCGATTTTGTTGTGTGTTCCTAGCCGGAAACAAAGCTCACAAACGAAACCCGAACGACCGAAAAAAGGAAGAGAAACCGGGAAGAAAATGCTGGTCAAAAAAAAAAAAAAAAGTTTGAAAAAAAAAAAAGCTTCGCAAAACGATGCTTTTTTTCAATGGAAACTTCAATAAAATAAAATACAATGTAAGAGTGCTGTTCTGAGTTTCTAGAAAAAGAAAGAGTTGATGAATGCATTCTCAATGGTAATGAATAACAAGTAAGGCGATTCTCCAATCGCAGTCTAACAAAACAGCAAAAACTAAACCATGCCAAAGAACAAGGGTAACAGACCAAAAGCCCTTTGTCGTTGTTCTTGTGTTTGCTTGAGTGTGTGATGGATGAGAGAGTGTGTGCGTGTGAGTCAGTGAGTGTATGAGTGTGGGTGGGTGGCATTCGGGTTTGTGCTGGTGCTCGCCTTTGAGTTTTGCATTGGGAAACACATGGAGATGGATTTTTCATTTTTCTGCTTTTTTTTTTCCCTTCTGTCCGCTCTCTTTCTCTCTTTCTCACACTCACGCTGCCTCTCGCCTTTGTCGTTTTTGCTGAATGCTGCTTCTGCTTTGTGCTTGGCTCGCTCCGGGGGGGGGGAAGTCCTGTCGCGTTGTGGCTGGTCCTCTTTCCTTTGATTCTTGTCTTTTCTTTTCTCTTTCTTTTCTCTCTCCTCTGCTGCTGCGTTGTTGGCTTTGAAACTGGTGTCTCACGCTGTTTGTGACTGTTTGTTTGGTTTTTGCGTTGTTCCTGCTGCATCGCAGGCAAGGGTGGCAAGAACAGGAGGCGAGGAAAGAACGAAAACGAGGGCGAGAAGCGCGAGCTCGTTTTCAAGGAAGACGGCCAAGGTACAGTCAAGCGTCTCTCGGTCTTCTCCGTCGTTCTTCTCCCTCTGGTGCAAAGGAGGGGGCGAAGAGGGTCATCCATCGCGGGTGCCAAGTCTGATCCACCCGCGCTTTGAGACGAGCTGTGCAAAATCGCCAGCCACAGCCGCGCTTTTCGTCGTCCTTCATCATCATGGCACAGCCATGCATGCGTGCACTGTCTTACAGAGCGTTGGCACTATCAAAACGCCGCCTGATGCTGTTCGGAGAGCTGTTCGGAGAGCGCGCGATCGGTCATCCATTCAGCAACGACGACGTTGCAGCGATGTCGCAATACAGTTCCCGCCACATTTTTTTCCTCCCCTTTCGTCTACATCAAACCATATTTTTGGCTTCACTTGGCACTCACGATATCATCCACCTTGATACATTGCAGAATACGCTCAAGTCGTCAAGATGCTCGGCAACGGTCGTCTTGAAGCTGTCTGCTTTGATGGCCAACGCCGTCTCTGCCACATCCGCGGCAAGATGCGCAAGAAGGTAAGCCGGTCCCATCCTGCATTTGTGGATGATCTTTTGGTGCGTTTGCTGATGTTGGATCCTTTCTTTTGTCTGCTTCAATCGACAGGTCTGGATCGCCCAAGGCGATATCATTCTGATTGGCCTCCGCGACTACCAAGACGACAAGGGTGATGTCATTCTCAAGTACACTGCCGACGAGGCCCGAAACCTCAAGTTGTACGGCGAGCTTCCCGACCATGGTGAGAACGAATTTCCTTCCCTTCCAGTTTTTTTTTTTTTCTGCCTGCTCGGTCTTCGTATCTCTATGTTGCTTGTTCTCATTCCATTTCCGTTGTATACCTGCTCCATCCTTTGATGCTCTCTACTTTTTTTTCTGGTATCCGCCTCACAGCCAAGATCAACGAAACCGACAACTTTGGCGAGGGCGACCACGACGACGACATCCAGTTCGATTTTACCAACGACGCTTCTGGCAAGGCTGGCTCTGCATCAGAGTCCTCGTCTGAGGAAGAGTCTGATTCGGACGACGATTAAAAGACCCAAACCCCACAAAAAAGCGCGTTCTGAACTTTTGTGTTTTTGAGTTTTTTGTAGTAGCGTTTGATTTCTCCATTACAGCCCCTTTTTTTTTTCCCTTTCTATTCGTTTTCGTTCGAGGCCGAGCCTGGTTGCCACTAGCATGGCGCTCAGCTGCAGTAGTGATTCCGGTTGATCAGAACATTTCCTGTAATCAAAACTTTACTTTGGTTCTCTGCAGATGAAATCGAAGCGCTGGGCACAATCTGTCCTTTCAACCAAGAAATCCGATGGTGCTGGACGACTGCTCTAGCCCGACTTGGACTGCACACACATTTTGCACTGCTTTTGACAATTTCCTGAAGAAAAAAACATGCACTCCAAGCGCTGCTCAAGGCAGTAGCGTAGATCTAGTCAGCTCGTTGGTTGCGAAAACAAAAAGTTGTTTTGCCTTCAACTTTTGTTTAATGTTTTTCTCCATGATATACAGCATGGCTGACAACAATAACCGAGATTCAAAGGCCTACCAAAAGGCCTATTACGAGCGCAACTAAGAGCGGATCAAAGCAAGCTGACGATGCACACTTGCGCGGATTTTCAATGGCTGGTCAACAACTCTTTTCAGCTTTTTTCAGCGCAAACGCATGCTCATTCATCAAGTCGTCCGTCGCAATCCCCAACAGCCACAAAAGACTTGTTCATCTCGCTTTCCCCCCCCCCCCGCATCTCTTGTCTTCAAAAGCGTATCTTCCTCTCAACCGCAAAACTGTTTTCGCACGAGCGTCCTTTTTCTAAATTCAATTCGCTTCGCTTTTCTGCCGCAAATTGTTTGTACCCCTTTCTCCTCCTCCATTCGCCGCCGCACACCCACGCTCGCCTCCAATCACAGCGTCACCCCCCCCCTCCCCCTTTTACTCAGCACAACCAAAACCTCGCAACCCGCAACCGCAAATCCAAACCCAACAAAATTTAAACGAAAAAAACGTGTAGGTTTTGAAATCAACTGCAAAAGGCAAAAATCAAAAATCAATCCTTTTTTTTTTTTTTTTTTTTTTTGTATTTGATTTTTGCATTGATTTTTGGATTTGATTTGATTTTTTTTTTTTTTTTCCTTATCTTATTTTCACACGAACAAACACCAACACCAACAATAACAACGTCAGTCATCACAAACGAACGACCGAATGGCGCTTGACAAGAGCCGCAGCACGTCGACGCAGTCACTCGCGGCTGCCGGGATGACGAGCGCGATTGCCGGCATTGGCGTGAGCATTGGGCTGCAGCAGGCCAATCCCAACAGTCAAGACAGCGGCAGCAACACCAGCCTCAACAGCGCGGCGCGGCAGCAGCAGCAGCAGCAGCAGCAGTCACTGGAGCGACGACCAGCACGGGTGGTCCTTCCTCAGCCACTACTGTTGCGCCGTTGGCTGCGAACGGACTGAGCGCCAGCAATGGCTCGCTTGCAAGCCCCAGTTTGTCGTCGTTGTCCTCCTCCTCGTCGTCGTCGACGTCTGCCGCTCCGAGCAGCCACGCGCGCGGGCAGTTCTTCAGCGTGCTGGACGCGGGTGCACCAGACCGGTCTGGTCCGTTGTTCAAGTCGTCGTCGCTGTCGGGGATTGGACCCGGCGCTGCATCCAACTTGGCTGCGTCGTCTTCGCTCGCCGCGTCGCTGTCGTCGCTCGTGTCCATCAGCTCGTCAGCCAGCTCGTCCACCTTCCTGTCGTCGACGAGCGGTGTGTCGTCTGCTTCCTCGTCGTCCGCGGTGCAGCACTACCACCACCAGCACAGCAGCAAGCCAGACGCCACGTTTAACATGCCGCTGTCATCCCCGCACACAACCACAGGCGTGTTGTTGCCACCCGCTCCGGCGCCAGTCAAGTCGCTCGACCACAATGTGGAGAACACGCGGATGGTGTCGAATGTCTATGCCGAGGAGCTCCGCCGCGCCGGAATTGCCATCGAAGAGCTGCTCAACATGGACCAGCCGGGTGGCATTGCCATGAACGTCCTGCCCACACAAGAGGCCTTTATGCGCAACGCGGCTCTGCGTGCATCCGTCAAGTCCACCTCCAGCAATGGAAGCAATGGCAGCGGTGATAGCAACGCGACAACGGCGACCGCGTCCTCGTTCCGTCCGCGCTTGGAGAGCAACAGCAGTAACATGTCGTACGCAATTGCCATCAATGCCAACAACAGCAGCAGCAGCAGCAGCAGCAATACCAACAACAACGGCACGAATGCCAGCAATCCCAAGCGACTGGGGAGAAGCACCAGCTCCAACATTACCAACAATGGTGACTCTCATGCTCCCAGCGTTTCATTCGCCGGCTTGAAACGCTCCACATCCCTCGACTCGACCAACGAGAGCCCCACCCACTCTTACAATGGCAATCACAACCACATCCGAGCCTCCATCCTAGAAAGCCTCGCCAACGACGTGCACATTAACGAGGACTTTGAATCGGCGTTTGACGAGGACAATTCCGTGCACGACCCAAAGCTCACCCAGCTCTACTTTGACACCTTTTCCTACCCTTATGCATATCTCTCCCCGGAGGATCGGCGCAAGACGTCCTTCTTTAGCAGCATTGATGATGTCGCCAACATGCTTGACGACGAGGATGCCGTGCCAGTGCTCGATTCCCATAACAACCACACCCCCATTCGTGCCACGGTGGCGGTCGGCAGTGCTGCTCGCTCTAGCTCCATGTCTCTGCCACGGCCGTCGAGCGAAGCCATTGACGCCTTGCTCGCCGCAGTCCACGCGATTCGCGTCAACCAGATTGAGACACTTGAGCGGTTGCTGGACAGTCGCCTGGTCAACGTGAATGCGACATATCGGCGACGAGTAGCGCGAAACAGCTCCATTAGTGTGCAGATGGGTGATGAAGAGTCGCGCTCGGAGGCTGCCAAGCAAGCCGCTGCTGCTGCAATCGCCGAAGCCGAGCGCCGTCGCAAACGAGGCACCACCCTCCTCAACCCCACTTCGATGCCCGCTTCGCCGCTCGAGGCCAATCCAGAACCCGTCAAGGCGCGGAGCAGCACAGTGATTCCGTTCGGCGCTCAGCCGACCATCTTCACCACCTCCACCGGCGGCTCTACGCCCGATTCTGGCTCGCCTGCACGAACCCCGCGCACCAGCGCCGTGCTGATGGGAGCCCCAGCCGGGCTAAACGCATCTCGGACGTCGCTCAACTCCATTGGCAGTACCATTTCGGCCGAATCAACGAGCACGCTGGAGGGTGCACGTAGCAATCGGCACTCGTTCCACGACAGCCAGGCCGTCCTCTCTCACTCGAATGCAGCTGCAGAGCTGGGCGCGACACCTCGTGGTGGTAGCAAGACCAGTGTCGTCCGAGGCCACAAGCGCAACAAATCCACGTCATCCATCATCTCCACGCCGGCTGGAATGGGATCGAGTTCGCTCACCTCGTCCAGATCGCCGTCGCGCCAAGCCTCGCCAGCTCCCGAGCAGCAACAGCAACAGCAGCAGCACCAACACGTATTCCAGCAGCGATCACTAGCAGAGCAAACAGCCGCGGCGGCTGCAGCATCAGTCATGGCCCCAGCAGCAGGTGTGTCCGAAACAGCCCACGTCACTGTCGAATCGTCCCTGCTTCACATTGCGATTGCGTGCGGCGTGCTGGACATTGCTGCTGCGTTGATTGCTCGTGGCGCCCTGGTTGATACGCAGGATAGTCAAGGATGGGCGCCCCTCCACTACGCTGCACATCGTGGCAACATGCTCGCGGTTCGGTTGCTGCTCAAGCACGGCGCGCTCGTTTCACTGGTTGACTTTGATGGACGAACGCCGTTGCACATTGCTGCCATTTCTTTGGACCGACTCGAGTGTTGCATTGCTCTCGTCGAATATGGCGCACAAATCCATGCCGCTGATAGCTGGGCTGCTCGCCCAATCGACGTCTTTAACGAGCTTTCCGAGTTGCAAATGCGTTTGATTCAATCCGCAGCCACCGCCATGGTGTCGACCGAAGCGCCTGTCGCCGCACAGGGTCTCCGAGCTTTGCGCACGTTGAGCATCAATCCCGAAACACATCGGCCAATGCTGAGTCGCTTTTTGCTCGATTTCCGCGTGCTGATGCAGCACGCCTCGCAGCCAGAACTCGCCTTGGACGTGGCCGTCATTGCCTATCGCCTGTTTTCGGTGGAAGACAACCGCGGCGAACTGGTCGACATGGGCTTTTTGCGCATTGTCCAGGGCCTGGTTGGCGGTCCGGTCAAAGTGCGAACGCTAGCGATCGCCATTCTTCGTATGCTGCTGCAGAGCGGCGACTTGGAACGGGATTACCCGTCCATGATTTCGCACACAGACTGTGTCCCCCTGTGTCAAATCTTGCTGGATGCGGACACCTCGGTGCAACAACTCGATGCGATCAAGGCCTGCGAGAACCCTGGCTCTTCTGCAGTCCCACGCACAAAATCCTTCTCTCGCGAGTCTGTTGTTGTCCTGCTGGCCGACATCCCGGATGACACCACCAAGTACAGCATGAATGCTCGCCTCGATGCAGCTCGCCTGCTGTTGGCCATCACCCTGTACGATCGAGCGCAAATGCGCTTCGCCGAGTCTGGCATCGCCACGCAGCTGGTGCGTGCCATCGGCCGCGACATTGCCAGCATCGAAGCGCTTGCTCAGTACTACAACACCCGGCAACAACAGCAAAAGCAAACCCAGGAAACGCCCACCAAGACCCGCTCGTCGTCGCTCCTTCTCGGTTCGCCTTCATCCAAGCCCAACGCCACGCCACCCACCCCGCCTGCGGTCGTCATGATTGAACAATTGAGCCGTGTTTGTGCCATGACCATGCGCGCTTTCGCCAACGTCACTGAAAACATGCTGGCGCAGTCGACCATGGGCGCAAACTCGACCCAAGTCATCCTTGGCCCGACGAGCCCGCATTCTGGTGTCACCAACTTGATCAACCTCCAGCGCGAGTTTCTGGTGCACTTGTCTTCAGCACGCGGCAGGGTTGCCACCGGAGGCAGCAGTACCCAGACAACGACGCGCACCAGCCTGCCTGCTTCGACGTGCATGCTATTGGACTGGTGCCGGATGGAGACGACGCGCTCTCTTGTGCATCTTGGCTATCTTGACGTGGGCGACAACTACATGTACGGCCCTTCGTACGTGAGTGACGAGCTGGAAGTGCTCATGTCTTCAACCACCTCGGTGGGCACCATCACGCAGAAGGAGGCAGCGGCGGTTGCTGCTGCGCTCGCCCTGGCAGCTGCGTCCGGCTCTGCGCCGCCTCCAGTCTTGTCGACTCCTGCCAGTGACAACATTCCTCAGCTCCGAGGAGCGTCTATGCGCAAGCTGATTGAAATTTTGACGGGTGACGTGGACGACCAGGCTGCGCTCATGGCTACCTTCACTTCGCACACGGCTCCCATCCCTCCAGGAGAGGCCTTCTTGGACTTTTTCCTCTCCACCTATCGCAACTTTGTGCATCCAATCGTCCTTCTTCGTCTCCTCATTCATCGGTTCCGCGATCCCGACCAGTGCCACGGGATGGTATTCCACGTCGGCCCAGACCACCACCCGCTGCAGTTTAGCGACCGTGATGCCGATCTCGCGCCTGTACCCGACGTTCACAACCGTGTGGGACATGTCCTCTGCACATGGCTGTCCAACTACCGTCAAGACTTTGTCATGTGTCCGCAACTCTTGGACGGTGTTCGCGGTATGATCATCCCTCTGCTGAGTGCAGGACCAATGTACAAGCCACTGGCCAGTCAACTTCAGTGCCAGTTGGAAGATGAGGTGAGGCGAGAATGATCAAGATGAGTGGTTGATCTCGTAATTGTTTTGTATGGATAGAGGAGTTTCTCTCACAATGCTCTTTTGTTTGCCTTGCTGTTTTATGCTCGGAACAATGATTTGCTGTTGCAGCCTATGCTTGGCACGCGATCAAAGACGATCAGCAGCGGAGCACGCCCGATGTTCTGCAATCACAACTTCCTATACGTTCAAGTATGGTCTGCTTGTCTTTTTTTTTTTGTTTGTTTGTTTTTTGTTTGTTTTTTTGCTGTTGCAGTTGTTTGTTGTTTCGGGTGTTTTTTGGGACTGCTTCCTGACCTTGCTCTATTTCACCTTGCTCTTACAGTCCCGAGAAGCCATTCTGAACGAAACGTTGCCTTGTGGTGAAGAAGACTGCTCTGTCCTTTCTGCCCTTCACATGCACATTGAATCGCTGCACCGCCGACCTTCCGTTGTTGGTCGTGTCATTGAGAAGCCTTCCGCCGATAGTATGTGCTCGCCAGACTTGGTCAAGGAATGCGTTCCGCCATGCTTCCAAAAGTCCAAGACGCTCGGCAAAAAGATTCGCACGCAGTTGGATCGCTTCTCGGAACTGTCCGATCGCGATGCCAAGCACTTTTACGTCCAAAGCTGTCAACTTCTTGCGTCTTATCGCTGCAAGCTGTTCTTGGTGAAGGTAACACAACGAGAAGGGATTTTCCTCTCCCATGCTTCTTTTGCTGCAGTTGTTATTCTCACCTTCTTTTTTTCTTTCTTTTTTTTTTGTCGACCGCTTCTTCGTCGTGCTCCATTTTAGGATGCTTCTGGTGGCAAGCTCTCGCGCAGTCAGCCGCGCATTTTTGGTGTCAACATTGACCACATTGTGCTCATGGACGTCAAAACCAAAGACATGATCCAGCGCATTGAATTGCAACATCTCACCAGCTGGGAAGGCACCGCTGGTGGCGACTCGGTCGTGGTCGAGCATCACGACGGCACGCTTCGGCTGCAAACAAGCTCGGCGAACGAAACGTGGGATTTGTGCGCTCATATTCGCAAGTGCGTCGATCAGCGTCAGCTGCAAGCCAAGCATGGCGCCCCTCCAACAGAGCTGCTGCTCGCCAAGTGCTCCTGCCCGCCCGAACCCAAACTTGGCGACCGCTTCCGTCTCGACATGTTCACGGCCAGCGACTTGCTTGGCGTTCCGCTCGAGCTAGCCCGCCAGCTGACCCTGATCGAGCACTCGTTGTTTGCAACCATCACGTCAGCGGACACACTGCGCCGATTCAACTCAAGGCGAGCGGCGATGGCAGTGGCGCAACGCGTGACGGATGCGACTCGCTCTGTGGAGCGATTTATCGAACGCTTCAATCAGGTCAGTTGTTGCTTCCAACAGTTGTTGATTGCGTCAAGCTCGCAGCAACATCTTTGTTTTTAACCTTGGATTGTTGCTGGATTGTCCTTGATTTTGCTGCAGGTGACGATGTGGGTGACATCGGAAGTTCTCAACGCTGGCGAAACGGTCGAGCAACGGGTCACCGTCATTGTTCAGCTCATCAAGACCGCTCAGAATTGCCGCGAGCTGAATAACTTTAGCGGTGTGATGGAAATTGTTGCCGGTCTGAGTGCCTCTCCCGTGCGGCGTCTGCGCAAGACCTGGAAGGTATGTTTCCGTTCCTTTTCTGCGGGGGGAAACGATGCGTTTCAATGTTTCTTTTCGTGTGCAAGCTCGCATTGTCTACTTCTTTTGCTGGTTTTGCTATTCTCATCAATTGCTTGCTTGCTTGTTCTAGGCCGTTCCGCAAAACGCCATGAACATTTTCCGCGAGCTGGAAGACTTGATGTCAACCAAGTCCAACTACAAGACGTATCGTGCTGTGATTAAAGAAGCCTCCACTCCGGCGGTGCCGTACTTTGGTATGAGGCGATTTTCTTGTTCAGGTTTTCACAAGCAATCAAAAAATAGGAGAAACACTCTTTTTTTTTTTGTTTGTTTGTTTGTTTGTTTGTTTGTTTTTGACATCCCCTGAATGCTCTCTATTCCACAGGTATCTATCTCAAGGATTTGACTTTTATCGACGACGGCAACCCAGACCTGCTGCGCGGTGGCCTGATCAACGTTGCCAAACGGCGTCAGGTGTACAGCATTCTCAAGGAGATTGAGTTCTTCCAGGAACAGCCGTACAACTTGCAAGACGTGCCTGACATTCGTCAGTTCCTCGGCAAAGTCCGAAGCATGACCGAAGATGAGATGCACGCTCTTTCCCGGAAACTGGAACCGTCCGCCGCGCCAACCAGTGCGGCCGGCACTGTCAGTGGTGCACTCGCTGAAGCGCTGGGTTCTGCTGCTATTGCCGGTGTGGCTTCTGTCGCTCCACCCACCTCTTTGCCCTCGAACTGAAGCGACAAGCTGCTTGCGTGAATGAGGGTCGTTGTTGCTATATTTGTTTGTCATTTTGTGTGTCATATTTGTGTTTCACTTCATTGTTATCATTTGACTTTTTTTTTTCGAAAGCATCACTGAGCCACAATTTGTTTGAACATTTATAGCTTGGCTTTCAGCTGCTTGAACGCCTCGATGCCGTCTGGGTAGTTCATCCCGCCACTAAGGTAACATCCGGAATCAAATTAGATTTCAAATACACCCAAACTCTCGCCCAATAACCAAGCAAAACTTACATGGTCATCCACGCAGCTCCATCGACAACGAGAATCGCGCCAGTTACATAGCTGGCGGCCTCACTGGCAAGAAACAGCACCGCGTTCGCGACTTCGCGCACAGTGCCCATCCGCCCGAGCGGAATGGTTCGCTGCAGCGTCTCGTTGTACCCTGGGGGTGCCAGCTTGCTCATGCCTTCAGTGTTCTCAATCGGTCCTGGCGCGATGGCATTCACTCGGATGCCATCCTGGCCCCATTCGACTGCATGGTGGCGCGTCATGGCGTCAATGCCCGACTTGGCTGCGCCTGCATGTGCCTGCAGCTGCATTCCCGTGTAGTGATTCGTCATGGTAATGTTGATAATGTTGCCTTTCGACTTGACGAGGTACTACAGCATGTCAGCAATGTTTTCAAGTTCGAGATGGAAAGTGAGCACGCCTGGAATCAATCGCGATTGAAGCACCATCGGGAGAAATTCGAAACAGAGCCAAAACGCACCGGATATGCCGCTCTTGAGGTGTAAAACGTTCCGAGGAGGTCGATCTCAATGACGGTCTGGAAACAAACAAGAAAACAAAAAAATAGCAAAAATCAAAATCAAAAGGTTCTGTGAGCATCGAGCATCTTGCTGGAGAGCTTCGTTGGTGACGTTTTACTCACCTTGAACGCATTGTAGGACATCTTTGCAGACAACGCCAAAAAGTTTCCAGCTGCACCATTGACCAGAATGTCCAATTTGCCGAAACGCGCAACGCAATCTGCCAACGCCTTTTCGATCTGCCGAACGAATTTTAGTTGGACCGTGAGTTATGGATGCAATGTCAGCAGCAATGTCAAATCCCCCCCCCCAAAAACAGCTCGTCAGCCCAACAAGAGCGGGATGGGCCAATTTCCGCCTTTGGTCCGCCTCCGATCCAATTCATCCTCAGACTCTGGTCTCTCGCTCTCTCTCGCTCTCCAAACCTGAAACCTCTGAATTGCGTGTGCATGTCTTGATACACGTCCTCACCTGCTCTGGGACGCGCACGTCGGCCGCCAGCGCAACGCAGACACCCGACGCGCCCGCTGCCGCCGCCTTCGCAGTGAGCTCGCGCGCGCTCTGCTCCAGCACAGCCATTTTGCGCGAGACGATCGCAACGCCAGCGCAGCCGTGCTCGAGCAGGGTCTGCGCAATGTCCTTGCAAATGCCCGTGCCGCCGCCAGTGACAAAGGCAATCTTGCCGCGAAGGGCGTCGCGCGTGAAGACGTTCGCCGTCGAAGTTGCAGCCATTCGATTTTGATTGAGAACTGGACTGAGTTGACAGATGGAGGGTTGGTTTGACGAAAGCTCGATTTTTTGTTCAGGGAATGAAGGCATTATTGAGAATTTGGGCAACATCGATCAAACCAAAAAGTCGAGATAATTCGTGATGACGGTGGGTTTGCATCATCAACAGAAGAGCCCACCGACGGAACTCGCAAGTCTTCGACATTAGGAGCCATAGCTCAGCGGTAGAGCAGCTGACTGCAGATCAGCGGGTCACGAATTCGATTTTCGTTGGCTCCTCATTCTTGCGTTTCTTTTTTTTCCTTGAGTTTTTTTTTTTTTTTTTTTTTTTTGCTCCCAATGGAACTCTGCTCCCGAGTGGTTTTTTGGGGGTTTCCTTGATCTTGATCTCAGCGTGGTTTCTCGTGTTGTATTGTGCAGTTTCTCTCCTTCCTGTGAACAGCGACACGATGCTTTCATGGAACAGTCTTCGTTCCGCTGAATTTGTTTTCATCATGCAGCACTCCCAACAGCACCCGCTTCACCAACAGAACTTTCAGGCCCTCGCAAGCGCTTTCATGGAGCAGCTGCAGCAGCAACATCATCCCCTCGCTCATCCACTCGCTGTTGGGTATGCGCCGCCAGCACACTCAATCATCCCTTCGGCGCCGCTGCACCCTCCAGTTCCGGTGCTGGTCCACTCAGCCATCGCCAACAGCGACATTATGCGCGAATTGAGCGTTTTGTTGCCCTCGTATGTCATCCGCAGTAAGTGCAGCCCGTCATTCAGATCAACTGCGCTCAGGCGTTCATTCGTTGCTTGCAACCGCGTTCATTCGGTCTAATCTGACTCTGGTCTTCGCTTTGACTCCCATCGACTGAACTCTGTGTTTGTTGATGTTCTTACTCTGCTCAGCGAGTACCGCATTGGCTCCAAACGTCGTCGTCTTTCCGCTCTCCGGAGCCGCGTTCTTGCTCATGAGCAACCCTTCCATGCCGTTGAATGCGGCTTCGTAAGCTCCTGTTGCCTTGATATCGGTCGATCTGTTGACACATTGATCATACACAATCTGTGTCCTTGGCATTGTTGGCTCATACCAGCGTCGTTGAGTTTGCTGACAAGTTCAAGTCGCCCTACATTCTCGTCTCTGTGGCACATCATGACAAGAGCTGTTTAGGACGCATCGAGGACGTCCAGGCCATGTGAGTGCGCAATTCCATGTGTGTCGAAACGGTGATTGATTTTTGGGCTGTCTGCGCTGCGGAACTCTTTCGTCGTCAGATTGGGCATGAGAGGCGCATCCGTGGTTCCTGTGCGAACCCCGGCAGCCATTGCAAAGTTCATGCACACCACCGCTACAATGCTCAAGCAGCCAGCATGCGGTGTTGTTGCCCAACGGTTCCAAGAGTACCGAGCGTTGCAATTCGCGCAGGTTGCACAAATCGCCTGGGATGTGCTCAAGACCATTGGTTTGTCGCATCATGATATCGGTTTTGTTTGTTCGTAGTTTGGTCGTTGCCTGTGATTGCGGTTTTGCGAGTTCTATTCAAGAGCGCTGTCCTTCCTTGACATTGGATGCTGTTGTTGTGTCTCTTGGTGTGCTTGGCGGCGGGGGTTGTTTTTGTGTGTGTGTGATTATTTTGTTGCTGTGGTGTGATTTGGTTGACTGTCCGTACAGTGTCTCGTCCTGCAGCAGGGCCTGGGTTCTGTGGCAAATGTTGCGCAAGCCTCCATCGACCAACTGCTGGACTGTAGCCTCAGCTTGGACGCCGCTCAATGTGTCGTCAACTTTTTCACGCAGCCAAACTGATATAGTGGTGTGGATGTTGCGTTGTGAGTTTGCCAAAAAGTGTTATGCAAATTAAGTACAGTGTATTCGCTTGCCCAATCTAAGCATCAAAGCGATGAAGAAGATGCAAAGTCTCCTCATACGCCAACAAAACTGCAGCACTGCCAATGACATTGCGCAATACTGCCGGGTAGAGGCCTTTGTAGAATACACGCCACCCGCCTTCGACCTGCAGAGTTGCGCAGCGACCAAGAGACAAAAAAAACACATCGTGAGTAGACCATTCTTTCAATCCGCACGACACTCTATCCATCGACTAACCCAGCTTTGCCGTGCGCAGTCCATGATACTCGTGTACTTGGGGGCAGCAAACGACTGCACTTGCATTCGAGACTTGATCAAGTCTGCTGGCATAGCAATCATGCAAGATGCCAGCCCCGCCAGACCTCCAGACACGAGCAGCGTCGTGATGCCGAAACGAGCCGGTGGTGCTTCGGGGAGTGTGGCAAGTCCCGGCACTGCGGGGTGCTTGACAAACTCAACTACAAGCTGGCCGCCGCTGGTCACAATGACCTCGTTGTCTATGCTGGGTTTTGGTTTGACTAGCAGGGATTTCGCCTTTCTTAGTGCGTCCTTCCAGGTGGATTGCGTGGCTTCTACTGGGGGAGGATTGACTGGTGGCGGTTGAGCAGCAGCGCTCGCGACGCGCGCGCCTGCAGGCTGCGCTCCTCCTTCTGGCTGGAATCGGAGCTTGCAAATGTCAGACACAACAAAGAACGACGCCCAGCCGAGCCCATTGCGCAGACAGGTCGACCACATGCCTTGAAACAGTCCCCGAACACCGTGTTGGGCAAAAATTCGCTTGGCACAATCGGCCGTTCCTGCATAGGGCGGCTCTGATAGCTCTGCAGCTGGGCCAGAACTGAATGGCCGGAGTTGCTTCGATGCATTTTGAAGTACAGTTGCTGCCGTTTGTGGCGACGATCCAACAAAGGAGGATGGAGCGGATGGAGCTGAGCCGAGTAACCGGTTGGGGCTGCTGCTGCTGGCTTTCGACCACCAGGTGCTGTACTGGCGCTGCGACGCCTTTGCACTGGACGAAGCGTTTCCGTTGTGTGTCGTGTTCGTGCTTGTGCTTGAGCCTGGACTGGCCTCGTTCGTCGGGTTGCCGGCCTGTGCAGAACGGCCTTGCTCTTGCAGCTTGATTTTGACCAGCTCGACCGGCGACATGAGCGCGGCCAGCGATACGCCAGTGAGGCCGCCCGCGAGCGAGACTGTGCAGACGTGCTTGAGTGAGCCGTCCTGGACGGAGACGTTCATGAGGCTGCGCAGCTCGCCCATGATGCCAAATCCCGCGGCCTGGACGAACGGCCGAGCGAGCAGTGGCGGGACCATCCCGCTGTACAGGGCCAGGACGCCCTCCGTGCGCACAATGTCGACGGCACAGTGCAGCATGCCCTTGTACGCAGCGCGGCCGGTCGTCACCTGCATCTTCACCTTGACCGTGTCGAACGGATGCGTGACTACGGTGCTGATAGCGCCAGAGACCAAGCCGGCCAGAAACTCGACCGTTGGCATTTACGGGCAGCTTGTATTCGATCTCTCACTATATCTCTATCTCTCTCTGGGGTTTGATGTGTGGTTTGAGTTGAGATGTTGTGTTGGTTGAGCGTTTTGTTGTTGAGTTTGGGAGTTTGGAGCTTTGAGAAATTTGCACGTGAAATTTGATGACTGGCGTTTCTCAGATGTTGTGTTGAGTTGCGGTTGAGTTGTGGTAAATCGTAAAACTAGGATGGAGTGAAGGATTGGGGAGTTTGAGGTTGGTGAGAGGAACGACGTGGCTTTTGTGGAAACAGAATTTGCGCAGTGCACAATCTCGTTCGTTGCAATCAAGGATGAGCGGCGGTGAATAGACAGTGCATGATTGATGTGCTCGTGTAGCGCAGACTCAGTACCAGGTTTGGCTCAGTTTGGGTTGCAGTAGCTGCGATGAGTTGAAAATTGTGTGAGAGCACAAAATCGCTGCCAAACCGTCCACTTTGACAGGGTATACCATCCCCATTCGGTATAATATCCCGTGCTTTTGAGTGTTTTTATATGCTAAATGTTATTTTATACTATTCTAATCACTTCATGGGGGAGAAAAGGTCACAGGACGTGAATGAGCAAAGGCGACAAACTTTGTGCTTGACACGTTTACCAACCCAGTCGCATTGCAACTAGTTCAATGTTTCATATTGCGTATGAGTATGTCAACGTTGAATTGCAATGCAACTGACCAAGCCTGGATGGAATATTGATGCTATCGTACGTCATTTGCGGTTGAAGGGTGCTCTTCGGACAAACACAGTTGCGTAGACCATTACCGACACCGTCCCAACAAGCAGACTCGATTGCCAACAACGGACCCTCAGCACCACATTGATACAGACAACAACACACACATAAATTCAAGTAATACTGAATCCAAAATGAAATAATTTATCCAAAAATACAAAAGCAACAAGCTCAGATTCACTTCCAACCAACTTTCGCAACCACTGTCCGCAACCGAGCTGCCATCGCAACGTTCCCTGGGTCTGCATCGCACCCAAACCTCACCGAGTAAGCATCAATACGCGACTTGAAATACACACCAACGTTGTGCTCGAGCTTACCTTGTTCAAATCGCGCTGCAAGTGCCGATATTGGCGAATGGAGTTCATTGTGCACGCCCAACCTGAATGGATGACGACATTCAAATGAGAACACAGAAACAAGACACAGCTACAGCAAAAACATTCAAAGATCTTCCAACCTGAGCTCACAGGTCGATGCCAGCTCGCAAACTACCGAAGCGGCTATTTGTTGCGAATCCGGATCATTGGCTTGAGCCAGATAATCCTCAAGTACCCGGCACAGATTCTAGACAAAGAGTGTGATAATACAAGTGGGTATTTCCTTCCCCAATGAGCATTCTGACCGAGAGAATTGGGACAACAACGTCCATAGAAAGTCAAACCTTCAAATGTCGAGCAGAGACCGGGCCAAGACGCCGTACAAACACATCAATCGCATCAATGAATACCTAAACCAGGAGAAGAGTAAGAACGGATCGTAACACCAATCAAACAACCTTCCCTCACATACTTTGCGCAATCCAACATGGTCTTCGCCGCGCGCCTGCACCAGCAGTCGTGAAAAAGCCTGATCAACCTCACTGATGCGCAAATGTGATGTCATAGGACTTGGACACACCACCTGCAACACGGCGAGCATGGTTGCGTAAAGGGCTTTTGCGAGCTGAACATGCCGTTGCGTAGCTTGAGTATGTAAACTCTGCAACACGGTGATCAACGCACCAAGCCAAGGAATCCAGTCAATCCAAGGCAAGACTCCATCAAAATCAACAGGAAAAAAACCCGCCACCAACCCTTACTTGTAGGACAGCTGGTGCCAACCCATTCCCGCAAAGAAGCGCGGCAGGCACAAGCTCAAAGACGCGTTGTAGTCCACCGAGTGCCAGAATCTTGTTCTGTTGCTCATAGTCTTCATACAGGTTGATGAGCTGAGCTATCAACAGCGCATGGTGGGTTGCGAGAGCCGATGCCTGAAACGAGATTACCAATCAGCAGATCATTGTCAAAAACACTGTCAATCACACAACTCGGACAAACACCCTACCCCACACTAGCACGGATACAAACACACGACCAAACACAATGACCAACTGACCGGAGCTAGTTCCACGAGTCCGCACAATGCCAGTTTAGCTTCAATCCTGCTGCCAGATTCAGGTTTGTCGGACAACCATGCGACGAGAAGCGTTCGAAAAAGCACATCGTGGTGCACGCCAATCCATGCTTGAGCACGATCCAGCTGTGTCGTGAATTCACGGGTGACTCGGCAGCACTTGGACGCAGCACTTGCATCAACGAGCTGGACGAGGCTTTGTCGCAGTTCAGCGCTCGAGTATGGATTGCGCGACGCCAGACCCGCGAAGAGCGACAGCAATGTGACTTTTGGGGTTGTTGGCAGTCCCGCGCTGTCTTGATCTGCTGGGTCGAGCAGCTTGAGCCTGGTCGCGCAGTCGCAGGTGGCGGCGTTCGCAGCCTGGTCCGACTGCGCATCTCGAGTGCCATCCACCGACGCCATTGCGGCTGCGATGCACTGAACGGCATCCTGACGAAATGCCTCAATGGCAGCGACATGGACGGGCAGGTCTGGCGCATCCAGAACGGTCGTTGTGTCAATGCGAATCGGAGGAAAGCCCGCCACGACAGTCATTCCTGATCGCTGCTCGTTGGTGCACACAAAAATCAGAACTGAGTTTACCAGAGAATCTTAAGGCGGATATCAGTGACCAAACACTCGGTGATTTACCCCGTCCATCCAGCGTTTGACAGCTCCTCAAAGAAATCGACCGACCCAGCAGTACCGCTCTTCTTCTTTTTCCCCCCCCCCCTACTTCCCATCGTCTATGAATTCACTCACAGAACATTAAAACACGACATTTGTGACAGATTTCAACACGCTTGAATGCTTCATTCTCTCCCACAATTGCAGACGGGATTGTTACGTAAAGCTGGGTGAATGGACTCGATTCAATTTTACGTCACTTGAAAATTTGCTCCTCTTCGTCCAAATCTCACTTTATCGATCCATAGTTTGCTCGGCAGCGGACGCTAGCTTAAGGGCTGCATCGACAGTACGAGAGGAACCACAAAGCGCATGGCGCTGGTTTCGAGCTCGAGACTATGGGACACTAGACGTTGAGGCGCGTCGCCTGTGAAAGGGCATCGCTTAATCAGTACCATCGAAGTGGCCGCGAGGGGCAGAGCCAGAAGCCTCGCACTGGCAACGCAAGGAGAGAAAACGCTCTCTCCTGCAACCAATCTCTTTTGTTACGATTGGGCCAGTGCGACCCGAAGCGGAGCCTGACGGACGTCCCATCTCGAGCCCGGAGCCAGTTGTCTGCTCGCTCCTCATGTCCTTCCGTGAGTCTATCTGGAGGCAAAAATATCAATTTGAAAAGCAAAATTGTCTCTCGGATGCTCCAAGGATCGGGAGTGGCAGGCCGCTAGCCTTGAACAATGCCCTGAGCGCAGTCATCCGCCTTTTTCCATCCTCTTTTCCCCCTTCTATTCCCCTATTTCTGGAAAACCACGATCATCCTTACTTATTCAACGAAACTGCCAAAATGTCGTGCTGATGAGCTACAAAAGAGATGGAATCAATACAGCCATCTATTGAGGTTTGGACATTTGCTGCACTCATTTTCGGCGAGCACCGTTGGTCAAACGAGCTTGCTTAGCTGCCTGAGCAATACCGCGAGCACTAGCAGAGGTCTTGGCTGGTGGTTTGACCACCGCATCTTGGTCATCGTCATCAGCAGTCGCGACAGAGAAGGCACGCTTGTTTCCGCGCTTGATGCTGGGAAAGTCAAAACCGCCAGTATCATCGGCGATAGTCCAGGAGTCAAGCTGGGATTTCTTGGCGGGCTTTGAAGCGGCATTTTTGCTCTTGCGCATACGCAGGGGTTTGCGGCGATCGTCCTCGTCGTGCGAGTCATCGGCGTCACTCGCATCGTCCTCGGCTACCAGTCCAGCGTACCGTTGGAAGATTGCACCAGTGCCTGCATCGTCGTCATCGTCGTCGTCATCGTCATCCTCATCCTCCTCATCGCTTTGCTGGTTGCTGCCGTCAAAGTCGCCCAGCTCGAGCGACGATACGGTTGTGACGGTGACCAAGCGCTCGGGATCCTTGTACTCTTTCGTCGCCTTGTGTCCGGCCATTTCCTTGGCGCGCTCCTCAGCTTCCATGCGCTTCCGCTCCGCCTTGGCCACAGCCATACGCGCATCACGGGTTTCATCGAGACGCTAGCAATCCAACCAAGGGGGTCTCCAAGAGGTGAGTGATTTTTGGAAGTTGAGAATTCAGCCGGGCGAATCCATTCGATCCATCCCATACATTCACAATCATCATCATCATCATCATCATCATCGTCAACAACAACACTGGGTACGCTTCAATCATGCATGTGAGAACTCACCGCCTTGCGCGCCTTGAGCTTGGCTTCGTGCAGAAGCTTCTCCTGCTGCTGCTGCGCCTCCTTACGACGCTGCTCCTTTCGCTTGCGGAATCCAGTTAAAAAGTCCCTATTCCAAGATGATGTTTTCCCCAATTAAAGTACACATTGATTGCAACCATCTAGTGAGACATCTCCAATATGAAGCCAGCACACATGGTTACCATACACCTCGCTCGACCACTGCTTTCCACGTCCCCCCCTCCGGCACAACCGAGCTCATACTGCCAAGGTCTGAGCCTTTGATACAAGTGTTGTTGTTGTGGTGGTGGTAGTAGGGGGGGGGGGTTTGTCGCTTACACGCGGTTCTGTGCATCAAAGTCAACGACCAGCTTGGTCTGGCGATTCTTCTTGGAGCGTCGCTGCTGGTCCAGTCCATTACCACCGCCACCGCCACCGCCACCGCGTGTGAGATGCAGGCCGTTCGCTGCTCGGGGCTGGTTGGACTTTGGCGGCTCGTCGGACCGACTGCAAACCGCGGATCCATTGCGAAACTCTGTATGAAATGAAAGTGGACTGCGTTGCTCAGATTCCGCTCACAACATTGGGATGATTCTTTGCTTTCTAATGATTCAATGCTCTCGTTGCATTGAGTATTTCAAAAGAGCAAGCTCAGTCCATTCAAAACAAAAGCTCGGCTCAAATGCTGCTGGCTTTGCCTGGACCGGCGTTCGTCCTGGACACGGTCCGCTTGGACAATGGTAAGCCAGCAACAAAACCTACTGAACATGACCGAATCGACTTGTCCTCAACTTCACCTTCCTTTTGATCTTTTGATTGAGAGCAGGGACTGTGCTCGATGCTTTTGCTTTGACTGCGAATCCGAATGCGACGCGATTGCCGCGCGTGCTGCTCAACCGAGCGCAGGAAGCGACCGACCTGGCAGGCGAGCACCACACGGTACGCACTGCATCGTCCATCTGGGACGCGTCGCTGCAGCTCGCACGCTGTCTCGAGCGGCAGCACGACCGCCTCGACGATCCGGACTTGGCGGTTGCAGACAAGCATGTGCTCGAATTGGTGAGTAAAAGAATTCTCAGAAGTCCAACTGGGAACTCATACTCACAAAAAAAAATCAACAAACACACCAACCTGACCTCCGAAAAAAAAACTTTTGGTGGCAGGGCGCAGGGAGTGGACTAGTCGGGTTGGCCTGCGCAGCTTTTGGAGCAAGGTCGGTTACTCTCACCGACACGGCCAGCGTAGTTGCCTCCATACTGGAGCCCAATCGACAGCTCAACCCTGCGCTGATGCCGTATGTGAGCTGCACTGCCCTCGATTGGCTTCATCAGTGAGTCAAAACGCGCAACAATGAGCATTTCTGACCATTCAGCTTGAAACTCACCTGCACCTCGTCAGAGAGCGGGACAGACAGCTAGTACCAAACGCCATCGATGTGATTGTTGCAGCGGATGTCGTGTGGGTGGCGGACTTGGTATTACCGTTGGTCAGAACCATTCGAGGTAGCGTCAATCTGTCCTCCTCCTCTTCCTTCCGTTGTCGATTCTGTTGCATCTTACTTTGTATTCTTTCTATCGCTTGATTGTTTCATAATCCTTCTATGCAGCCCTCGCCAGTGCCTCAACGATCGTGCTCCTCGCTCACCAAACGCGTTCAGCCCAGGTGGACGAAGTCCTGTTCGCCGCTTTGGCCGAAGCCGGTTTTGTTGCAACACCAGTCGCTAGCATCACCATGCATCCCAGCTATATGAAGCCTGGCATACGGATAGTCAAGTTTCGTCTTGGGGGGTCAGTGGCCACCCTCTGATTCACCAGTCCACCCGCGTTAATGTTTTGGCCCAACACCGTTCTTTTCAAGGTATCGACCGTCGGAATGTCCTCTTTTTGGTGTTGTTCTGTCAGCCTCTGTATTCACCATTCGCTTTGAAGTGCGAACAGTACAGTCCTAGTTTTTCCATTTGTCCAATCCGCTCAGTCCGCTGCGTGAAATTCGCGTTGGTACGAAAATTACTTTCTTCTGCACACCCCCATTCCAGATGTGTGCTTCAAGATGAAGGCTTCCAGACAGATGCGCATACACCCTACGCTGATGTTAAAAGTCCAACAGCTGTCGAGCACGCTCGTTGGACGAAGAGATGCTCGTCTTTCTGGCTTTTCGCTCCAACCGTTTTTCCAACAGTGTTCTTTCTTTCGCGAAACTTGGACTCTCGACGACTCTATTTTTGTGATCTCGATGGTTGAAATCAATACGAACACACGATGGAAGGAAAGGGGGATTTCTTTTCCAAGTCAGCTTGACGACTTGCCGAAAAAGCAATGATTCATCGCGCGTCATCGAACTCGACATGTGTATTTGTTGTTGTCTTCCTTTTCTTTTCTTGAACCTCATCCTCGGTGCAATTTGACAACGCGCCTATCGCTCGGAAATCTGAGGAAGAAAAAGTCAGCCAATTGCGAGGGAAGAACGCTGAAGCCGGTTTTCCACATCTTGTTTTCTCGCTCCCCCCCAATTTGCCTCACCCGTTTTGTTTCCCCCGTTTATTGTTTTGGACAGTTTGTTTTGGCGTTTCGACCGATAGTGACGCGCGTTCTGTGCTACCCGACAAGCCAACTGCGTCAGACTCGCCGGCTAGTTGTATTACACGAGCAACCAAGCAACTAAGAACGCCCACACACAGATTGCAACCGGCGAGTTCTCTCCCTCTGCCTCGTCTTTGTTGTCTGTCCAATCGGTCATCGCTGCTCTGGATGCCAACTCCTTGAAGAAAAACAACTCCGGATATCCCTCGTTACAATGAAACTCGAGGAGGGACAGGACAACGAAGGTTCTGGCCAACCAAAACCGCAGGAGCCGCTGGTGGGAACGTATCGAAGGTCATTCCTACCAAGCTATGAGGAACCGCCTTCATTCGACGATGCAGTTCAGTCGTCTTACATTCCAGTTTTAGACGCCGAGAAAAAAGCACAGGAGGAGGAACAAGGCGAGCTGCAGGAATCCGGCCCTCCCGTGTTTCCACCATCCTTTGACCATAGCACATCCACCATCATGGTACTCAACCACTCTGCCGTGTCCGGAGCATCCGTGCCATACAGCCGGACGCTCTCTCAGTCCTCTATTGACCACGGAGAAAACAACGCGATCCATTCCCATGCTGTAAAAGGAGTCGTCGCTGCACGAAAAACATCTTCGTCGGCTTCATCCAACCGGAGCGCCTCCCAGCCCACCGCCAGCCCTTCTATTGCCACGAGTGAAGAAAATCACCACCATGCCGGGACGAGGCCGCAAACCATTTCCACCGAGCTCGGATCGCCAAACGTAGCAATGCCTGTTTATCCGGCCGCACGGCTTGCTAATTCGGCACGACCTGTGACACGACCGCAAGATAACTCCTCAACGACACCGATGGACTCTACGGAAACCAGCACTACAGGAGATTACGCAGGCTGGGAGTCTCCTACTCTTGCAACGCTAGCCAATCCCGTGTTAGTGGTGAGCACGCAAGATGGCGCCGCGCGTCCAGCAAGTGCAAGGCACGCTGCCACCCAGGAAGAGGAACTTGGCTACCCGCAGCAACGGTACTCGGCATCCCGCCATGGAACTCCCTCTGTGGTTGTCGTCGATCCCCTGGCGAAGCGAACGAGCGCCGATTTGACGCAGCAGAACCTGGCCTCGTTGCCTCGTTCTGCTGCAATTCGTCCCATGCAGGCCATCAACGAGCTATCAACATCTCCAGCCCACTCCACAGCCACGACTGTGAGCGACCAACATCCCGCTACATCGGTCTCTGCTGTCGCTGCATACGCCGCCTCTCCACAGCTCGCAGCCGCAGTCACACACGCAATGCTCAGCACTCCCACGCTCGCCGCTGCAGTCACCCATGCCATTCTCAACAGCCGACAGCACCATGGCCTTGCCATGTCGCAACTCGCAAGTGAGCGGGCAACGTTCGGCTCGTCGTCGCCTGCACCACGCCGAGCAGTCAACATGGAGCAGCACGCGGCCTCGATTGCCGCACAGCAAGCTGCTGCTCAAAACGCTGCTGCAACAATCGGGGGTACTATTCCGCCAGATGGATCCCCGTACATCCGCTCCAAGCGACCTCTTCCCCCAGCAGCAGCTGCAGGCGCAGCACGGACTGGTGCACAGCAGCGTGGCTCGTCCAACTTGTCCTTGTGCAAGACCATCATTGGCGTGTTTCTGGGTCTGTCTTTTCTCGTGGCCATGGGCGCGGTGTCGTACTGTCTGCTCGATCTTACCCTTGGTCTGGGCGACGAGGTAGTCTTGTACAGCAACCTGACTGAGCGGGCAGTGAGCAATCATGTGGCGCGCAAAGCGCGGTTTGCGGCCGAGAACCCTGGCTTGGTCGCTTCTTCTGGTCCGAGCTACACACAAACTGTATACGTCAACGGACAGCCTGTCGAACTCACGTCCACGCCCGGGTTTTCCGAGAGTGTGTTTTATGTGCCCGCGTTTCCGCTTGCCTCTGCGGCGGTCATCTTTGCACTGATGCTGCCGAGCGTGCCATCACTACTCCTCGCCCTCATCTACTCGTACTTTCGCGAGCATAGCACGAGCATCTTCCGCATGGGCCGCATGCAAGTCTCCATGATGGGCAAGTTTGCGCCGGCCACGTCTCGCGACAAGGTCTTTTATACCGGGGCGTGCTCTCTGGCCTTGTTCATGACGCTGTGTACCAGTGCGCTGTCTTCAGGCGCCGTTGTGGCCTTTTTGTTTTACGTTGCCAACAGCACTCCGCTCATGTACACGATTGGCTTTCTGCTGAGCGCTGCCGCCCTGCCCTTCTCTGTGTCGCACTGGTACCATGCCGCGAAAGGCCGTCTCGTCCTGCTGCAGGCGGGAAAAGGAGGCAGCCGCGATCCTGTCATTAATCAACACACACGCTATCGCAACACGCACTTTGCCACAACTGCGGTTGGCCACTTGCTGGAAGGCATTGCCAACCTCGTCGCTCGCTTCTGGGTCACGCTGACCTCCTCGCGTCGAAGCTTTAGCGAGGCCGTCTTTGTGCTGTTGACATGGCTGTCATTTGCGGCGCTGGTCTTTCTTTCTCAGCGATGGGTGGCGGCCGCTGCCGTGCCGCTCATGTCTGCTGCTTGGTGGCCCAACCTGTTTCCTCGCACGCGCTTTGCTCGTATGCACATGTTTATCGCGCACGCAGCTGCATCGCCCCACAAGTATGCTGCCATTCGCAGCTTGATTGAGCTCTTGACGCTGTGCGGTGCTGGCCTACTGGTTGCCTATCTCCGCTACGAGCAAACCCCGGACAAGCTCGGCAACAGCCTCTTCCAAGCGATTGACCTGGCAATCCACGGTCACGGTCACGACAGCGCTTTGGTGAGCGATGGCAGCAACGACACACCCGTCTCCGTTCTCTCCAAGGTGCTGACTACGTTTATCGCTGGCCTGGCTGCGTGGGTGAGCGGCTGGCTCGCGCTGACGCTGCGGATGGAATGGCTTGCCTTCACCTTTCCGCTCGTGCTCACCATGCCGCTCTTGTGGCTGGGCGTTTGGCTGCCCTGCGTTTTGCCCGAGTCGATGGTGTCCTCTCACTTCAACATGGATGTTTCTCACCTGACGTGCTCCGATCTGACGCAAATCGGCGTGGACATGCGCATGCCGGCCAGCTTTTGGAGCAGCAACGACGGTGTGCTGCCAGATTCGCTGCAAATCGTGGTGGCTATTGTCGCGCCAGTGCTCGTGGGCGTCGTATTTTTGCTCTTGCTCATTGCCATGCGCCACATGCTCAATCGCGAAGGTTCCTCCATTCCATTGCCCAACAGCACGACGCTGTATTTTGTTGGGCTTCCTTCCTACGCCGGTCCTCACAATGTGGCGGCCGCCATTCTTAACAGACGCGTCGTGGTCCGCAGCAAAACCAACGCCTCGCTCTCCTCTTCTTCTTCCGACGCTCTGCTGGCTTCTGCAACGCGCAGCTCTAGTCTCATCAGTCGGGACGCATCCGCGTTTTCGCCGTCCAACTCCACCCAGGGTTTGCTTGCACCCGCGGCCAGTCGCATTTTCCGAACTTCGTCCACAGTTGTGATGGCTGATTTTGACAACGAGGACGAACCGATTGTCAGTCCCGTGGATGCGGCGCTGGCCGACGAGCAAGTCTACCGTCGACCGGTGGCCATTTTCGTTGCGACCATGTTCTACCGCGAGGATGCCGAGGAAATCCACACCACCATCTCATCTCTCTGTCGCCTGGCGGAATCGTTTGATCCATTTGCGGCAGAGGGCCGGCGGTTGCGTCGAAACGGCGTGCAAGACTTTGTCGAGTTTCACGTCTGGATTGACCAAGCTCTGCCCGGAGGCTACCAAGCCGAGATGAGCAAGCGCATGACCATGCTTTCCGAGTGCGGCACGGCAGTGGTCGCCATTGTGGCTGCATCACTGGGCGTGCCGGTGCGGGACTTGTACAGCTCGATCGCAGCACGCCGCTATGGTGCCGAGCTGCGCGTCCAGCTCGCCACCGGCTCCAGCTACATGTACATTCACTTTAAAGACGTCAAGATTGTTCGCCAAGGCAAGCGCTGGAGCCACATTTTGCACCTCCGCCTCGTTTCTGAAGTGCGCGCCAAGTCGTCCCAAGTCTTGAACTTTTTCTCGGCTCAAAACGACGCGCCTGATTCCGCGACCAACATGTTTGTGCTGTTCACGGATGGCGACGTCGACTTTAAGCCCAAGGCGGTCGAGCAGTTGCTGAATGTCATGCTGGCATCGCCCTCCACCGGCATTGTGAGCGGACGAATCGCGCCCATCGGATACTCGCGCCTCGCTGAGGTCCAGCGGTTTGAGTACGCCATTGCACATTGGCTGACCAAGGCCACCGAGCATGTTCTCGGCACGGTCTTGTGCGCTCCGGGCTGCTTTTCGATGGCACGTCTCATCACGACTGACCTGTGCTTGGACGAGTACTCGGTGCTTGCAACCAACGGCACAGAGTACCTCGAGCTCGACCAAGGTGAGGACCGCAAGTTCTGCACCTCGTCCATCCTCGTCCGCAAGAACTTTTTGCTCGACGAGGCGCTCCACACCATGTCGGGCAATGGGCGCCAGTACCAGCACCACACGCCCACGATGCGACGACTGCGGACGCGGGACCACGCCAACTACCGCTCGCTCTCTGCGCAAGACAAGTCCGCAGAAGAGGCGCGCACGCCCTTCTTCCCGCATCCCGGCAGCAGCGGTGGCGGCAACAGCTACCTGGGCGAGGTTCCTTTGGTGGGGGATATTGTTGTCAACATTAACGAGTCCGACAATGACAACAAGCGCACCTTTGCCATTCAGTACTGCTCTTCTGCGGTCTGCAAAACACACTGCCCCACCACGATGGGAAACTGGATGATTCAGCGTCGGCGCTGGCTGCCGTCGACGGACGCCAATACAGAGTTTTTGCTCAAGCACTGGGCCGAGTCGGCCAAGTACAATCCGACGCTGACTCCATTCTTCCGATTTACCGTCGCCTTTCAGTACCGCTTTGGTCGACTGACGCCCTCCACGACGCTCTTTATGCTTTCGGGCGCGCTCGTCAACATTGTCGGGGTGTCGATTGGCGCAGGAATCTTTCTGGCCGTGGCGCCTGCTGTCGCCGTGGCGCTGGCAGCAGTGACCCTTCGAATCGAGTCGCAGCACATCTTCCATCAGATTGCGGCATTCTGGTATGGCGTCTTGATGCTCATTACCGCCGTGCACTTGCTGATTCTCGTGTGGGGATTCCCGCTGTCGATCGTGGCCTTGTTCCTCTACTGGATTATCTTTACCACCGTCATTGCCGGTCTCCTCTACGGCCAACTGTGGGAGTTGCTGTGTGGCATCTGGTTTTTCATTTACCTGCCCACGACCACTGCGCTCGTTGGCCTGTTTGCGTATGGCAACATTGACGACAAGCGCTGGGGTCTCCGCGAAGGTTCTGCGTCGGACTCTGACCGCGCTCGTGCTGCTCGTATCGCCGAGCGCGCCAAGGAGGCTGCTGACGAGCAGAAGCAGCAGGAGGAGATTCGCGCGATGGCACGCAGCGGCACATCGGTGGTGCGCATTCGTCTTCGGCTGGCCGCCCGCCACATTGCGAGTAGCTTCAAGAGCTTTGTCAAGGCGCATGTTCGCGAGACAATGCAAGACTTGCAGCGCTTGCTGGACGAGAAAGAGGAGAGCCAGCAGCAAGCCAAGCTTCAGGAGGCAGAGCAGAAGGCTGCCGAACGAGCCTCGGCTGCCAGCAAGCAAAAGGATGAAGAGGACAGCAAACTGAGCGCAGCAGCAGCAGCAGTCAACGACGATGCCCAACCCGTCCTTGCTACCTTTGTGCAGCGCATTCACGCCGTGTCCGACCCAAACACGAAGGCTGCTGCAGCACCCTTGTCTCATTCCAACGTGACTGTGACGTCGCTTTGCCCTGTTGCTACACCTGCACCCCAAGCACCTCAAGAAACTCGGTCAGATGGGGCCGCTCGTACGCTGACAGCCTCGACGTCGTCGAGCTCGATCAGCTCAACCACCAGCACAACACTGGTCAAGTCTTCTACAGCCACGACCAACGGCTCCAACTCAAACAACAACAACACCAATCACACGAACAACAGCTCGACTTCTGGCCCCGACCGCGACCTGACGCCGGCCGAGCGCAGGTTTTGGCGACGTCTCTTCTACTCTGGCAGTCCGCTGGCGGCCCCTGCCCCGAAAGCCGAGGAGCTGAGCGCGCTCAAAATGCGCATGAGCCTTGTTGCGCTCCGCAACAGCGCAATGACTGCGTACTGCTTGGAAAACATTATCTGGCTGAGCATCCTCTTCTTTATCACATCCCGCTCAGAGCTGCTCGTTCCGCTCGGCTTCCTTGCCACCAGCGAGAACGAGCCCGGCACGAGCATGCTTGGCCTCGTCGTTGTCGGCTGCTTTGCATTAACTCTTCTAATTATGTTCGTTTGCATGCTTTGCGAGCGTGTTCTGACTCTGTGTCGTGTCTGGGCCGAGAAGGACATGCTCTTTTGAACAAGCAGCAAACATTTTTTGTTAACTTTTGGCAAAATACACGACAAAAGTTTAATCGATGTTATGTGTGACGCATCCAACAGATCCAACTGCAAAATTGCACACAGATTGTCCAATGGCACGCGAGGAATTTAACATGTGGACGGAAGGGGAAGAGGGATGAAAATATCCATGGATCCACGCCAATAGTCATCGCTGGTGCGCGATCACCACCGTGAGTTACGGATGTGTGAGAAGAGCGCATAAGATCCAGCAAACACGAGCCGCTTATTGAATCGAGCTGTTCGACGGTTGGGGAAGCGTGGATCTCAGAGGTCGGGCGTGACCTCGCTTTTGTGTGAAACACTGTGCCACAGCGCGAAATCCGACTTGTCGGACAAAATCTTGCTCACGCCCATTCATCCGTCATCGTCGCACTCACGCCACTTGAACGCACTCACACACAAAAACAAAAACTCATACTCACTGCAAAAGATCAACATGTCAATCTCTGAATACGATGACGCGGATTTTGAAGAGAGGGGGGTGATTCCGTAGACTCAGGCACAATCAGTCTGTACCACCTCGCCAACTCATTGGAGCCCCGCTTCCCAGCAAACTGACACTGCCCCAAATGCAACACAGTCGAGTTCTGCACACTGCTGCACACTCCTTCACACTCGTTTCAATGCACTACGCAACCAACCAAACAAACAGCTCAACTTGCAAAATTTCATTGAACAATGAAAGCCAATCTTTTTTTTTTTTTCAATTTTTTTCAATTTTTTTTTCAATTTTTTTTTTTTCAGGTTTTCCCCCCGTTTGTGTGTGTTTTTTGAATGAGCAGCAGTAGCTCCACGACGCATCAAGTGGCTGCGTCCGTCACTCCAGGTGAGGAAGGGACACTCAATTCAATGCTGATCGACACATACACCCATCGTCCCCTTCAAGAGCTTGAGTGCGGACGACGCGAGAGAGAGCGAAGGGCGAAGAGTCACGGCGCCAAACTGTGCTTATTCGCCGCTTCTGTGCCACTGCTCTTCACTCACTCACTCACTCACTCACTCACTCACTCACTCACTCACTCACTCACTCACTCACTCACTCACTCACTCACTCACTCACTCACTCACTCACTCACAAAGTCGAATCCATCTTGCACACAACCCCCCCCCCTCCCCTTAAACGACCATCCATCCAGTCAAACCCGCTGCCACCCTTGTCTCGCTCCCAACGACAAACTCCAATCCGGACTTGATTTCGCATTATTTTGCTCCAATGGTGTGATTCTACGATTTGCCACAGTTTTTCTTTTTTCAAACACCCGCCTTCTTTCTTCTTTCTTCATCGATCGCTTGATTGCCATCGTTGATCATCTGCTGTCGTGTCTCAATTTGAATGTCGCCTTCTTGGCTGTCCGATCATGAGTTGTTTGCTAAAAATCTGGCTTACACACTTTTTGACTTTTTCATTTGTCACTCCCCCCGCCTCTCGTCTGATCGATAGGAGGCCAGCGATTCCCAACGGCCGCTGCAGCCGCCGCCGCTGCAACGTCCAACGCACACGCCCAAGTGCTCGCTGCTGCCAACGCGGCGGGGAGCGTGCTGCCGGGCTCGTCCAACAGCTCGGGCATCCATTTGCCGCCGACATCCGCTGGCGTCGCTCCGGCCTCGGCTGGATCCGCTGCTGTGCAGAGTGGCGCTGGTACGCCGCCATTGCTCCAACAACAGCAGCAACAGCACCACCAGCAGCAGCCAATCTTCCCAGGCGCCGCGGGCGGTCATGTTGGCACGCTGCGTCGCCAGGCAACCACCGTCAATGTGACGCGGAGTGACGCCGATCTGCGCTCGTCCCATCTTGGCCGCCACCACTTGTTCTTGATGGACGGGCAGGTCTCGCACTTGCTCCAGGGCGAGCAGTCGCACGCAGACGTCTTCCAGTCGCTCTTCTTGCCGCTGCGCATGCAGGTCACATCCGAGATTTTTGTCGATTTTCGCCAAGCGTTCGTGACTGGCTGGTTTTGCTTCTCAAAGCTGCCCTCACAGCATCCGCTGCACCGCACTCCATTCTTTTTCAACGAGGAGACTCGCCGTCTGCTCGAGGAGATCATCCACGCCATCTTCCGACTTTGCACGGAAACGTTCATTGCGACCACCGCCAACTACCTCTTCTCGGGCGTTCGTGGCGTCGGCAAGACCGAGTTTCTCTCCCGCATTCACGATCTCTGCGTCCTGCTCTGCGGCGACAAGGTGACCACCGTGTTTTTGAACTTTGACCAGTACGCGCAAATGCTGCCGTCTGCTGCCATTGCTGGTCCAGACCTTGCCGACACGCCCATCAACACGCTGCTGATGGATCACGCCACGTCTGCCAAGCCTGTTGTGTTTTTTGGCGACGAACTCCAAGCCCTGTACGCCTCTGGTGAGAAAAAACAAAACAAATGCATGGTTGATTTTCGCATTTTTTGTTTGAGCTTGACAAATTGACTTGCTGTCTTTGGTTTTTCGACTTTTGTTTGATACTGTTTCGCAACTCCTCATTTCCAGACTGCCACAGCTCGGATCCGCGCGTGCTGGCCGTTCGCGAAATCGTGGCGATCGGAACGTCAGAGCGCGCCATGTGCCTGTTGAGCGGCTCGTCGTCGGAAGTCGCATCGGTCGCGTTCAAGCAGTTCTTGTCGGACAGCGAAACAGTGAAGGGCCATCAATACCGCCACTACCCGCCCTTGCACGAGACAATCTTCCACCATGTTCGTCTCGAGCCTCTGCGCCAGAGGAAAGCCTTCCAGGCCTTTCTGTACGACTGCTGCCTGTCAGACCAGCAACTCGTCGAGCTCCAGCAGCGCCTGGGCAAGCCAAACAGTGACGTCAACTCGTTCTGGGGCCGTCTGTTTGCCAAGACGGGTGGTCTCTATCGCTTAATCCGCCAGGCCATGACCGAGCCCAACGCGTTCGATGTGCCAACTCTGCCCGTGGCCGCATCGAGCGCATCCTCCAGCGCACCGACCACCCCTGGCACTTCCCAGGAGGCACTTGGAACGCCACCCACGGCGTCACACGCTTCTGGCACGTTCCGATCGAGTTCGACAAGCGTGTTTACCGCCTTCTGCCCGTCGTACGTGGTTTCGGCGCTGCGCGACATTTCCAAACAACTGAGTCTGCAGGAGATCCTGGCCGAGCTGTGCCTAATGAATCGCGACATTGCTCCGAGCGCACTTCCCAACCGCACCCCGGCTGCCACCTCCGCTGCGACTGGTGCTAGCGCGCCTCCTGCCGGTGCCGCCGCCGCCGCCGCCGCCACCACCACCACAACCACCACTACTGCTGCTGCTGCGTCAAGCTCATCATCAGCCAGCTCTTCTTCGGCCGCCGCTAGTGCTGCTGCTGCTCAAACTGTCGTCTACGCCCGCGATCCCTTTGCAATGCGTGGCGTGGCAGCGTCCGCAGCCCACCTCATGATCAAGCGCCACATGCAGCACCAGCAGTACCTGCAGTTCCAGTCCTCCGTGTCCCCGTTGAGTGCATCACACTCTGCCGCGCTGCAACACAACTCTGCCCACAACCAGCAGTCTGTTCCGCATTTCGTGACTGGACACCCCGGTGCAGGATGGGGCGCGTTTTCGATTGGCCCCCAGATGGGTGCGTCGTCGGTCGTCTCTGGCGATGGCAACCAAGCCGGCGGGGATGGCTCGAAAGGTCAGCGAACCAACCAACACCACGGTGGCAACCTGCCGCTGGGCGTCTTCCCGACCACCGCTGGAGGCATCCTCACAACCGAGCTGTCCTACGGCTCTGGCTCATCGCTGACCCCCGGTTTGACGCCGTCCATCATTCACGACTGGATTGACTCGGGCTTTTTGTTTGAGCGCGAAGAAGACATGCAGACCATTTACGAACTCCACTACCCGGGTCTCTTTGAGCGGCTGATGGCGATTGTGCCGTCGCTTGGAGCAACCTTGCCCGAGCTTTGGGGTCTGCGTCTCCTGTTTGCCACGGGCGTGCACCACGCGGCTTACGCGCTGTGCCCATCGCTCAACCGCATGGGAATGGAGTATCTGTTCAAACTGCTCCTGCGCGCGTCGAATTCCGGCCTCATTCCCTTCCCTGTGGCCAAGTACCGCTCCCGTCGCCTTTGCACTGCACGCACCGTGCTCAAGTCCGACCTGAAGAGCTCGGAGATGGTCGTTCTCGAGCAGCCCCCTTCTCGCTACACCAAGTCCATTGAAGAGATTGACGGAGAGCTGCTCTCCTGCACGCATGCCGCAGGCGTCTCTGGCTTTGTGATCAACCTTCACACGGGCAAGAATGCCGCAGGGGGCGCCGACCCGGCCGTCGCAGCAGCACTGTCGAGCAGCTTCTTGCCCGCTTCCGTGCATTTGCTGCGAGTGCTGCCCGGCTCGTTCACGGGCTTTATCGAGGTCAAAGAGGCGCTCGCCGTGGCCAGCGAAGTCGAGGCCGAGGCGCGCGCTCTCCACTCCCACATCCGCTCCCGTATCACCAAGCCAAAGCCTGCGCTCGGCTTTATTAACTTGGTCATTCTGTCGGCGCGGAAATTCACCGACGAGGCTGTGGTCGCCATGCAACGCGTCTTTGCATCCTCGGACTTTTTCGAGGACACGTTCACTGTCGAAATTGTCGATAGCGAAGCCTTCCAGCAGCTGCTGCCCGAAGCCTTGTGGAATGCCCTGCGGGGTTGATTGATTGAACTCGGTGTGTTTTTGCTTTTTTGTTTGGTTTGGGAGTTGTTGTTTTGCGGTCGTTCGTTTGTATATTCGACGACAGTGTTGTTTTGTTATTTTTTTTTTCTTGCTGCAGCTCCCGCCGTCAAATAAAAACTACAGTACCCTTCTGTCTCTAACTCTTTTCATGTTCCAGGTATTTTGATTTGGGAATTGAGCGTGACTGATGAAAGCTTTTTGTTGTTTTTAAAAGATGGCAGTCTGTTCTTTTACATGCGGAAGACACCAAAGCGTGGGTCGGGAGTGGGCTGGTTGAGGGCAGCGCTGAGACCGAGAGCCAACACTGCGCGAGTGTCAGCGGGATCGATCACACCGTCATCCCAAAGTCTGAAAATTGAGGAGTCAAGAAAGGACCAAAGAACACGCACACACGCTGGTAAGTATCTGGAACACGGCAATCCTCTCAGACACAATGAAAAATTCACGACATACCGGGAGCTGGCAAAGTAAGGGTGACCCTCCTTCTCGTACTGGTCGATAGTGGGCTGCTTGAAAGTGGCCTCCTCCTCGGCAGTCCACGGCCGCAGCTTCTTGCGCTCGCGCTGCTCCTTGGTGATGGTTGAAAGCACACCTGCAGCTTGCTCTCCACCCATGACCGAAACGCGGGCATTAGGCCACATCCACATGAAACGCGGGCTGGTACAAAGACAATCATGGTCAGTGAAAAGGTCATCATCAATCCAGATAGATAGATCGCATTGCGTCAAAACAACAGAAACGTACCTGTAAGCACGGCCGCACATGCCGTAGTTGCCAGCACCAAAGCTACCGCCGATGACAACGGTGAGCTTTGGCACATTCGCGCAAGCGACGGCAGTGACCATCTTGGCACCGTTCTTGGCAATGCCGCCGGCCTCGGCCGCCTTGCCGACCATGAAACCTACGTGTTTTCGGGAGCACGCAAGGGTCAGCGACACAATACTTTGAAAACAAAAAGCGGTAAACAGCGGTGCATGCATACCGGTGATGTTCTGCAAGAAAATGAGAGGAATGCCGCGTTGGCTGCAAAGCTGAATAAAGTGTGCGCCCTTCAGAGCAGCCTCCGAGAAGAGGACGCCATTGTTTGCAACAATACCCACTGGGAAGCCATGCAGGCGAGCAAAGCCTACAAACAAACAAACAAAATTAAACCCCCCACTCAACATGAGGTTAGCAACAGAATGCAACGGGCCACACATCCAACAGAAAGAATGCGAACGAACTGTACCAGTGACGAGGGTTGTGCCGTACTGAGCCTTGAACTCGTCAAAGCGGCTGCCGTCAACCAAGCGGGCAATGACCTTGCGGACATCAAACTGCTTCTTGAGGTTGGCACCAACAATGCCATACAGGTCTTCGGCGGGGAACAGGGGCTCCTCGGGGGCGGTGAGGGTGACCTGTAGCGAGAGGGAATTCGGTAAGTTACAACTTCACAAAAGCGTCGAGTATCGTTGTTTCCAACCCAAAACAAATACGACCTACAGGCAGCGTTCGGCGCCAGTTCAGGTTGGACACGACACGGCGAGCAATGTTGAGGGCGTGCGCGTCGTTCAGCGCGTAGTGGTCGGTAACACCAGAGACTTTGCAGTGAAGATCTGCGCCACCGAGATCTTCGGCGGAGACAACCTCGCCGGTGGCTGCCTTCACAAGCGGCGGGCCACCAAGGAAGATGGTGCCTTGGCCCTTGACAATGATACTCTCGTCAGCCATGGCGGGGACGTAAGCGCCACCAGCCGTGCACGAGCCCATAACAACGGCAATCTAGCGCATATCAACAAGTGTCGATGAGCAAAACTGCAGTGTCGAACAACAAAACCCCCGAATCGATTCAAAAAGCCATCGTGAGCAAGCACGCACCTGTGGAATGCCCTTGCCAGACATGTTGGCCTGGTTGTAAAAGATGCGACCAAAGTGATCGCGGTCGGGGAAGACGTCCGCTTGGTTGGGAAGGTTGGCACCGCCAGAATCAACCAAGTACACGCAGGGCAGGCGGTTTTGCTCGGCAATTTCTTGCGCGCGCAGGTGCTTCTTGACGGTGATGGGGTAGTACGTGCCGCCCTTCACTGTGGCGTCGTTGGCGACAATGATGCACTCGGTGCTGTCGCAGTGAGGAACAAAAAAAGGGGGTATCATGAGTGATGCAGCACTCAGGGTGTTGGTTTTTTGATTTCAAGAAAGCGAGCGAGCGGGCTTACCCGGCAATGCGGCCAATACCAGTGATGATGCCACCAGCGGGGATTTCATCGTCGTACAGCTTGTAGCCGGCGAACTGCGAAAACTCGAGGAATGGCGAGCTACAGGCAGAGAGACACAGCAAAGTGAGCGAACGTGTGTTTTCGATATTGTCGATGCATGCAGTGGTTGCGTTACCCGGGATCCAACACGGCAGCGACGCGATCGCGGGGAAGCAGCTTGCCCTTGCTGGTGTGACGCTTGCGAGCCTCATCGCCACCGCCTTTGTTCCAAAAAATGGTATGTGAGCGTGACTCCTCACACACACAAACGGACAACAACTGACAACTGAGATGCAACAATCTCTTCACCTTTGACAATGTGGGCAACCTTGGCCTTGAGATCGGCAACAAGTGCTTGCATTTGTGTCTTGTTCTCCTGTTAGCAAGATACGCGAATCAACAGTGAGTGTCTGAGGCTTTTTGATGATATTGAACAATAATATCAATGAGATTTGAATGAAGATGAACCTGAAAAAGAAAAGAAAAAAAAAAAAAAAGAAAAAAGTAAGAGAGTCACGATTGGAGAATCAATCTCGTCACGAAAGTCGCATGAACAGTGAGATTCAATGGAAAGTGATTGGAATTGCATGACGAGATGAGGACAGGAACGCACGAGATTGGAGCAAAGCGATGGAAGTGAGAGTCGTGATGAGGAGAGGAGGGGGAGATGGGGAGGAGGAAGGGGAGATGGAGTGAAGGGACAATCGAGTCACGGCTCCGAGATCGCACAGTTTTGTGATCATCAGAGGACCACCCACCCAACCAACCCACTCCCCGACTGTATGACGAGCGAGCAGTGAGGGTTGAAGTGGACGAAAGTGGAGGAGGCGGGGGGGATGGATTTGCAGTGAGAGTGAGAGAGAGCGTTATAGAGAGAGAGAGAGAGAGAGAGTGAGACACACTTTGAAGTTGTCAGAGTTGGCTTCGACAGAGCCGTCGAGCACGCTGGCCTGGCGCTCGCCTTGGTACGTTGGATAGACACCCGCAGTCACAGTAGTGGCAGTCGAGGCAGCGACAGTCGCGGTGGTGAACGAGCGACGCAGCAGTGATGCAGATGCAGCGCAGCCACTCAATGGACCGCGGCGAGCAATCGTCAATGCAGCGGCAGCCAAACTCATCGTCGCAGCAAAGTGAGGATAATGGACTGGGGAGTAAGAGTTCAATGAAATGGAATAAATAGAAGAATGACAGGAATTATAGAATGAATCGAGCGCGCTGAAACAAGCTCAACTCCCATTGCAGTGCATTGATCTCCATCTCAATTTGTTCGAGGTCACTCTTTGATTCTTTGTGGACCATTGCATTTATCTTATTCTTCAACAGCGATTTTTCCAAAGCAAATATAAGCACTACTGACACGAATCATCATGGCGGAACTGTCAACGAACGAGATGAAGCAGCTGCTCGAGGAGCGCACCAAGGGCATGGCCGAGGCCCGCGACCGCGCCGCGCAGTACGAGCTCAACCTGCGTGAGAAGCGCGCCAAGCTGCTTGAGGGCAAGGTGAGCGATGGGCGATGGGCAATGTTGGTTGCAGTTATTTGACCTTCACTCAGTTCACCCCCACACTGTGAGATTGTTGAGATGAACTCACTCTTGCAAACGTCAATGCATTCGGTAGACTCTGACCACAGCTGACGCCACATCGAACGTCAAGGTCTCCGATCTGAAGCAGGAGAACAGCGAGCTCGCGGCCAAGCTTGCTGGAGTTACGGTACTACTGCTGACTTGCTGAATTTGGAAGCAGAGATTGTGAATGTGGCGAGTGTGCATGGACGAGACAAACGAAAAAGAAAAGGCTCATTGAAGGGTGCACAACGCAGGGCTCGCGTGCATTATCGGCAGAGGAAAAGCTGGCAGCGGCGGCAGAACAAAAGCGGTATGTCTGTCGGTCATGAACATGAGTGGCAAATCGGAGCGACTCCTCTCTCACTGTGTGATCACTTGGGAATCGATAGACGCGCAAACGATCCCGAGGTGCAGGCAGAGCTGCGTCGCATCGATGCGCAAATCCGAGCGCTCGGTGGCAATCCTGATGGTGAGTGCTCTTTTTTTCGTTCTTGTTCGTTTTGTGTTTCAGACGGACGAAAACCCCCGCCCCCCCTCACTCTTGGCGAACGTGAATGTCTTTTTTTCAACCCCCCTCTTGACGAGCAGACGACTATAAGCCATATGTGGTGAATGAGACGGTCATCAAAGAAGGCCCAAAGATTGTCAAGAGCATGTTTGACAACATTTTTGCCGATCTCGGCTCCTTTGGAGCGCCCGCCGATGGCGATGCTCCTGCGCAATGAAGCGTCGAGCATAGTTTGAATCTTGCGAGGATGGCTCTGAAATGTTCCCCGCTCCAACGGGAATTCGCTTCTTTGCTTTACCATTTTCGCCATCCTGGATTTCCCCTCCTCGTCTCTGAAATGCTCTGTTTTCGTGTTGTTACTTTGTACATTCTTCCAAAAACTGGAAAAAACCCCACAAACCTCAGTCCATTTTTTTATATTTTGTCTAATTCTCTGAACCATGGTTCTCAAAGTGAACATTGAATACTGGTTTGTAGATGGATGATCATTGAAATCTGCATTGGCCTTGCTGTTCAGCGTTCCACGTCGCTCATCTCCAATCATGATTTATACGTTCTTTGCTTGTCCCTCAGCTCGGCATGCGGCTACTTTCCACGCATGAAGGTAACACTGTGCGATCTATGACCCCATACTCGAAACCTCCGCTTCAACACTGGGAACGGAGATAACTATTCGCATTGATGACCCAAACCCAAACCCGAACCCAAACCCCCCCCTGTGTCCCTAACCACTCCCGACTCTGGCAACTTGGTAACATGCCTCATGCAAAAACAACAGGAGATTGAGCGAGCCATCCAGAAAGAGTTCCCCACGGCCAAGGTGACTGGCGAGGGCGGCCGAAGCAAGTCGTTCGAGGTCACCATCAACGGCGAGCTCGTCCACTCCAAGCTCACCTCGGGCAAGTTTGTCAACCCGCCAGTCATTGTCGAAGCTGCAAAGGCGATTGCTGCCAAGCAGGCCGCTGCGGCAGAATGAGAGCAACAGCAAGCGACGGCATTCAGAGCTTGCAAATGCGTTTGCTGCACTATTTTGCATTTGGGAAGGTTTGTCTCAGAGACAAGCGACCAAAAAGCGGAAACAGTATTGTAGAGCTGTTACGAATACAAGCAAACTCAGATTGACTTGGCGGGCTGCTTTTGCTGAAGACCGGCAGAGTTCAGAGCGATGTTTTTGGTTGAGGAATTTCACCCTGCCAAAGGTTGATACGTGTCGAAGGAGTCCATCATGGCTATTATGGCTGTGTGTCTTGCGGTGCAGAAGATGCTGGGAAGCAGATCCATACAAACTCTCTCGCGACCGTGAAACCAATCTCCAGGACGAAAAAACAGAAACAACTGGTTTTGGGAGAGTTGTGTATTCCATCATCGGCCATCATCCACAAAGCCAAAGACACGCATCTCACGTCTGGTACGACCGCGGTACCGCCGCTTGATTCGCTTTTTTAATTAGGGGGAAGAAGGTGAAGATTGGCGCGAAATTCGTTCTTTTCAGGAAAGATGGTCTCTCGGTTGCTGTACAATTCCTTGTACCACTTGGACAAAGTAGGTACTGTAGATCCAACATGGCGCGCGATTTCTAGAGTGGGAGATGACGTTGTATCGGAATCAGCGCTACGATTTTCAATTGCAACTTTTTTGCATCACTCGAAGCAATTCTCACCTTCAAGTGTTCGCTTGTGGTCTGTGGTTGCCTGCGAAGCCATGTAGATTGAGGCACCAATAATAGACACGGGACTCTTGCTGCAATACATCACACATGCCGCGTTTTTTGAGCAATCGTGTACCCCCGAAAAACAAAACCACATTTCTGAGTTGCCTGTTTTGAACCTTACCCAGCAAGAGCATGCAAGCCCTCATTGGCCCGTTGCGCAATTTGGGTGGCAAGCATGGTGACATTCAATGGCAGGCTGAGATGATCACCAAGACGCGGAACGTACTCGGACACATCCACGACCGTGCTGTGAATGCCGAGAATGCGCTTGATTTCGCTGGAGGCGCGCGAAATCTCCTGCTCTCGGACGTGTGACACTGCCGTGATTTCCTTGTACGTGCGCGACACCTTTTCGAGTCTGCAGGCGAGGAAGAGCGAGGCTGCCGCAACTGCCTTGGCGCCCTTTCCACCCACAATGGCTCCAAACTGGCTTGCAGCGCCGTTGCGCTCGCGCGTATAGTGCTAACCAGCAAGAAGCAATCGTGCACAAGCCACCACAGGTTTCCCAAATACACACCCATCAGTTAGACTCCCTGCAAACTCATTGTGAAGAATCAACAATCACAAGCCCCTCCCTCTTTCACCATCAACCCACCTCTTCCATCTGCTTGAAGATTTGCTTGGCCTTGAGGGTAATGTTTGACGGCAGATGCATGCGCTCGCCAAAGTCGCCGATGAGACGGAAGGCCTTCTGGAGCTGCCTGTCAATCTGGTTTGCGGTGGTCTTGGCGTGCGCGCGGCTGATTGCCTTGGACTCTGCATTAAAGCCCTGGGCCATGGTTGTTGTGAGGTCTGAGCCATTGAGCAGCGGGTTGACGGCAGAGCCAATGCGCGACGGGTCGCCGTGCTCCTCGCCCTTGTCGTTGGCGAACGTGCGCCACTCCGAGTTGAAGTCAATCAGGCGGTCTCCGACAACGGTGCCGCACGCAGTGCACACATAGTCGCCTGTCTGATGCGACTCGAGAATCTCGGTCGGGCGGCGGCACTCTGGGCACATTGTCTCCTCACGCAGCTCGGGGTGCGTCTGGTACGGCAGCTCGGCCGCTTCTTGCCCAGGCAGATAGTCCATCCTATGTGCGGGCCTGTGTTTGTTGAAGTTGGAAGCTCCAATGCAAAAAAAAGAAGCTCAATGTGGTGCGAGAGGAGTCCGAATGTGAAACTGGGGTCAAGGAGTGCTTTGACAGGACGTTCGCTCAACGACCAAACCAAACAAAAAAAAAAAAAAACCAGGACTGCGCTTGTCGTTCAAAGTGGAGTGCAGATGCGAGATGAAAATTGTGCAGTCACGTTTATGAGGCAGAGAGAGAGAGTGCTGCCAGTTGCACGGATGCTCGGAGCGAGATTCATAAAGTGGAAAGCTGAGAGTAACAACAGCCTCTTGATGCATGCAATCTCAGAGTGCATTCCACCATGATCGACAATAACTAGATCTACCTACTCCTCACAAATTCAAACAAACTCAACGCACTGCAGTCGATCGACTCGTTCTCATTGAAATCCTCTTCCCTTCGATGATGATGATACTCTCCACTCATTCTTTTTTTGTTCTTTCCCCTTGTTTTTTTCAAATCTCGTCTCGTTCAGCCAAAACACAAACCTTTCAATCCCCTTTCAGCTGCACAATTCCACCCCCCTCCCCCTTGAACCCCCAACAATTCGATGATGAGTCGCGCAACGGACGGCCACGCGCCACCCGCCTCAGCGCCGACGTCCGCTGGCGGTGCATCCGTCGCAGGCTCACAGAGCTCCAGTCCGCAGGTGCCGCAGTCGCCGTCGCCGCGCCCGGGATCACGCCCGGCAGTGCCCATGCCTGGCCTGGGCTCGCGCTCGCCGCTCTCAGGCCAGCACTCGATGGACGCGCACGGTGGCCACCGCAGGAACAAGTCGCTCGCTGGTCAGTTCCATTGCAGAATTTTGGGAGGGATTGGTTCCACGCTCTCTTTCCACTCTCTCCAGCCAGCCAGCCAGCCCGCTCGCTTCTCGTGGGCTGCGAATGGACGATTCGTGCTGCAACAGAGAGCAGATCAAGAAGCGGACGGGTCAACACAACAGCGGCGAGCGACAAACATTGAGCCTGTTTGATCGCACTCCAAGTTCGAATGATGCACCTCTCCCGTCCTGCTCAACATCGAGGGTCGTGCCACAGACGCCAAAAACTTTGGCAAACGAAAAAAAAAGTGGCTGTTTTTGAAGAGGGTGTTTGGGGTTTGAGAGTACGCAATGGCTGAGCATTTGTTGGGAGAGTTGCTGGTCGATTGTCTCAAAACGATCCGACTCGTTGAGATGAGCATCAAGGACGGACGGACGACACGTCAAGTACCAACGAACATGTTAAACATCTACACCACGAGATGACTTCCACCACGCTCCCAAACCCTCCGCTCGTCGCATTTTTACGAATTTTGTTGTTCAAGTCTGTTGCACTCACCGACAACTTTTTTTGGCAACACACACTCTTTTGCTTCTTGTAGAGGCCATGCTGTCATTCAACAAGGACGGAGGAGGCGCTGCAATCGCGGGAGGGAACGATCAGCCTTCGACGTTGCCGCCGCGGTCCCTCTCGTCCGCTTCGGAGCATCAAGTCCTTTCCACCGCCGTCGTGCGTGGAGATTCAATCACATCGCTATCAGGAGCACCTCCTTCGCCAGTGACATCCCACCAGTCAGTCGACATTCCCCCTCCTTCACCTGGCTGGGGCAGTGCGACCGTTTCCGCTGGCTCTGCCGCACAATTCCAGCAAGGCTCTCGCCAACCGCGCCCCGGCATCATTGCCAAGTCAACCAGTGAGCACTGGGAGCGTGTTGCGGCATGCATGAAGCAGCTCTTCCAGCGCGCGAGCGTGCCAGACAGCATTGAGTTCCGGAATGATCTCGTGCGGTAGGTTGTTATGTGAAGCGTTTTGCATGCTTTGCTGGTTTTCCATGTTGCTCTATCGGACGGAGGGTCTAGAGTCGGATGCCCTCTCCTCTTTGTTTTTCTCACCCAACCAACGTTCTGGCTGCAGATTGACCGCCAAGGCCGAAAATGAAATTTTCGTGCTGCTCAAATTTAAGGAAATCATGACCAAGGGCATGATCATTTTGCGCGAGCAGTTCAAGGACGTGGCCGAGAGTCGGTTATTTGTCGAGCGAATGGGGCACATCTGGACTGTCTTTTACACGCAAATTCTCCCAGAACTCATGGCAACCTTCCAACCCGTTGCGCATGATACCAGCTCGGACCTTGGCATTCGACGCGTGGCGTTGAGTTCATGGCGCGATCACATCCTCCTGAACAGTGTCATTCGGCAAAAGGTCGAAGGTATGTCAACGCGAACGATTCCCTTTGATTGTTTTCGCTGCTTTTTTTTGTCGGCAAAAAGCTCCATGTTCTCTCATCCATCTTTTTGATTGGCATTTTCTTGCGTTTGTGCTTACACTCTAATCCCTCTCGTCAGATGCTATTGCCGCTCGAGTGGTTTTCTCTCCAACCTTTTTGCAAATGCTGCTTGTTCTGCAGTCCATCCAGGAAAACAATTCCAACGAGCAAGCAGTGTACGCCGTTCTGTCTGGGCTGGGCGTTCCATACCTGCACGTGGACGATCCCACAGCATCGCGCATGTACACGCGCTCAATCTCAGAGTCGTCATTGAAGACGATGGTCGCGCCCGATGCGGAAACGCCTCCACCCAACGAAGCAGCCTCCCACTTTGCAAGGCACACAATGGGTCGAACGAGCCGTAAATCGTACGCGAGCGATCGTGACCTGGTTTCTTGAGCAAAAGAAGCAGCAGGTCGATGCGATGTTATTTTTGGGGGGACACTCTTTTTCGGGTTTTGTCTGGCGCAACCCTTTTGCCGCACCGTTGTGGTCGCGGAATGATTGCTACTTGGATGCGAGTTCAGTTCTGTTTCGATTCGACTTTTACACTTTGTCCGTTTTGCTGCCGTTGTTGCTTGAATACATCTCAGGTTTGTGTAGACTTCCCACTGCGCGTTTGTGTGAACCGCTTGTTTGCGAACACTCCAGACACCCCCATCGTTTGTCCAACAACAGTACATGTTTTTGCCATTCTCCAACACGACCAAACACTCACACTGAAGCAAAAGTATCATCATCAACAAAATCATCGCGGCGGCGGACGACTGTCATTTGGTTTGCCTGCTGCGTCATCCAAATCCCGGAATCCCAGCTGCTTGAGATCTTCTCGAGTCATCAAATCACTACAAATGCATTCGAATCACCATGTCATGGTCATAGTCAGGAACATTCGGTTTGGTTGCTTCAATCCTTGAACCCCGGAACCTCGCGCTTGCCCCCCCCCGCCTCCTCCCAGGATCTCAACCAAACGAAAAACCAAACGAAACTCAACTTGTCCATTCTGCACTTGAGGTAGTCGCGCGACTCGATGCGACATGCGCTGCTGTTCTGCTTGTTCTCGCGCATGCAGGCCATGAATCGACGCATGGCATCCTTGCACTCGCCTATTGACAGACAGTTTAGCTTTTGTCGATCAGATCAAGATCAGCAGCAGTACATCTCAACAGCAATCAAATATACCTTCGTGGTCGAGCGGGAAGCTGCCCTTCTCTGGCGGCCTTGGCTTTGGTCCTTTGGCTGGCTGGCTCATTGATGAAAGACTGAGCAAGTTAAGTTCAGAAGTTTTGCTTTCGATATTCTATCGTGTGAATTTGCATCGTTGGTACAGTTTACTTAAGGATATGAGTACGTTAGCGCAGGTTTCTGAGCAGCTCAGTCCTTTCTTCCGACTTTGGAAAAATCTCCGTCTTGTTCTTCAGCACCCGGCTTTTCGTCCTGAATTCCACCACACTCGCACCCTTCCAACTGCAACGATGCCGTCTCATGCATTCAATGTCGCAATGACCTGCGAGGGCTGCGCAGGCGCCGTTCGCCGCAATCTCGCAAAGCTTGAAGGTAAGCAACGACCGACCAATCGCGAGCAAGCGCGTCCCAAGCGCATTCGGGATCACACACGTCCACCCCCGAACCGACCTGCGTGAGACCAGAAAGAGCCCAATGACTGGAGTGAGAGTGAGTGAGCGAGTGAGTCAGTGAATGGCTCGCCGTCGTTGTGCGGTTTGTGAGTGCTTTGGTTCGATAGGAAAGGGGCGAAATAGCATCACTGTGAGCAGCCCGAGTCGCCCGTCCTAGCAAGGAACGGACTCTTTTTGTTTACATGTGGCGGATTGTGTGGCGTGAGGTTTGGGACGCAGGGGTGGCACGAGGAGGAGTGACTCGAGTCACTGGCTCAGCTAAACCTCAAAGGCAGTGAGCGGCAGAAATGGGTTGTACGCTGGAGCCTTGCAGAGACAAAGATAACAGTCATAGCACTGGTGCATGTTGATGAGGACTTTGTGTATGTACTCTGGCTGCGGGTTGAATGGGGGAGGAGGAGGAGGCAGGGGGTCGCGGTTGAGTTTTAGCCAAAATCGCATTCAAACTGACATCCAACGCACACCACACAGAACACTGATGATGATGATGATGATGGTGATGATGATGAGTTCGATTATTATTTACTAACACTATCTGCGGCCGAAACTTCAAAACAGGCATCGAGAAGGTCGACACGCTGGTCGCCGATCGCAAGGTTGTCGTGAGCGGCACCGCTTCGTCGGACGACATGCTCGCTGCCATCAAGAAGACGGGCAAGGAGTGCTCGTACATTGGCCAAGTCTAAAAAAAATGAAAGCCCACGTCTTTGTTTGCTACGCAGGCGTATGCAAAGCGTGCCGCACACGGTTGTTGTGCCATCTTTATCATTTTGATCGAAAGGTGCATTTGTTTTTTTTGTACATCATCTTTTGTCCACATTCTGAAAAGTTTTTTGTCGCATGTCATACATATCTACGTGCAGAAAGCTTTTGCAGGGTGCGAGGGTTTGACAAAGTGCTGTCAGACAACGAGTTTCCTGAAAAGCAGTTTGCACATCTGCCCACGTAAAGAGCCAACCGTCAAGCTTTGGTACCCCGATGAATCGTCATGATCATCATCAACAGCTCTCTCGCAAACAACAGCTGTGCAAATTCGTTGATCTAGCCTGACTTCGTCCCTCTTCGAGGGTTGTGTGCGTCCGGATCACCTTCCCACACATTTTGCACTGATTTTGAGCCCCCCCCCCCAATAAAAAAGATTGTTGAAGTTGTTTGAAGGTTATGTGCAGTCTCGTTGTCGAGCAGTACAATTCGGGCTAGAGCTGATTCTTGTGTAAATGTCGAAGGTTGAAACCTTCCGTTCATTTTGGCATCAAACGGTCTCCCCACCAACGGCACAAGACCATGTCTCTTTTTTTTTCTTTTGCCTTCGATAGCAGCACCTTTTCCGAGCAGACCTTACATTTCACCCCGACCAATTCTGTCTGAGCGCTCAGTTCATTCTTTGTATTTTGTTGTTTCTCTCCAAGTTCAACCAATGCCTTCGGTCCACACCAGCACCTACGAGCTCGTGCTCGCTCCGATCGCGCAAGCAGTCGGTGAGCTGGTCGTCATTGAAGAGGAGGCCGTGCAGCACAAGTCGCCCTTCCCCGACATGACGGCAACCGGCTCCATGATTGCCAAGTCAACTGCCGAACTAATCAAGATTGCCACCCGCGTGAAGGCGACCACCACCGATCGCCAGACACAGGACGCCATGACCCCCGCCATGGTTCTCTGCGAGGAGTCTGCCAAGCAGGTATGATGAACGAGGCAAGAGTCGAGAGGTTGGGAGGAGAAGGAGGTGGGGGAGAAGGGCGCGAGTGTTCCGCCTTTTTCATTGATTGACACGATGAGTCGACAGAGGAGAGAAGCAGCAGCGATTCTGAATCCAATCACCGCTCTAATTTGCTTCTTCAAGCAGTGGGACTGTGTGTGTGTGGGATGCAGCGAAACGGACGATCAAAAGCGTGCTGGGCGTGTGTGCGACACACTGGAACTTTGCGCTTTTTTCCGTTTTGCTGATCTAGGACCACTTTTGTGGATACTTTTGTGGATACTGAGCGACCGAGACTTGGTCGCATCCGTTGCGCCATCTCTCTCTCTCTCTTTCCTTCTCCACACAATGAGCTACAAGTGACTTGCGTCATTGGAATGAATGTGAACGGAAGGGGAGCTTTTTAAAAAAAACAAAAAAAAAATCCAGGAACGGTTTGACAGTGATGAATTCGACAAGTTGTCATGGCTGGGCAAGCATTGGACCACCGCTGGCCCTGAATGCCTGGCCTTGTCGCTTTGTGGGGGGGGGGGCTTTGTCTGTGTGCGTTTACCAATATGTGCAAAGCGGCGCGCAGTGACAACAGCCAACAAAAATGAACAAAAAGCAAAAAAAAAAGAAAAAAATCCAAAAAAATCCATTCGCACGCCTCTTTTTTAGATCTTGCTGTGCGTCATGGGGTTGTGAATCGGGTGTGTGGGCGGTGAGATTGTGGTGTGCGCGTGTGTGTTCAAGACAAGCACCAGGCAGGACAACCCCGCTTCCAGCAGCCGCCGATCGCAACACGCAGCAAAATGCACAAACAACAGAGCTTTTTTTTTTTGACAGGTCATTTTTTTTTTTTTTTTTTTTTTTTTTTGCTTCAACATTCAAAAAAGCACGGAGCGAAAAATGGTCACTTTGTTAGTTCTCCGTAGCTTTGATCGCTGCTTTCAGCCAAACAAAACTCATACAACGGCTCAACCATCCATCTCATCCAAAAATGGGGCGTTGAATATTTTCTTATGATCTTTTGTTCTTTGAATCATCACTTTGCTCTGACAAGTAACATCCGCTCACAAAGTCATGAATACTGCCAACATCACTAACACATGTTATTGTTTTTGGTATCGCTTGTATCCTGACAGTTCGTCGAGAGCACGGTCGCACTGCGCGACAACCCGCGCAACGAAGAGGCGGCGGCATCGCTGTCGCGCGCAGCAAAGGCGCTGCTGGATGGCACGTCGCGAGTGCTGCAGGCGTTCGACGACAACGAGGTTCGCCGTATTCTGGCCATCTGCGATCGCGCGCTGGAGCAGATTGCCATTCTGGCCAAGGTCAACACGATTCCCGAGCTCGCTGCCTCGCTGAAGCCCGCTGTGGCTGCGCTGGTCGACGTGGCCAAGGCCACCGACCGTCGTGCCACCGAGCTGACGTCGCTGACGGTGCAAAACCAGCTGCTGTCCGCCAACGAGGTCATCAAGACCTGCTCGCCCAATATTGTCAGCAGCATCAAGCTGTACTGCACCACCCGCAGCAGCCAAACGGAGGCCGAGCGCGAAAAGTCAGACATGTCGATTGCCACGCGCTCCTCGAAAGAGTTTGTGACGGATCGCGTGCGTGACGCCGTGCTCGAGATTCGTCGCATCATGCAGCTCAAGTTTGTCTACGACGAGGACATTGACGACGCATACGTCATTGCCGGCGGTGTCGTGACCTCGGGTGGCGCGTCGTCCACTGCGGCCACCGCCCAGACCCTGCAATTCCTGCAGGGCGGCGCGGGCGGCAAGCACGGCGCCAACCGCCAAATGCACACGCTTGCTGTCAAGTACGGCGAGCAGCTCGCGCTGTTCAAGGCCATCCAAGAGGGCCTGGTGACCATTTCCCACAATGTTCTGCGCCAGGACAAGGCCAAGGTGCTGGAGAATGGCATGAAGCTTGAGGCCGACTGCGAGAAGGTCAGCATGAAGGCCATGGAGCTTGACGTGCAGTCCCGCAACGTCTCCGCCATCGGCAACAGCTTTGGTGGCTCCTCCAAGGCCCTCAACAAGCTGGGCGCCGGAGAGAACGGCAGCCTCCTGCAGACGGCCATCTCGCAGCTTGCTCAAGCCCGCCGCGAGATGATGAGCAGCGCCACGCAAGTTGCAGATGACACGAGCGACGAGGCAAGCCGTCGCGAGCTGCAGGCAAAGGTCGCGCACATGAGCGAGAAGGCGTCGCAGCTCGAGGTTCTTGCCACGGCCCAAGCCATGGAGAACGCCACCATGATTCTGCAAGAGCTGCACAGCCCGCTTCGCGAGATGATCAACGCCGCGCACCAAGGCAACCCGCCGGCGCACGGTCTCGCGTCAGACCGCTTCAAGGCCGTCTCGGTCCAGCTCGGCAAGTCGATCCAAACCACCTGCGCATACACGAGCGACCCCGAGCGCGCCAAGCGCCTTGACCAGCGCTGCGCCGCCCTGCTGAAACTCGTTCCCGAGCTTCAGAACGCGACGCGAGCCGTCGCCGTCATCAATCACGACATTGAGGCGCAGCGCAACAAGAACAACGCTGCCGTCGTTGCCGCTGTCCGTGGTGAAGGCGACGCCGAGACCAGCGGCAGTGGCGGTCAGGGCTCTTCGGAGAGCACCATCGGGGCTGCTGCCAACGGCCCCGCCGCTTCGCACCAAGTTGCCACCCTTCGCGGTACCGAGGACACTCAAAACCTGCTCAAGAAGGCTGCCGTCGAGCACATGGACACAATGAAAGCAGAGTGGGACAGGGCCCTGGCTGCACTGGAGCGCGTTCTTGACGATGTTGCTGCTCCGAATAGCATGTTTGATGTTCTGGGTGAGTTTTTCAGGGCAGTATCCTGACTTGTGGGGGGGGGGTCTGCGCGTTTGTTTGTTGCTTGTACCTTAGTTCATTTCTTGTCGACTCTGCTCATGTTCTGCTGTTTTGTTTTTGCTGTTTCGCAGCCGATGACCTCAAGAACCACCAACTCGCCGACTTTATTGCCGCCGTCGAGAGCGGGGACCAGGCCAAGTTTGATGCGGCTTTGAATGCTCTCAACGAGCGTGTCAGCCACATTATCATCCAAGCCAAGTCCGAGGCGGCGCGTACCGGCAACGCCGAGTTTATCAAGACTGTCGACCGACTGTGCGAGGCGCTTGAGAAGTGTAAGGGGGGGGTTTTTGCAACTTGAACAGCGTCGGCGCTTGAGAGAAATGTGGAAAACAAAAGGTCTCACCATTGCTTCTTGTCCGACTTTGGACAATCAGCGCGCGATCACCTTGTTCAGACTGGTCGCGAGGCGCTCCTGAACCCGACCGCCGAGAACAAGGCGGCATTCAACAAGGCCCAGCACCAGTTTGCTCTGGCTGTCACCAACATTGAGATTGCCCTCCGGTCCAAGCCCGCTCCCGGCGAAGGCGAAGACGGTCTGCCTTCTGTGCCGCGCCACAAGGTCATGGACCAGATTGACCAAATCTTCCGTCGCATGGTACAGCGTTCTTGTTGAAAGGATGAGTATTGTTGGTGACTTGTGCTTTACACTCACTGTCGTTCCATCTGGCTGGCAATCATTGTGCCCCTTTCCCCACCCCTCCCCCAAATCCTCCACAGGCCCCAGTACCCAAGCCCGTCGTTCAGTTTGTGCAGCCCGATACCAGCCAGATGGACAAGGAGGCTGCTGCAAAGGCCGAGGCTGAGGCTGCCGCCCGCCGCGCCGCCGCCGAAGCCGAAGCCGCCGCCTTGGCCGCAGCAGCTGCTGCCGAAGACGACGTCGAGTCCGAGTCAGAGGAGGAGGAAGAAGAAGAGCAAGTCAGCGACAAGCTGCAGCAAATCAAGGTAAGGTGGTGGTTGTTGTTTTGCGCTGGTTTTATGCATTTCTGCGTTTGGTACTAATCTTGCGGTCTGCGGCAAAAAAACTTTCAGGATGCCGCGAAGGAGCTTCGAGCAGAAGCTCGCAAGTGGTCGAGCAAGGGCAACGACCTTATCGCCCTCGCCAACGAGCTGGCCCAGCTCATGTTGGAGATGGCCGACCACGCTCACCACTTCCGCAAGGCCGAGCTCGTCCGCACTGCCAAGCTCATGTGCGCCAAGATTGTTGTAAGTGCTGCTCGAGTTTGTGGTTGAACGCTCCCCAGCGAACCCCCCCCCACACAACAAAAAACAAACAAACAAACAAACAAACAAACAAACAAACAAACAAACAAACAAACAAACAAACAAACAAACAAACAAACAAACAAACAAACAAACAAACAAACAAACAAACAAACAAACAAACAACAAACAAACAAACAAACAAAAAAAAAACCCCAAAAACTAACAAACTTGCCTCGATTTCCTCTCATCTCTGCTCCCCGCACCCAGGAAATCGAACGCATTGCCCGCGAGATTGCCAAGAACTGCCCGGACAAGCGTCTGTCCAAGCAGTTGCTCGATTACGTCGACCGCGTTCCTACCATTTCCAACCAACTGCGTGTCATCTCGTCCGTCAAGGCTGCCAACCCCAACGATGCCGAGACTGACTCTCAGCTCGTGGTGTGCGCTCGCAACTTGATGACCAACGTTACGCACGTCGTCAACCGATGCGAGGCAGCGTGCGTCGCTCGCCAGCAGATTGTCGGCGATTCCAACGCGCCCAAGACAGGCCCCAAGCTCCAGTGGAAGCGCCGCCTGACGACCAAGCGTTCCTCGTCCAAGGATGCCGTTGCTGATGCTTAAACTCGACACTGTAATCGTTTGGACAGAGACAAGCTCAAACCTCGAATTATCTGCGTGTTGTGGTTGTGATCGGAACCATTTTTTTTTCTTTGGGTGTTGGTTGTCGTTTTCTGTTTGTTGGTCTTCTTGAATGTTTGCCTTGACTCGCTTCATTGTGTGTTTTCAGTTCACCATGCGCTCCTCTGGGATTGCACCTCTGGATTGATTTTGTTTGTGTCCGACCCATTTGTTTGTTTTTTTGGATGAATTTACTTTGCCTTCTTTTGGATTTTTCCAATTCCAATTCCAATTGTAATTCCAAAACAGTTCCAAGAACAATCCTATTGACGCTCAACACTACACTTCAAGCAGCATTCACAACACAGCTAACGCAATAACGAGTTCAACGCATTCACGACAAACACCAGCAGCTCGCAGCTGCAAAATAATTTCAACACACCAGTTCTCGCTTTGTTCATTCTCGAGAACAAACTAAAGACCTCCGCAACATCTTCTCTCACATCCACGCGTGTGATCAAAGTCCACCAAAACAGAAAGAAAGAAAACAAAAGCAAAAAAAAAAAAAAACAAACAAACAAAAAAAAAAACAACAAACAACAAAAGCAAAACGGCTCTACACGTCATCTTCGTCGTCGGCCGAAGACAAAATCCTTGAACGGGCAGTCGGAGACATGTACATGACCATGCTTGGGCTGCTGACAGACTCAATCATGGACGAGTTGCCATCAAACTCGGCTCCGCCCAAGCTGATCACGCTTTGATCAAGCGTGGGGTCCATTTCGGAGGCCGTATTGATGCTAGTCATGCTGACAGCGCTCGAAAGAGTCGATGGCTCATCGTCGTCGTCGTCGGCCGGGAGCGGAATGCCGTGGCTAGGATCGACATCAAACTTTGGTGCTGCAATCGTGGGCACAGTCGAAGAGCGGCTCTTGAGGAAGGAGGGCTTCTCGCGACGACCGTTCGCGGTAGGTGTGCTGGGCGTAGCTGCGGCCTTGGCGGTCTTATTACGAACAGACTCGCGGGCATTGCTGTACAGCGACGCGCTGGACGTGTTGCGGCTAACACTGGCGCTTCGACCCTTGCTCGATCCAAAGCCCATTGCCATGCTCATGGTGCTGGAAATGCTGATGCTATCGTCATTGTCAGGGTCCATACGCATGCGGCTGCGCGAGTGCCCGTTCATGTAGTCACCGCCGTCCATGCTAATGTCGTCGCCGTCGAACGCGTCCAAGTCGTGCAGCGATGCAATGGCGCCGTGCTCCTGCTTGACCGTGTCAGACAGCTGACGAGTCGTGGTAATCCACGCGTGCAACTCGTGGCGGTTTGGCACTTGCACAGTTCGGTGCACCTGCTTCTTGTTTGGTCCTTCGGTGAAGTGGAATCGAAGCACGTTTTCTGAACGGTGGTTGGAAAGGGCATGGTGTGAGCAAAGTGTTTCCCCGAAACAATCGGATCACAAGAGACATGTTTTTGGAGTCAACATCTCCCCAATCAACAAAAGGGTTTTCCGAACAGTAGTGAATCTTACCATTGATGCCACCATCGCCACCCAGGTCGGAAATGGAGCGGATACTCAGGGATTTGCCAAAGCGACCCGTGTCGTTCTCGACGGCTTCCACCTCCAGATCGACAAGGGGAACAACCTGTAAAACCAAGTAGACAAGACACAGTTGGTCAGTCATGAGAACAATACTCGAACACAAAACGCGAGCCACACAACAATTTTCGACATCCAGCCCCCGAAGCCTTACATCGCGAACAGCATAACGACGCACGCCGCCCTTCGTGACCAGACGGGTGAACATGAGCATGCGATCAAACAAGAAGGCATGCAGATCGTGACCGTCGCGAGCACGCATGCCACCTTCAAGAACGAGCATGTACGAGTCATTGACGAGATCAATCTCTTGTTCCTTGGAGGCAAACAGCAAAGCCGAGTTCAGTTGGGTCAGCTTGGCCATGCCAGTCTGAGAGTCCACGTCTCGGATGACTTCTTCCGTTTGGGCGATGGCAGCGACAATCTTGCTGTGATCGGGGTGCTCTGGCGGCGTATGCTTGAGCACCGCGCTCAGCAGCAGCGGGTACTTTTGGAGGCGGCGACGAGGCTCATCCAAGAAGCTCCACATGTCCAGCTTGCGGCACTGGGCGAGGTCGATGCACCGACGCAAGAGATCGGCAACGTTGCCGTTCGTCTTGCTGATGCGGTCGACTTCGTCCTTGGCAACCGAGCGCTCACCGCAGTAAGTGCCGTAGATGGAACGGAAGCGCGGGAACTGTCATGGGGTTCAAGGCAACAATGACAGAGTAAGAAGAAGAATCTGGCGGCGGCGAAATGCCCGCCCTCCAAGAAAACGAAGCGCTGCACACACTTACCCATTGGAGGAAAATGTCGCCAATCTCGTGGACGAGGTTGTTTTCCTTACGGGCAGCAACGAGAAGCTTGCACATTTCGGTGTGCGGGGAGACCAGCTGTTCAATGTTGCCAAAGATGATCTGCAACTCTGCCGCTGAAACCATGTTGAGCTTCTCCATGGGCTTCTTGAAGACGTTCACCAAGAGGGTCAGGTCGGCGACATAGCCTTCTTCCGATTGGATGATCTCGTGGATGACCTACGTGATCACGACGACGAGTGAATAACCAAAAACGCACAACATCCACAGCACGCAGAAACTTTTGACTCTCAATAATGACTCCCACAGGGACAACGTCGTGCCTACCTCCTGACGCTTGGCTTCCTGGCGAGGCACTGTCGCATAGAATGCCGGGTCCACGGTGGAGCTCCAGAGGTCTGACTTGTGCACGGAGGCCTCCTTGCGCATGCTGCTGCGACCAGGAGTGTTGCGACGGAGGCTCTCGTACTTTTGGTACTCCTTGTAGGACGTGGGTCCTTTGCTCGGGCTGGGCGACACGAGCATGGCGGTCCGCTTGACAGGGGTGGACGTGACGGGTGCCATCGGCGTGCTCGGCGTGCCAGGCGCCTCGGGGGTGGACGAGCTGTCCTTCTTCTTGCTGCTCGGCGAAAAGCCAAACAATTGCCTCAGGCGGCTCTTGCTCTTCGGCGTGGCAATTTGGCGCGGTGTCATGGGCTCCTTGGAGGTTGCCTCTGCGAGCGGGGTTGGGCACTCGGACGAGATTTCGCTCGACTTGCGCTTGCGATTTGGGCTGTACGACAATAACAAAACAGCAATAATTTTCAGTCAAAGGTTTAACACAACGGCGACAATTGTACAATGCATAGAAAGCTTTTTTTTTTTTAAAAAAAAAATAATGAAGAAAGTCGGATTCTGGTTTGAAACCGTTTTTGATTTTTTTTCTTCGTTTCATTTTTTTGAAACCGTTTCAAATTTTTTTGGTTTTTGCATTTTGAATTGCGGTGGAACTTTGAGTTTGGAGCGACAACCGCAGCGTCGAGTCAAGTCACCAGGATGTGTGACAAATCGAGCGGACACCAACTGTATTGACTGCGGACACTGCTTGCTTGCGGGCGACAGCAAGCGGCGCGAAACGGTGGCTGGGTTTCAGTTTTGTTGTTGCGCTGCTCTTCTCTGCTTCACTTTCAACAGAGGTCCGTCCCGCAGCCGAGTGCCGAGCACCGCGCTGCAATTCTCAGAGTATATAGCTTGGTTATCCAATGACAAAAAGAATGAAGGCGGCCGAAGCGGTCGGAACTGACTCGCAACCATTACCTGCAGGGTGAACCGTTTCCGGTGCCGGCAACGTTCTCATCGCCCGCGGCCGTCATTCGACGGAGAACCATCGGAGAAGCCATTGCTGAAAGATGTAAAATGAAATAAAGAAGAATGCCAAATTAAAAGAAGTGGTCAACGAGTGTGAGGCTATGCGTAGAAGCGCAACAAGCTCAAAGCAGCGGGTTTTGAAAAAAAAAAAAAGCAAAGAAGAGAGAGTGAGGTGAGCAAAGCCCCATCAGCGCAATTTGCAAGGAGAATCATCGTATGCATAGTACGAGTATGACTTAAGTACATTGATACGGAAAAAAACACACAAAACCTCTACCCCGACGTGGACTGCACACACAACAGCCGTTCCCTCTTTTTTCGAGGGTCCAGCCGATTGTGTGTGTCCGGATTGTATTTTCACTGATTTCCCACTGTTTTTGGGACCCCCCTTGATTAAAAGGATTGCAAAAGATTTTTTGGATTTGTTTGAAGCTTGTTGATCAGTCAAACAGTGCAAGTCGGGGTAGAGGAACGCACTACGAACCCTTTTCGAGTTCTATAAAAACAAGCCTTTACTGACATAACAGGAAATGCAAAATTGGTGGGATCAGACGATAGCAGCAGGGTTTTGATTCGGGAAAATCGCGAAATCTATGCGCAAGGCAAATTGCTGGACGTTCCGGACATTCGCGGGCACAGCCCGAGCAGTCTGAAACACGTGATGATCGGTGGTGTGGTAGGGCTGCGGCCGAAAGGTATCGAAAAGTTCAGAGGGCACCACAAAGTACAATTGGGCGACGCTTCCAGGTGGCAAACGAGCAATGGCCTCGCTCAAGCGTTGCGCGATGACAGGATGGTCCCGACTGACGGTCATCTGCAAGAACATATAGGGCGAGTTGCGGTTGTTGTTCGGCGAGATGATGGCGTCGATGGCCGGAAAATTGCCGTGATCTGGTTGAAAGTAGCGATTCGGGAGATTGAGATTAACCTGGTCCAGCTGGAGGAAGCGGACGGATGTGAGCGGCGGAAGGACCTGATTGGTTCTTTGGTTGTTGGACAAGTTTCGAACGTTGAAAGATCCGCCCTGACGGATGAGACGATGGGCGAGCCTCTCAAACAAATGCCCACGAAGCGCGCCAGGCTCTGCAAGGTCGGCAGACGCACGCAAAAAGCTGACGAGGTTGTCGCGTTCGTTGGCAAGCGCAAGAGTCAGAAAACTGTCGGCCACCCAATTAGACGCAAACAGTAAATTGTACAACGAGAAGGAACGATCGTCTGCTTGGACATGGACGTGAAGGATTCGGTGTGAAAAATCTTGCGCATCAGCAATCTGACCCACAGCGCTGCGGACCGTCTGGATATTGCAACGACCAAGCGCCTCGTTCAAAAGCAGTTCGGAATACGGCAGAGTCATCCCATCATCGAGAACCTCGCGCGCGATGCCGCCCCAGCGAAAAAAACGCTGTTCGGCAGCTAGAACTTGCTCGGGAGTCGCGTTCCGTTGCTGGAGGCGAGCAAGCAGCTCGTTCCACGACCACACTGGCATGAACATCCTAGGATAGGCGTCTTTCTGGACCTCCTTGTAAAAGTCGCGGCGCGGCGAGGTGACGAGCAGGGTGTAAGCACGGTAGATACCAGCGGGATGGCCATCGACAAGGTACCAGAAATCGGCGCGGCGGTCGTCGAGACTGTCGTAAAAGCTGTCCAGAGCAATGCTGCCTTTCAAAACCTCTCGGTCAGGCCGTAGGAGGTAGCGAATGGTGGCTGGCTGCTGCTGCGGCGCTGGCTCGTAAACCAAGGTCAGCCGAGGGTGTCGCTGGAACAAGCGATAGACAAAGTACGCCGAAAAGAACGTCTTGCCGGTGCCTGGATTTCCAGTGACAATCCAGCTGTGCTTTGCTGCTGGCGCAGAGTTTGCTGCTGGCGCAGAGTTTGCTGGTGGATTGATGATCGCATCGAACATTGCATCGTAGCAACTGCGGACCATGAGGACCGATCCAAGTTTCTCGTTCCCAAGCCAGAACACGCCGTCAGGCAGGGTCAAGAACCTTGGTTCATTGGCTCGAAGCGGCTGCCCAGGAACATGAGCCACTGCGACCATCCGGTTGGTGTTAGGATCCAGTCGCAAGACCTGCTCGGTCACTTGGTTGTCAAGAAGGGCTCGCCAAAATCGGACCAGCGAGTGGTTTGTTTCCACTACCAAGAAGTTGAGAGACGGAAAGTGAGCATTTTCAACGCCGTATCTGTTCAACACAAGCATGTCGATAGAATGGTAGACATACAGAGCACCGAGCCTTGTGCGGCTGGGGCTGGGTTGAGACAAGCGAACAGCTGTTGACGAACTGCCGCGAGGTCGGTGCTGGTCGTGCTGATGATTGCCAACAGTTGCCGCGCGTCTTCCTCATACTGCTGTGCGTCTTGAAGGAATCCTGCTGCACGGGCGGTAGCAGCAAGCCGCCGAAGCTCCCGCCGTTCCTCTCGGTCGGCTGCCAGAGCTTGCGTCATTTCAGCGATCGCTTGTTCGAGTTTTGCTTGCTCGGTGCTTGCTGAAGCAAGTGCGCCCTGGCTCGAACTCATGTGCGCGGGTACTGGAGTTGATCAATAGCTGATTTGCCGAGGAAAGAAGGTGAGTGGACGCGAGGTGAACGGTTTGTTGGCTTCTCGAGGAAAGACCAACAACACAAACCAAAAAGACGAACTGAACAAGACTGCATTTGCTCGAGGAACCAGCCGGATCATACATGTATACATTGTCACAAATTATTCGAAGCTTGTTCGATCAGTCAAACAGAGCAAGCCGGGGCGAGAAGGGATGAGATTTTTGTGGGAGTAGAGAGGTGGCCGCTGACGGCCACTCGATTTTCTCTGAAGTCGCTGGTTTCATCATTGAACCGAGCAATCTTCTTGGATACTTTCTCAATCCGATCAATGTAAGCAGCCAGAATGAACATCAACCCAATCTCCAAACGTCTTTTTATCAAACAAGACCTGAGTGAAGTCACAGAATTCAAAAAGACCGGGAACGTTCCCGCTGGCGTTTCCCTCTCGTTTCGCGGTGAAATGGAAGGATTTTCACCTTCGAACCAGAACAATACGCCTAAATCCCTACGGGTTCCATAATGAATGGTAAAATGGTAATCATGAGATATCACCATAATCGACCCACCATTGTGATCGACTTGATGTGGCCAATAATAGTGTCAGAGGAGTGGCGGTGCTCAGATGAGCGGTTTTCTCAGAAAATCGAAAAATCAAAATGGCCTCGAGGCGACCGCAAAACAGCGCCACAAGCGTTCTTCCAGGACCAGTGCAGCAGAGCATCATAATCTTTGCTCAACTTTGCACCCCCCGCATTTTCGAGATCGAGCACACCGACTGCCTAGGGTGCATCGCGTACTATTACGGCGAGGAAGCGCGCAGGATAGAAACACTGTTTTGACCCCCAGAAGAACGCCACAACGCCGGTCGCCATTGCCGAGCTCGATTTCCGACGTGTCCAGTCGGTGTCGGACCGCGCACTTTTCAGGGGTGATTACAGATGATATTTACAACCGTTTTGGCTCAATGGCGGGGCGATCGCGGTGGGGAGCGATTTTGTGTGAAGCTGGATCTTTACCACTTTGGGCTGGATTGAGCCACTCTTTTCTGTTGTTCTTCAGAGCCATAGGTCTCAGGTCGATTCTTGTACTTTTCCGTCCTCACGAGACCGACCAGACCTGCAACACACACACACACGTCAAGCAATTCATCCAAGCATAAGAACCCGACACACAAGAGCCAGCGAGCGCACGAGGCGAGATGGAGGAGGACGAGGAGATCCAGCCGCAACCAAGCTACGAGACATGCAGTGTGCGGCTGGTGGTCCTTCACGACCTCGTTCCCGACGCCAGCCAGGATCGCTTCATGGATCTGGATGTACCTGTTGCCCAGCCAGAGGCGCTGCCAACGTACGGCGATGTGGAGCGAGCCTTGCAGACCCATGACTTTAGAGAAGTTGCCTTCCGCCCAAACCCTCAGTTTTGGTGTCCAGTCGTTGGCGTCAAGAACAAGTTCTACCCGTCAAACAAGACGATTGCACACCCCGAATGCGTTCATCTTTCTGTCAGGTTGCGTTGCCCCTGTTGCAAATCCAACATCCCGCGGTCGCGATTTCACAGCGCGAACAAAACTTGAGATTGTCTTCCGTGCAACCCGCGTCCACCGACTTGGCCGACGACGAAACTAGCGTAATGCAAGATGATAGGGACGACATTCTTGAATCTCTTAACGACCAAGACGGGCACGACGAAAACTGCCGCTCAAGAACGCCTCGGAAGCGCAGGGGAGTCCATCTCACCAAGGAGGAGCGAGACAGACTTCCGCAGTGGAGCCCTAGTACGACGCTCATTCCTGTTCGAACACGCCGTTGGTATTGCTTCAATAGACGCGATCCGTCGAGGCCGCCTACGACCGTGCCAGACACACCAACTCTCCAACAACGATTTATTCGCGCCTGCTCCAGCAAGAAGCGAGTTGACAACAACTTTCAGTTACGTCCGGAGCTCGGCGCCGGATCCTGCAGTTTCGGCCTGAGATTGACGGAGCTTGGCCAACACACGCACGGCGAGCTGCACCTTATTGGGTTCAAGCTCGAGCAGATGGGTCGCCACGACATGGCTTGCACCGACGGCTCGCTCGCTTTCAAGCAGCGCGCGCATCCTGAAATCAAAGAGTGGGTCATGGATCTGGTGCGCAAGGGGTGCTCGGAGGCGTCCATTGTAGCGCAGTTGGAAGGGCCAACTCTCAACCCGCCGCCTCGCCCTCTTTCAAGTTGGAACGTACCGTACACTTCTGGTCGCTGGTATCCCACCAAAGACGCAATTCGCATGATGATAGTCAACTCAAGCAGCGAGAAGCTACATGGAACCGACCAGCAGCGCATCGACCAATTTCTCGCGTCAACCTCGTCGTATGCCTGCTCTCACCCTCACTCGCTCTACCAAGATGGGCAGTGCCCCGGCGAAAGCCAATACGGCGACAAAAGCGATGTCATTTATCATCAATTTGTTCACTGCGACTGCCAGAGCTGCCTCGAAATCCCCCTGAGGGAGTCGAACATTCTGATTTTAATGACGCCTTGTCAGCGGGCAACGTGGGACGCCCTTCGTCCCAAGGTCCTGTTCCTGGATTCAACCTTCTCAGTCAACCGCTACGACTGGGCGACAACAGCACTCGTTGCTGCTGACGAATCAGGCGCTGGTGTTGTGCCGCTGGCGTTCATGATCTCCGACAGAGATCGCGAGCATGAATATGCGCGGTTCTTGTCCGAGGTCAAGCACGCCGTAGGTGAAGCGTTTAATCCGGTGCGCATCGTCATCGACAAATGCGGCGCTGAGCGAAACTGCATCAATCAGGCGGTGCCGGGTGTGCAGGTGGCAACTTGCTGGTTTCACGTCTGCCAAGCGGTGGAGCGCCAGTACCCGGGCAGACTAGATCTTCTCTCGTGTATGGCTAAAATGCGGTATGCCAGGAATGCACAAGAGCTGAAGGACGCGAGCAACAGCTTGCTCAATGCCGCCGGCGAGTTCCAAGGTTATTTTCTGTCTCAGTGGCTCAACGAACGAGATATTAAAACCTGGACGCTCTTCCACCTTGGCTTGGTGCGTGATGCGCTGGATCAAGGCCACACCAACAATTTGATTGAGCGGTAAGCTTGTGATGATTGTGAGTCGCTTGTCCCGTGCCGAACTTTGGAACCTTGTTGACATGTCATTGCGACTTGCCTCCCCCATAGCTTTTTCGGCACGTTCAAGTACAAGTTTCTGAAAGGTTACCGCATGCACGATTTGGCAGGTCTCGCAATCAGGATTGTTCGGGACACGAACCAGCACTTCTGTTTGCAACGCCAACGCCAGCTACTCGACAAGCCGAATGTCGCCTTCCTTCCAAAGTTCCGCTCCTTACTGCTTGAGAAAGAGATGCACGCAGAGAAGCTCGTGGAAACCGGTCAGGTGTTGGAGCTTCATCGCTACTTTGGTGTAGGACTTGTTCTGCCTCAGCGGACGCTTTCTGAGCTTGATCTACTCCAAATTCGCGAACTCGCAAACGCTCACCTTGAGCCATTTTATCAGACGCGTGGCATGCCCTTGACTGAGGGTTTGCAGCAGCTGCACGAAGCGCTGAAGCAACAGTACCCAGATGTTGTGGTCGTTGGTGTCGAGCGGCGCTTTTGCAGCGCCATGCACGATCACGCTTTCATTTGCAGCCATATCCGTGCCGTCGCGCGGCACTTTGGAGGCATCGAGAACTTTCGTCTTCAAATCCATTCTCTCTTCGAAGAGCCACCAGTGTGTCCCGTGTCCCGCTCAGCACCCGTCAATCCTGCAAGCGAAACTGCTGTGTCCGCAGCCAATACTGCGTATGCCGATGATGCCCTGCCGACTGGCGCAACCGACATGGCCGTAGACGATCAGCTTGATGCAGACGGACCTGCTCGCACCTCTGACATGGCCGTAGACGATCACCTTCCCTCGGGCCCGGATGCAGACGGACCTGCTGACCGCACCTCGGACCTCCCCGCCGAGCTCGATCCGAATCACGGCGCGTCACCTTCTGCGCGTAACTCCGATGATGCTCCAGAGCACAGCTCTGGACTTGTTGAGACGGTGGCCAGTCCCGACGACCTGGTGGACGAGCTCTCCAAGCTGTTCGAGAAAGGACTCGAGCGTCTCAAGACCATGGGGCGATGAGTTGCAAAGCCTCGTTCGCCAGCTCACACGCAATTGCAGCAACAGCATGCGGAATGCGACAGGTCAGCGAGGGATTCTTTCATTAGATACCCGGCGCACGCGTGGTGCAACTCGTAAGGCTGCCAAATCTACCCGAGCTGCCCAAGCCAAGGCAAAGCGAACTGCTGCTGCCAAAGCCAACCGAGCAGCAGCAGCAGTAGCAGCAGCAGCAGCAGCATCAACATCGTCAGCCTCAACCGTTCTTCCAGGTAACGCAACTGCATCCGCAGCAGCGTCGTTGGCGACCAGTTCGTGGACACGACGCAAGAAGTCTGGAGTGAAGGGGCGGCCCAAAGCTAAGCATCGTGTTCCTGCTGCACTTACCCGAGAAGTCGCAAGATCCTTTTGCGCCAAAGACAGTCAAGCATTCGAGAGCGCAAGGGCGGCGGTGACTGCGTACAACACCCAACAATAGTAGTTTGTCGACTACATCCCGACTTCTCGCAGCAATCGCGGTACTCGAGATCCGTGGGGCGACACTACCCCTTCATTTGCTAATTCCGATCCCACATTTGGGAATGCGAGTGATGGTGCACGTTCAGCCAGTCGGAAACGACCTCGATTGGAGCCAGAGGCTGACCCGCAGGAACGGAACCAGCGCAACCAACAGAGGATTGGTTTGAACATTTTGCCCCTCAACTGCGGCCGCCTGGAGGGCGCTCAGCGGCCATCCGTGCGCGCGACACAATTCGACGGTTTTCACGCTACGACACGAGTCGGGATGACGATGCAGACGTGTTTGAGGCCCAGCCTGAGGAGATGGACGACGATGACTTCAGGTACACTCTGGAGGAGTGTGTGCGTGCTAGACGGCTTGAAATGTTTGATTCAGCTGTAAACCCAGAGTTTTTGTGAAGTTTTGTATGATTGTGTGTGCTTGGTGTTGTACTTTGGGTCATTGTGGTGCTGTCCTCCCCACTGTTTTCACAGCAGCGGCGCCTGAGAGGTGTCAGCATCCTTGACCCCATTCGATTTTAAATTTTGACACATGGATAAACTTGTCTTTGAAGTTTCGCGGCATAGAACGTGGCAGAAGAGCTTGAAAACAGCTCGACAGCGCAAAAAGGAGGAAAGCGCAAAAGGAGGAAAAAATTTTCTAAGTCCAACTTTTCCTGTCGCCCCCTTGATGCTCACTGCTACGCAGCCTGACTGGGTGACCCGATCCGCCCGCCCTTCGACCCCATGACTCAAACACCAATACCATTCCATAAATGCCCTAGTAGTGGGTTGCTGGTCCACCGTGGGGGTTGGTGGCTTGGCCGTTCCCTGCACGCTCGCGGCGCTCCCAACCATTCCCTCCCGTGCTCGGTCCAGCGCAGACTTTTTCACCGGCTCACAGTTGAAATCTACATTATCATTTATGGGCAACATGATGCTGGCAGAGAGAAGAGGCTAGATGACACTTTGAGATTCGGACCTGGAACCCGTAGTGATTTAGGCGGATTGTTCTGGCACCTTTCACCTTGACGGCAACGCGAGAGCAGAAATCCTGATCCCTGAAATAACAGCTCTTCTCTCAGAGCTCGAAGCAATCAACAAAGAAACTCCACCTGAAAAGATTCCCGACTGGATGTGTTATTGATTGATGTGTATCTGTATTTGGAGTGTGTTATCAGTGAAGTCTCTTGTTTCCCGATTATTACTCTCATCATCAACCCATTACTCGCATCTTCGTGGAACGATCTCTGATCATAACAGTTTTTGGGACCCCCCTCTGCAAAAAGATGTTTGGAATTGTTTGAAGTTTGTTGATCAGTCAAACCGAGCAAGTCGGGGTAGAAAACCTGTACAAGGGGAACCGGGGGCTCCGCTCACGGCAAAACAACAGCTCAAGACACTGTCGCCATGAGCGCTCCGCCGGTAATCATCACTAGTAGTGCAAAGCCAACATTGTCAAAGGCATAGCGGCCATACACGTAGTAGATGGCCCAAAGAGCGGCCACAATAATCCAGACAAGCGGCGTTAGGAATCGGTCCAACTCGGGCGACGAAGACTGCCTCGACTGCCCGAGTCCAGCTGATGCCAGCCATTCTGCTTCTGACGGACCAGTAGCAGATCGTGGTTGAGAATTTTCCGATGCATTGTTGGCTTGTTGTCCCGGCTGCAATGGATAGACCTGCCAAAGTGCGATGGATTTTCATTCATTCATTCAAACGGGGTGAGTTGGCGATGGCAAGCAAGCACTGGGTATTATCATGGCTATCGTGTGGACTGAGAAGATGATCTCCCCGCCATCATCAGAATGACCTATCTCCAGAATGATTGGAGGACGATGACTGGTACGACCCGAATTGTACACACCGCGCAATGACAGGCTGTATGAAGGGTGCCGCCAACGGTATTACCTGGCAGTGTATGACTGCGCCTGGCTGAAGACCGAGCGCTTCGAGCGTGGCCGTGTCTGGCTGCAATAATCGCCCGCTGTGGATGAACTTGACCCCGTTGCCCTGGGCGAGCGCGTCGCGGAAGTGGGTCGCGCACAGCTCGGCCAGCGTCATGTCCCGCGTCGCCAGCGCACTCCGGTCCTGCTCGCCCACCTTCAGGCGCAACAGAATAATATCACTACCGCTCTGGGCTGGATTGGCGGCATCCATCATGGTGTGTTTGATGGCTTGATGGAGCGACAATGGAAACAGTCAAATAATGGAAATTCAATGAATAAGGAATGATGTTCATTTCGAGTTGAAGAAAAAAAAAAAAAGGTGCAAAAGTACAGTATTATTGCAGGCGAAGGAGAGCAATCGCTCATAAAGCAGCAAGCCAAAAAGAGAAGGACAAGAGGTCAATCACAAACGGCGACCGAGGAGGAGCAAGGCGTTGCGGGCGACAGCAGACGCCAGTTGCAAGCTCGGGCTGCGATGGATGGCTGTGTGGATGTGTTTGCGCTGGTGTTGGTGGAGCAGCGGATTGCGAATCAAAGGCAAGGATGATGCGGTAGCAACAGCGGATGGAGCGCCTGCTTGCAAGGTCGAATACGAGCGCAACGCTGGCGCAGTGCGATTCGGCGCCTTGAATTGCTCACTGCGCTTTGGAGGCTGTGTCGCGGGTGCTGTTGGTTGAAGGTGAGGTGAAGCATCTCGACGATGCAGTTTTCGCGGTTGTGCAGCAGCGGACACGGCCACCGGCACAGACGCAGGAGCGGCAGTTGGCGGCGATTGCGACAAAGTCGTGAGTCCCTCCTCCGCCGCAATCTTGTGGAGCAGCACGAGCGCTCTGCGCGGCATCAGTTGCATCTCTGTTGGATGGAGCTCTCCAAGTTTGAGCAGCCGCGCGGCACCGAGGGCGCGAATCACCTTTTCATATTCTGCACTGTCAGACCCGAGCGCAGCTCGGCAAAAGACCAAGAACAAATCAACACCGTTGTGGGTTTTTGCAGAGGGATCGCCGCCGTGCTCCAACAGCGTGAGAATGGCTGGCATGACGCAGTTACGCACGGCACACAACAGCAACGTGTAATTCTCTTTGGTGCCCGAGTTTGGATTGGCGCCAAGCTCGAGCATTCGAGTGAGAGCTGGTATTTGCGCGTGTCGCACAGCAGAGAGCAGCAAGTTGGACAGCATTTCCTCGCCACCTGCCAATTCCTCCAGCGAAACTGGCAGCTCCAGTAGCCGCGCCGCGACGGAGGGTCGACGGGCGCGAATTGCGAGGCCGAGCGCCGTGTGGCCGTTGCGGTCCTGCAAGCGCGCATCGGCGCCGCGTTCTAACAATAGACTAACGAGTTCGACGTTGTCGTGGAAGGTGGCCATCATCAGCGGGGTTTGTAACCGCGCTGTGCATGCATTCACGTCCGCACCGGCGTTCAGCAAGACATCCGACATGGTGATGGCGAGAGGGTGAGCCGTGGCTGCAAAGTGCAGCGCCGTGAACTGGCTAGCGGTTGCATGATTCACCAGGCTCGACAAATCAGGACCGAGGAGCTCCATGATTTCAAGCGCTCCATGGCGCGCGGCAAGATGCACCATGGTCTCGCCCATGTGGTTGGAGGCATCAAAGTTGTACTCGTACCGCAAGAGCGCGCGTGCCATATGGCCATGACCGAACTTCATGGCAAGAAGCGCGGGCGTGTTCCCGCGATCGTCGACCATCGTCAAGTCCGCGCCGGCACGAATGAGGGCATCCGCTGTCGGCACCAAATTCTTCAAAGCAGCAAGGTGGAGTGGTGTTCTTTGGCGCGCATTGACGCCATTCACATTTGCGCCATACTTGACGAGCAAAGGAATGGTGGCCGCCCGTTCAGCAAACAGACTCGCAAAGTGCAGTGGCGTGTTACCCACGGCACTCGCGTGCTGGACGTCCGCCGACTCATCCAGCAGCATTTGCGTAATCTGCTTGCTTCCCAGCGCGAGCGAGAGCGGTGTTTTGCCAATGCCATCGACAGCATTCACAAGCGCACCCGCTGACAAGAGATGCCGCACGTTGACGGAGACCATCGTGAATGCAGCCAAGTGGAGCGCGGTCATGCCCGTGGCATGAATTCGCATGTTTGGGTCTGCACCGTGAGCGATGAGTTGGGCGACTGCGGACGGAATAGCATTGGCCACAGCATCGTGCAGCGGGGTGAAGCCTCGCTTGTTTGCCAGATTAACTGGTGCACCGGCACTCAAGAGCGCCTTTGTCGTTTCAAAGAATCGAGGGCCCAACTGGCGCGCACCGTAGTGCAGCGGGGTGGTGCCTGACGAGTTTTGAACGTGCAGGTTGGCCCCGGCCCGAATGAGGGAGGTCACATGGCCGGCAAAGCCGAGACTGGCAGCAACATGCAATGGTGTGCTCAGAGACCTGTCCTGAGCATCTGGATTGGCGCCTGCCTGGAGAAGCAGAGCCATGATCTCACCAACCTTGGTGTCTTGCCAGGAAGCACACACGTGCACTGCAGTTCTGCCCACAATGTTCGTTGCATGCACATCGGCTCCAGCTGCAAGCAAGAGCTTGACACAGGGGACTAGGCCGCGCATGACGGCATCCATCAACGGGGTGCGTTGCTGTTCATCGCGGGCATTGACGTCACCGCCAAGAGCCAAGAGCATGGATAGGACACCCGTGGAACTCTGTGGATCCACGGGCGAGACGGCTGCATGCATGAGCGAGCGACCAAAGAGGTCGCGATGGTGCAATAAGCGCTGCCGCCGTGAAAGCAGTTCGTCCGTCTCATCCACGCCGAGCCTGCGTTTTGACGCTTGGTAGGATGGAAGTGGTTGCTGTCGCAGTTGTGCAAAGGCAATAGAATCGATATGGAGCAGCATGGCAGCGACAGCATTCGCATTGCCGAGCCGTGCAGCGGCGATGAGAGGCGTCCAGCCGATAAACGTCCCGTTGATGGCCGGCAGGTTTGGATAGGCGGGCTTTGGTGCTTCAAGAAGAGTCTGCAGCAAGGGCATGTTATTGGTCTGCACAGCATAGAGCAGTGGTGGCGCAGCGTCGGGTTCTTGCAAGGAAGGATTGGCACCCAGAGCGAGCAACGTCCGAACCAATGGCAGCGAATCGGGCCGTCGAACTGCCATCCCAAGCGGGGTCTGTCCAGGCCAACCACTGTTAACGAGCTGCGAGAGAGTGTCAGAAGGAGTCGTTGGTGCGAGCGATACTCTTGGATTGCTTCGGGCTTTGGCCAGCAAGTCCAAAAAGATGGGTTTGATGGCGTCTGCTCGGGATTCGTTCCGTTGTGCAGCCACGAGCAGACACTCGACAGCGACGCGCGATTCCAGCTGTGTCGCTGTCCACCGCGAGATGCTCTTTGCACAGCACTGCTCCCAAGGGGTGGTCGGGTGCGGGTGCTCCGCCGTTCGGAGCCGCGGGATTCGGACCGAACTTTAGAAGCAGATTGGCGAGTCGGGCATCCACCTGCTGGCGGTGGGCGTGCCAAATCTTGTTCACCTCAGCCGAGGCGCTTTCAGCATACTGAGCGGCTGCGGTACCAGCAACAGCAGAGGCAGCATGAGCAGGAGCAGCAGGCGATGTCTTGGATTGTGACGAAACTTCGCCCGGCGGGGTCAGTCCTGGTGGTGTGCCAGCCACTTGGTCAATGATGCGAGCCTGTTGAGGTGCGTTTGGCGCCACGACAGCAGGTGTGTTTATTGTCATGCCCGTTGCTCCAGCAGAAGCAGGAGCAGGAGCAGGAGCGTGAATCTGTGCGCGGTCGTCTTCCAGCCTTCCACCTGCGTTCCCAGCACCCGCAGCAGCCCTAGCAGCATCCATCAGAGGCGTGCGAGTGGCCGGTTTGGGGGTGAGAGTGGTAGGAGTCGCAGTGTGCGGAGTTGTACTGGCGGAGGCAGTCGTGGCAGTAACATGCGCTCGGCCATCTGGCCGCACTACTGATCCTGCCGCACCATCAGCGGCGCGGATCTGCTGCAGTGGCTCTGACTCGAGAGTGGCTGCTGCAGCCCTGTCCCGTCGTGCCTGCACCAGCTGCTCGATCATGGCGCGCGCGGCATTCTCGTCAGCGAGGTCTTCGTCGTCGTCCAACATGCTCGCTGCTGAGCTCGACACTGGCGCACTGCCACTGCTGCTGAGGCTGCGGTGCTGCTGTAGCTGCTGCTGCTGCTGCCGATGTTCATCATGCGTCTGATGATCCTGCTCCTGCTGCTGCTGAGCGAGGATGAGATCGTCGTTGTCGTCGGTGGCCATGGCATCGTCGACGAGGAAGGAGCGCTCAAGCTCGGCAAACCGCCTGTCGAGGTCGGCCAGGCGCTGATCGCTGCTGCTGGCCTCCATCCACGCGGGTCACTCCAACGAACTCAAAAGCACTCACTCACAACAAAAGACAAGAGATGATGATGATGATGATGATGATGAAGACGAAGCAGACAGAAAAAAAAAAAAAAAAAAAAAAAAAGGAAAAGAAAGAAAGAAAGAAAAAGGACCACAAGGACTAGAACGAGTCCTTTCGTTGAAGTGAAGATAATGGAGTGGTCTTGGTTTGTCTGAGAACATGAGTGCTTGAGCATGAATTGCAAATTGTGAGCTCATCAAACCAAGGACGCTTGGATCGGCGGACGCAGGTGTCTGAGCATGCTGCATGAGCCTTGTACAAACCACAGCTGCTGACCTCCCCCACCATTCACTGGAGGCTTCCATCCCATCTCCAGCTTTGAAAAACAAACAACCTCCTACAAATTGCAAATGTACAGGCAGCAGTTCCATTCCATCCCACGCAATTGATCATGACAAACGGAAATTTCCACGTTTTTTTGAGCAAAAGCCGCCAGGATCGAAGTCACTCATCCATGCAAGAGCAATTCAGCCGGTCGATTTTCAAATCGATTGCTCTATCATCCCATCATGCAGTGATCAAAGTTCTTACAAAGCCCAACCATCCATCGTACTGTGGCTCCTGAACTGCGCACGTCGTATTTTTGATCGTTCCGTCGTGCTTCTTCCTCTTCCTCTTCCTCCTCCTGCTTGCGTCTTCCATCTTTACGCATCTTGACTTGCTTTGTTCGCGCGTGTTTAATCTCGTCCCTCCCCCCCCCTGGCCACCCTCGAGCCCGAACCCGATCCTGTTTTCCATCTGCGCCATATTTTTTCTTCTTCTTTCGTTGTTTTTACTACTTTGGATTTCGTTTGATTCAGATCAGTCCCCCCCTTTTTTTTTTTTAATTTCGTTATTTCATATTTGATCCAACTCTTCTTTGGCCCACTCCACACAATGTCATTATCTGTCGACGAAGACCCCGAAAAGCGCAAGCGCACCTCGTCTGTCGGGTAACCCCAAATTCAATGCTCTGTTGTCTTCTCACGCTCAAACCCGACGACGTCGCTCTCGGTCCAGGCTCACTCTCGCCGCTCCTCTGCGCGCCTCTGCTCTCCTTGTTCTCTCGTCTTCACTGGCCTCTCTTGTCTCTGTGACACTCGCAATCCCCCCTCTCCTCCTGTCCTCGTCTTGATGTTCCTTGTTGTGAATGCAAAAATCCTCTTTTTTTTTTTTTTTTTTTTTTTTCGCAATGCTCTGCTTCTTCAGTTGCGCTTCGTCGTCCTGCTATTGTCCTTGTCCCCCCCGCTCTCTCGCTCGCTCTGAGTTGCTGTCTTTGGCTACCCTTTAGTGGTTTTACACTGCTCTCGTCCCCATGGCCCCCCCTCCTTCTGCTATCTTCGTTCGTCAAACCACACACAAACTCACCTCTTTTTTTTTTTTTTTTTTGAAACTCGCAACCAGACGCTTCTTTGAGAACTTCAAGCATCGCCACGAGAACTATGGCAGTAAGTTCAGCCTTCCCCCGCCCGGCTTTCATTCTGCTTCTGCTTCTTTGTTATTCAACATGTTCTTTCTTGTCTCGTTCATCCTTCACTTTTTTACTACTACCTTTATTATTGGTTTGTTTGTTGTTTGAAACACGAACGAAAATTTCAACCAAATTTTTAATCTCGTTTTTTGATTTTTATTATTTGGATTTTGCTTTGCGTCTCTCTGTTGTTGCTGAACTTGTGCTCATTGTTGCACTTGCTTTCGACGACAGAGCTCGAGCGCACTTCGTCCGTCGAGGACATTATGAAGGTGCGCAGCCCCGAAGGCCGCGTCTTTAACGTCGTTGTAAGGTCCAAATTGTTCGTCGTTCCATCCCGTCATCGCTCTTTTTCGTTGGTTGACCCATGCATCCATCGCTTCCCGATCTCGATGGCATTGCAAATGCCATTGATTGTTTGGCTGTCTTCCTATTGCGGCGAGGGTCGTAGCTCAAACCGAACAATCACCAAAAAGAGAGAAAAAACAAAAAACAAAAGAAAAAAAAAAAAAGAAAGCCACAAAATGTATTCGCAACTCGGTTTAACACCTCCAATCACCTCAGCTCCCTCACAACCAACTCGTCGACTTTACCTTACTTGGCTTGCGTCGCTTGCTACACAGTATTATGGAACCATGGAGGCAGACGAGAGCACGGGCAAGGCCGTCACCGCCAGAGCTCTGCAGTTTGTCGAGCAGGTAACCAAAACACTTTGGCTGAGATAGGAATGCTCGCTGTTGCCAACTCAAACACCGCGCCTCCTCAAACAGAACCCATCCAAGCGCAAGATGACCATGAAGGTCAGCACTCAGGGCATCACTCTGGTGGACGTCGAGACAAAGGTAACAGCTCCAGTTTGGTCACACCCGAATTCGCGCACATCTGTTCTCTCCAGACAACAAACAAACCCACCCCCTCCATCATTGTGTTATTGTGGCAGATTACTGTCGAGGCGCACATGCTGCATCACATCTCGCAATGTGCCTACGACACGTCTCCGGATCACTACAAGCTCATCTCGTACATTGCATTCAACAAGGAAAAGTCCAAGTACTTTTGCCATGTTTTCAAGCACGAGCCAACGGTTTGTCCCCACTTTGCTGCTTTACTCGAACGCGCGTGTTTTTGTTCAAGGGGTGGTCTCATCTCATTCACCTTTTTCGCCCACATGCTCGCGATACTAGGCTGCTGCCATCCACGAAGCAATCTCTGTTGCTTTCGAAGAAGCGTTCAAAAATTATTCAGCAAACAAGAAGGCCGCCACGCCAGCAGCCCCGGCAGCTGCCACGGCTCCGCTCACCACTGCCGCCAGCGCCGCGTCTGCCGCCGGCTCCAGCCCCGCGGCGTCAGCACCACGTTCCACTCCCAGCCTGACTGTTAGCAACGGCGAGGTGAGCGTTTTCTTCTTGTGCCTTTTTTGATCAACTTGATCAAATCGGGTTGGTTTTCCCTCGCTTCTCTTTCGCAAGCTGCTTGGGTTGCTGACCTTTTTTTTTTTTTTTTTTTTTTTATAATATATCACTTGCAGGACGGATTCGATGGGCTGGCTCGTCAGCGCACCGCATCTGGATCCGGCCGCCCGCCAGTTCGCCAGCCATCTCCCACGCCAGTTTCGACGGGCAACTTGATCGAGTTCTAAGATTCACTGTCAACGGCAAGGGGGCTTTGCCGAAATCAAGGCCACTTTTTTCTGTGTCGCGTGTTGATTAGCTTTGTTGTTGCTTTCTCTTTTCGTCTCTTTGTGTTGTTGCTGTTGCTATTGTTGTTGTTGCATTTGTCATGACGATCGGTGGTCGTGTTTTTTTTTTTTTTTTTTCCCCGTCAATCTGAACATTCTATTCGCGCATCTTCTTGTCTGCGATGGCATTCAATAACAAATGGAGTACGCAAGGTTTACTGACAACAACCGAACAAACGCAAAACCGAGAAAACAAAGTTCAAACAAACAAACAAACAGCATTCACGAATCAAACAAAATTTCATGGGGCGGTTGACGCATCAGGCGAGCTAGCACCATCGGGAGAAGCCCTCCATTTGATCAATGCGCGCGACACCACAATCGACCACGTGTAGGGAATGAAGAAATCATCTGGTTGCTCTTCCTCTTCGTACTTGAACTTGAGTTCGTTCGACTAGCAACACCATTCTCACGTCAGAGTTGCTCAACGTGCACACAAACCAAACAATCAAAACAACCATGCAACAAATCGCTTACTTGGAGCTTTGCATTATTCCATTTCTGGGCGGCAGCTGCAATCAGTCCCAGAACGTCTTCGGCTGAAGGCGAAGTCTGCAAATGCGGTTCGAGACTCGCGGAAAAGTAGTCCAGAATCTGTCCTCACTCTCCGTGAGTTGAGACCAAACATGATGATTGCTTGATTCGCTTCCAACAACGTTACCGTTTCAATGTTCGACACCACGTCCGCAAATCGGTCCTCGCTGGCATACTTGTTCAAATGCTCACGTTCTCGCAGCAGCATGTAGACCAGATACGGATTGCGTTGCATCGCATGCAACAGGGACGAATTCATAATCTCGAGAACAATCCGAAGAAAATCGGCAAACACGTCGACATCAGCATTCTGCTCACACAATCAAATCAATCGAGCTCAGCTCTTAGAGCTCCACATGTACCGGTAAGGCCAAAAGATCAAAAAACGAAACCACTCACTTCGGACTCGGAAGACGAAGAGGCGGCCTTCTTTAGCGTCTCAAACCGCTTCGATAATAGCAAAAACAAGCCAACAATCCTCTCGGCCGCGTATTGGTGCAATGCGTGAAAGTGCGGGGACATGTTGGCGAGGGCCGCCAAGCAATTGGTGTTCATGTACAAATCCTGTGGATCAGCATATGGGCAAAAAGATGGTGGTGGTGAGTGAGCGCGGGCAATCCACGTCGACATTGATCAACCAACAGACACCGCACCTTGAGCTTTGCCAAATTGTACTGGATTGTGCGTGCTAGCACAATGACAATGAGCGATCCCAGAGATATTTGGTGGATGGTCTTTTCGGTATACCACGGAACAGAAGGTAGAGACTAGAGGCCGAAAAGCGAAAAAGAAATTTCGAAACAACTTGTGAGCATTGTTGTACGAACGTGTGCAAGCTCACTGGCAAGGAATCATTTCCACACCTGCTCGTGAATCCCCTTGTTGAAGGAATGGTCTTGGCTCAATATGAGGACAATAATAAGCAACATGTAGATTTGCTGCGAGGGTTGACTGGCTGCATTATACAGCGTCTGCAGCATGGGAATGAGCTGTAGGAAAGCAGCATACATGCAAAACACCATCCCGTAAGACAAAAAAAAACAAAAACAAACAAACAAAAAAACCCGCCTGGCCATTCAACAAGAACAAGAAAACGAACAAAAAGGCTGAAACCTACCACGTTTTGAAGGTCCGTCCGAGATAGCAGGAAGGTGGTAAAAGAAGTGTTGGCATGGAGGAGGAGATACAATAGCAGGGTGGTTTGCTGATTGTGCAAACGCTGGCAGAGGACGCTGTACAGCTTGGTGTAACTCAGCTGCACAACGCCGAGCGGTGGCCGACCTGATTCAGACACGGAAAAGTCTTGCGCCGAATCGCGGAAGGTGGAAAGCGCGGCTTGGAATGGGTTGCCTCCTGGCTTGCGGACGCCGTGGTTGCACAACAAAAGCAACAGCAACAAGGAGGCTTCTGCACCTGGGTCTGAGGCCACATCCTCCCGATTGAGCGCCTCGACATGGACAGCGCGCTCTTCCGGCGTTAGTGTTGCGTTCGGTTGGGATCTCCAAGGGATTAGGGAGTACGATGCAGCGCCTGAAGGCCAAAAACAAAAAGAGGAAAAAAAAAAAGTCGAAGATTTTGTCAGTTTCACCAAGAGTTCAAATTCCCTTTCTGTCGCAAACTCCAAGCAAACAAACTCAAAAGGAAGCAGAGAACAAAGATCTCATCTCCATACCAGGAGCTTTAAGCTGAGATGGCTTTGAAGGTGCCGCGTGATCCGCAAACCTCGTCAGCAAACGTCCCAGAAGCTGGTGCGCTCGTTGCCGACTACAAGGGAAGCAATGAAGCAAACCCATTGAGATGAGAAAGCGACAAGAAATGTTTCAAAAAAAGAGTGGAAGACAGCACTGCAAGCATTACCATGCACCGGTCATGACGTGCATCAGAAAATCGTTCGCTTCGATCGTGGGCAGGTAGAGCTGCAGACTCAGCAAGACCGTCATCAGATTGATAGCTTCGGTGGACAGGTAATCGGGAGTTGATCTATGCGCAAGAAGAGGACGAAAAGACACCAAGACGCTGTGAGACGGATTTCGGATTTTGCCATAGGGGCACCATCGAGCACTCACGGTGTGTCGACCAGAAGTTGTACAAGTGAAAGAACAAGCTGCTCTTTGAGATCAATTTCGTCTGCCGATGCCGACATGCCAGCCCTTTGTGAGGTTTGCAGACTGGCTGCCACACTGGCCGTATGCGCCGAGAAGTGTCGTAGCGCTATCCGCGGAGGCAAAGTTTCGAATAAGTGCTTGACAAACACTCTAAGCAAGAGGACGGCATTCAAGGTGCGCTGGTACAGTCCGCTGGGTGGAGAGACGAGTGTTCAAAGTAGTTCAACAGTAAGTTGCGAAAGAGTGAGCGAATAAGTGGAAATTGAGGCGAAACAAACGCCAGCAAAGTGCAACCAAACAGGAACAAAAAATTGTCAAGCCATACGCTCGAATGCCAGGAGTAGCGGCGACTGGAATATCACCCAAGATGCGAACGTGTGTGAGCAGCAGTAGAATCAGATTGCCCAAGTTGCGCGTTTCGAGGTTGTGCGAGACTGTCCATTCCCCAAGCAAGAGACCATCAACCGTCAAAGCAAATAAAAAAAAAGCATAGATCCATGTCAGTTGTTCAGTGAGTAATGATGGAACAGAGCAAGAGGGGCCCCAAATCACAAATCCAGATGACGTTACCAAGCTCGCTAGCCAACGGTGCCAGAGCCAACTCGAGCTCGCCATTTTCAGTCCTGCCCGCACAGCACAGAAGGATACAGACGATGAGATTCCCCATTTCAGTTGTCAAACGCTGGAACGCGCTCTTCCTATGGTGATGACCCCAGCAAGAAGGGCAAAACGCGACCGCTTCTCCCCAAACCCCCAAACCTCCAACCCCCCCCCCTTTGCGTAAGAACACAACCGTGTAGCATCCAAATGCCCGAAAGTCGAATGGAGAGGGAGGCCGGGGTGGGTGGGTGGTGGTCGTGGCTTTTGACTTGCATGCTGAGCGCGCGTGGCGATTCGTCGTCGCCTGGGAGGTCGATCTCGAAGGCGAGGAGGTCTGCCCAGAGCGCGTCGCTGGGCGCAAGTGTCTGTGTTGCAGAGCAGATGGCGACCAGGCGAGGGAGGGTCGCCACGGTCTGCAGCGTGACCTGCGCCATGGGCGGCATCGTTGCGTCTGCAGCGGCCTCCGTTGACAGCCCAGCACCCATTTCGCAAAGTGCAGGTGCTGTATTGCGAGGAGACTGAGATGGGGCGAAAAACAAAGAACAATCTGAAACGAAACGAAATATAATCAGCACGAGACGGCTGTCTTCCAGTTGGCTGTCAGTCATTCCACAACCTCGGTAGAGGCACGCCTGTGGCCAAATGCAAGCTGAGGACTCGTCAGCAGGCTACTCGGGCTTCTCTTGAGTTCTGATGGTCTTTTCTGGTCAAAAGTCGAGTAGACGCGGTTCTAGTGATGCATGCGACATGTTTGTTTATTATTTGAACAGGCGGGGCAATGGTTGCACGGCAGGAGCAAAGTCAACGCGTTGACAAGTTCAACAGTTGAGGCGACGCGTGCCCAACCTGACAATAAGGAGTAAAGATGGGTGGAAGGAAAGGGGTGGACACGACTAAACCATTGCCTCGGGCGCCTCGGCGGAATCAAGAGTGGTGCAAACTTCACGCAGAACGCCTCCACGCGATTTCATCAACCGAGCGAGACTTCCAGTCCGATCACGAAGCAGCGCGCGTTTCATCCGCTTGCTCTCGGACCTTTCGACATCCTTTGGCCAGTCCAGCTGGAATTGGAGCTGCCACGAGCCGCCAGTGCACCCGGCCACCACGAGTAGACTCAGACTGAGAAAGTCGGCCCGCGGCGTGCAACAGTGCTTCGACCTCGCAATGGCGTAAAAGTGCCCAGGCCAGATGTCCCACGAGTTACCGGCGACATGTCCAAGCCACGTCGACTTGAGCTCAGCGAGCAAGACGCTTTTGCCGCTTGTTGCTACCTACCGTTTGCAGATCCCAGAGTGCATGTGCGTGTTAAATGTACCCCAAGAAGTGTTGACCCTGCCCCTTTCCGCTGACAAATGCCGTCTCCGTTTCAAGCGCTAGAATTGTTTCACTCGACGACGAATCTTTAATATAAACAACAATCATCCAAAACAAACCTCGAAAAGCGACAAACATTTTCAATCACAAACAATCCCCGTGCGGTAGAGCCAATCGACAATCAGAGTGGACATGCCGAGACCCACAGCGCCGTAAGGATCGCCAGTGATCGGGTTGTACTGCTCCCAAATGCCGCTCTTCTCGACAAGGGCGAGCCACCTCTGGACAAGAGCGTCGGCTACGGCCGTGTAATTGCGCGAGCTGAGCGCCTCAATCACAAACCAGTTGGTAAAGCCCCATGTCGGGCCGCGCCACATCAGGTCGTCGCTCTCCGAAAAGACCGGGTTGAACGAAGGCGAGTCCATCGACGTGGTTGGAACAGGGAAGGCCGACCAGTACTTGGACGTGTTTGTCAGATCGCCCGCGATAATGTCGTCGGCAATGTCCTTGCCCACGTTGAGGACGGGGAGGAGCAGCGGCAAGAGCGTCTGCACCGTGTTTTGGGACGCGCGCTTCTCCTCTCCCGTGTGCACGTTCTTGTACAGATGGAAGAACCTGCGCGTCTGCGGGTCGAACATTTTGGTCGTGATGGCCTTCGCAGTGGCGTTGCCCGAAGCGTAGCACTCTGCCGCAAGACCTGCCTGCCCGATCGACTCGGCAATCGCACCAAGAAGGGCCCAGCCAGCTGCGTAGATGCTGTTCACGCCGACGTCCTTCATGTGGAAAAAGTTGAACAGGGGAAGGCCGTCGATGGCGTGCGGCGCGTGAAGGATGGCCGTCTGGTTCCAGCCGTACAGGAACTTGTACGTCAAGATGAGCTCTTCAAAGCGTGGGTAGAGCAGCAGGTACGGCGGCTGTGGCACGTCCTCAGGAATCCCGTAGGCTTGGTCGTAAGCGGGCGACGCGTCGAGACCGCTCTCCCAGCCGTGCAAGACGTACACAAGGTCGTCGCCATCGACCGCGCGAGTGTCGCGCCACCAGCGGAAGTACTTGATGAGCGGGAGGAGAAACTCTTCGGCAATTTTCTGCGCCGCAACAGGACCTGCTGTCGCCAGAGTAGCGTTAATGATGGCGCGCAGGCTCCACGGCAAAACCGGCATCTGAGTCAGGTCGCACGCACGTTCGTTGCTCCAGTTGTCGAGCAGCTCGAGACGCTGCGCATCGGTGCGGTTGCCCCAGAAAATCTCCTCCGGGATGCGGCCGTCGGGCTGCTGCATCTGCAGCATGGTGCGCAGGTCGAGGATGGAGTTGGTGACATTGCGGTGTGACCAGACAATCATGTGCGATCCGCTGTCCCAGAGCCACTGGTCGGGGCTGTACTTTTGCAGCGAGGGGCGGTAGAAGTGGAAGGGGAGGCCCCACAGCTCGCCTGCGCACAGGTGGCTCTCGAGGAAGTCGTAGCACGTCGAGACCACCTGAGCTGGGGTGGACGTGTTTTGCGGCGGTGCGGGCGGGTCTGGCGCGCGTTCGCCCACCGCGCACACCGGCTGCAGCAGCAATGCGAGCAGAACAAACACAGATGCAGCGGATCTGGCTTCCGAGAAGCGGTGAAGCGCCCACTGTTGTTGCATCCAAAAACGTCGAGTGCGCAAGACAAATCACAACAAAAAGGGGGAGTGCGTCTTGATTGAAACAAAAGCCGACGGCAGATTGTGGCTTCTTAGATTGCGGTTGTGATGGCTTAGATTGCGGTTGTAATGGAAGAGGATTGCTTGGCGTCGCATTCTTTTGAGTTGCGAACGGCGGTCTGCTGAATGGCTCTCGCTGTGCGGTCAGGGCAACTCGGAACAGGCGAGCGCGTACTTGAATTAGCAACAATAAACCAATGTATATATATATATACTTATATATAAAAAATATATATTTTCCAGAATCAACAAAATTAAACCAAAAGGGGAGCGATATTGACAAACGTTGGATGCACCCACTCACACCATACTGATCTACATAGTGTCGCCGAATCATGACGAGCAGGCGCTACTGATCTACATAGTGTCGCCGAATCATGACGAGCAGGCGCTGACATTCCTCCAACGAGTCGAGCAGCACTGGACTCGCGGCGCCCCCGCCGTCGACAATCGCTCCAACCTCGTATAATGGGTAGCTTTTCGTGAAATCCCACTCCGAATACACAATCCGCACTGGAGAATGCAGAGCTTGCCATGATAGTGATACCAACGGCTTGAGAAAGTCGTCTAATTGCAGCAGGCGTTGTTCGGATTTTTCGCTGGCCAGCTGCGCACGCCGAGCCTCTGCCTCGCGCTCACGCATCGAGTCGAATGCCAGGCCGGCAGTTTGCCTGCTAGCAAACGAGTTTGTGAGAGCCTGACTCGCAGCACTGGATCCACAGTCATCATTGGCGTCGAGCTGTGGGTCTCGAGCGCGTTGGCGGGTACGAGCCAACATGAGGCGCAGGTTGGCCATGATGCCTGGCTTCAGACCTGGCGGTCCAACGGTGGGGGCTGCAGCGGCCTCCGTACCACCAAGGCGGGTGTTGGTTGAGCCCGCGCGAGGTGCCATCCCTATCATTGAGACAGGACGCTTCGAGGCGGTAGCTGGGTCGGACGCAAGCACGTTTTCAGAGCTCACGCCCGCCGAGCAATGACTTGGCAACATCTGCAAGAGTATATCGCCGCGAGGTCTCAGCGGCCGGAGGAACTGGTAGCTCGGCCGCTTGGTTGGCAGGAGAAGTGGTTGCAGCAGCAGCAGCAGCAGCAGCAGCAGCAGCAGCAGCAGCAGCTGGGGCTTGATTGAACGCTGCGTCCAAATCAGACCGGAGGTGAACATTGTCAAAGTCGGAGAATCCATCGTTCGAGCTGCCATGCTGCGGACTTGCACCACTCGAGTTAAACTGGCGCAGGCGATCGAGATAGGCGAGTGGCGATGAAAAGAATGACATGGTCAAGGCGCTGTGATTCCCAATCGGGGTTGCAAGCTCTCGCTCAAATGACTCAACGGCTGCACCGTGGCGCGAGCGTTCACTTGGCGGCGAGGCTGGTGCGGGTTCGATTGGCGCAGAGACTTGCGCGATTGGCTGGAAAGGGGCTCGAGGCAGCGAAGGTGTTGACGGTGCAGCAGGTATGTTTTCCAAGGAATTGGACGAAACCCAGCCTTGTAGTCGCTTGGAGAAGGAATGAGGTAGAGAAAGGCCCGCCTCTGACTGGATCTTGCGAAAGCGTGCGCCATTATTGGTGGCAGGTGGGAGTTGCTCGGCGGACGAGAATATCTCGCTTGCCTCTCGTTCGTGTGCTGGAGCACCAGCTGCATCTGTGATGGCGTGATTGTCGGTGTCCATGGTTGCCAAGCTCTCTTCACCTTCGAGTGTTGCCGGCAGGGGCGTCTGTGTGTCGTTTTGTGTGTCTGACGGCCGATTTACATCTGCTCTGTCAGAATCATCTGGATACTCATCCACATCATCATCATCGTCGTCATCGTCCAACTCGCCCGCCATGCTCAAGTTAAACACAGACTTGATCGGCCGAGCTCGGCCTAGCACGCCCAGCGACGTAGCGCGCTGTGAGGAAGGAGGATTGGCGGTTGGGAAGCGATTCAGCGGGTTGGCCACAACGACCGTCGGAGCGCCGCCATTTCTTCGATTCTTGCTATTCTTGATACCAGAGCCAGAGCCAGAGCCAGAGCCAGGGACGGTGGTCGGCTCACCATTGGCCGATGACAAAACGTCCGCTCTGACGTCCTGTCGCTGCGTTGTGCTCGACGACGACGACTGTTCTGATGCTTCGAGAGCGGCCTTGCTACCTGACTTGGTTGTATTCTTCTTTTGCTTATGTTTGTGCTTCTTGTTGTGCTTGGTGGTTGTCACGTTGGGCGGCTGCGTGTCCGACACAGCTGCGGAGAATGGTCCCATCTCGCCGCTCTCAGCTGAAGCCCGAAACGTGGACGCATTGGCTGCTGCGCCGTCGAGATTGTCGGTGAGTGCTTGCTCAGCGAGGCTTGGCGACGGCGGCGGGGACTGGCGGAGCTGCGCAGGCTGCTGGTCTGCGACGGAACCACTCCGCTCTGCCATAACTCAGAAGCAAACTCTGAATCCCAAGACAAATTGAAAAGAAAAAACGGCGACTGAGATTGCCACGGTCAGGTAATTCTATGACAATGAGTTGGGTATCGATTTCAGTTGTGTATTAACCGAAAAAAAAAAAGAGGGGGGGGGGGAAGCAGCATCTACATCAAACATGGAACAACAGGCAAAACAACCACGACGACAAATACACCACAACAAGGAACAGACAGCAATTTTTAAAAAAAAGGCGAGAGAGGAAAAAAAAAGGGCAGATGAAGGGAGAAGAAGTGATGGAGCCAATCTGAAAGGAGCGCAACTTGCGAGCGGAGCAGCAAGTGCATGTGTTGCACGCGTGGTCCAAGCTCTTGCAAAAAGCGGGAAAAAAAACCAGAAGCCAAAGAAAGAGCAAAGCCAACGAGATAGAAAGGACTCAAACATAAACGCGACTGAATCCAAGCCAATCTCGAACACGAGAGAGAGAGAGAGCGAGAAAGAAAATATACGAGGCAGTCGAGGCCTCGCTAGTTTATGGCACTTAGTCGTCGCTTGGCTCTACAAGGTAGTCAGAGTCATTCGAGAGTGAGTGTCGGCGTTTGAGAAGGGAGAGCAGCAACAACAACGTCAAAGGCTATTTATGCTACTCAATCGCTTACCAGCAGGAGCGGCTTCAGGCTCTGCTGGCGCCTCTGGCTCGGCGGCGGGCGCAGGAGGTGCGACTTCCTCAACCTCCTCAACCTTTGGCGGAGGAGGGAGGTCGGGCTGCGCTGGGGCAGCAGGCTCGTCAGCCTCTTGGGGGGCTGCTGGGGCAGGGACCTCCTCCGGGGCCTGAGGAGCCGGAGGAGCGGGGAGCTCATTCTCCTTGTCGTCGGACGGCTCCTCGACCTTTGGTGGTTGTGGTGCTGGCTCTGGCTCTGCTGGTGTTGGCTCTGGTACTGGGGCTGGGGCAGGCGCTGCGACCGGCTCTTCGACCTTGACTGGAGCAGGCTCGGCAACGACGGCCGGAGTGGTGGCAGCGGCTGCCGACGCAGTCTCAGCCACGGCGGGCGCTGCACTTGTTGGCTTGGTACCCGAAGTGGCGGTTGTGGCGGCGGCGGCGGCAGTGGCAGGTTTGGCAGCAGCCGGGGCACCCGTGCCCGTCGCCGATGCTTCATACCCACCCTTGGACTTCATTTGGGACTGCAGACCAGAGAGCTGTCGAAAGTTGACGGGACATGTTTTTGAGGTTGACGGGGGAAGCACAATTGTGTTTGGAAAAACCAAAAAAAAAACAAAAAATAAAACAAACCCCACCATGTGAGAAACAGATTCAAGAATGCAACAAGAGCAACAAAAACATCCAATGTGCCGTGCTTGCGTTACCTGAACACCCATGTCGGCAGCGCCTGCACCAATGTGACCGGTGTGCTGTTGTTGCAATCCATTCAAAAACCGGGGGCGGAAGCACAAAGGAAGGAGTGAAAGAGGAAGGGGACAACGATGAGAACAGAACAAAATCATCGCAGCTTTGTCTCTGCCTTGCCACACTCTCTGCCAGACTTGCCCATCCTCTGCTCATTCATCCACGAAAACAACATGTGGAATGTGGGTGGGTGTGGGGGGGGGAGAAAGGCAGAGGAACGGTACCTGGAAGTTGGACGGGAGGCCGATTTGAGTTCGGTCAATCTTTCGCTTCTGCAGCGGCTTGCGCTCGCCAGGCTGTGTGGTGCCAACAAAAACAGTCATCCCATTTGGCAAAGTAATAATGTCAGTACAAAGACAAAGACAAGCGTTCAAACACATGTCGTCAAAGTCAAAAGCGAAGAAAAAAAAAAAAGAAAAAAAAAAAAAAGAACCAAATACTTTTTTTTTTCAAAAAAACCACAACACCGAAAGAAATAAAATAAAAATAAAAATAAAACAACTACTTTCGAACGGTCGCTCGCTTTCTCAACACACACGCACACACACACACACGCTGCAGAAGACAAGGCCTGCAGATGATGAGAAAGCGATGGGGGGGGAGAGGCGCAGAAGAGCGACGGCTGCGAAAACATCAACGACAACAACAAGAAAAAAAAGAAAAGGATAAAAATACTTTCAGCGGTATGCCTTAGGAAACGGTAGGCAAAAACACAAAAGATTGGTGAGGAAATCGTAAGAACTCGAGCAGCCACAGACCATTTCCTTCCTACTCGTTGTGATTGAACCGCAAACAAAAAAAAAAAAAAAAAAAAAAAAGACCAGGTTTCCCTGCCGACTATTGTTGTGATCTGGAGGTAGGAGGCCGACAGACAAGAAGGGCCACCGACCCACGCCGCCTCACTCGGTCGCACAGGCATCCGCCGCACGGTGACTGTCGCTGGCCAGGCAGACCGACCTCCGCTATCCTTCGCTGAATCGCCTTTGACAAAAAAAAAAAAAAAAAAAAGCTAATGCAAAAAGCAGCAATGTTGTGGAAGCCCAAAAAAAAAAAAAAAAAAAAGTTCGTTCTTTTGTCTGGACAGAGCTCAGAGCGCAGTGGCGACCACAGCCCAGCGACGACCGTGATGACAACGCCCAAGGGGCAGAGACAAGCACGCCAGCCGGCAGGCCGCATGGGTCAACGACTGCCCACAACAACAGCGATCGAGTTTTGCGTTGAACCCCAAAAGAAAAAAAGAAAAAAAAAAGCTAATGCATTGCCAGCCAACAACAAAAAAAAAAGCATTTGACAGAGACCCGACAGAGGGTTGGTTGCTGATGAATGCATTGAGCGAGAGGGGAACAAGTAGTTTGGAGCCCGTACGCGAGTGGGAGCAGCAGCCGGCTGCTTGTGCGGCATGCAAGGGCACAATGCAAGTCCCATTGTAGAAAAAAAAAATAGAAAAAAATTAAAAAATAAGACGAAGAAAAAAAAAAAAAAGATTGACCTTTTGGTTTGGTTTGGAGGTCAATCCATACGAGGGATGATGATGATGAACACAGGGGACAGGGTGAGAGAGTGAAATAGAGGGCCGGGGGGGGGGGAGGCGGCGGAAGAAGAAGCACCGGCCATTTTTGTTTTGGCTGAAACCACATTGAACATTTTCGGGTTGGATCCCAAACCCCAGGCCAGGCAGGTCTAGCGAGGCTGATTCTCAAAGGCAAGCTACATCCAGCAAGGTATTGGAGTATTAATCATGTCGGAAGGCGATGGGAACAAGTGGGCGCAGTGGACAAAAGAACAAACAAAACGACCAAACGCGTTCAGCTGCCGGCTTTTGTTCGTTTTCTCTCAGACATTGACATTCACATCAACATTCATCATCATCATCATCATCATCATCATCATCATCATCATCATCATCATCATACATGTATCGTCATCATCATCGTGGCTGCATTGATTCATTCCTTCTTTATTTTCGTTTGACAAAATGGCACCGACCAAGACCGCCGTTGTGCGCAAGACTGTTGAAGCCCAGCAGGCTCAGAAGACCAAGGTCAACGCCGCGATCGCCGCCGCCAAGGCACCCGCCGCCGCTGCCGCCCCTAAGGCTGCTGCTGCTGCTGCCCCTACCGCTGCTGCTCCGGCTAAGGCTGCTGCACCTGCCAAGGCTGATGCGGCTGCTGCTCCCAAGGCTGCTGCCAAGGCTGCCAAGCCCGCTGCTACCCCTGCCGCCGCCCCCAAGGCCCCCGCTGCTGCCGCCCCTAAGGCTGCTGCATCGACCGCGATCGCCGCCGCTGCGCCCAAGACCGAGAGCGATCCCGTTGCCGTCCCCAGCTTGCTCGATTCCGGCCTGGTAAGTTTCACCCCTCCTGAATCACCGCAGCATGCATTGGACACATTTACACCTGTTGCTACCACGCAGCCATCCGACATTACAGAAAGTCGAATCCAGAGCGCCAAACGAGAAGAAAGGCACATTGAAGCAGAGGGGAACGGGAAGGAAAAAAAAAAAAAAAAAAAAAAAAAAAGACAGCCACATGGAAACGTAAAAATCCCACATGGTTTTTGCATTGCAGCCTCATTGAACCATTGAGCGGGGCATCAACGTCGACCGATTCGGCTGTCGGAGGTCGATTTGACGAGCTGCCACACACTTGATCGAATTCCATGCATCGAGCAGCGGGTCGTTGTCTTGCTGGGGTGTGATCAGCGCGCGTTCAAAGCAACGCATTGTCTCTAAACAATCTTTGTCGTTCTGCTGCTTTTGGTCAGGTCCAACGTGCGTCGAACGCGCTCATCCAGCACATCAAGAAGGTCACTGCCGAGAACAAGTCGAACGCGCTGCTCGGCGGCAGCAGCGACGACGCTGTCTGGATGCAGCTCGGCCTCAAGAAGATGCCCGACCACACTCGCAGCATGATTCCCGTGTACGTTTTCGTTTTTGGAGGCCTTGAAGCGTTGTGCCCCCAAAAAGCTTGTCGCACAAATGCTGCATGCAGCGCTTTGGCACCTGGATCTACAGCAACAGGCACTCACATGTCTCTCGTCTTTGGTTCTCGTCAGTCCCCTTGCCCACGGCCTGTACACCAACCAGCACTCGGTCTGCTTGATTACAAAGGATCCTCAGCAAGAAATGAAGGCGTTCATTAAGGAGCGCAACATTGAGGGCATCCACAAGGTGATGGGTGTTTCAAAGCTCCGCTCCAAGTACAAGACTTACGACACCAAGCGCGAGCTCGCTCGTCTTTACGATCTTTTCATTGCTGACGACCGAGTCATCCCCATGCTGCCACGCCTTCTTGGCAAGCCCTTCTTTGAGAGGAAAAAGTATGTGGTCGTTGAATCTGCTTGAAGTGTTGTGCTCGTTTTCTTTCTCCCCCCCCTCACTCGTCAACGGACTGACTAAACACCTTTGTGTTTTGTGGTAGGCTGCCTGTGCCAGTGAGGCTCACCAAGAACGTTGCCCGAGAGATCAACGCTGCGCGCACTTCTACATACATGACCCTCACGCACGGCTCGTGCCTGTCGGTTCGCATCGGTCGTGCTGGCTTCACGGGTGAGCAGCTCGCTGAAAACATTTTCGCTGCCATCCCCACCATTGTTGCCAACATTCCTCGCGGCTGGAAGGGCATTCAGTCCATCAACCTTAAGACTGCCAACTCCCTCGCCCTTCCCATTTACAACTCGCTGCCCATCGCCGCTGTAGACGACAACGACGACGACGAATACACTCGCTATGCCATCCCTGCGTCGGCTGTGCCTGCTCCCGCAAAGCCCTCGGCAATGGAGGTGGTTCCCGCCGAGAAGAAGCAGGTCAAGCCTGCCGCCGCGACGTCAGTTAAGGCTGCCAAGGCTGCCAAGGCTGCCAAGGCTGCGGCTGCTACTCCCGTCAAGGCTGCTGCTACTCCTGCCAAGGCCGCCACCCCTAAGGCTGCCGCCCCCGCACCCGCAAAGACTGCCACTCCCGCAAAGGCCGCTGGTGCCGTGCCGATGCAAATTGAAGCACCTGCACCAGTCGCCAAGGCGGCTGCTACTCCTGCCAAGGCGGCTGCTACTCCTGCCAAGGCGCCTGCCGCCACTCCTGCTAAGGCGGCTGCTGCTACTGCCACTCCTGCTAAGGCCGCTGCTCCTGCTCCTGCTGCCACTCCTGCCAAGGCCGCTGCTACTCCTGCCAAGGCCGCTGCTCCTGCTGCCACTCCCGCCAAGGCCGCTGCTGCACCGGCTGCTGCCCAGACGCCCAAGTCGAAGGAAACGCCAAAGCCCGCAGCCGCCGCCGCCGCCAAGACTCCCGCAGCGAAGGCTGCCGCCCCAGACGCTGCAGTCAGCACCCCTGTTGCGGCCGCCAAGCCCCCAGCGGCCACATCGACCAAGACCCCCGCCAAAACCCCGAAGGCTGCTGCGAAGGCTATGGACGTGACTCCTGACGCCAAGTCTGCCTCGGCTGCTCCATCCACCCCTAAGAACGCTACTCCCAAGTTCTCTCCAATTGGCACCCGAAGCGGCAAGAAGCTGGCACGAAAGTAAATGCAGTTCTCTTAGCGTCGCCGTGTCCACTTTCTTATTGTAGTTGCAAATGGATTTTTCTTGTCATGTTCTTGTTTCTTGTTGTTCTCTTTTTTTTTTCTCTCAAATCTTAACGCGATCACATCCTGGAATCTTAACGTTTCTGGAACGGCGAGGTCAAAACGAGATGGGGATTGTGAACACAAATTTTACAAGCGAGACAGTCGCCAAGCAAACAAAATCATAAACGTCAGCGTGAACATGACGCAGTACGCAATGATGTTAGATCGCAGACTGCCCTTGATTTTCATGCCAATAACCTGTCAGAGATGTGAGGGGGGGGGGAAGTTGAGCGATGGTTCCTTCCCACAAAAGAAAAACCAAAAACCAACCAAACATCCCACACTAGCAAGCTGGAACTCTCACCGTGATTACGAGTGCGGAGAAGATGGCCATGATGTACGTGTACCATGGCGCACCGCCAGTCAACGGAAGCGCAGAGCGATCGTTGGAATACGGCGGACACAAGAAGGAGGTTTTGAAAACAATGCACGGAAAGAGAATGCTACATCACGAAGGGAAAAGGATGGAAAGGAGAACACACACGCGCTGTGAGTTTGATACAAACCGAAGCAGCGTGTCGAAATTTCAAACACATACCCAAATACATGCTGGCACTTGGACCAGAATTCCAGTGGTTTGAGATTGACGAGAATGGTAATTCCCAAGCCGATGGTTGAGCTCGCCAAGATGATGATGTAGTTGAGGTTTTCGAGATGGGACCAAGTCATGACTTGGTCGGAATTGTTGATATTGGCATAGCACGCGTCTGTCAGGATGGGTCGGGACTTGTGAGGACGATGCGAACAAAACCACCCAACACAGTGCAGAAGGTTCGTAGACTCACTCTGTTGACAGCTGGTGCAGGTTGCAATATCAAGCTTGTAAAAGCCCACGCCGAGCAACACGCAGAGTGCGCCCTGTAAAGTACAACACAAGCACTCGATGATGAGCAACGCGCGACAACTCTCTCCTTTCAGTTAAAAAATCATCATAGCTGCGATCCTTTACCTGGAAAAAGCCAACGACGCAATCCGACGGATAATGCGCACCAAAATTGACCTGAAATTCCCAAAACCAGAACGTCAGCGCAAAGAAAAGGCTGAGCAAAACCCATTCAATTCCTCTGTCTGTAAGACGCTCTGGCCAAGTAGAGAACAACGCCTCACGCGAGAGAATCCCAGGCAGAGTGCAGCTAAAAGGATGACTGGATACATCCACGGCTCCATGTCAATAATATCGCGACCGGCGTTGTCGTTAACAAGCGCGAATACCAAATAGGTATAGGCCACGGCGCATGTGACGGCGCGCGACGGAAATGAGGACGTCAAATCAAGACGCACCTGCAACGCGACAACCAAAAACAACAACAACAACAACAACAACAACAACAACAACAACAACAACAACAACAACAACAACAACAACAACAACAACAACAACAACAACAACAACCACAACAACAACAACAACAAAAGCAACTCTGACATTCAGAATTCTCGAACGGCCACCCACAAAAAAACCAAAGCCACGCAATCAATACAAACCTTGACGGCTCGATCGACCATGTACGGGCGATATCGCCAAATGAAACGCTTGGGAATTTGGGAAACGGTGCACAGCAGCAAGATCACAAACGTGGCAAGGGTGGCGCACGCATCTTTGCCGAGCATGTACAAGACGAACGGGAGAGCAATACCGCTTTCAATAGCCGTTAATGCTGCAATCAGAGAACATGTACGTCAGTAAGGGGCTATCAGGATTAAAAAGGGAGCAGCGGGACAAACAACAACAGAACAGCGCGACAGTACCTAACGCCACAATATTCAAGTAAAAGAAGGGTTTGCCCAGTCCAACGCCCTGGCAGAATTTGATGATGGGATCGTCAAACCATTGCAGCTTCCTTTCCCAGCTTTCTGGAAAGTCCCAGTAGTCTATGAAAGCGACGAAACCGCGGGTAATGAGTGATCATTCCCCTCGAGACAAGTGCAGTTTGCAATCAAACACACCGCACCATCCTTTACTTGTGATACCTGCTTCTCCTCCCCCCTCCCCTCGTACCCACTACTCGCTTTATTCACCAAGCACTCACATCGATGGGTTGGACCGTGCGCTTGCGTCAGTCCTTGCTTTGGTTCGCTCAAGCCTCCAGGCGCAGCCTCTTCTTGCGAAACACCCGAAGTAGCGAGTGGATTGTATCCGTCTGCATTGTAACCAAAGAGGTCGTCGCTCTCGTCAGCATTGCGAAGGAGTGAACGAGCAAACGACACTGGTCCGTGGCTGCCCTCGGAAGTCATCGATCGGTTGCTGCTCTCGCCGGCCCTGCGGAAGAAACGGGCACGGAATGACGACGATCCACTCGTATTGAGCGACCTGGACCTGCCTGTGCTGTCTTGGTGTCCCAGTAGCGACGTCGTGGACGTAGCTTGATGAAGGTCGCTGCTCGAGTTTGAGTCATCCGCCGGACCAAAGCTGTAGCCACTCCAACTGCCGGACGGCGGCCTGCTTGTGTGTGCCGATGATGTCTGGAATGCTCCAACAGACGATCTTTGGCTTTTCGTACTACCAGCAGCACCAGCAGCACCAGCAGCACCAGCAGCACCAGCAGCACCAGCAGCACTGAGAGTGAGCGATGCAAGCGATCCAGCGCTCTGTTGGTGCCTGATTTGCGGCCTTGAGCCTGCCATGGCTTCTTGATGCTTGAGTTCTTCGGCGGTGTGCATCGTCCGACTTGGAGTGCCTCCTGTAGCAGTGGCTGGCAGTGGCACAGCGCGAGCAGTAGCAGCGTCAGCGGTTTCGTCGCGAGTTGCGTCTCCTGCGCCAGCAGCCACATCTGCACGAGCGCTTGTGTGGGTGTTGTAGCCATACTCATGGCCCTGGTTGTGATGGCTATCGTCGTCATCCTCGTCATCCCCGTCGTCGTCGTCCGCGGCCGGGTCGCCCAGTGCCACAGAACCAGAGCCAAACGACTCCCGCAGCCGGTCGAGCTGCGCTGGTGACAAGAGCGCTGCAGACGCTGCCGCTGAACTGTCAGACCACTGTCCGACCGACGCTGCACGTCCACCGTGATGGCCGTTGTGGTCGCCGTCGTCGTCGTCGTGGTCGCTGAGCAGTGGCTGGCTCAGTTGCTCCGACATTGACTTTGGGTGAACACTCAAACAGACGACTGGCTATGCTTATCATCGTAGGATTTTCGTCATTGTTCTCATGTAACACATGCACCTTGGTACTGTACTTGAGTGCAATCACTCAAGAGCAAATCCCACAACAACTTGCTCAGAGACTCAGAGCTCAGTCAAATCTTTGTTCTTCTCATTGTTGTTATATTGTTGTTGCTCGATTGACAGCACATCCGTTTGTGTCTGTTTCGGATTTGTTTGTTTCTGGTTGCTGCTGTTTGAGAAGTCTCATCATCCATGTCTGACGAGGGCAGCGCTGCGGCCGCGGCGGACAGCACGCCAGTGGTGCGCCAGGTTGCCGTTCGCGGCGTCGAGATGGTCAAGCAACCAAAGCCACACGTCGTAAGAGAGCCCTACTTCTGCATCTCTTTCAAGATGGACTCCAGAGCAGTTTGAGAGGATGTTCCATGCTTGTTGGGTGCTGGTTGGAGGTTGGTGGTTGGAGGTGCGATCAATGGAGCGTGACTGTTGCCCTTGCTCTCCACTCCCAGCGAGTGTGTGGACGGCCGCTTTTGCTGTATCGGGTCTTGTTGGGGATTTCGACAGGCTTTTCGACAGCTCTCGCAAGGGCGGCAAGTCGGGACGAGGACCCTTCACTGGGGAATAGTAACTAATTGTTCGCCATAGAGACCAAAGCAGAGCTCAAACCAGGGCGGTCTCCGGTTGGTCCACCTGATGATGTTGCATTGAATCAGTTTGGTGCTTCTCACGCTTCAAAGTGGGGGGGGGGGCAAGGGGCAGCGGCGGGCAGGGGAAAGCGTTGGTTGGGACACGGATAAGGGTTTGCTAATGTTGACATTTGGCAACAAATCTGAGAATCAAAGACAAAATCAAATCATCAAGCTAACAACTAAGCTTTGGTGGATGTCACTCTTGGAGATTTGAGAGTTGAAGGGGAATGCGTAATTCTTGTTCTGACATTCGTTTTTTTTTTTTTTTGTTTGCTACTTTGTTGGCATCCTGTCAATCTCACTCAGGTGTACAAGATTGAGGTGTTTACGCAAGCAAACCACTGGACTGTGTCGCGGCGATACACAGAGTTCCATCAGCTATACACTGAGGTACACAGCCAACTGGATGTTTTCTTGTATTCTTGGCCATGGGTTTGCTTTGTTTGTTTTGCTCTGACTCCTCAACGTCTTGCCTTGTAACAGCTGGCACAATCGATCACATTCCCAGCCAACATATTCCCTCCAAAGCGCGTCATCAAGTCCATGGCACCAGAGTTTATCGAACTTCGGCGAGTGGCACTGCAGGAATTTCTCCACGAGGTGGTCCTGGGCAAGTACAAGCAGGCGGCCTCCAAATCGAAGGCGTTGCAAGCCTTCTTGGAGCTGGATTCGCAGGTACGCGCGCGCATTGTGATGCTGCTGGCAGAGTGTTTGGATCAGTGTCTTATGGCTCATCGGCTCAAAACGCTGATTTCTACTCTCCGTCAGGACGTTTTTGGAGTCACACGAGCGCTGACACAATACCTCTATGTTCAAGGTGTGTGTGGACGCACTGTTATGTGCGAACTCTATTCTTGCAGGCCGCCCACACTCACTGCTCGTTGCTATTCTTGTACCAGCCGACAAAATCCTCGCAACCAACGAGCTGTTCACTCTCACTCCAACCCAGCTGTTTGCCATTGGAAAACGTCTTCGGTTTGCCAATCTTGCAGGTACTGCAATACTCCCCACGCCCTCTCACGCAAAGATGTCACAAAAAGGCTCACCTTCTGCTCATGTTCATACACCTCTCTCCTCGCACACAAACCCAGCCGCCCCAGCCCTTGATACCGCAGCAGAAACGGCGGACTCGCGCGCTACGGATCTCGCTCATTTGTACGACTTTGTGCATCGGCTCAAGCGTCTTCGCGTTTCTCCTGTGGACGACAGTACCTCCGGAGTCGTCTTTGACGTATCTTTCTTCAAGTCCGTCACGACGTTGCATGTGAGTACTCGTAGTAATCCTAGTGACGCTTCCTCGTCGGCTTCCCAGCAACCAGTCGCCCTTACTTTGATTCACCCGCCGTCCCTTGGTAGCTCAATCACTGCTCCATCAGCAACGTCGAGGGCATCGGCGCCATCCATCTTCAGCTGACAGAGTTGCGAGCACACAATTGTATCCGCCAATTGCAAGATGTGCTGGTGGAAGCTGTTGTGCAGCATGCCCCTGAAGATGCTCAACTAGAGTACCACATCCTCCCATGGGCTCAGATTGTGACTGCAGACTTTAGCAACAATGGCTTGCCCATGATTGATGAATCGGTGGTAAGTCGAGCCTCCTGCTTGCGTTTTCATTGGATCGAGTGGAGGGTCTCAACCCTGTGCGCATCCTCTCTTTTGTGCAGATGCTGTTGCCAAACGTTGTGAAATTGGACTTGAGCTACAACGCTCTGGAAACGGTCGACCACTTGCAGAGTCTGCATCATCTCGCTTCCATTGACTTGTCACACAACGCGATTGTGGACACAAACCATCTTTACGCACTCTTGGGCAACGTCACGACTTTGTCTCTCGCGGCAAACCGGCTTGAACTCTTGAGTGGTACTGTTCAACCGTTTGAGCTGCTCATTTGTTCTCATGTTTATCCTTCCTGTCTTGCTCATAATTTTGTTTTCTGTTTCGATTATGCTTGTTTTCGTTTTCGTTTTCAGGACTCGAACGTCTGTACTCGCTCCAGCACCTCGATCTTTCGCACAACTTGATTGCAGACGTGCACGAAACAACGCGCCTCGGATCAATGCCGTGTCTCGAATCGCTCAAGTTGATTGGAAACCCCATGGTTGGCGCAAGCGCCATTGCCATCAACTCGGTGGCGGCTTCAGGCGGAGAAGGCATCTCCACCTCGACCAAAAAGTGGTCGCATTCCAAGTATCGAATTTACGTCCTTTCGCGCTTTGGCGACCGATTTCGTGAAGTTGTTCTGGATGATGTGATCGCCACGCCCGCAGAACAGGTACTTGTGCCACTTTGAACGTGACCTTTTGCTGAGAGTTGGTCGTGTTTGGCTCATTTCGTTTGACAATCGTCATCACGCCGGCAATTTTTTTTTTTACTCGAACAGAAAAAGGTACAAAAGCTGTTGGCCAAGCAACATGCAGAGCGCGCTGTTGCTGCAGTGGGTGCTTCGACCGACCAATCCGATTCTCCTGCGAGACAACGGTCATCAAGTGAAATGGCTGGCAGCAGGCCGGCGAGATTGTCGGTGGGGCGTGTCTTGTTCGAGGCTCCTGCGCCAACCCGGGACTTGTCGCGATCTCCGCCTGCTCGAGACATCGATCCGCGAATCTCACTGTCGAGTATTGAGGACGAGCTTCTCGCCTTTTCTGTCACGGATGCTGCAAAGAAGGTTTGTTCCCCCGTCGTTCATGTTTGCGCATATTCAACAACACTGCATGCTCACTTTTGGTTTATTTGCTCTGTTCATCTCGTGTCTTCTCTACGAAGAATGCATCTGGGAAGGGCAAGCGGCCACGCTCTGTGAAGATTGGAGAGACGGTGACGGCTCGAAAATCAACGCCGTTTGCAGGGGACGTTCCAGACCGATCGGCAGACATCACTGCATCTTTCATCCCCAAGGCGCATGCCGCGCCTGTTAGCTCTATGAGTGCTGATTTCCGAAAGCAAGTCGAGAATGTCAGCAAGGAAGGAGGCACAGCCATGTCTGAGTTTCTCACAGATCTGCTGGGTGTGGACGAGAAGCCGCCGTCGCCGAATTCGTCCTCGCCAACAATGTACCCCGTTCGCACAGACAATGCCCAGTTTGTGTCGCAGCTGACAGCAGCGCCATCTGCAGCCCAACCTCAGCAGGATGTTCTCACGCTGGATTACTTGGCGCGCATCAAAGGGTTTGTCGACGACGACAAGGCCAAGAAGCCCAAGAAGGACAAGCCGCGCAAAATCGGAAGTCCCGCCAAGCGAAAGTCCGGCGACGTCAGCCAGCTCATTGCCAATACCACCACCTCGCAGTCTCCTGTGGCAGCAGCTTCTCCCGCAGCCCCACTCTTGCTTCTACCCAAGCTCATTCGTGATGTCAAAGCCTCGCATAGCGCCAGTTCATCACCGTACGTTTTTTGACGGGGATGCTTTGTTTGTTTCGTTGAGAAAGTTGAAAACCTGGTGGTCTTGTCGTCATGAGCTAAATCTTGCCTCTTGGGCTTCTTGTTGTTGCAGACCATCGACCACGCTGATGGTGTCGGTGATTGAACGAACGCTTCAGGATGGCGACACGGCATCTTCTTCGACGCCTCCTCCGGCGCCAGTGTCTTGCGTTCTCAGCATCGACGTGGCCAAGCGCAACATGTTGGAGATTGACATGAGCACGGCGCGCCCGCGGGCAAAGCGAGACCTGAATTGTCTGATCTCAATGGCGACTGGAGACGAGTCGGCTGAGCGCCCGACTATTACTCTCACCATCCGCATCCCAGGCGATGATTCAAGCGCCTCGTCGGGCGCGTTGGAGGTGACGTATTCGCTCGACAGCTTACAGCAAGTCGCAGAGCTCTACGTCCTTCTCGAGCCCTTTATTGTTCAAAAACCGGACGCCAGCCTGAAGGCGGATGCTGCTGATTCGCTGGCCAACAACGTTCAAAGCGAAACGACGAGCGCGACTGGTAATGGAGCCTCGGCAGTGATTCCAAGTGAAGCTGGTCCAGCCACAACCACCTCCACCAGCAACAGCGACAGCCCCATTCCCCCTCCCGAGAAGACGATCGAAGAGCAGCAGGCCGCGCTCGCGGAGGCCCAGATTGCCACGCATGCTGCTCACCTTGCTCGGTTGCAACCTGTAGTCATCAAGTTTCTGCGCAAGGCTGGCGCATTTGCCGAAACCGACAAGCTGGTCCACTTGCTCGAGACGCGCTATGTTCAGTATGGCGGCTGGGGCGGTTCGTATCTGCTCAGTGTCGGCGAGAGCTCTAGTGCATTTGCAGAGCATCGTGTTTTGCTGGCTTTGACGTCTTCCGCCTTGTTTGCGCTCGAAGAAGCGTCAACCACTTCCGTGCATGCCGCTGAAGGCGGAGCACAGGCGATGGGGCTACCCGCGCCGCCGGCGAACATCCATCTTGGCTCGTATGCGCCCTTCCGCACCAGTACACGCTTGACAGTTGCGGCGGCCTTCCCACTGCAGTCTGTCCGTGCCGTGCTCGTCGGCCTGTTCGACCAGATGTTCCGCGTCGAGTTTTCCCAGCGAGAATCCTTTGTCTTCTTGACGCGCGACTTTTCATTGACGCATCAGTTCTTGAACTCGCTCGCATCAGCCATCAAGGAGCGCCAACGCGCACTGATTGAGCAAAAGCAGCAGCAAGCAGCCAAAACTTCTGTGAATGCTGCCAAAGAGGATCCGTCGCTCGCGGCATATTCCTACACATCCATCTACAACCAAAAGACTGCGGACGAGCTGGAGCGAGAGCAGGGCGGAGACAACATTTACAGGCAGGCGATCGATGACAGTGACACTGAATTTGTCTATCCTGATACGACGGCACTCGACACACTGCGCTTCCGCCTGTGCGAGCAAAACATGGACTTGGAGCTGCCCGACGAGTTCAACCCCATCAACTACACCATGGCGTATCAGGTCATTCCCGCGCACTCGGCCAACGAAGAGGCCATCTTGCTGCCTCGAACCTTGGTGCTCTCCAACCGTTGTGCGTACCTTGTGCAGGAAGATTATGGCCGCTGGCCTTTGCCCAGCTTTGTGACTCTGGTGCCCGACTCGCCGCAGTACATGGTCTTGTCGGTGCATCCAATCGGTGCTGCTGTGGCTATCGAGCTCTCCCAGTCCGATCCACGGCACGTTGCCATCTGCTTTGACCCGTCCATTCGGTTGAGGTGGAATAGCTCACTCTCTTCGTCGCAAAGCCTGCCGGCGCGGTTCTCGATGGGTCCAGTGCGCGATAGCGCAGACATCTTACCCGTCGGTGGTGGCGAGACCTGGACTTTGCGGCTGTGCACCATGGCCGAGCGTGACAACTTTATCAAAGTGTTCCGGCGTCTTTGGGCGGACACGTTCCAGGAAGAGCTGATTGTGACCTGGGCCAAGTGATCATTGAGTTTATTTAGATTGTTTTTGTGGTTTTAAGGTGATGCTTTTTTTTTTGTGTAATTTTTGTTGAGTTTATGTTCGTGAAGTGGCATTGAGCATGCAACTGCTTTTGTTGGCATATTGATTTTTGTTTATTTTGTTGTTGCAACTGTGAATTCCCCCCGTCATTGCGATTAGATCTACAAGAAACAATGACACACACACTTGGAGTGAAAGCAAGTTTCCATGAAAAAGAAACAGGTCGAAAGAAAAAAACAACAAGGTCGAAACGAAGGGACAAACGGAAAACAACAGCATTCAGTATTAATGCTTTGCCGGGGGAACCCAAGTGTAGGGCTGGGAATGACGGGTGAAGCCACCGTGGCGCTTGAGCTGCTCATCGGCGCTGGACGGGCCTCGGCTGCCAAACTCGTACGGCTCGGGCTTGTGCTTGGCGCGCTCGAGCTCATGCAGCATGGGGGTAAAGATGCGCCATGCCACATCGAGCTCGTCGCTGCGAACAAAGTTTGCGTGATCGCCGCGGAGAACGTCGAGAATGAGCGCCTCGTAAGCATCAGGAATGTAGTCGCCACCGTAGCGCTGCTTGTAGCTCAGGTCGAGCTCGCTGATGACGGTCTCGGTCGAAAGACCGGGCTTCTTGTTCATGAGCTTAATGTACACGGCCTCGTCCGGCTGCACGCGAATGACGAGCTCGTTGCGGGCAAGATCGTGGGGGAAGATGTTGCCTGCGACATCTTGGAACTGGATGCGGATCTCGGCCTTGCGATCGGGCATTGCTGAGGGCGGCGGAATAAAACCCAAGAAACGAGGAAATGGTTAGTGTTGTTGGTGTTTGTCAGAAACCGCTGTTACCAGACGCCAGACGCAATTAAAGTCTTTCTCACCTTTGCCACACTTCAGGATGAACGGCACGCCTGAAAATAATGAAGCAAAAACAAGCAAAATAACAAAACAAAAGAAAGTGACAGTCAGGTGAATCCTCCATCACGTATCACTCTTCAAAACCAAAAACCATACCATCCCAGCGCTCATTCTTGATGTGGAGAACTGCTTGCGCAAAGGTGGGAGTGATCGAGTCCTTCGGCACGTCGTCGAGCTCGAGATAGCCAACAACCTTGCCATCACCACTGCGAGTGTATTGGCCGACAATCACGTCGTGCACGGTGAGGTGGGGAATGCTCTTCAGCACTTTGACCTGTTTTATCAGTGGGCAAGTAGACGAATGAGTCGAGAACAAGGCAACAACAACAGCAACCCCCCCCCCGAATGCACAACGACGCAATGACATCAAAACAGACGTACCTTCTCATCGCGAATGGCCTCGGCACTCAAGTCGACGGGGCGGTCCATGGCAACGATCGCCAGGATTTGCATGAGATGGTTTTGCATGACATCGCGAATGATGCCGTACTCGTCAAAGTAGCCACCGCGGCCCTCGACGCCGAACGGCTCCTTGAAGGTGATTTGAACATTGTTGATGAACTGGCGGTTCCAAACAGCGCCAAAGAAGACGTTGGCAAAGCGCAGAATGAGAAGGTTCTTGACCATCTCCTTGCCCAAGTAGTGGTCGATGCGGTAAATCTCGCTCTCGGCAAAGTTGGCAGCGAGGGCGTCGGCGAGCTCCGTGGATGAGGCCAAGTCCTTGCCAAACGGCTTTTCGACAATGAGGCGCTTGTAGCCCGCGTTGTCCGTCAGGTGGCGCTTGATCTGCTGCGAGATCGGGATGAAGACGGACGGGGGCAGCGCCAGGTAAAAGACGCGATCGGTCGCGCAATCGGACGAGGGCTGCGCGCACTTCTTCTCCACCTCGGCGGCGGCCTTTGCGAGCTTGATGACGTCTTCGTCGCTGTCGTACTGGCCGTGCACGTATGAGATGATCTTGAAGAACTCGTCTGTTCAGCAACAACGTTCGATGTGAGTGTACGCATTCAGATTGCTCAGTGAAGGTGTCTGTTGGTTTTCGTTCCCCCGCACCTCCTCTTCCTCTTTCCCGGCTCCCATTTTGTTTTTTTTTCCCGCAGTAAATCAATTCCAACCAACTATTATGTCTACGTCATTACTTCATTTCCCCCAAACGAGATCTTTGATTGCGCGTTTTGAAGCGGAGGGACGAGATTGTTCATCCGAAACGCCCAGTTTGTTCCGCTTCGACACTCTCGCTCTCGCTCTCTCGCTCTCAATTCAACCCACACTGACTTGCACGCATTTCACTGTCGAGTGCAACCAACTGCACAACTCTCTCTCTCTCTCTCTCTCTCTTTCGCTCGGTCGCTCAACAATTTGTGAGCTCAGTGTTTGCGAATCTAAAACATCACCTCATATCTCCGTTCCTTCCAAAAATCTCTCCGTCGCTTTCATTCAAACTCTCACTCAACTCTCTTTCTCTCTCAGCTCTTTCACTTTTGTTCACAACTTGCAAGACAAACCAAAACGCAGAGCTCTTCCACCGACGCAGAACGCACAAAACACGCCACGTCGGAGGGACGAACGCGCGTCGAGTCAAACAAATAAAAAAAAGTCACGCCGCTCCAAAATGCGAAAGTGTGCGATTCGCACAACTGCAACAGCGTTGTGCATCTTCCCTTCACGACTTGCACCCCCGCACCACAAAAGCATAACTCTGAGTCGTCCTGTGCTGCTGGGTTGTGCCGTGCCGTGCCGGCGGACGCAAGCACACACGCCCTGCACGCTTATCGTTTAAAAAAAAAAAAATGAAAAACTCACCGAGCGTCTTCTTGTCCTGGTCGGTCGGAGTGCGGATGAACTTGCTGAGGCGCTCGCGGAGCTCGGCAGGCGTCATGGCCGAGCGCGCATAGCCCACAATGCGGGTGTGCGTGGGCAGCAGGTTGGAGCGGAAGAGCGCAAACAGCGCAGGGAAGGTCTTCTTCTTGGCGAGATCACCGCTGGCGCCAAACACAAACACAGTGGTCGGGTTGTTGGACGCGGCAGACGGCGCGCCACTTGACGAGGAGGATGTTGGCGACGATGACATTTTTGTTGAACGCGCGCGCAGGGGGTTGGGGTTGGAGTCGAGTTTTGAAAGAGGGTCCTAAAAACAAGAGTGATTTTGAACATTGAACGTTGAATTTGGCTCGAATTGTTGTTTCAATACGGCGCGACTCGCATCATTCGCATGAGCAAAGCAGAGAACGCTGCTTTTCCAATGGAAAGAAATAGCAACAAAGACATTCAAAAAGAAAGAAAAAAAGAGAAGGCGAAAAAAGTCTCGAAAGCAAGCCAGTCTGAAACACGATGCCATAAAACTGGTGTGCAGGCAGCACGCCAATCCCAGCGCAGCAGCAATGAGCATTGGAGAATCTGGAGAAGAGAAATGTAAGAGTGGGAGTGAGTGAGTGAGTGAGTGGGTGGTGGGAATAGGAAATAGGAAAGTGGTGGAGCTCGAGAATAACGAGAGGGAGAAGAAATAACGAAAACAATAGATTTGTCCCAGAACGGAGGATTTTGGCGGGATGTGAACATAAAGTATCGTGAACAGGAGCTGGAAACTTTACTAGAAGCAGGGAAACGAACAAGACACAAAGCAACAGAACGAACGAATGGTGAGCTTATCACAAACAAATACACGCTCAGCCTCAAAACAACAACATCTTCCGCTTGTCATCACGGATCCAACGAAACAAGGATGCTACCAAAGGACGGGCGATCGTCTGCAGCTTCTTCAAGACACTCGAGTGCAAGAGTGACAAACTCGCTGATACTCTGCCTTTGTCCCCGTTCTTGTACGATTCATCAGTGCTGCGCCCCGTACCAAGCAAGCATGGGTTTGGATACACCGCCTCGTGCTGTGCAACAGTATCAACCAGAATCAAAGTTGGGACTTTGGGTTGTTTTCAAAATCGACACACAAAATACATTCATCATACAAACAATAATAAGGACATGAAAAGATAACACTACACTCAATCATCATCGCCAGGCTCGTCGTGATTGGTGCCAAAGGTGCTGTAGCCCGGGGTCGCGCCGTACATGGATCGCTGCGTTTCGGTGACGGTGATTTCGGCTGCTGGTCGGTTCGGGAGCCAGCAGTAGAAGGCGAGCAGAATGGCGCCCGTCGGGACAATGTCCACGACAAAGTAAAAGACCAGCATGCAAATAAAGTAGTCGTTGTTCGAGTCGATGATCATGTCGTTCATCTGCTGCTGAGCGATATTAATCCCAGCCAAGTAGGTCACGTCCCAAAGCACGCGAGCCACCAAGACGACCAGGTAGAGCAGCGCAACCATCGCAAACCGACGCACCTGGAGGACAACAGAACAGCTAGAGTGAGTGGCGTGCCGTGCAGCACGAGCTTGGAAGATGTGGTGGCTCATACCTTGCGTTCCTTCTTCTTGGAGAGAGAGAATATCAACACGAGCTTGTAGGTGCGGTAGCCGTACGTGCAAACCACTAGTGTGGGAGAACGACGTGTGAGCGAATTTGCCTGCTACAAGACAACAACAGCAACAACGACGAGCCGTACAGATAAACAGCGTGCCAAAGACAATGCTCGAGTAGATGGCAATGTCGCGGTCGAAGCCACGGGTGAGCACACGGTGGTCATCGGGATCGTTGTTTTCGGCAATGATGAACGCCATGATAACCGAGATCAAAAAGAAGACCACCAGGATGCCAATGTAGATTGGATACAGGAACTTTCGAATGATCGAGTCGTTGTCTTGCATCATGTACTGGCACTTGGCCAAGAACACAATCAAGAGCGAAAACCTGATTCGGGTAGGGAGGAGGGTGTCGTGTGTGAGTGAGTGTGAGAATTCACGGTTTAGAAATCAAACCATCAAAAACATTCGTTCAGAAAAAAAAACATCATTCGAGTTCGCAACGTACATGGCAAACTGGAAAAACACGGGCAGTAGCTGGCCGACGAAAATGAGAGAGATGACAACCCATGAAAAGTTAAACGTGACGAGCACGCCTCGCAGGAAGGAAAAGCAGAACGCAAGCACCAAAAAGATACTCTGCCAAAAACGCAGCCGATGGCGTGAGTCCAAACAAGCATCTTCTTCTTCTCTTTTTGTGTTTTGCACAAAGCACTGCAATGACGATTGCCGAACGCTTCTTACCCGGAACGAAGTGAGCTGGAGTGACCGCACTGCGAGGCACCGGCTCACAATCAACGAGACACTTCCCACAGCAATGAAATAATACAGCACCGCTGCGTTTCAATCCAACCAACAAACAGCAAACAAAAACACAAGTCAAGAGTCAGTACATTGACATCCGCATTCTTTGACTACGTCCATCAAGCATGATACGGATGGAACTCGCTGCCCTTAAAAGCCGGTTGCAGCCAGTGTATCAGCTCGGCTGAACTCGGCCGTTCGGTCACTTTTGAACACGAGCATCGCGTTGACAATCAATCCCGTATCTCAACGGCGGAAAACCCCTCCCCTCTTCTCACCTCTGAAACCGGAACTCCGACAAAACGAGCGAGCCAGCAGCCACTTCTAGCCCGCACACTTCCGCTCCGTCCGCTGCCGCCCAAACCGAGACGCAATTCACAAGGAGCCCTTGCACCCTCTTCTTTGATATTTGAGTATGTGAGTGAGATGGCGGCTGGCGATTGTGGGCTGGCTTCGGTCGACCGCAGCGAACTCAAAGCACATGATGGCTGGAAAAATAAAAAAAAAAAATAAAAAATAACTATGGAAGACACACGACGAGATGAGTTGGTGGAAAGGGGGAGGGGAGCAAGACAGCGACGAGAGATGGGGTTTAGGACAAGAGGAAGGTCGGTGGGCTGGGCTGGGTCGAAGGGGGGGGGAGCGGGAGTGGAGAAGCAGAGACACACAGCGAGCGGCTCAATGGGAGGGTTCTTAAACAGCCACTCACCGAGCACCCACAGCGACCACTGGCCACTGCCAATCGCGTTTGGACAGACGCGGTCGCAGTTGTTCACTGGAGTGAGAATGCTGTGCAGGGGAGCGTCCGCGGCGCTGGTATGGATGGCGTTGCTCGTCTGCCAGAGCAGTGTCCCGAGTGGATTCGCGACCGACATGGCTACAATGGCTACAGCACTACGAGGACAAGCAGAGACGCAAGGTGATAAAGAATAATAACAATAATGATGATGAAAGAGGAGTGAAGTGCTTGTTGAATGTGAGCATTGACAGCGATTTTGCATGGAACAACACGGAACCGGAAAACTCGCCAAACGCCAAGCGGTGAGTGAGTCAACCAGCAAATAAAGTAGTCGACACGTCCGACTCATCCAATCAAGTGGATGATTCGACTGCCCTGACATTGGAAACCGAGCTATGGTTGGTGTCACGGATGGCCCCAACCAACCAGAGGTCGTTGATTCGCATTCCGGCGCAACGCTCCCCGTGCCCGATTCTGGCTTTCAACCCCCATCGCATTCTCCCAATGATCGATGAGTCCATCCATCAGACAACAAACAACCCGCCTCACTCAACTCAATGCCTTCATTTGTCGTTCAGTCCTTCTTTCCCTTGTTCAAAAGTTCGCGGGTTTTTTTCTTTGCTTATTTTCAACCAGAGTTTCCCCATAATCCGCTCCCAACACACACAACACGCGCACCGGGGCTTGGTAAGCTTGCTCTGTGTCGTACGGGGTTTTCATTCACATGCTTTTCTTAGCTCGGAGACGGAAGCTCGACGTGTTCACGATGCGGGGATGCAGCAGCGTTTGGCGGTCAATTTTTCGAATTGGCAGCCAATTGGGATGCGCCCATGTTCAACCTGGGCCCAAATCCCGCAACTCGTCTCGACATGAGTAATGCAAACCACAAAAAATCCGAACATGTGGGCCCATAACAACATGCAACACACGACGGGTGACGAGACCTCGAGTGATCCGGGTTTGTCCGAGATCCTGCTGAAGCGAGGTTGTCGTTTTCGCTCGCTGTGACGGTCGCCTTTTGCTCGCTTTCCATGCGACCATGAGCGCATATCATAGGCTTCTCGAATAGCTGTCGGTCTTGGTGTTGTCTCTGTTTCTTTTTTTTCTTTTGTTTGTTCGATGGGTGAGAAAAATACAAACAAACAACAAAACACCAATCTAATTTTTGCTGTGTTTGCTTTCGGAAGAGTTGCGTCGATGGATGCGCAGGGACGTGCCGAGGATCAAGCACTACTCGATTTGCTGCTCGAGTGCCGTCGAATGGAACAAGCCAACAGAGAGCTCGAGTTACTTTTAGACGCACGAAAACGACGAAGCGCAATGCACCAAACAGCCGTTCGGGCGCTCCGGCAATACTCACTCGACACGCCGCTTGCCATGATCGATCAAGAGGCAGCCAGTTTGCTGCAGCCTTGCAAAGTGCTGTTGTAATAACAAAATTTGTACAATTAGATAGCTAGATAGGACTCTCTTGATTGTTGCAGCACAAAAACCAAAAGCCGAGAATGTTTGCAAATCTGTATTCATGGGCCCATAAGCACACGACACACCAACAAGGCGAGACATCAATTCGTCGCCATCGCCGTGCTTTCCGTGTGAATAAAGGTCGATTGGGCATTCAATGCTGCAAAGTACGACGGAACATGGGCCCAATTGAGCCACTGCAACGTTGGCACAATCTCGAGCACCTCTCGCGCAATCTCTGGAGGCGGCACCTCCGCCGCAGATGTCAGAAACGGATTCCCGCCAATCAAGAGCTTTTGCAGCTTGGCCATTGGTCGTAGTAGAGGAAGAATCTCAGCCAGAGTGGGAATGTAGTTGCCAAACAAGGAGAAGAATTGAAGGTCGCACAGTGGAGGAACGGATTCATAGTCTATCCGGGCGATATGGTTGCAGGATAGACACAACCTATCCGGACGGGTCATCCAAAACAGGCGGAGGCAGAGATGAGCGAATCGTGAGTGGCAAGGTTTCGAAATTTCAAGTCAAACGATGCCCCCCCCCTCCCTACGCTCCTTGTATTGCTCTTTCGCGTCACTTTTACCGTTGAAGCCGAGGCACAGCCAACAACCCACTGACAACCTCCAGTTTGTTTGAACGCAGGTCGAGAAGCTCAAGATTCGGAACATGCTCGAGATTTGTGATGGCTTTCAACCGGTTGTGGTTCATGACGAGCTCGCGCAAGTTTGGTGCCGCACTCAACACTGGCATTTCAGTCAAATCGTTTGCACCAAGCGACAGCTTGGCCAGCTTGGTCCACTCAAACGTGAACTGAGGTGCAACTGGCACTGACGCGCTCTGGCTTTCGGTTGCATCACTTTCTGCCCCGGCGGACGACAGGTCCAGCGATGTCATGTAGTTTCGTCGCACATCCAGCTCCTGAAGTGATGAGATGGTGTTGATTGAACGTCGGATGTCGGGGTGAGCAACAATCTCAACGAAACGCAATGAATGGAGCCGCTCTGCTGCACGCGCTCTTCTGTGCACTTACGACCACGCGTGGAATAATGTGTCTTGGGATTGGTGGCAGTGCCGTGAGGTAGCAGTGGAAGAGCAGCAGGCGCTCTGGATGAGCTCGATCGCACTACAATGACATGCGGACAGTGAGAGCAAGTTCCTCGTGGCACCACACACCAAGGATGATCAGGAGCTCAGAGCACTGGTAAAGCCGTTGTTACAGTTGAAAAGGCATTCGAAATCAAGCTCGCAATCTGGTCTGCTGGGAGCATTGGCTTGGCACTGCCAAACTCAAACTCGTCGTCGCCCATTTTCGCAAGTAGAATGTGGCAAACGAAAACGACGACTGAGCTTTTGCATGTGCATTTTGTAGTTTTGTTGGATTTATCATCTGAAATGGTGTAGTCGAGAGTTCCCACACATCGAATACATGAAGGACCAATGGTTCACATAACAGCAACAACAACAACGACAGCAAAACAACAACAAAGACAACGACAACAACAACAACCATGAAAACACATCCAAACTCAATGAAACCAGAGTTGGGCGCTACTCAGGACGCGGCGCGGGGCTCGCAGAGCAAGCTGTTTTCGTACGCCTTGTCCTCATTGATGCCGAGCTCGTCCGAGACGTCGGGTGAGAACAGCTTGATGACCGCGGGTATTGCGACGAGGTTGTAGCGGGTGTCCTGATACTGCATAATCTCACGGACCACCGATGCGACACGACGGTACTTGTCAAAGTTGGTCAGGCCCTCGACCTTGGACGAATTGCCGTCCTCGATGAAGGTGAGGTCGGAGAGATAGACGCCAATGTACGGGATGCAAGGGGGATCCAGGTTGTGCAATCGCGTGCGGTACTGCTTGTAGTTGCTGCTCGCGCCCACCAGGTCTTCGATTGCCTTGAACTGCTGGCGAACCTTCTCGGGGACCAGCTCCATTGTCTTGCGGAGACGATGGATGGGCGATGAGTTCATTGCCGCGACAATGCTAACGAGTGAGTTGAAGTTTTGCAGCTCGCGGAGGGCCTGAGAGTCAGGCGAGAGGTATGGGTTGAAGCAATAGTGAGCGAGGATTTTCGTTCTCGTCGCATCACGCCTCAGAAAACAGTCAAATCATTTTCCTTACCTGAGCAATCAGCATAAACTTGCGCAAGACAAGCGCTCGTGCTTTGATGTCAGGCGTGAGCACAATGCACGAGACGACCAACAAGCTGAGATCGTTGAAGCGCTTGATGAATGCCAGCACGTTGGGCGCACGGGTGAGCTTATCCTTCTTGCTCCAGGCTTGCTCCAAGCATTCAACGGGCTCGACGGCGCGGAACAGCTCATAGTCCACCAGCGTAATCTGTGCAAGACGGATGATGCGTTCAAGATGAGCACAAAACAAACAAACAAACAAACAAAAAAAAAAAAAAAAACAAACAAAAAAAAAAAAAAAGGCAAGGTCCAACTCGTCAAAGCAGCATCGCCCAGTCCACATGTACCTGACGCGCAATTTCAAGAGCATCCAAGCTGTCAGAACACAGCATGGCAGTGTAACGGCTCATACGGTCGGTGGCCGAGCCTTGCTTCTTGTTGAGGAAGGACGTAATGTCAGCGACGAGATCCGATGGAGGCATCATGGGGATGGGCGAAGCAATAATCTCCTCCTTGGACGGCGAGCGAGACGGGATGTGTGCATTCATGGCGCGGGACACGGGTGTCTTGAGAATGGCTGGAGACGAGGTCGCGGAGGTGGGAGCTGCGGGGGAGGCTGCCACAGCGGTCGCGAGCGACCCGTGCGCGGGAGTTGATGGTGCCGAAGCAGGCAAGCCGGCCACGGGAGTTCCAGGTCGGGGAGTGCCGGGCTGCGAGCTGGCGGGCGACGAAGGGCCGGAGGCAGGGGAGACGACCTGGCCAGCGGCGAGACGCGCTGCGGCAGCTTCGTCTGCAGCAAACTTGGCAGCCTGCTTGTCAAACGACTTGATGACAGCGTCGGCGAGGGCCTCGTGACCCGTGCGGCGCATAAGGGCGACAAAATACTTGAGACGGGCAATCAACGTCGGGTTGTTGACGAAATCGCGGTAGCCAGTCTTGACCCACAGCTTGACCACGTTGCACACACGCACCTGGATGGGGTGGACAAAGTCCTTGTCGTACGTGGCGGCACCGCGGCCAGACGACGGGGTGAGCGGGACGTGGTATCTATGAATCAGCTTCTCGAGGAGCTCTGCAGGCGTGGAGAAGGCGCGATAGGTCATCAGGAAGTTGGCAGCAAAGTTGGCGTCCGAAATGGAGTGATGCGTGAGTCGTTGGACGAGCTTATCGAGCGACGCGGCGCGGATGCCAGGCAGCTCGGTGCCAATGGACGCCGAGGACGGAGTGGAGACGAGCTGGGCGTGCGAGCCCGCGCGACTGGCACTCGGCGGCGTGTTTGGCGGCGTGGCAACACCACCAGCAGCAGCAGCAGCAGCACCAGCAGAGTTTTGCGTGGCAGGAGCCGGAGTCGTGCTGGAAGGAGAAGAAGCAGCGGCGGACGCCGAGTCAAAGATGATGTTCTGGCGCGAATCTGGCGCTTCGAATGGGTAGCTGAGCATGTAGGGCAGGGTGCGCAGGTCGTGGGCAACAAGCGTGTCTGGACGCCACCACTTGAGCGGCCGTGCGCCAGTCGCGAGGTAGAGCAGTCCAGCGATCAGCCCGAGGAAGGCGATCAGTGAGAACAGCATTTGTTTTTGGCAGCAGAGGGGCGATTTCCAGCTCTGTGGGTCGATGAGGCGTGCTCGGAATTTCCCCAAAAGTCAGATGCGTGCTTGTGGGATGTAGTTGGACGTTGGTTGTGATCAAGCCAGCAAAAGCACAGCTGGGGACGACAGCGAGTGTAGCGAAAGGATCGAAGGGAAAAAAAAAAAAAAAAAAAAAAAAAAAAAATGAATGCGGTTTTGTTTGGTTTTGGAGAGAAAACAAACAAAACAAAACAATCAAAATAAAAACAACTAAAATAACGAAAATAAACACTTGACACTTTGTCGAGAATTCGAAATGGTGTTTGGGAGCAAGTGCGATGCTTGGATGTGATGCGAGGATGGCAATGGCTGTGGATGGAGGGCGCGTTGAGCGGGTTGAAATCACAAAGCGTGAAATTTGAGGCTTGAGCGTTAAACTCATTCGGAGGTGCAAAGCGAAAGCGCGAAAAACAATAAACACGAGGCAGGTGAACGTGCGGATTGCTAGCGATTCTGTAGGGTTGTAAACGGATTGACATCTCAGGTCGATCGCGAACGAGCGTCAAAGAAATGGATCCTTTGGAAATTTGGCATGCATTCATGATCTACAATGAACTGCTGCAGACTGACGAAAAGACCATGATAATGTGCGATTGATACACGTGCTGTCAAAAGCGTTGGGAGAGCAACAAAACGCACCCGCAAACAACAACCCCCCACAACCTTAAAGCTTGGCAGAAAGAGCGGTAACACCTGGCAACTCCTTGCCTGGTTTTGATGGAAAACAGAATGGAGAAAGTGGTACGACCAAGTGAGAAATACATCCAACAGAATTCTGAACACAAGGCAAGCACAAAATCCGGAAATGCCACACAAGTATACACACCTTCAAGCAGCTCGAGCGACGCACCGCCACCAGTGCTCACGTGGCTGACCTGCTCCTCGGCGTTGTACTTGGCAGCGGCAGTGGCCGTGTCACCGCCACCGATGATGGTGATCGTGCCCTTGGCCGTGGAGGCGACAACAGCGTCCATGACGGCCTTGGTGCACTTTTCAAACTTTTCAAACTCAAACACACCCATGGGGCCGTTCCAGAGAACAGTCTTGGCGCGGCCAACGGCCTCGGCGAAGATCTTGGCAGATTCTGGGCCGCAGTCAAGCGCCTGCAAAGCCAAAAAAATCGAGGTGAGGATCAATGGGAAGGACTAGAATGGAAGGCGCAGAGCAAAGCCTCCAAAATTCCACTTACGAGCCAATCAGCGGGGACACCGGAGGCGTCGGTAGCAACACCAGTCTGGAAACATGCAAGCACGCGAAAAGTCCCCGATGTGAGCAATCAAGTGATGAGATCACCGCTCATCATTTCTGAAAATGCATGACCCCGGTCAGAAAAAAAAAACGCACCTCGGCGTCGGCGCCAAACTTGCTGGCAGTGATATAGTCAACGGGGAAGTGCAGCTTGACGTTCTTCTCCTTGGCCTTGTAGATAATGTCCTGGACAATCTTGGAGCCCTCCTGATCGAAAAGCGACTTGCCGATCTGCACCACGCAAAGCAGAAAAGTTGGGGCAGTGCGGATAGAAATCACGCATCAGGTCAGAAAACTCCGCGAAATGACGATCGAACGCGCCAATGCCATCAAAAAGCGCCCTCTCGCTTTGTATTGCTTGTTTGTTGGCGTTTCTGTGTACCTCCATGTTGTTCAAGACCTTCTTGAAAGTAAAGACCATGCCGCCACCAATGATCATCTCATCGACCTTGTCGAGGAGGTTGTTGATGAGCTGAATCTTGTCGGAAACCTTGGCGCTGGATGGAGCAAATCAAACGATTATTTTTTTTTTCGTGAGCTCATGCGGTTCCTTCGAGACAACACAACGCTGTCTCGACTCCCCATCAAAAGAATGCCAAGTTGGTTGACAAACATACCCTCCAAGAATGGCAAGGAAGGGACGCTCGGGGTGGTCGAGAGCCTTGGCAAAGTAGTCGAGCTCCTTCTTCATGAGGAAGCCGGCAGCACGCTGCGAGTGGTTGACGCCAACCATCGAGCTGTGTGCGCGATGGGCGGTGCCGAACGCGTCGTTGATGTAGACGTCGCCGAGCTTGGTGAGGCTGGCACGGAAGGCAGCAATCTGGTCCTTGGTGGCGGAGGCCTACCATCGAAAAGAATAGAGTGAGTTCGTCAGTCGCTCGTTCTTGCGCGCGCGCGCGCTCGCTCTCTTGCTCACGACAAGTGCCCATTGGCTCTGAGACGACAGGCACAGAGGATGGCAACAACAGTCGTTTCAACAACAAGAGCTTTTACCTTGTTGCCGTCCTTGTCGAGGCCCTTGCCTTCCTCCTCGAGGTGGAAGCGCAAGTTCTCGAGCAGGATGATCGAGCCTAATCATACAAGCAAGCACAACGCGTCAGATCGACATGGGAGAAGAAAGCAAAAAAAAAAAAAAAATGAGCAAGGAGATCAGCACCTTGAGCAGGATTGGCGCACGCCTTCTCGACCTCCTCGCCGACGCAGTCGTTGAGGAACTGAACAGGCCTGTGGGATGCCAAAAACAACAACAAACGCAACAAACGGTGAGTAATCGCGAATCGCAATGGATCCAAAAAAAAAAAAAAAAAAAAAAAGGGATGTGGTCCCATTGCCATCGCATTGCGCACGCACTTGCTCAAGAGCTTCTCGAGCTCCTTGGCGACCGGGGCGAGCGACTGGTCCTCGAGACGGCGGCCGTCGGGGCGACCGAGGTGGCTCATGAGGACGACGGCCTTGGCGTTGTTCTCGAGGGCGTACTTGATCGTGGGCAGCGCAGCGACAATGCGTTGGTTGTTGGTAATGTTCTGCTTCTTGTCGAGCGGGACGTTAAAGTCGACGCTGCCCAACCAAGACACCAAGACGGGCGACAAAGCAAGCGACAAGGAAGCAAGCAAGCGTTAGTGGAAGGAACGCAACGGAGCAGCGTAGGGAAAAACGAGGAGGAGGAGGAAGTGCGACGAAAGGAACTGAAGCAGATTTCGCCATTCGTGACCCATTCACCATCCCCAACCTCACGTCGTTTGCATGCCCAGACGGGTGATGACGATGTTGTGCTGGATGAAGGCTAACGTAGATGAATGCTTGTTGTCGTTGGAGGAGGAGCGGCGCGCGTGGCATGTGTGTGTGTGTGTGCCCTTCTTACCGGATCAGAACGCGCTTGCCAGCGAGATCGAGGTCGCGAATGCCGAGCTTGTTGAGTGCCATTTTGTACTGCTGTTGTCCAAAGTAGAGTGGAGTGCAGCCCCAAATTCAACCAGCCGCATCAATGCATGTGAGAGTAGATTATTTAACTCTGATGTTAGCTTGTGCCAGTCACCCATGCACACAACGAGCATTCAATCGGTCTCCCAAAATCCGAATCACAATAATGTCGCTCACGTCCCGCACGCTTCACTCTCCCATCCTCAGCTCACCCTTCTTCAATGCTAAATCCAGTTTGTCGTTGAACTCGTCCCAATAGAGAGGGCCTCCCTAAAAAGACTCAGTCCCCCCTGTTCATTTCCTCGCCCTGCCACCTATATCATTGGAAAGAGCATAAATTATATAGTTGATTTGGTAATTTTGGTGCGAATCGGAGGGGAAAATTTTCGCTTCGATTTGGCTGGGCGTGCATTAGGGCTGAGTCTTTTTAGGGAGAAACTGACTTTGCCAGTCCCGTGTCGCCCGTGTCGAGGATCTGTCGGCCCATCTTCAACTGGGACATGTAATACCAACTGGTATCTATGTATTGCAGTTGGTGCGACGGTTACTGTATGTGACCACAGAACCCGGCAGGTGCCAGACCGCCCGCGCCGGACGGGCATGGTCCAATCTTCCCCTGCCTAGACATGATTTCACCCTTTTTGACCGGAAAAAACACATAACTACATTGAATGACATGGGATGCACATAGAATTGAACACAAAACACGGAAAATTACAGTGGTAGCGTGTTGCTTCGAGAAAGGTTTGTCAGGTCGCTGAGCGCCGGCCTTGACGACGCAGGTTGGAGGTCTACACGCGCCAATTTGACATTATGTCCATCTTGCTTCGTAGTACTACGCGTTGGCATGCGATAGCGTCGGATTTCTTGGAGTTCGGTGGAGCTCAGCTGATAATCGACTTGAACAACATCGCTCGAGTCTGATGTGACCGTGGTGAAGACGGGCGCGACGTTTTCATCGTCATCTTCCTGGCGACGCTTGCGGGCGGCTTGAGGTTGACGCTGGACATCGCTGGGGTCCTCCTGGTTGTCGTTGTGGCCGATGGCAGCGGAAGCCATTTCGGACGACGCTTGATTCTCGTCGTCATCGTCGTCAGACTCGCTTTCCTCCTCGCTGGCTGATTGATCCAAGTCGACAGTGTCGTTCGCCATCGATTGCGAAGCGAGAATGGGCCTAGGCCTGCTGACGCGCCGAGGAACGAGAGGTGTGGAAGCGGTCGCCGCTGGCTCAAGACTTAGAAGAGTGGGTCGCTTGAGACGGTTCTTGAAAAATGTCGCGCGGTCACGTACGAGCTTGGTATGCTGCAGGCGAGCAGCAGCTAGCTTGTTTCGGGTCTCCGCGGCAGTTGCCGATTCGATGTCCTGCTCGACCTCTTCTCCCAGAGCAGCCAGCTGAGTCTCCAGAGCAAGAATTGTCTCCGCAAGTGTCAAGATGCGTGAGTCAAGGTCTTTTAGCGTGCGGAGGAAGATGGGCCGTTGCCGATTGTACTCTTCTTTCAGAGGTTCGAGCTGCTTCCTCTTCTCTTGCAACTCCTGCCGCTTAAGCTGGGCATCCCTATTCTCCGGCGTAAGCGGGGATCGAGCGGTCGAGTTCATAGAAACGCGCATGGAGCTGTTGCCAATGCTCCTGGACCGCAGGGGCCTGGGTGGGGCCCGAAGGACTTCTTGCACCGAAAGTTCGACCTCGAGATTTCGACGCAAATCAGCTACCGCTGCATCGTGCACCCTCTTTTGCTGTAGAGCTCTCGGAGTGCAACCAATGGTTACCAGGGCGGCATCGGCAATCTGACGGACACGGTACAACGCCGAATACCGAGCATCCGGGGTCGGGGGTGGCTCGGGAATGTGCAGCGAGGGGGGTCGTAGACACGGCAACGTCAGCGACGGAAGGCAACGCTAGGGTCTTGTGCTTTTCCGTGTCCAGCGGATAGATACCAGTTTGGCGAAACCCAGATCGGATCAAGTTGGATCGGTCGTCAATTTCGTTCCACGCCCGAATGGCCCCGTGAAGCTTGATGTTCACGTCGATGAGTGGCGAGTCTTCATCCAAAATCGACTGCACGTGAGTCTCGAGCAAGTTCTTGTACCAGGCAAAGACGGTGACGTCGAGCGGCTGCAAGTGAGTCGACGTGTGCGATGGAAGGATCGCAACCAGGATGTTGTTGCTCACCGCGAGGTCAATCAACCCGACAGTGAACTTGTGACACGAGCTGCCATCCATCACCAATAGAACGGGGGTGGTGGTAGCTCGCTCCTTGACGACCTCGACGAAATCTCGAAACCACTTGTCGAAGATTTCCTCGTTGATGAAGCCGGACTCGGACTGGTGAATCAACTCCTCGTCCAGGCCCTCGGTGCACCTGTGAGGTAGAGTGGGCCGTGGATGCGCGACAATGAAGTGGGGCGCAACAGGAGCGGTGCCATCAGCACAAACAGTAAACAGACCAGTAACATGCGGTCCCATCGTAATGGTTCGGCCAGATCGCCGACTGACACGCTTGACACCAACAGCAGCCAGGGCACGCTTCTTTTTACGACCCACAGAGCAATCCGACTCGTCCATGTTGAAAATATTGGCCGGCGTAGCGAAAAGAGTCGGGTAAAGATTGCTGTACTCCGCCAGTAGCGCGAACAAACTGCCGAGCTTCTTTTCACTCAAAGCAGCCACTCGAAGTGTTTCCAACACGCTGCTACTGCGCCAGCCAATCTGTGAGCTGTGACGGGCGACAAAATCATTGACCCACTTGTCGGAAACTTTGTCGTGCTCAAATTGACGTCTTTCCACGCCGTCCGGCCTCGGCACCTTCGAGGCTGCAAGCACATATCGAGTGAATTCCGTTTTGCTCAGAGAGACAGCTCCTAAGCAGCACCGCTTGACAAACTCGACGAGCTCTTGCTCCTCGGGGACGGTGAACACGTAGCCTTGTCCCTGGATGGGATCCTCGCGCAGAACGTCAGCCAACTCATCTAAGGTCATTCCAGGAATGTCAGGAGCGAGGTTGGCGTGGGCCTTGATGCAGCGGGCGATCATGGACTGCGATCGACCCAGCGCATGGGCGATTTGGCGGGTCGTCCAGATTCGCTCGGCGGAGGCTCCCGGAGCTCCGCCGACATCCGTAGTGGATAGGAACGGGTCAAAATAGTATAGTTTGAGGGCGGTGGCCTTCGTCAGGAGCCTCTGGCGGAAGGGAGACGCGGTCGCAATCTGGGCGAGGCCGACCTCAAGTTGCTCCTGCGCCCGTCTGACCATGTCTTCCTTGTAGCTGGAATGAGTGTTCATTGATATTCGAAGACGGCGGCGGGGTGGGAGGAATACAAGCCGAGATAATCGGGTTTGAGTCTTTTTAGGGTGGGGGCGCAATGGTTTTTGGACTGAGTCTTTTTAGGGAGGCCCTCTCTACTCGGATTCTTTCAACCATTCCTTTTTTTTTTTTTTTTTTTTTCTTTGTCTTCGTTCCTCATCGACCAACCAAACCATGATGGGACCCGAGTCGCAGTACCAGCTCCAGCCCGGCATATCGCCGTCCGCGTCGGCTGCGGCTGGAGCGCGGTCGTCCTGGACCTGGCTCTCCAAGATCAAGAAGGCCGACTTGGGTGCCCTGGCGCTGGTGGCGGGCTCGACGGTCGCTGCGTTCTGGTTGCTCCCGTTCATCCAGCGCCGCCTGGACGAGCTGACTGGCAACGACGGCGACGACGACAGCAGCAACAGCAACAACAACAACAACAACAACAACAACAACAACAACGCCGCAGGTTCCGACCAGAGCCCGTCGCGGTCGACCGGCCGCCGCACGAGCCTCAGCATGAGCGCTGGCAGTCGGTACGCGACGGGTGTTCGCAAAACCAGCCGGCGATCCTCGCTCTCGCAGACCTCGACGCCCGACGCCACGATCACGACCGGCAACCCAGAGCGCTCGTCCCTGGATGTTCCTACTACCAGCGGCGGCGGCGAGTCCAAGGGCACCGCAGCAGTTGTTGCAGCGACAGCGACTGAGGTTGTCGTTGTTGTTCCTGTTCCTCCTGCCACTTTCAGCGCATCGCACGCGAACGCGCCCTTCCCGGTTGCTGAGGACGACATTGAAGAGGATGACGAAGCGGACAAGGATGCTATCGAGCAGGCTGCTGCCTTGGATCGCGATGACGAGGATGAGAATGACGAAGAAGACGAGGTAATTAAACGACAAACAAACAACAACAAAAAAAAAAATACTCAGATTTGTTTTTCTTTCTGTTTGCACCGTCTAACTTGTGCTTCAAAATGGGATCAGGACACGGTCCAACCTCTGCCCTCAGTTTGGCCATCGCGGTCGAGCAGCTCAGCTGCATCACAGGTAAAACTTTTGGTGTGTTCCGAGTTTTTTGGTGCTGGCAACACAACTCATCTCTGCGATCCTGCGATCCCAGGCACAACGGCCCCAGGATGTCGGCTACAGGAACACTGGCCGTCGCTTTTCTGTTAGTGCCGAGTCCATGAACCCCAATCAAGTCATCCCCGGCGAACGCGTATGATTCCATTATTGTTGTCGTGCCAATTCAAGAATGTCGTTGGTCTTATTGACATCACTTGAACCTTCTCTCTCGCCCCCCCCCACTCCCCTTCCCCTCGCTTTCTACAGGTCGTCATTCCTAAATCCAACGAGGCACGCATGCGCATCGCTGTGGCGACCGCGAACAGCCTTCTGTTTCGAAACCTCGAACCCGAACAGAAGCTGCACATTGTCGATGCCATGGTGGAACGCCATGTCCCTGCTGGCACCACCATCATCAAGCAAGGCGACGAAGGTACCTGCTCCGTTGGTTGATATTTCACGACACCTGCATTTGTTTCGAAATTCGCGACCAACTCACTCAGCGTTTCGTTTGCACATGATCAGGCGACTACTTTTACGTTGTCGAATCTGGTAAATTCAGCGTCCATGTTGAGCGAGACGGCGTCTCCAAGAAGGTCGTCGAGGTCGGGCCTGGCGGTGGCTTTGGCGAGCTCGCCCTCATGTACAATTCACCCCGTGCTGCGACTGTACGTACCCAAAAATCTCTGCCCTTTCCGTTTTGCGTACAATCCCAGTCGTCCCTCGCTTTGTCGCCCCCCCCCCGCCCTCTTCACTCAGTCACTTGAAAACCATTCTCTCATGCCCAGGTGATTGCCGACGAAGACTCGACGGTGTGGGGCGTGGATCGCGTCACCTTCCGCCGCATTTTGATGACGTCCGCCCACTCCAAGCGCAGCCAGTATGAAAGCTTCCTCCAATCAGTGCCGATTCTCGAAGCCCTCACCCGTCCGGAGCTGGCTCAGCTGGTCGATGCTTTGGAGCCGTTCGATTTTGAAGACGGCGAGACCATCATTGAGCAGGGTGACATTGGCACTTGCTTTTACATTCTGGAGCGTGGTCATGCGGCTGTGCTCAAGCGAACTGAAGATGATGACGATGAAGTTGAGTTGGGTCAGCTCAAGCCAGGAGATTACTTTGGAGGTGCGGGATTCCATTCCGTTCGTTTGTTTGTGTTTAGTTTTCGGAGTGTGATTGTGTCGCTCACCCCGTTCCCCGGTGCCATATGGGGGATTGGTCTATTTAGAGATTGCATTGCTGACAGACCGTCCTCGCCAAGCCTCGATTCGCGGGATTGGCAACGGGCGCTGCTTGGTCCTGGACAAGCAAGCATTCGTGCGACTACTCGGCCCTTGCGTTGACATTTTCCAGCGCAGAGTTTACACCAAGGCGCCCCTGTGATGCAGATAGATTGAAGCAACGCATATGATGGCTCGAAAGTAGTTGGTTTTCAGATCTGAACGAATTCGTTGCGATTGGTCGTTTTGAAACAACGCTAAAAAAAAAATTCACAAAATATACTTTTCGCATCACTGGTGTGGTAAAACTCTATTTTCTCAAAAATGCAATAGTTCATGCGAAATACTGCGCGGCCGAGAACGAAGGGAGGGAGAATCTGTTTTGGACATGTTTGGATTGCGTCGCAACTGTGCTCGACCTGCTTCCTTCCGACGCCCCGCAGTTCGTCCAATTTCAGCCCATTCAGTCTTGATTTTGCTTTTTTCCGTTCCTTCTACTCGATCAGGCATCCGTTATTTTGCACGAGTATCTGCGCCTGGTCGTGAGCGTTGTTGTTCCCAAAAGTTGAGTTTGCCATGCCTACTTCCGCTTCAAGCGCAGCTGTTGCTGCCGTTTCTGCCGCTGATTGTCCAGTCCCGCGCTCTGACAGCGCTGCAACTAAATTCACCCCATTGGCCGACTCACAACCGCCAAATCAGTCGACACGATTGCCAAACGCATTTCGCGCAAAGCTCCTGGCAAATTTGGACAAGAACGATGCGCTGATTCGCCACGCTGTTCGCAATCCTGCATCGTGGTGGAGCCCGACCACACCAGTAGCTGCTGAAACAACGAGCGTGCAACTGGCGTCGCTATTTCTGAGTGCTTGGGACGGCGATGCTGAGGCTGTTCGAGCTGGTCTGTGTGCTTTAAAGTCGGGTCAGCCGTTGCAAGTCGCGAGTCAGTCCCGCTCCGCCAGCCGAAACATTCGCACCTATCCCTCCCAAGAGGAGGCTGTCAAGGCACTGACCGAGGCAGTCAGCACGGCGGGTGCGACTTCATATGGCAACGCTGGTGTGCACTTGGCGGATGCCTTTTTGCAGGAGCGTCAGGCCGAATCTGCCCAGAGCATCCACCTTCCTTACTTGCTGTGTTTCTCAGCCACGTCTCAATTTGTAGACAGCCAAATCAAATGCTGCCCGACGCTGGTACATGCCGCAATTTATCGAGGCCATTCGACGGTTGCCGAAATGCTGGTGGTGGAGGGTGGCCTTCCCGCTGCGATTGCTCTTGCTATTGCAGTCGACTACGGGCAACTGGCCATGGCGCAATCGATGGTCTCTTTGGGTGGTCAGCTGTCATCGGCACGCCATCTGTCCAGCGCCGTCCGCAACGGGGACCTGCCACTCACGCGTTGGTTGATTGCGCAGGGTTTGACGCCGACCCGGTCGCAAATCGAACAGGGCGCAATCGATGGCGATATGGAGCTGTTGGCGTTGTTATTGGATACACGGGGTTCCAGTTTGGAGGACAATGTCGGCGACAGATCCAAGGCGGCGAACGGCGCAATGCAGCCAGCTACCCAAACTCGGCCGTTGTCGCAGCCGTTGCTCGCGATTCGCACCATATCGCTGCCCGCAGCTCGACTGTTCTTGGATCATGGCATTACGGAGGGGATTGTCGAATTCGCCATCCGGTGCATCGAAAAGAGCCAGCAAGAGTTGCTCGAAAAAGCGCTGCAACGATGCCTGGACGCCGCAGTTCCCATGGACGAGACCCTGCTTGCCGTCTGCTGCAAGCACCAGCAATGGGCACTCATTCCGCTGGTGGTAAAGTTTGGTGCCAAGCTTCCCACTCCGGTGGCGTTCTACAAGATGACGCTGGAAGCAATGCGCGTGTGCTACCGGCCCTTCCCGTACAACGCTGCCAAATCGCCCTACACTCTTGTGGCGGCCGTCGCTACAAGTAATCACTTGCCTGCGTTGGTTGCGATGCTGGATCAAGGTGGCGGGGCTCGCTGGCTCGAGCTGGACGAGCTGATTTGCGAGTCCATTCTCTCTCGAGCCATCATGGCAAAATGTAGCGTCGACGTCGTGCTCCTGCTGTTGTCGCGGGGTGCTCACATCAACGCATCCACGCTTCGGGACGGTGCGCCGCTTGATGCTGCTTGCACGACTGGCAACGGTCCCATTGTCAAACTGCTGCTTGCGCTGAACGCCAAGCCGCACTTTAACCGTACATGCAGCACACAGTACCACTCTTCCCAACTAGAAGCGATGCTCCGTGAAGCACAGGCAAGGAAGGAGTCAATGCGGCATGTGCTCACTCTGAGCCAAGCGCAAGCAAGTGTCGCCGTGTGTAAGTGCTTTTGCTTGTTTGTGGGGATGGTGGTTTGTTTGACTCACCGAGCACCTTCTGCAGTGTCGAATTCTGCAACGCTGTCCAACCTTTGCCGGCGAACCTTGTACGCCACCCCAGCGATTCGCAATCACTTGTACGATGGGGTCGAGCACACCGCATGCGACTTGTACCGTCTGGACGATCTACCCAGTTGGTCGTCACGCATTGATGGTGGCACGCTCAAGTCCGTGCGGGATTCGCTTTGAGCGAGCATTTTGTTTTCAAAGTAACCTTTACAGTGGTGTGTGTGTGTGTGTGTGTGTGTGTGTGTGTGTGTGTGTGTGTGTGTGTGTGTGTGTGTGTGTGTGTGTGTGTGTGTGTGTGTGGCCAGCGAATCATCCCATCATCCGACAAGTGCGTGAGGGTTGGCAAGTTCAAGTTCGACGCAGCAAGTTTGCCTTCTTTCTGCTATTTGAATCGCTTTATGTCGGATATATGTCTAAATTCAGTTCCTTGACGCAAACATTTAAAGTTCTCGCAGCAGTTTCGAAAGGCAATAACCAAAAGACGATACTTTACTATCCACGCCAAGAGCATCGGTAGATCTCTATCAATCGTCCTCCAAGCCATCCATATCGGTAGATCTCTATCAATCGTCCTCCAACCCATCCATCCATCCAGACAGACAGACAGACAGACAGACAGACAGACAGACAGACAGACAGACAGACAGACAGACAGACAGACAAGACCCATTCTTCAAGGCTGGAAATCCTCCTTGAACAAAAGGAGAGAATTGCCAAGTCCTTCGCTTCAGAATTATTCCTTGAAACGACTCGACGGAATGGCGCAAGTGTGGAAGAGCTTGAAGATGGCTCAAGAAGCCAGAAACAAGGGACGGCCCTACGGTCTCGTGCAGTTCAGCAGGGTAGACACAGAGCGCTGAACGTAGCGCGAGTGAAGGGTGTAGGTGTCGTTGGGATGGTAAGCGAGAATGTTGATGTGGGTGGCGAGGAGTTTCTTGGTGAGGTCTTTCCCCAGAGCGCAGTGCACGATGTCAATGTGCAGAGCGCCGTGAGTCAGATCGCAGAGTGTCTTGTGAACGACAGAAGTTGCGTTGTACAGTGCCAAATCGTCAATCAGGCGCTGGAGGGAGCTTTCAGTACGCGAGGAGAACACTTCAAAGATCTCGTCCACAGTCTTGAACAGAAGGTCGTCTGCTAGATTGTTGAGCAGAATGAGACGCCCACCAGCAATCTCAGCGACCGCACGCTTGGCCAAATCCTCGTGGATGTCACGACGCACCAGATATGTGACAGCTTGTTGGTCGGTGAGATCACCCACTTCGACAACGCGAGCACGAGTCATTGCTGACGATGCCTTGAGCTCAGGCAGATTCGAAACATCGCAGGTGACGAGAACAACATTGAGCAGCTGCTCGTCAGCAGCCGCCTTGGCAAATTTTTGAATCGCATGCAACAGTGCTGGACCCTGCTGGGCGATCATGTCTACGGCGTCGATGACGAGCGTGGCAGGGTGACCGTGCTTGGTCTTGAACTGTGCGGCGACGTCCCGAAGACTGAAATCGAGTATCGCCCAGCTCTTGAAAGGTTCTTCTGCCGATGCTATTTGATGCATCTCAACACTACAGTCTTTCAAATAGCCTTCTGTGAAGGTGAACTGGTTGGGCTCAAACGCGAGAGACCCCGCCAGTCGTTTCGGCACATCAACGATTAGCTCGCTTTGGACGATGTGGTAGACAATGCCAGTGCTGTTGGCTCGGATGGCGTCGAGGACGGCGGTGGTCTTGCCGCAGCCTACTTCGCCAATGAAGACCGTGTAGTCCTTCAACAGCGCGGGGCGCAGCACCCCTTGAAGCATAGCAACGGCCTCTGGACGATCGATGTGGGAATTTCTGACGGGCGGGATCACGGAGCCGGCCTCGAAGCGTGCGAGCATGCGAGCTAGCACGACTTCGGGCGAGTGGGTCTTGGCGATCGTGTTCTTGTTGTCCAGCACGTGCCGAGCAACGAAAGCCGCCACAACCAAAATGATGAATATGGTGGAGACCGCGTAGGCGACCACGCCGCCGATGAAACCGAACACACGCCGAAAAGTTGGCTGTTGCTGAGCCAGGGCTGCTAAAAGAGCTCCAGCTGCAGCCGCAGCCGAGATTGCGGGATAAAACAAGAAAAACAAAACGAAAAAACTAAAAAAGAAAAAAAAAAAACTGCGCAGCACTAAGCCCGACCCCCCGCCCCGACAGACAGACAGACAGACGGACAGACAGACAGACAGAATAAAAGTTTCCACACCAGCTTCGAAAGGCAATAACTCGCTGGTCGGCGATTCCAAAAGACGATAATTTCCATTGCTGAAGCTCGTCTTTCACTTGTTCTTCACTCTGTTCGAATTCGTGGACAAGAACGAGTATTCTGTCCATCGTCGCACACAAGAAGGGGGTTTACATTCACTTATTTTCCTCCATTTTCCATTCTCCATGTCTCAGTCTTTTTTCTTTCTTTTTGCTTCCCCTACACACCTCTCACTCATGCAAGCTGAGCTTGGTACGACAAAATTTTAGTCATCAGAATGGATGGATTGCGACTCACTCTCTTCTGCTCTCACTCTGCTCGCTCGATCTGATCTCACACTGCGTTGAAACATCGTTGGATCAACACCACCCAGATCTCGTCGAGCGCGTGCTCCTGCGCGTTGCAGTGTGCGAGACGGACGAGGCGCTTGGAGCCGCTTTGGGTTCGTTCCTCGCTCCCGCCATGCTCAAGCTCGCCAGTCCGCACGAGCCAGTGCGTTCCAAGGTAACTGTGTGTGCTACGCTTGGCTTTTGACGATCCGAACCAAGAACAACGTCGCCCTTGTCATGTCGGATGTCGGTCAGGGAGCGCGCGCGATTGGGAGTTTGGCGTTTTCCAGAACCTCGAAACTCACTGAACCAAGCTCAAGTTACTCAAGTTGGTTGGAAGAACGAGATTGTGCATGAAACTCAACGGATTTTTTTTGTCTGCACTCGTCGCTTGCTTCTTTGTTCATTAGGTCATGGAGCTGCTCACACATGTGACGCGACGGGTCAAGAGCAATCTCAAGGTCGCGCTGCCGTTCGACGCGCTGCTGGCACAGTACCGCGACCCGACCATCACGGCGTTCGTCAAGAACTTTGATATCATCTTTCTGGAGATGGCCTTTGCACGGATTGATGACAAGCGGCGAGCTGTTGCGTTGCCTTCGCTCCTGGTTTGCCTGCCCAATCGACCGCCGCAGCAGCAAACGGCGCTTTTGCACATGATTCTCGCCTGCTTGCCACATGTTGCCATTCCGACAGATCCGGCAGTGCGCAGTCACGTTTTGCTTCCCTCGGCTGTCCCTGCAGAGAATGCCATTATTCGACAGCTCTTGCTGGATGCCTTTCTCGACTGCATGTTGTTGGACGCTTCCGTCCTCACTGCTGCCGCCGCTCCCGCATCATCGCAGCCTGGAGCGGTCCCACCCGCTGCTGCTGCTGCTGCTGCTGCTGCTGCTGCTGCTGCTGCTGCTGCAACAACGCGACCGACGCTTCCAGGACTGAGCGCCGCCGCCCAGGCCCGATTCACATCCAAGCCGTCGTTTGACGCTGCAGCCCTGGCGTCGGCCAAGCCTGCCATTCTCCGATTTGCCAGTGAAAGCGGCTTTTTTGACGAAAACGACTGGGTTGCCATTGTGTTGGCTGCCGCGTGCGATCAGAATGGCAAAGTCGCCGGCGACGCCGACCACATCTTGCATCAACGACTGGGCAAGGCAGACCCCGAGAGCGAAGCGGTTGTTCGTCAGCTGCTGGGCTTGTATCTTGGCTCGCCTGCTGTTCCCGCGGCTGGCCAGCCTGCCGTGGCTGCTGCGGACGCTCGCAAGCCTGCCAATCTCAAGCTCAAAACGCGCATTTTGACCTACCTCCAGCGATCTTCTACCGCCGCGTCTGTCTTCCCAGACGCGCTGCAAGTCATCTTTGACGGCTTCTTTGGTGCTGGTGCCAGTAATGCTCGTCTTCGCGTGTCGGCACTCCAGTTTGTCCACCTGCTTTGCGATCGTGGTTCCGATGCATGTGTTCAGATGAGCGCACCCGTGCTGGTGTTTTCGGGTTTGCTCCGTCTTCTGGACGAGCTTGGAAGCAACAGCACCAACAGTAACAGCAACAGCAGCAGCGACGCAGCGTCGAGCGGTACGGCAACACCAATGCGAATTGACGCCGTTTCGCCAGTGAACAGCGCACCTGGCGGCCCTGCGATTGCCCAATCCACGCAAGTGAACATTGGCTACGAAGGCACCAAGATGCGCAGCATGGCCTACACCGCTGTGGCCAAGCTGTCCCGAAGAGTGCCCGCGCTCTTCCAGAAAGACGTGTCGGTCGTGCAGCGTTTCTTTGAGGCGCTCGAGCGGGAGGAGCCCAATGGCCGAGTGGCTGTCCAAGAAGCCTTGTCCCTGCTGGCACCAGCCTATGCCAACGCCACAGACACCGTGGCCGACACCCTTCGAGAACTGCTCTTCAAATCCATCGGCAGCTCTCTTCCTCAAGTTCGTCTTGCTGCAGTGCATTACGCCAACTCGGCCTACCCCTTCAGCGATGTTGCCGCGCGCTTTATCTGCATTATTGCTGCAGGCGACGCGAAAGATGATGTTGCCGAGGAAGGCCGCCGAGGACTTCAACGCCCTTCGGCTCAGATTGCCTCGTCTGCCTCCTCCAAATTGCAGCGTCCTGAATCTCGGCAGCAGCTTCCAGCCTACACAGAGGTCATTGCGTACATTGCGCGTCAACTTTCAGACTCAGCCATCACCCAGCGCCACGGACTTCGAACTGACACTGGCATGCTTCCGCTCGTCAATGGCAGTCTTGTTGCTTGCTTAAAGTTCCTGCACAGCGTGCTCGCTTGGCACGCAGGTGTCACCCCACAGCAAGATCAGCTGGGCGACGGGATTCACGACAAAATCGTTGAAGCACTGCAACAGATTGCTCAGCCAACAACCGGGCTGGAGGGTCTGGAAGCCCTGCAGCAACACCTCGCACTGACCGAGCAAGCCCTGTCCCCCGCTGGCAATGCCGATCTCCACGCTGCTGCGGCCTCCACCTTGCACAAGCTCGCACTTGCGGCGCCACAGGTGGTGTTTGCGACCTTTGACGCTGCCCGACTCGACTGGCTGCTGTCGCTCACCACGTCCTCGCGCCGTGATATTGTCGACCCGATCTGTGCCGTCATTGGCCGCATTGCAGAGCAGCTGCCACCCACTGAACGCGCCGCACTACTTGAGCGACTGCTGGAGAACGCTCAGTCCTTGGCGACTCCTGTTGTGCCTGTGGCTGGCGCTCCCGTTGTCACTGGCCTGCGTCGCGTGGAGACACAACTCGGAGCCGTGACGTCGGTCTGCCATATTGTGGCTAGAAGCGTTGCGTCGTGCATTGCGATCGGAGCAGATCCCGCCACGTCCGAGCCTGTTCTCGCCAAGTGTTTGAGTGCTGTTGCTCAGCTGTTGCAAGCACCAGAAGGCGATGTTCATTCATCCGTGATATTGGCCTCCATCCACGGCCTAGGAACGATTGGACAAGCCGGGCCGTTGCCCGTTCTGGACGACACGCAGCCGCCGGCCGCTGCAGATGGTGCTGCCACCACTTTTCTGCAAGCGACCTCGAAGCGCGTTATTGTGGAGCAGTTGCTCAAGTTTGTCGCCGCCTACTCACCCGCGCCAAACAACACGTCGGCAGCGAGCGAACAAGCACGGAATCAACTCAAACTCGCTGAGGCCTCCATCGAAGCGCTCGGAGAGATTGTCTCTGGACACCCGTCGCTCTTCCTCGTTCCACAAATCATGTCAGGATTACTCGCCATGTCCAAGCACCCCAATCCTGATCTCCACTTTACTGTTGGCGAGGCGCTTGCGTGCTTTGGCGCGCGGGACAAACCCGCTCAGTCGGACTCTGCTGCCATGGACACGACTCCAGACGGTGCGCCCAGCACCACCACCCACATGTCAACGCTGCTCGACGAGATCTTTTCCAAGCAAATCCGAGGGGCATCCATCCGTGCTCGTCGCGCGGCCTCGATCTGGCTGCTTTGTTTGGTCAAGTTTGCTGGTGCAGATGCGACCTTGGCGAAGCGCTTGACAGATCTCCAGACGGCCTTCGTCACGCTCCTGACGGATAACGATGACCTGACGCAGGAGGTGGCTTCCAAAGGCCTTGGTTTTGTGTACGAACTGGGCACGCCGGAAATGAAAAAGACGCTCGTCAACTTGCTTGCAGAGCAGTTCACGGGCGGAGCATCCGCAGCGGCCACCCGCTCGATCGCCCATACGGATGTCACCCCAGAGTCGCGGCTGTTTGACGAAGGAGCAATGGGCAAGACGCCCGATGGCGAATCTCTCTCGACGTACAAGGAGCTGTGCTCGCTTGCGACTGAAATGAACCAGCCCGATCTCGTGTACCGCTTTATGAATATTGCCAACCACCACGCCGTCTGGAATACAAAGCGCGGTGCTGCCTTTGGCTTCTCTTCGATTCTCGCCACCGCAGCCAGCGACCAGCTTGCGCCACATATGGCGCAACTCGTGCCGCGCCTCTTCCGCTACCGGTTTGATCCCAGCCCGAAGATTCGCGATGCCATGACGGAAATTTGGAAGTCTATGGTGGGCTCGTCGGACTTGAAGTCTGTCGTGGAAACGTACCTTCGCCCGATTTGCGACGACCTGCTCGAGTCTCTCGAAAGCAGCCAGTATCGTGTACGCGAGTCGAGCGCGCTTGCGCTGTCCGACCTGCTGATGAGCCGCTCGTTTGCCGAGATTGAGACCTACTTGGTTGACTTTTGGCATCGCTGCTTCCGCGTGCTTGACGATGTGAAGGAGTCTGTTCGGATTGCTGCTGCCATCGCTTGCCGCACCTTGGCCAAGTTCACGCTTCGGGTCTGTGACCCGAGCTTGACAAGCGACCCAGGCTCTGCCTCTTCAAGCAGTGTGCAGCGCGCCGTGAACCTCATGATTCCGTACTACCTCAAGCAGGGAATTGTGAGCAGCGTCGAAGATGTCCGCAAAATCAGCCTGGCTTGCCTGTTGCAAATTGCAAAGGTGGCCGACAAGTATCTCCGACCGCACGTTGTGGAGCTCACCGTCGTGTTGCTCGAATCGCTGAGCTCGCTCGAGCCGCAGATGCTCAATTATTTGACCTTCCACGTCGATGCCGCGGCCAAGGGCGACAGCAACTCGGCGTCCTCCTCGTCCTCCTCTTCCAACTCGGGAGGCTTGACGCTGGAGACGCTGGACACTGTGCGATTGGCTGCCTCCAAGTCGTCGCCCATGATGGAGACGGTCGAAAGATGCATTCCATTCATCGATGTCGAGACAATGGGCCAGCTGGTGCCTCGCTTGTGCGAGCTGATTCGCCATGGTGTGGGCCTCCAGACCCGAGCTGGATGCGCGCGCTATGCATCGTTGCTTGCCTCCAACAAGCCGCGCGAGCTGGCACCCTTGTCCGGAAATGTGCTCAAGGCCATGCTTGCTGCCCTTTCTGATCGGAACATTAGCGCTCGTCGTGCCTACGCCACTGCGATTGGCAACGTTGTGAAGGCCGCCCACATGCAGTCGCTTGCGATGGAATTGAGCACTCGAACTGGCGCTTCCTCGTCAAGCAGCAGCAGCACCAGCAGTAGTAGCAGCAGCAGCGGAAACGCGCAGGATCCCCTCGAGCGAGTTGTCGCCGCCGTCAAGACGCTCTATCTCGAGAAGGATGACGATGACGCGCGCCTCACTGCTGCTCTGATTGTGCAGGCCATGGCACGTCAGTCTCCCGACGTTTTGCGCGACGTGGCCTCCGATCTCATGCCTGTGACGTTCCTGGGCATCCACGATCCCGTCGAAGAGGTCGCGACCACCTGGAGAGAGGCCTGGGAAGAGACCGTTCCCGGGACAGAGGGCGGCTTGCGCTTGTATGGCGCCGAGATTGTGCACCTGCTCGTCGGATCGACTGTTGTCATGTCTTCCACCTCGTCCACCACTGCTGTGACTGTGGGTCTTACGTCCTCTTCCTGGCGCATCAAAAAGCAATCCGCTGTTGCCCTCACAACCGTGGCAGAGAAGGGCGGCGAGCGGCTTGCCGCCAACCTCATCGATCCCGCGCTCGTTGGACTTGTTGGGGCGGCCGCTGGTCGGACATGGGATGGCAAGGAAGCCGTTCTCAAGGCTCTTTGCGGATTTGTAGTGTCCAACCACGCAACGCTCAAGCAGCGCGAGGAGGTAAGCGGAGATTGGTTTTTATTGCGGGAAAAAGGGGTGGTTTTTGAGGAAAAGAGGTGTTTTTCTTGCTTCGTTCAACGGTAATTCTGACGCTGGATTTCATCCTTCATGCTAGTCGGTGGGTCAGGGCGGTCTTGGTGGGGCACCGCCTGTTACAATCCAGCAAATCGTGGACATTCTGTTCCGAGAGGCGAATAAAGTTCGCCGCGATTACCGTCGTGTTGCCGTCCAGCAGCTCGCCTTGACACTGCAAGCGCTTCGTACCCACCACCGCTACCCGCAGTTTGTGGAATTAGCCCAAGCTGTCCTCGCGCCACAAGAAGAAGCTGAAGACGACGACGAGCCAAACGCCAAACCGTTGCTACTTTTGCTTCATGCTGTGACTCTGGAGGGTCTGGGCCAAGCATGTCCTCATACGATTGAAGGTACCACTCGGTCTTGTACTGCGTAGGGTCAACTGGGCTTGTTGTTGTTGGCTGACTTTTTTTTTTTTTTCGTATCCTTCTTGAAACCGCAGCAATCGCCTCCGCTTCTTCCGTTTTGCCAACGTTGGTCCAGTTTGCTGCGTTGACCAGTGTCTGGAATGTGCGCTTGGCGGCACTCAAGGGACTTGAGCAGTACATTGCAAAGGCCTTCACGAATGCGCAGTCACTCGCGGCCGTCTCGCAAGAGACCATTCGGTCGATTGTTGAAGTGACGGCTGCAAGTCTTAATGACATGAAGTTTGCATCTCTGCGTCTCGCCGCTGTCTGCGTCGCCGAGTCGGTGGTCACTTGCGCGCGCCCAATTCTTTCTGCCTCGGATGCCTCTGTCATTCGCAGCAAACTGACTGCGCTCAAGTCCGATCTCGATGCCAATGTGAAGAGCAAGACGAATGCCGTCTTGCTTTTGATGCAAGGCCTGTAATGGTTTTGTGGATGTGTTGGGCTTTTTTGGTTTTCGTTGTTCGTTGTTCGTTTGTGTTTTTTGGCCGATGATTCGACATTGTCGAATGAATGTATGTGCTTTTGTTGGTTTTTGATGTTTCTGCTGGGGTTTTTGTGATGAGGTTGATGAGGTTGATCCTTGAAAGTCGTGATGATGAGGAACACGAGGCATTTCCTGACCACCAAACCCAATGTTCGTTCGTCATCCTCCCATCAAAAGCGAATCACTTGGCTGAATCCACACTTGCCAATCTGGTTTACTTCATTTTTGATCCTATCCCAGCCAAAACACGCTGCTTTTGCTTTTTGTCCCGATTCATTCCCATTTTTGCCAAAAACCCATAAAATCCCATCTTTTCTATTTCTTTTTTTTTTCTTTTTCCTGGCGTCTCTCTGTGTGTTGAAATCTTTATCATCAGATCGCTACACGTTTTCACTCGCTTAATATTCTAGCACAAAGAGAGACAGAGCCAGAGGGACAGAAACAGAAACCGAAAGCAGATCGCAGCACTTTTTTTTTCTTTTTTCTTTTTCGGAAGCTTTTGTCGCATGGCAATGGCGGGAAGAGCGCCTTCGCTCGTCCTATCGCCGCCGCCGCCGCCATCACTGCCGCTGCCTAGCGTGACTCTTGCGTCGTCAGCCTCGTCAGCAGCGTCTGCATCAGCACAACTGTCTCCGTCATCGTCACTGTCATCGGCACAGCAGCAGCAGGGCGGGTCGGCTCCAGTGTCCGCGGCTCCGACCAGCGGCAGCAGCAACCACAGTGGGATGATGCCACCCCTTCCGACCCAGCAGTCCGGCCCGACCAGCGTCGCCGCCGCCGCAGCAGCAGCAGCATCATTATCAGCAGCATCGTCGTCGTCCTCGACCCTGTCCTCGGCAGCCGCTGCGTCGTCCTCGTCCTCGTCCTCGTCCTCGTCCTCGTCTGTGCTCGACAACCTGCCGTTCGTCCCTCGGATTCGCAGCCTCCTTTCCGAGCTGTACTACCGCCATGGCTTCTTTTGCGCATTGTATGAGCCTTGCATGACTGTGGATTTTCTTTATTTTGCATCTGTTCTGCTATTCTCATCTCGTGGGTGAAAACACGTCGACACGCCAGGCATCTTCACGGTCGTCTCAGTTCCGCTGGTCGACTTTTCGATCTATGGCGTCTACGATCCGGCTCCATCAAAGGTAATGCGCACTTTGAGCGGCTTGGTGCGAGCGAACGAATTGGCCCAGTAACACGTAGCATGTCGCGCTCTCTCCCCCCCCCGCTTCCCCTCCTCTCTCAGCATACTACACGACTCACTGCTTGGCTGTTTTGCATGCAATGCTCAGATCATGGGCCCGATTGACGCACTGCCAGCCAACCAGAGACAGGCATTCGTGGACCAGCACGGCAGTGTGCCGCTCCTCCGCGTGCAGAACATTCTGCTGACGTCGAGTCGGCTCGCACACAAATCCGTCGCACTCGCATCTGCATTGCCGCCAGGATTGACGGGCATTGCAGCATTTCAGACTGGCCATGCAGACCCGCGAGGCGACGCCGCCCTTCCGCGGTCATCAAAGCACGGCATCAACAACGGCGCCGCTGCCGCTGCCGACGGAGACCGCAACACCCACAACAATAATAACAATGCAGGTCTCGGTGAAGATGGCGGCACTGATGCTGGCAGGACCGGACGCCTGAATGACCGGAATGGTTTGCCCGTGTCACCACCGCTCAATCTGCATGTCAACGAAGCGACACACGCAGCGCTCGTCCAGCAGATGGTCCGGCGAGGCATGCTGCACAAGTCGATATTGCTCGGTGTCATGGACATTGTCACCTTCCTCCACCAGTTCCAGCTCGAGCGCGGGTAAGTGTGAAAAAGCACAAAATCAAAAAAAAAAAAAACAAAAAAAAAAAAAAAAAAAAAACAATCGGGTGATCTTTCAAGCATCTGTTCGCCCAATGCTCGCCCATTGTATTGTGATGTCGCAGCGGCAACAGCCTGCCATCTGCCGTGCTATTGGCAGCCCTGACGTTGTGATTGCTTTGAAAACAAAACCAACCAAAAAAGGCACACCGCTTGCTTTGGAGTTGATTGCGGTCGGAGGGTTGCGGCGGCGAATCATTTCCGTTTTTGAAATCTTCCCGCGCTTTTTGTTGACCAGATTCGTCGACTTGCTCGATTTCTGACCATAAATCCACGAATTTGTTGTGTGTGTTTTCCCCACTTTCACAGAGGTCGAACCTACCGATTACAGGATTTCTGCCAGCGAAAAGCGGATGGTTCGTGCTTGGTGCTGTCGCCCGCAGATTTCTGGCACAACAACCGCACCGTGCTCGAGGAAGACTCTGATATTCTGAGCACCATCTCGCGGGAGCTCTTCCCATCGTTTTCAGACGAAATGGTGTCCGCAAAAGGTACTGAGAACACCACCGTTCATGCTTTCACACTGTCACGCACCACTCGCTCACTCACTCACCCTCAATCAATCGCGTCGTGGATGACACTCTTGCAGACGCGCTCCTTCTTGCTCGGATTCGGAAACGGTCAATGCTGCAAATTGATGGAGCCGGCGCGCTGTTTATCGTGCTTGTGCTGCGAAGCGACAGCTGCAATCCTTCGCCGGAAGAGACCGTCTTTTTGCAGGCCATGTGGCGCCAGCTGTCCACGGCCTGGCTGCCTGCGCAATGGGATTTGCGCTTCCAAGAATACGATTCGGCCGACACTGCCGACATTGAGCACATCTTTTACGAATTTCGGGACGAGGAGCGCACCTCTGCTGACGTGGGCTTTTTGATTCTCAGCTATTTGATTGTGTTCTTGTACATTTCTTTTTCCATCGGCAAGTTCCACATGGTCAAGAGCAAGTACGGTCTTGGATTCACGGCCGTCGTGACGGTGTTTTGCTCCATGATTATGGCCGTGAGCATCTGCGTGGCCCTCGGTGTCAAGCCAACATTGGTGGCAGTGTAAGTGGAGCGGTTGGGCATGTCGACCTCGAATCGAAGCAACAACGCGCTGTTGCTTCGTTTGCGCGGACGGGTTGCTGATTTTATGCTTTTTTTTCTTTTTCTTTTTTTGGTTTCGATTCGAACAGTGAAATCATCCCATTCTTGGTGATTATCGTTGGCGTGGAAAACATTTTCGTGCTGACAAGTGCGGTAGTCGCCACAAGCATTGATTTGCCGGTCAAAGTGCGCATTGCGCAAGGTGAGCGACGGCGCTCCTTCCTTTTTTTTTTCCTTTTGGAATATCGATTACATTGGGTCTTTCGTCTCACCTGTTTTTCAACATCAGGGTTGAGTCAAGCCGGTCCTTCCATCACATTCTCGTTGCTGACCGAGCTGACCATCATGGTCATTGGCATTTTTACAAGCATTCCCGCCCTTCAAGTAATTCTTGCTTGATTCTGCACCTTTTTCCCCTGCTCCTCTAGTATCTGCTTACTATTGCCAATCCTTTTTTTTTTTTTTTTTTTTTGCGCAGCTTGGCAATTCTCTCGGACTTTTTCATGCAAGTCACCTTCTTTGTCACCGTTCTGTCCATCGATATCACCATCGATATCAGGCGCATGGAGGTAATTGCGATTTTGAAACTTGATTTCAAGGGCACGCAGCTTGCGATTGTTACTCGCGCTGCGCCTCCTCACTTGCGCTGTATCTACCTTTTGCTGCACAGCTTTCCGACTTGCATCATGCTGGCAGCTCGCGGAAGTTTTCAGAGGCCGGCTTGGATACCAGCTCCCTGGAGTCCAAACTGCTCAGCGATTTGAAAGGCGGCGCTGGGTTGTCATCCAGCGATGACGCCATGCAGGGTCAAGCCGAGGGCAGCGGCTCGGAGCGATTTTCAGTGCTCGCGCTCATGTTTGATCCGCTCATCATCAAGACGGTCATTGTCATCCTGTTCATGTCCATTCTCGCATTTGGGCTGTACAATGGCGATGCCATCACACGCTCCGATGCGCTGTTGATTGACGAGTCAAACGCGCTGTCGATCGAAGCTACCTTCTCCTATTGGCGATTGCTGCACCCGCACTTGCAAAACTCGTCGCTGCATCACCGGCACTTTGATATTTTACCTTCCGTCACCATTGACGCGTGGCTTCCGCTGGAAAACCCAGTGTCCTTCCTCCTTGCCGAAGCTGCGCCCGAAGCGCTCAAAGCCATCTCGAGTGCCACTCCGTCCTCGCAGTCCGCCTTCCAGCAGTTAATCGACCGCGCCCTGGCGCCTTCCTCGCTGTCGCGGATGCGCCGCATGGGCGACAATGCAACTATTGCCGAGGCAGAGCAACAGCACGGGCAGAACATTATCGCTCGAGCGCTGACTGCGCTGCTCTCTTCGCCGTGGATCCCCATGTTTGGCAGCGACGAATCTGGCTATCGTACGCGCTTGGTTGAGCGCATTTTCAATCTCAGCGAGGTGGTTCAGCAAAGTCCTGGCGCCCAGGTGCTGGTGGTGCTGATTTTCGTCGCTGGCCTCGCCTGCACCTGCTACTATTACTACTTTTTCGTTGTCGTTATCAGTCGTCGCTTCTCCACGCGACCCAAGCGGTCGTCACGCCGAAAATCCGACAGCAATACGGCGGCGGACAAGAGCAGCAGCAGCAACAGCAGCAGCGCAAGTGCCAGTTTGAGCGCCAGCCGCCGGCACAGTCGCAGCAATAGCACAGTCACGTCACACTCGAGCGCCGATCATGCCACCAACGGCAGTGACACCCCAAGCGAGTTTGGCGCGTCGAGCAGCTCGGCCGCAGCACTGCGCTCTCGCGCTGCCTCGAAACTCTCCGCCGACGATCTGAGCGATCTATTCCAGTTAGAAGGGCTCGGCCAAAGCGCGAGCTCGGCGAGTGCGTCCGCGAGCGCATCCACCAATGGCCAAAGCTCTCTCGGCCCTCTGGATCTGCAGGGCAATTGGTTGGACAATCGTCAACTTCGCCTCGATTATTTGACGCTCCGTGGTCACGCGCAAAGCGTAGAATGCTTGGAGGTGAATGACGCTCTCGTCTTTTCAGCTGGCCTTGACCAGTCCGTCCGCGTCTGGGACTTGGCCAGCGGCGAGAATGTGGCGTCCATCGACGTCGGCGATGACTCGGCCGCTGCTGTTTGGTGCATGACACCCGTTCGATTTGCGCTGCCCAAAAGCTCTGCAGGCCAAACAGCTCTGCACGATTCGAGAGGGCGAGGCGTGATTGTCGGTTGTGCGGATGGCTCTGTCAAGTTTTGGACGGTTTTGTCAGCAGAGCAAAGCCAAGCTCTTCTTGCTTCACCTGTCGGTCCTTCTAAAGTGTCACCGCCGCCGTCATCGCCTCAACGGCAACGCTTTACCGTCGCTCAGCCGTCACAAGTACATGGTCTCAAGCACTCGGCCGCCGTTTCGTGCTTGTGCTCGCTTCCTTTCGGTGTTGTGGCTACTGCCTCGCTGGACGGCACTGTCCGTATGTGGGTGGTCACCACGGGACGTCGCGCCGGCGCTCGCCAGACACCTGCTCGTCAACAGCAGCAACAACCTCTGCAAGCTCAGCAGCAACTCGATGCAGCAGCAGCAACGCCACCGCCAATGCACTCCAGAACAAAGTCCTTTTCCTATGGGACTTCGCAACCAGCAACTCCTTCGGGCGGCTTTTCTTCGCGTTCGAGCTCGTTTACAGCACTCTCCCCTCAGCATTTGATTGTACAACAACAACCTCAGGCACAGCAGCAGCCCACATGGTCGACTGCCAGCAACTACTTGTCACCTGGCAACCCACATAGTTCCGATTCGACATCCGCGCCCTCGACACCGACGTTCACCAGTTCCATGCCGAATTTGTCCCTCACTCAATTAGACAGCAGCACTTTGGAGTCGAGTCCGAACCGATCTCCTCCCGCCACGCCGCAATCACAACAGCAGCAGCAGCAGCAGCAGCAGCCGCAGCAACAACAACCGCAGCAACAACAACCGCAGCAGCAGCGTGAGCCGTCCCTCTTGTGCGTTCGCACCATTCAAGGCATTCACAAGCATGGCATTTCCGCGATCTGCTCATTTGCCGATCCGCTTCGGCTCGCAACTGGCGAAATGGACGGCACTGTGCGCGTGTTTGATGCTGGCACTGGCGAGCCCGTTCATGCCCTGTTTGGACATTCTGGCAAGATCACCTGGATGCATGCCGACGGTGTGCAGTTGGTCACGGGCGACGCGAACGGTCGCGTGCGTGTGTGGCACATTGTGAATGGCACCTGCCTCCTCACGCTGAAGGGCCATACCGATGGTATCCTGTGCGTCCGTTCGGAACTCTCCATTCCACGCACTGCTGCAGCCGCTGCCGTGGCGAGCATGCTTGGCGCGATGGGATCGAGCTCGAGTCTTGTCAACTCTCCAGCAGGCCCGCCGCCAATGACACCTCCGATTCATGTGAGCTCTGCCAACGACCACACGGCACCTTCAACTCCTGCCGCCACACCCTCAGGATCACGCTCGGGCGCACTCACCTCGCCGCCGTCGTCAACCGCCTCCGCTCGCCTCCACCACCGCGCCGCTGTGCAGTTTGTCCCTGGGCTGACGTCAACCCCGTCTCCCTCGCAAAACACTGCATGGACTGCGTTCCCGTATCTCGTCACAAGCTCGTTGGACGGCACGGTGAGAGTGTGGGATCGCCGTGGCAACTGCGTGCGTGTCATTCAGCATTTCGCCCCAGACCTCGTGCTGCTGCCGCGCCAACGCCGTGTGCTCTGCGCGGGCGAAGGCGAGCTGGTCATGTTTGATCTGCCTTCCGGAAAAACGGCACGGCGGTTGGCGCTGTCCTACACGGCCATGTTTTCCGCAGCCGTGTCCATCAACCACGTCCGCTTGGTGGGCGGTCGGCTCGTGTGTGACTTTGGCGACCGGATAAAAATCCTCGCCTGTCCCGCGGCGCTCGCCGGGCACGCATCTTCTAGTAGTAGTGGTAGCAGTAGCGGCACGGGTGCCGACACCAGCAAACTGGATTGAGTATTTGCCTCCACTGTATTTTCATTACTTTTGGTTTTCTTGTGTTTTCTTGTGTTTTGCTTTTGTTTATTTTCGTACGTCAGGTACGCTTCGAATTATAACCCATTTCCCCAATCTGACATGCTCAGAGATTTGGAGCTCAGTCTTCCACTCCCTTTTTTTTTTTTTTTTTTTTTTTGTTTATTGGTTCTCTGTTCTTCTCTGTTCTTGCTCGTTATTTTCAAATTCAAACAATGTCGGTTGTTGAAAAGTTCCGTCGAGCGAGCCAGCGATTGTCGTCTGTGCGGAAGCGCGCAGTGAGCGAGTCGATGGGCAGCAGCCGCAGCAGCTCAATGTACAACCCAGCACGTCCCTTCGCTGCCGGACCGTCCGCATCGTCGTCATCAGCATCAGCATCAGCAGCAGCAGGATCCGGAACAGCGTCCGGAGCAGCAGCAGCAGCAGCAGCAACATCGTCGTCGTCGTCCTCTTCTTTCACTGGACCAGTAAGCCAAATTTTTGAAAATGCAATGCCGTTTGCATTGGGGATTGATGATATGATCGTTGAGTGCATGGAACTGGTCCTGCGCCATGCCAATGGTGTCTTTGCTTTTGTCTTTGATCTGAGACACAGAGCGAGAGGTGCTGGAGAATGAATGCTCACCTTTTGCTCGGGATGAATGTATGGTAGATGTCGCTGGATGCATTGCGAGCCATCGTCGCGCTGCCAGAAGGAAGCACCATCAACGAGTGGCTTGCGCTCAACACGGTCGACTTTTACAACCAGGTACAGTACAAAACAAGTAAAACAATGGCTGGAGGACGAACGGTGAGGAAAGGGTAATGGAAAGCACTCGAACAAAGTTGGAATTGGCATTTCTGCTTGCTACTGATGCGCGGAATTCATTGCGCTCCATCCTGCTCCATCCTGAGAAAAAGGGTGCAGACTTGGAGTGCATGGACAGCGCATGCATTGGAGGAAAAACAAGCAGTTTATGCGTTGGAATTGAAAAGGAAGCGGCACCGTACCCTTTGCTTACTGCTGCTTGGAATTCATTGAAATTCTCAGCCAACTTTACTGTACTCACTATTCACTCGATGACACTCTCTCTGTCTTCATCAGATCAACCTCATCTATGCTACACTGTCCGAGTTCTGCACCGCAGAGACCTGTCCGTCAATGACTGCGGGCGACGCATTCGAATTCTACTGGGCCGACGAGTCGGGCGAATCCGAGCCAGTCAAGGTGTCTGCGCCAGAGTACGTCGAGAACCTGATGGCATGGGTGAGCGATCAGCTCAACGACCCCGTCATCTTCCCACCGGAGGACTATGTGCTCGAGTATCCGCCAATGTTTCCGCTGATTGTCAAGACCATCTTCCGTCGACTGTTTCGCGTGTTTGCGCACATTTACTGCTCGCACTTTGAGTCGGTCATTACCATTGGCCTGCTAGCAGTGCTCAACATGCGATTCCGCCACTTTTTGTGCTTTGTCATCCAGTTCGACCTCGTGGATCGCTCGCAGCTCATGCTGCTCAAAAACGTCATTGAAGAGATGCTCGACCTCCAAATCTTTGATCGCCGCACGCTCTACCATCAACAGGAAAAGTTGGGTGCCTCCAAGTCTCGAAAAGACGTCGAGTCCACGGTTTTTGGCATTGCACTCGCCGATCTCGTCGAGCGCGAGCGCATTTTCGACGACAACAACCGTGCAGTGCCGCTAGTGGTGCTCAAGTGCGTCGAGCACATGGAAAAGATTGAAGGTGAGGTTGTAGTAGCATGTGTATTGCGGCTGACAATTCTGGTTGGTTGTTGTTGTTGTTGGTTCATCCGCTGACCAATCTCTGACCGTTAATTCTTGTTGAAATTGTCGTGGTTGACTAGGCTATCAACGGGAGGGCATCTTCCGTAAATCCACCGGTGTGCACAAGATCAACAAACTCAAGCAATTGTTTGACGAAAGTGAGTCTCGAGCCTCTCACGAAGGGGTGGAGGGGGGGTCATATTGCTGCTACATGGACTCACTTCGCTCAATTCCTTCGTCTTCCTGGTCACCAGACGCTTCAGAGGTGAATTTGCAGACACAAGAATTTAGTTACGACATTCATGCCGTTGCATGTCTGCTCAAGCTGTACTTCCGCGAGCTTCCCGAGCCGCTGCTGCTCAACACGCACTATGAGCAATGGAGACAAGCCTGCAAATGTAAAGCTTTGGTCCATGTGTCAGAGAGGGAAAACAACTTTGAAACCGAGTTTGGTGTTTGTGGTGCTGACCGAAATCTGTTCGTTTTTGAGTGCAGTTGACGAAGAGCCGCGTCGTCTCCTGGAAATCCGGTATCTTCTTCAATCGCTTCCGCGCTCCCATTATACCTCCCTGAAGTTCACGATGAAATTTTTGAAAAAGTGAGTGCAATGTGACAAAGCTTTTGATTTTTGTTGTTGTCGCTGTTGTCACTTCTTGGGCCTCACCAACTTCAATTCCCTTCCGTCCCCTGCCTTGTTCAGAGTGGCCGATCACTCGTACGTGAACAAAATGACGGCAAACAACCTCGCCATCGTGTTGTGTCCCGTCTTCCTTTGGGACAAGAAAATCACCGCGACCAGCATGATCACGGAATCGTCCGAGTGCGCCCTCGTTATTGAAACGATGATTTTGCATACTGATTCGCTGTTCACCGACGAAGACGACGACGAAGTGCGCTTGGCCGAAAAGGGCCAGCATGCTGACTCGTCGGACGAGTCGGACTCAGAAGCAGCGAATGCGCCTCCAGTGTCGGCACCGCCGACCAAAGCTCCAGCCACAGCGACAGTTCGGCGCGTTTCAGTCGATAGCGCCTTGGATGCATTGGACGCAGCCTTTGGCGAAGCGGAATCGGACGATGACCATCTCCAGCCTGAGGCCGACGCTGATGCCAAACACGAGGCTGAAGCTCGTTTTGAACGCGTGCCTGCTTCTGATCAGACACACGACGGCCGTGGTTTTGATGAAAAGCGCGCGTCGGTTTCTCAGAGCGACGCGCACAACGAACAAAGTGAGTCTGCGCCCGATTCGCAACGAAAACCTGCTTTCGAGTCAGCTCCCGAGGGCGAACAACAGCCACAACAACCCGTCGCTGATGAGTCAATTCCCGATGGGGATACGGAGCTTTAGAGTGGTGGGATTACCTGTCGTCGGCCGACTTGCGTTGGTTTTTTGAAGTTTGATCTATTTAATGAAAATTTGAGAAGCTTGTTCTGCAGCCCAACGCCAAAATCTATTTTGTTTGCATAGCTCGTCATTGAGCGATGGATGCTAGATGGAGATTGAGACAGCAGGGGGAGACAGACAGATCAGTCGTCCTAAGAAGTCGCAAAATCAGCAATGTCGGATGCAGCTGACGTACTCATCGCTGGCAAGTCGGCGGCCCACGACTCGGTCCACTAATGCTTGCCTGAAGTTGCAGAGAGTCGAATGTGGCTATGGGAAGCGCCGCATGGGATGGCTACACTCACAGCCAATCCTTCGGACGCGAGTTGAATTTTTGGCGGGAAAACTGACAGTTCTCCGATTTGTTCTTGCTGTGCTCTGTGGTGCCAGATATCAACACCAAGATGCAGCGGCTGGAGCAGGAATTAGCCCGCTTTCATCGCAACCGAGAGGCCCTCGGCGAGTACGGAGCCTCCCTCGACGGGATTGCCGCTGTCTGGGTGAGCGAAGTACAAGCGAGCGGTGATCATCGTTCAAACGTTTCATATCGGATGTCTTTGGCTCACTGTTTTGTGAACATTATTGGCCTTGATGCTGCAACAGACGGCGTGGATGCAGCGAGCAGCTGCGTTTCAACACTCGGCTGGCGGAGCGACAGTCACCGAAGCCGCGCGTTTCATGGCGCATCCCGACGACGACGAGCGACCTACACTGCCCTCGCGATCATGATCTCATGATGATACATGTTGTTGTTGTTGTTATTGATAAAGTAGTTATAGTTATGGAAGCCTTTGTTTGTCAGAAAATGCATTGGTTGTGACAAAACGTTGTGTTCATTCAAATGCGTGACGATGTATTGAGCACTACAGCAATCACGAAAAAGCCAAGATTCGGACATTGACACAATCAACGATACACAACATGTACCAGCGCAAGATGCTAAAGTAGGAGATAGGGGAGCGTGCGAAAAAAAAAAAAAAAAAAAAAAAAAGGACAACAAAGACGCAACAAAAAAAAAAAAAAAAAAAAAGTACAGCCCTATACCTGCACTTTTAAGAAGCGGCCGAGTTAGCCTGCCGAGCCAAGATGAACGTCGTGTAGCCTTCCAGAAGCCCAGATATTTCCTGAGCTTCCATCGTGCTAATGCAGATGACCTGCTCGGCGTTCTCTCCAAAATACAGCTTGAAAAAGTCCACAGTTGTGCTGTAGTGGTGCACAAACCTGAGGGGCCATTTGCAGTCGATTTGCTGTCGAACAAAGCCCGAGCAACAATGAGCAAGCGTGACGCATGACCGCGACGAACGCAGCCACAAGCAACAAAACCCAAACACTCAACGTACCCCGGTCTTGAAGTCAATGCGCATGATATCCGAGCTCGTAACACCGACAAATGACGGTTCCAGTCGCTTCTTCTTGGGCGACGCTTCCTGCAAGTCGAGAAACAAAACAGGTTGATGAGCAACGCACTCGAAACCACAGCATTGTTCTGTTGCACACCCAGAAACGAAAAACGACAACTTACAAAGCCCCAGAACTTGGAAATGCCGTAGGTTTCAAGCCCATTGTACAATTGCATGTAGAGGAACATGGCGTTGGTGGCCGCAATGCCCTTCAGCTTGATGTACTCTTCCATGACGGCCTTGTCGACACGTTTGGACTTGATGTGATCGGCGGGCAAGACATCGCCCAGCGTCTTGTCGTTGAAGGTTACCAGCGCCTTGTCAAAGTTACCAAAGGTAACCTGGCACTGCAGGGCCGCAAACGTGACGGCCTGCGCCAGATTGCAGGGGTTTTCGCCCGACAGCACGCCCGCCTTTGCTTGAAAGTAGCACAGCTTGAGCGCAGCCGGGTCGGTGCTGTACACGGAGTCGTCGAAAAAGTAAAAGCGACGCTTCAAAAAGACGACATCGTTCATCTTGATGCCCTGGCCAGCCAGCGACTCGTTCATGTCCAGCCAGTGCTCGACCGTCAACGAGTCCTCGTCTTGAACTGTGATGGCGGCCTCTTCGTCCGCCGAGCTGAACATGCTTGTCTTGGACACCTTCTTGCTGATCTTGCCGACGCCGCCGAACGACTGCGTGGGCAAAAAAAAAAGGAAAAAAAAAGTGAGTAAATGAATGACGCGTCCACTCTGCAACTCTTTCCCCTCCCCTTCCCCCACCTCCTTCTCCCCCATTGCTGCCTTGATGCCACACAGCACGAACGCGACAGGCAATTCAAAACAAATCAAAGCACAACCCCTTTTGCTTACATTGTACAAGCGTCGTCGAGGATCGTTCTTGTCCACCTTTTCAACAACGTAAATGGAAAGACCAAACTCTTGGTAGTTGATCATGCCCATCTTGGAGGCAATGAGGGGCAAGACTTGCTTGCAAGGGGCCGATTCGTCCACAAGGATTGTCTTGACGTCGCCGGCCATGGTGCGCACACGCAGCTTGCGCTTACCGGCACCTTCTTGCAATTGACTCGCAGTGTCTTGATCAGCAATGTCTGCTTCCGTCGACTTTTCAACAAAGATGGTCGCGTTGACGGGCAGCGAGCCGACCGTGTCGGACAGACTGATTGGATTGTCCTCTTGGTCCTTGAGCGCAGTGATGTGGAAGTTGGGGTCGAAGGGGAAGGTAAGAGCAAACTGGGATTCGATGAGGCGGCAAAAGTCGCGGATGGGCTCGGTCTTTTTGACTGCCATCAGCAGCGAGTGGTCTGCGTCAATCACAACGTTTATCTGGTTGATGTGTGCGTGACGAACTCGGTCGGGGCGAACCAGCGTAGTGTACGAATCCGCGCCAGCCACCGTAGTTGCGACTGCTGCTGCTGCTGCGGGGGCTGCTGCAAGTGCTGCCATTTCGCCCTTCACTGCAGCTTGATTCATGTACAGGTCGCCACCGTCGACGGGCATGTTTGCGGAGGCCATGCCGAGGCGAGCCTCACGCGCCTTTGCGCGGGCCGCAGGCGACATGTTTTCCTCCTCTGTGCTTGGAAGCCGTGCAAGCGGGTTGGGGAAGGCCGAGGCGCTGGACGGAATCGCGGGTGCGGGCTCGGACGGGCGACGCATCGTGCCACCACTGCCAAGGCCGCTGCCGCTGGCGCCACTCGCTCCGCTGCCCTTGTTAGCCCCACTGCCACTAGCAGGTGAAGCCTTGTTGCCGAGGGCGCCGAGAAGACCGTTGCGCACCGCAGGTGCAACCGACGCGCGGACCGAGGTCAAGTTCTGGTACAGCTCCTCCTCGTAATCGGTCATGGCAGAGTCCTGCTCGTAGATCGAGGCCACGCTGGGCCTGCTCGGCTTGCTGACTGCAGCAACAGTGCCCGGACGAGACGATGCAGCAAAACCAGCCGCGGCCGCACCAGCAGAAACACCGATCGTCCCGGGCGACGAGGGCGATGCGGGAGCACTGTCAGATGGACCAAACGAGTTTCGTGGCGGCTTGCCCAACGGCACGGGCGGACCAGCGCGCTTAATGGTGCCAGTTCCAGAGGCAGCGCCAGCAGGAGCAGCAACAGCCGGGGCGTGGGTGGGAACGACGGCCGCAGCAACCATGGACGGCTCCACTTCGTGATACTCGTCGTTTGCACCGGCGCTGTGGCTGGCGCTGGCGCTGGCGCTGTTGCTTGTGCTGCTTCCGTTAAGGCTCTCGGGCTTGGACCACGTCGATCGGCGCGTGCGTGCGTTGAAAAAGTACGACTTGCCGCCATCCGACGACACTTCCGTCCACTCGACGTCTTGCTTTGGCTTGCTGAGCTCTTGGATTTGCTGACGAATGGACGTGGAGTTCTATGCATTGGGGGGGGGGAAAGAGAGGGGAAGAGAAATGATTTTCAGCCGGGATTCGATGTACACGGGTTTGAGAGCAAATGCAAATTGCGAGCGTGTACCTGGTACAAGTCCTCCTGAACTGCGGCAGCCGCTGGTCCTGCCTCGTTGGATGGAAGTGGCATGGGCGCCTTCCTGACTTTGGAGGCCGCGGTCTGTGTTTCAAGAAGTTGTGCCAAAGTTAACGCTCGACAGTCGCAGAGGCATGTCATAAAGTTCTCTCTTGTTTGACATGAGCACTGTTATCGCTCGTGTTGCACTGAGCGAGGGGTGACTTACGCCGTGTCCGGGCGGGGCTGTCCATTGGGTCTGCTTGGTTACCAAATTGTAATAGTACGATCGACCCTAGGGACGAGACCAAACGCAAAAAGTTGTGAGTGCATAATGCGGATGCTTCAGTGTGATGCGATTGTTCACGAGTGCTATGTCGGTGAGCTGTTGCTGGGACGCAATCTGCCGAGATCGGAGCCCCGCACACACACTCACTCATTCACTCACTCACTCACTTCCCAGCAACCACCAGAGCACCACCAAAAGGCCCACAGCAGCACACCACCATGACCGTTGTGTAAGTGAGCGTGTGTGTGTGTGTGTGGTCGTAAGTGACCTTGAGTGACCTTTGCGGTGACCTTGCGGTGAGTGTGTGAAAGTGTCGCGCTCTCCTCAGTTGCACCCCTCAGTCTCACCCTTCCCCTCAGTCTCACCCTTCCCTCGCTCCCACTCTTCCTTCTCTCAATCCACGTTCCATTCCTTTCCATTACTTTCCATTCCTTTCCATTACTTTCCATGACTTTCCTTCTCTTCATTTCCTTTCCTTTTCGCTCGGTTTCGTTTTTTTTTTTTTTTTCAATGAGCGAATTCACTAATTTTCTTCTTCTTTTTTTTTTCTTTTTCAAAACTAATTGTTAACTCAACAACGAAGCGCTCTTTTTTTTCCCCTTTTGTGTCATAAAATCCAACAATCACAACACTTTTTGGTTTTTGATTTCCAATCTTTGTTGTTCTTTGATTCGCTCGCTCATTGTTGCAACAGGTCAACGTGATTCAATGAAACTGAGTGACTGAATGACTGAATCAAGAAGTGAATGAGTGCAGATGGAGAACGATCGCTGTTCCCCTCTTCATGGCTGGTTCTAATAATGAAAATTATTGCTCCGCCCCTTTTGTCGCGCTTTCACAGTCTCTCTCTCGCTCGCTCGCTCTCCCAGGCAGCGACTTCCATTCCATGGCACTACGCATCATGATGATGTTGTTGATGATGTCATGATGGTTGCTGGAGATCGAACGGTCATAGAACAAAAAACAAAAACCACAATAACAACAAACTCGTTTTTTTGGGACTCTTTTTTTTTTTTTTTTTTTTTTCTGGTTGTGCATCCAATGCGAGTCCCAATTCAGACACACACATGCACACATGCACGTAAGGAGCTCAAATGATTCAAGTGGACGGGGAGAGGAGTTGAGAGGGGTGGGGAGAACATCGGAACTGTGAGTGAGTGAAATCGCATACATCGTCCGTTCGAAACTCCTTCCACGACGCGTCCATTGTGTTGAAGACTGAATCAGAATCAGAGGAAGAAGAAGCAGAAATAATAAAAAAAAAAACGAATAAGAAAATGAATGGAAATGTTGAAACGAATAGAGAGATGCGAATATTCTAGCTGTAGATCGAGCTGAAAAAGTCGTATGTTGATGAAGAAGGGGTTTCGGAGTTGATTTTGTAGTCAAACACTGAACTTCTCAGCCAGTCTCTCTTTGACATTTACTGCTCACTCTATTGATCACCATTAATCATCATCATCCTTCCATCTGGATCAATCTGGACAAAGCAGCGGATATCACACACAACAATGGCTGCCGCCAGATTCCGCACCGTGTTTGACGTGTCGGGACTGGCGCGACCGAATTGGTTCCCAGGCCACATGGCGCGCGGCATGCGTGAGATTGCGCGCAACCTGCAGCACATTGACTATGTGATTGAGGTCCACGACGCTCGGGTAATAACAGAGCGATTGGACGAAGCGATGCAGGCTGCAGGAGTTGTTGTCGTCGACTTCATCGCGCGCGCAAAATGGCCTTCTTTTGTCACCACAGGTTCCCGTCTCGGGTCGCAACCCACTGCTCCAGGCGCTGCAAAAGCCATCCACGCTTCTGTTGAACAAGATGGATCTCGGCGATCCGGCCGTCAACAAGGTACGCAATCTCCCAAAGCATGGTGTTTTTGGTCATCACTCTCACCCCCTCAAGTCTTTGCTCTGGACATCTATCAGATAGCGAAGGCTCGATTGCATGAAATCAATCCACGTCACAACGTCGTGTTGACAAGCGCAACGCTGCGGCTGGAGCGCGCACTCACGCTCGTCGTCGACCACATTTTGGCAAACGTGCCGGCCGAGCGCGCAGACAAGGACGGCGAGGGCATTCACGCAATGATTGTGGGCATGCCGAACGTGGGAAAATCGTCCACCATCAACGCGCTGCGCAGATTGCTCACGGGCGAAGGTGCACGCGCCAAGGTTGGCCCCATCCCCGGCATCACACGCGCCGTCATGCAGCCGCTACACATTTCGCGTGATCCCAAGATTATGCTGATTGACACACCCGGTATCATGGCACCACACATTCCAAACGTCGAGGTCGGGCTCAAACTCGCCGCAGTCGGCACATTTATCGATCACCAGGTCGGAGAGGCGTTGATCGCCGACTACATCCTGTTCAGCCTCAACCTGCGCCGCAAGTTTGACTATGTCAAGCGGTACAACATGGACCAGCCGTGCGATGACATTAACGTCTTCCTGTCTGCACTTGCCCAGCACTCTGGACTCGTGCTCAAGGGAGGCTTGCTAAACACGACTCTAGCAGCTGCGCGATTCATCAAGGACTACCGAGAGGGAGCGCTCGGGCGCTTGACACTCGACGATGCTATTGTCGAAGGAGGACTTCCTGCTATTGTCGCCGCACAAACCGCTCAAGCAAGCAGTCCAAAGGCGAGCGAGCAGGCGCGTCTTCCTCCGCTGGACGAAGAAAACTGGAATCCTGTCGACGCCTTCGATCGGTTACGGGCAGAAGAAAAGCGCCTCCGGGGCTTCAAGCGAAGGCGATGAGACGTGTTGTGCGCAGGCGCCTTGGAGAATCGAAAAAAAAAGAAAAGAAATAAAAAGAGTATTGTTTGTTTTTTCTTCAACTGAAACTCAACGTTAACAAAAAAAATGCTCCTGTGCAACTATTGGTCTTGCTCGTCATTATTGCCATCGTCGTCTTCATCGTCCTCGTCATCGTCCTCGTCTTCAGGGTCGACTGGACCACCGTAGCGACGGCGATTTGGGTTTTGGAAGAGATCATCGTCATTTTCTTCGTCGCTGTCATCATTCTCGTCTTCATTTCCATCTGCTTGGGCCTCCTTTCGGACGGATTGTGCTTCAGCAGATGCCGGAGTGGACACTGGCGCGTCTCGGAATCGTTCCGGCCTACGCAACAATTCAACAATTCGAGGGTTCGAGTTCAAGTGAGGTTCAAGTCGAAAGTTCCTCCCAGTCCTACCCTCGTTTGAGTTTTTATCGATACTACTTTCATCCAATCAGTGCAGCGAATACTGCTACTACAGCAGGCTGTACCAGATTGCCATGGCGCGGAGTTCCTTGAGCTGGTCGGGGTAGAGTACGTGGTTGATTTCCGCCTGGACGCGGAGGTTGAGCTTCTCGCTCCCTTCGAGCTTCTGGGCAATGAGATAGTCTCCGCGCTTGATCCAGATCTTCTTGCGGAACTTGGTCGGCATCATGCAGAGTATCCGCTGGCCGTCCGGGAACTCGACCTCGTGGAGATTGTTCCCGCGCGTCGCAATGACCTGCATGGGTCACCAGCACAAGCACGCGCAACCACGTCGTGAGCAACGAGTCAACAGTGGCAATGTGCGCCTCGAGCAGTCGTCGGCTTGGGTCTCAGTGAGTGTAGCCGTCTGTTTGGTCGAGGCAATGATGCTGTAATCGTCGTCTCCAGTCATCAAACGCCATTCCCACCGACAACAAGAGGGCAAGCAACATTACAACACAAAAGCAAGCCAAACATCTTCAAGGAAGACGCACTCGGACAATATGCTCGTTGGGGCCGGATGGGACGGGGAGCTCGTCCAGCACCTCGCGAGCGACATACTTGAGCTTGGTTGCCGACGACATTTTCTGGGATGTGTGAAAGAACAACAACAATAAGAAAGAAAGAAAGAAAGAATGGCAACCTGGAACAGGAATTACATTCAAAAAGAGTGAAAATGGAAAGCGAACAAAAGGGCAGCGTCCAAAGACCGAAAAGCTGAACGCTGAGCGCTGTTCCAGCCTGGGACGAGTTGCACAAACCATAGAGTCTGCATTACTGTACAACAAAGGGCAACGAAACAGCAACACGGAATCTATGTTCGAATGAAGCGAGGAATGGCCGCTTGGAAGGCATGCGGAGGAGCCGCCAGGCCTTTGCTTCGCCAGCGCTCGAGCAGCAACTTTTCCGCTCTCCGAATCTAGCACGCGAATGGAAGCGTTGTCCCAAAAGTGAGCATACACAACAGCTGAACAACAGCTGGGAAAAATAAAAGAAGAGCACCGAGCCAACAAATTCAATCAATCGCAACGCTTAGCTTACATAGAGCGCAGGAACATTGTCCCCCTTCTCGGTGAGCAATCCAGTGTGGATGGTAAACATGGTGCTCATATTGCCAAACGCAATGTCGGTGAAGAGACGATCGCCAACAACCACGAGTCGCTCTGGATCGCATGTTGGAAAGTATCTCAAGACGTCCATTGTTCCCAACGGTTTCTGTGCATCGGAGGAGGGGGAGAAGAGTGGAGGGTGAGTTATCGGAACGAAATCAAATGCAGCATCAAACACACGCCAATCGCGGTACCTTTGAGCCATGCCGTACTACAGGAACCTGAAACACTTTCTCGATATGTTCAGCCTAGCGGAGTGTGTCAACGATATTGTAAGGCATGGGTGTTTTTCACCAGCTCAAAACGTTTTTCTTTTTTTCTTTTTTTTTTTCGCAAGCAATCGCAGAAGGGCTTCCACATTGCCACTCAAAGCAGGGGAAAATAGAGAATTACCTTGGCATAATCCTTGTCGTCGATCGATCCTGGCTCATTGGAGAAAATCACGACGTGATCGCGTCCAAACACGTCCAAGCATTGGTTCCATGAAGCCTAAAAGAGCGCACCCAAACCCAGCGACGAGTTTGACCAAAACAACCCAAACCAACACGAGTGTTTGAGCGAAACTCAGAAAAAAAAAAGGACTCGCTTCTCAGCATCAAAGAACGCCCACGAGTGACACTGAGAAGAAAAGTGGGACGTTGTGAGAGACTGACTTCGAGCGACGGAAACAACTTGACTTCGTACGGCGCAGACAACGTGTTGTCCTTGTCAAAGACAACGCCCTGGCAGCCAGCAGCGCGGAGAGCGGCAAAGTCGATTGCCCGGATGTCTGTCCAAATGCAACGCCACACACAGTTTCAAGTCGGCAGTCAGTGTAGGCCGGCCAGCAGAGCGACCTTTCGCCGTCATGTCCATCGTGAGTACTCATTGTCGAGTCCATTTTGGGCGAGGGGGCAGGGGAACACACCGCGAACAGAGACGTGCGGCACTGCGAGCGTCGGTCGCTGGAGCAGAATGTTGGCAGCGACGCGAACGCCGACCGGATTCCACCACTGCGGCATTGCAAAGAAAGAAAAGACTGAGAATGGAATGACAGACACGGAGAGCGTGGATTGCATTTCATTGCACATTAATATTGACAAAGTGAGAGGCGGCAACAGCACTTCAGACGCAGCATCTCAAACACAAAACACTACAATTCTGCGCGCGAGTCGCTCGTGGTGCACACCCCCGCATGCAAAACAAACCCAGAGTAGCATTCTGTGCAATTCGTAGAAGAATCGCAGCGCAAGCAATGTGCGCTACAGCAAGAGCCGGGACCAGCGCCATAACAGGTAGCACACGCGAAATGGCACTCTGATCAACTCGGAAGTCAGTCACATCATCACCTTGCTCGCTCAGCGACTCTGCAACTCGGTTTGAAATCCTCAACAACATACCCATCAGTCCAGTGTATCCCGCTTGAACGTAAGAGTAGGTACTAGGAGGCGCTTCAGAACTAGACAGCAAATTGGGTTCCAAGTGAACGACCTTCAGCATCGTCAGCCCTTGAAACAACCCCGGAGGCAACGTGACCAGAGCGTTCTCAGACAGGTCAACACGACGCAGCTTTGTCAATCCATGAAATAGCGATGCTGGAACAGCATTCAACGCGTGATTTCTCGTCAAAGAACTGCTCGCGATCTGACAAATGAGTGCCCAATCGCGGCAAGCAATTCAGCGTCGAGGATGAAAACGCTTACAACGTGGTCAACTGCGTCAGCCCAGATAAAGCTTGACTAGAGATGGTGGTGATGGACGAATAGTACCCTCTGCTATTCCGACTTCTGATTGACCTGCCACCCAAAAGACAACGGGGGAAAACTTAAAAGTGTACATCTCGCCATTCGCCGTGCTTGCTTGACTCTCTCGTCAGTCACTTACAAGGATTCGAGACTGGCAAGACCGGCAAATGCATGCGAAGGGACGACACTTGCAGTAGCCACTTTGACCTTCCTGTTAAAGGCCAGTCATCTTAGCATGCAGCTGAACATGGGGTCGTCCAGCAAAACACCCTTACAGGTTCAAAAGATTGGAAAGTTGGGCAAACACTTGCGTGGTGGCGGGCGAAAACTGGTCAATGACAAGCTCGCTGACAAGTTGTGGAAAGATTGTCAGTCCAGTCGGTTAGAGCAGTGAACGCAATGAAACAAACACACTGTACAGTTCAGAGAGTCGAGGCAGTCCACCAAAAGCATGGGGATCAACAACGGTATCCGGCGCGATTCCCAACAATGTCCTTCAAGCCAACACAACAAAAAGTGAGCGTTTACAACAAGCGTCGGGCATCGCTCTTGCGCATAAACGAGCCAACATGTATCATACAAGGAAGTAAGCGTTGGAAGATTGGCAAAGGACGAATCCAACTTGGAGACGGATCCATCCACGCTTCTGCGTTACAGATTCAGTGACGATAACTCAACGCAGCACACAATCGCGATTTGCATATTCGGATGTCGTACAGGCTAGTCAAAGACGGCAAGTTTGCAATGGCGCTCGTGGAGATTGGGGCTGAGCGTACCACCAAGGATCTATGGCCAGTGTTGAGTGTGAGTTTGCCAAACTGAAAACCAAATTCGCCACAGTCGTACAAGTGTTGCAGCGCAGGGAGCCCATCGATCAATTTAGAGGGAATTTTGGTTTGAGCTTCCAGTGTCCTGTCGTACGAGAATTAAAAACAATGAGATGAGATTCGGCCGAGGTCAACAATAAAACCGAGTTGGTGAAAAAAAAAACGGCATACAATGTCTCCAATGAAGTCAGGCCTTGCAACGCGCTCTCCGAAATTTTTTCCGACAACTGAGAGAAGCTGTCGATGATTTTCCTGCGGAACAAGAGCACAGTTGTAGTTGAGCAAGTGTAGGAGATTGTCCTGTGTGGAAACAAAAAAAAACCACATTCAGTCGTCAAAGGGGATACAAGGTCTTTAATCTGGGCAGATTCGCAAAGCCAGCAGCGGGTAGGGACGTCAAAAAGTAGACATATCTGATGCAAGGCAGCAACAACAGCAGAGACTGAGGCCAAATCCAGCCTTCACAAACGAAACGCATGAGCTGATCTTACAGGGTACTCAAAGACGGAGTTGCGGCAAATAATTGGTCTGAAACCAAACCAAGGCTTGGGATCCAAAGCGATCTTGAGATGCGTTCCATGCAACAGTGAGATGGGGGTGGAATCCCGCAATGTAGTACACTCCAAGCAGCACCGGGCACTTACAGCATTGTCACACCTTGCAAGCCCACAAATGCGTCCGGAGCAATAGTCGTATTTGGCATGAGTGACAATGACCTGGGCGAAGGAGTGCTGTTAGATGAACCCCCGCAAAAAGCCCGCAAAACCAATGCTTGAAGGCCCGCTGGTTACAACGTGCGAAGGGCTGGAAGCTGGGCAAAGGCGTTGCTCTGCACACTCCAGATCGGGTGTTTGCCACCGAAATAACTACCAACCAAGGAGCCCACCATGATGAATGTATCAGTGGACCAAGCAAGTCGTCTCTGCCAGCTTTCGAGAATTACAGGGTATTCAGAGCACCAAGACCGGCATACGTGTGACTTGGAAGTGTCGAGAGCGGATTCCCGTACAAGCTCCTGTTGTCCAAGTCGTAAGTACGCAGTGTCAAGGTACTACATCGAAAAAGTACAATCACAAGTCACGGACAGTTTGCGCAAGGACTCGAGCCCGGAAAATGCATTTGGAGCCACATTTGAGATTTGAGCGTTGGCTGCATCGCTTCGAGCATCCAAGAACGGCTGTCAGCGGTCTGTCGGCTGACTCATAAAGCAAATGGCACCAGTATCACATACAGTTCAGAAAGCGCGCTCAAGTAGGTGAATGCGCCGGTCGGAATCAATGTTAAAGGAGAACTTGACAAATCCCTAAGAGGACGATCGCCATCCAAGATCAGCGCAACGCCATTTCAAAAACAAACAGGTTGGCTTGTTGGCGGATTTACAGCAATTCTAGCCGAGGAACCGCCGCAAAAAGCTGGCTCGAAAGCGAATTGAGCTCTGAGATGGGCAGTTTCCTGTGGTTCAAAGATTGCCAGCCACATTGGAATGCCTGCGTTCGAGCCACAATGCGTTGGGAAGCACTTACAATGTGCGAAGCATTGGTGTAATGCCATTAAAAGCCAGAGGACCAACAGTCGCGTTTGGTCGATAAGAAAGCGAGCTGCGTCAATAAAAGGTGGCAGTGAGCAAAAGTTGGATCGTAGGTCGCAGCGCATACCGCAGCCATACAGTTCAGTCACCGCGCCAAGGTGGGAAAATGCATGATCGGATATACTTTCAATCGGATTGCCAGCGAGATATCTGCAAGTGGAATTGAAAAAGACACACACACAAAACAAAACAATCAGAATGCTGCCAGAGTATCGATGGCATTTGCCACGCTCCTTACAATTTGGGCAAAGCTGAGAGGCCAGCAAACGTGGAGCCAGATATTGAAGTCAGTCGAGTGTTGGAAATGTCCCTGTTTGAAATGTGACGCCGGAGATGAATCAACGCGTCAGCAGGTTCCTCCAAAGAATCATGACGTCAATGGTGTTTACAAGCTCGTCAATGAGGTAAGGGTCTCGAATGCATTGTCCGCAATGCTGGAGACTTGACTATTTTTCAGATTTCTATGCAATCAAAACAAGGGGGGCGCACGTGAGTGACACCATCGCTGAGCGCTTGCGTGCTCTGACAAAGAAAAACAAACATGGATTTGATTCCGGTCGTGAGGTGCAGGAAGGCACCAGGCGGAATCGACGTGAGAGGCGAATCATTATCTGCGGGATGATGCGACCGCCCGAGAGACCTGAGCAGAGAAATACAACTGGGCAGGTCAGTTGTGTCTCCAGTCCAATAGCTCAACGCTGCCTCCCTGTCACTGACAGCCATCGAAGGTCGGTTAGCGCCTGGAACAGCTGATCAGTCCTTGCATTCAACTCGACCACGGGAAGAGATCTGACGGGGACAGTCGTTCAGCACAAGGCGGGACGAGTTGGAACACCGCCATTCCTCTCATCGAACATACAGCCAGGTGAGACCAGACAAATTGCTGAACGCTTGCGCATCAAGCGTTGCACATGGAACAAACCCCATCGACCTATTTGTGCACACGCAAGTCGAATCGAACGCATCGAACGTATCGGCATTAGGGGTGTGCCGGCATAGGGTGTCTGCATCGTTCGAAGAAGGGAGTTTCGTACAGTGATTCTAAACAGGGTCCGACGAAAGCATCCCGTTCAATGACCTGAATGGTTGATGGGAGAGATCTACCAACAAGGAGCGACACGATAAGTCGACATGCACACAATCTTCCGTGCGGTCGTGTAGTGGCGAATTTCGTTCTTACAAGCTACGCAGACCGGTCAACGTGCTGAATGCGTTGCTTGGGATGGTTGTGATGTTGGTGTCTGCCAAATTTCTGAGCCCCGGAATCGACACATGGTTAGTTTGCGCTCATTCGATGCAACTCAAAAAACCCCTTTACAAGGTGCTCAAAAGAGGCGTGTGCAAGTGGAAGCTTGGAATCGCGGTAATCGCATTCTTGCTCAAGTATCTGAACGCGCAAGGTCGGTGAGCCAAATGGACAGGTGCAACGGTCGTCGTCGTCTTTCTGCATAACAACACAACAGGGCCACTACGCACAGAATTCGCAGCGTGCTCAGACTGGCAAAGGCGTCGCTTGGGACGGAAGTGATGGACGTGTTCCCCAAATACCTGAGAAATCGTCGTGACGTGAGGATGAGCATCGGTTTGTAGCGACAGACAGCCGAGAAGTCTAGTTCAAACTGACAAGGCTTGGAGCATGGTCAAGTCGCGAAAGGCATTGCTCGGGATGGATGTAATCAGAGTGTTGCTCAGATTTCTGCAGAAATTGGCGAACAAAACACAAAGGAACAAAGAAAGCATCAGCACAACGTATCACCCGCAACTTACTGCACATCAGACATCAAACATCAAAACCAGCTTCCTTTTTCGGCTTTACAAGGTGAAAATCGCATGGGTTGGGTAAACGGATGGGACAGATTGCAGGCTGAGCTGGCAATTGGTGATTTGCGAACCAATGCACTCGCACACGTCGCATGCGTTCAACGCCAGGGTGCCGCCCAGCAGCGCCAGTATCAGCAATGGCTCTAGAAGCATGATTGGACGCATCAGGCTGAGCGTTCGTCCTCGTCGTGCCTGCCCTGCAACAAGCCAAATCAGTCAAGATCGGGTCCAACGATGGTGTCAATCTGTCATCCCCAAGCATTCGCTCCAGCCGCTCCATTGATGTACGCTTGCACAAGTGTGCGTACGATTGGGAGCAAGAAACGGTGCTTGCTCAAAGTGCTCAAACCTGTGGTATTCGGGAGCGGGATGCAATCGCAAAAACCAACCGTATGAAAGGACGACTGAGAAGTACAAGTATGGGCAGGTTGCGTTTCCCTTTCTCAGACAGCAACGTCAGAATTGAACAGTCCTTTTCGCACGATACAAGGCGAGCGCGCGCTTTCGTCGGGGCTCATGAACGGAACACTCCAAACAGCTCAGAAACCGCAGCAAGCCATCGCTCAGTTCCAAAATCACCTTACCTTCCGTCCTCGGTCATTCTAGGAAAATCCTGTGATGTGACTTCATATTCCATCAGTCTACTTTTTCTTTTCGATCGAGTCGTTCTTGTGACGGAAGCTCATTCAGATGGAAGCAGTGGTCCAGCAAGCCACAGCGCTGGATCGCTTATACGCGCCTGTGCGCTGCCGCAGCAACCGCGCCGCCGCCATGGCCTACCCACTCAGGTACTCTACAAACGCCAACCCCAACAATTGATTGGGGGCCTCACTTTGGTTGGTTTTTTGCTATGGCTGGCTGAATGAATACTAAAAGCCTTGGTTTTGTCTTGGTTTTTTGTCTTTGGTGCTTTTGCTGCAGACGTGAGGCGCTGCTGCAGGCGCGGCTCAAGACATCCAAGGGCACGTCTGCCAACGCACTCGGACGCCTGGACTACCTCATGAAGCGCGAGTCGCTGCTGCATACGCAGTACGGCCAGGCACTCGTCGAGTCGGGCGCAGTCATGCATTCCCCGCCGTCGACCATGTCTGCGTCCGTCAGCTTCCCGTCAGCCTCGTCCAGCATGATTGCAACGGCGAGCCAGCTGGTCGCAGGGGCCATCCCGGCCTTCCGCGGGCGGGCGTCGTCCAACTCGTCGATTACGAGCGACGCGAGCTCGGTGACGGTCCGATCCACCTCGTCGGGCAGTCGCCTGGCAAACCGTGGTGGTGCACGCGGAGATGATTCCTCGTCGTCGTCTGCCTCAGTCGCAGCAAGTGGCGAGCAAGTCTCGGCCGCCGAAGAGCAACAGCTCATTGCCGCTCGCCTGGCCGCTTCGTTGCGTCCTGGCGCTTCTATCGCGCTGGGGATGCCTGCAGGTGGGCCGTCGGCGCTGTCGTCTCTCACCGCATCGTCGTCAGCCGAGCCAAAGCGGCCTCCGGCACCGGTTGGAGTGTCCCGATACACCACCTACCAACCGTACCACGTCTTTTCGCATCACTTTGCGTCCGTCATGTCTGTCGCTTTTGCGCATTATGATCGGGACTTGATTGCGCTCGGGTCAAATGACGGCTCTGTGAGCGTGTGTCGTGCCTGGAACGACCCAGGCATTGTGCACATTCTGCGCCACGACTTGGCGACAACGCGACTGCCCTCGGGCACAACTGCCGCAACCTTCGCGTCGCCGCATGCCGTGACAGACGTGGACTGGTCGGCCACCAATGAGCACGTTCTCTCTTGCTCACGCGATGGCACTGCCAGAGTGTGGGACTTGGTCTCTGGAAGCTGCGCGCGCATTCTCGGCGCCCCCTCGGGTCCTGCCATCACTGCCGGTCGGTTCCATCCAGTGAACAACAACATGATTGTGCTTGGTAACGCACGCGCCGGCGTTGAGTTTTACAACATGTCGACGGGCAAGCCATTCAAGGGCAGCCAAGTGGCCGTGAACGGCGCCGTCAAGTGCTTCGAGTTCAACCCCAACGGCTCCTTCCTCTGGGCGGGCGATGCCCAGGGCAATGTCACAATGTTTTCCGTCGACATGGCCAGCGGCAAGCTCGTGCGGCTGTGCAAGACCACTGTGGGCACGACGCCAAGCCAGGCCGTCACGAGCATCCGTTTCCGCGCCGGCTCCAGCACGATTCCCACATCCTCTGCCTCGTCGGTCGCTTCTGCCAGTACCGTCACGGCGGCGACTACAGCAGAGCAGCCGTCTCTATTGCTCGTCAACTGCCGCGGCCAAAACGCGGTGACCTTGTTTGCCGTGTCTGGCGGCTCCAAGCCCGGCCTGCAATCCATCCGCACCTTCCCGGTGCCCAACCCCGACCTCGATTTGCGCAGTCGCTGGAGTCCATTGCTGGTTGCCGCTGCGCCCGGCAGTGCCGATGTGTTTGGTATGTTGTTGTTGTTATTGTTCTTGTTGTTGTTTCGGAGTGTTGTTTTGGCACTGCGGTTTTGCAAAAAAAGACTCACTCGACACAAATCATCGTGTTGTATCACAGCTTCCGGAAGCGAGGACCACGCCGTTCACTTGATCAACGCCGGGGCAAGCGAAAACGAGCCAAAGTTGATTGCCAAGTTACAAGGGCACAGTGCACCCATCCTCGACGTTGACTTTAACTATGACGAGAGCTTACTCGTGTCTGTCGATGCAAAGGGCATTGTTCGCGTCTGGAAGCGCGGGCGACAACAATAAACACTGCTGTTGATATGACTTGGATAACTATCATCAAACACAAACAATTTTGGCGGGAAAAACTTTTACTCCTTTTTTTTTTTTCCTTTTTTTTTTTGGATTTCGTTTTGAACCAGCAACAACCAAACCAACAACAACAGGAGAATGCGCTCGGCACGAGGATCTAACGACAGCGATCGGTCTCGACCAGCTGCTGGTGGTGCTGGTGGTGGTGGTGGTGGTGCTGCTGCTGGAGGTGGTCGAGAGCGGTCTCAATCACCCTCATCATCAACCCGCCAGCCGTCCATCCTGGCTGCATTCGGCATCCACACGCGACCCACCAGTGGCACCACGACGAGCAGCAGCAACAGCAACAGTCATCACAGAAGCACGCAGTCCGAGTATGGCCAGCGCGAGACCAAGCGAGGTTGGGCATTCAGCATGATCAATGATCAATTGAGAGGGCAGCCGGAAGCGTTTGCCACCCGTGCCCCCTCCCTCCTGCTACAACTTTGCTGACTTGACTGTGTACAATCTTGTGCTTTTTTTTTTGGGGGGGGGGGAACACCTAGCGCGTCTGGAGTTTGACGATTCGCCGTCGTCGTCCGTGTCATCTTCGTCGTCCGCGGCGCCAAGCGGCGGTTCTGATCGTGCTGCTCGGCAACCTGCTGCGTCTTTCACGACCCAAGACCGATACGTCGCTCGTGGTGGTGAGAACCGATGATTGTGTCGTTGATGCAGTGAGGATGGCGAGGTTAGGGGGGTTATGGGGGATCGTACTGATATGCGAATCGTGCAATTCGTGCAACCTGATTCAAAATTTGGTGCGGACGCGCGCCGTCTGATGGCGAACAGATGGTGCAGATCGATCACGCACAGCTCGCACAAATCAAGGCGAGGACGACCGCCGCAGCAGCGGTAGCAGCAGCGAGCGAGGAAACAACCAGCAAGCAATCTACTCGAACAATTCATCATCCCGATCGGCTGCCAAACCGGCCATCCGAAACATTGCGCAGGCGACCTCACGGCGCGCAGTGCAACAACCTGCCTCGACGAATCGTGGTGCTGCGACCCACGCATCTCGCTCGGCGCAGAACAGGATTGAGATTGACCAGATCGACGAGGACGCTGCTGCTGGAATTGTTCTCGGCGACCCTCGAGCGTCTCAAACAATGGTGCTTCCAAGAGGCGACAGCGATAAATTGGAAGAGTTGTTTGTCACGTCAGACTCGCAGGCTACCCTGGTGGACTCGGACACGGAAGCCATGGCGCAGGACGATGACCCGGACGGCACACTTGATTCGGACGATCTGATGATGGACGATGAGACCAGCCTCTTGCTCAGCCGCATTCCCAGTGCTCAGCTGGAACGATCCTCCAAAGCAACGGTTGTTGCTCCGCCCTCCCCCGAGCCGACCCCGGATTCTCTCCGCTTCCCGCGACTATGCAAGCAACTCCAGGCGATTCCACCCTCCCAGCCCGTGCCAATAGCGTCCACAGAGCATGACGTCCTGGTGGATTTGGCAGCCCGCTCGACCAGAGGCGCACGACCGGTGCCGTCGAAAAACAAGGCCTATGTGGACGCGTGGGATGCAGACCACGTTCGACTGCCCTGCTCGCCCGAAAATCTCTACCCGCTGCCTCGCGCTGCAGGCGAGTCGACATCCGCGCCGCGTCGCGTTGGATCGCGGTGGGACATGATTGTGGATGCGCTCAAGCAGCCACTCGGCTCGACGTATGATCTCGAGGAGGCCATCCTCACCTACAACCAGCGCTATGCCAACTACTGGAACTTTCGCGGCTTGCACGATTTCTTTGCCAACGTGGCAGAGGATGATGAAAAGCAGGTCTTTTTCGCAACCACGCTGCCGTTCATGGTCGACTTGGCGCTCTCCATGCCACAAATCTGCACCGCGCCGATTCCGCTGCTCAAGCAGCAAAAGACCCATGCCGTCACAATGAGCCAACAGCAAGCAGCGTGCTTGCTGGCGAACGCATTCTTCTGCACGTTCCCTCGGCGAAACACGACCAAGGACAACTCAGAGTACAGCAACATGCCAGACATCAACTTTAACACGCTGTTCGCCTCCGTGTCACGATGCACGCGCGCCCAGGCTGCCAAGCTGCGCTGCCTGTTCCACTATTTCGAGCGCGTCAGAAAGCAGATGCCGACCGGCACGCTGACGTTCGAGCGGCAGTTGATCACTGCTAGCTTTGATTGGGCGTCGTGCACCTCCACGCTGACAAAGCTGCTCGTGCGCACCACCGGCACCATTGAGGACGATGCGCCAGGTCTTCTCCAGCTCGATTTTGCAAACAAGTGCATTGGTGGCGGTGTCATTGCCGGCGGCGCCGTCCAAGAGGAAATTCGCTTTATGATTTGCCCCGAAATGATTGTTTCCTTGCTCATCACGGAAATTCTCGAGGACAACGAGTGCCTGATTATGACTGGTCATGAGCGGTTTTCCAACTACACTGGCTACTCGAGCACTTTTACATGGGCTGGTGATCATGTTGACACCACAGATCGGTAAGAATTTTTCGATTCATTTTTGGTTTATTTTCGATGGTCTTTGTCAAACATGCGACCACTAACGTTTTCAAAAAACAACGCCAATATTTCCAACCCAACACTCTCTTTTGTTTTTCAACTCTTGTGTACAGCGACGACTGGGCGCGGCGAATGACTCAAGTGGTGGCAATTGATGCGCTGGTGTTTTCGTCCTATGCTCGCCAGTTCAAAGAATCGCCTCTCGTACGAGAACTCAACAAGGCATTGGTTGGGTTTCTGTCTCCGCTGCCATCGCCGCTGCCCGCCATTGCAACTGGTAAGCGAGTTCGCTTTTTTTTCTTTTCCGCAATTCTTCCCTTGCACCCTCCACTCACTGCGCACGCACTTTGCATCCGCCTCAGGCAACTGGGGCTGCGGCGCGTTTGGTGGCGATCGCCACATCAAGGCAATCATTCAGCTCATGGCAGCAGCAGCTGCACGACGGGATGTTGTGTACTTTACGTTCAACGACCCAGCCCTCAAGACCGACATGATACGCTTCCACGAGTTGGCGTGCGCCAATCAAGTCACTGTCGGTACGCAGCTCATGTCGTGCCGCCAAAAAAAAAAAAGATGAAAAGGCGTTGTTGTTCGCTCACACTTACTTGCGCCACACACACGCCGTCTCCCTGCTTTCCAACCATGTAGGGCAATTGTACTCTGGCCTGTTGTCGTATGGCGGCTCCCTCGTCCCAGGCTCTGTGACGCTCAAGAAGCGCAATCTTTTCGACAAAATCTGGGGGTTTGTCCCGATGCCAGACGACGACGAATCGAACGGCACTCTCAACTCGCTGGAGGACGATGCTTGATGGCAGTGTTTGTCAAATGAATTGTTTTGAGAACAAGAAACAGTGTGCCAAAGAGAAGAAAAGGTACAAAGAACAAGAAAGCGAGACAGAGAGAAGAGAGAGGAAAAAAAAAAAAAAAAAAAAAGACCTCAAAAAAAGATACGGCCATCACTCGAAAACCAGCGAGGTTCGCAAAGTGCGGACGAAAGGGCAAAAAAAGGAACACGAACCAAGTGCATCAAACTACACAAGCGGAATGAACAACAAAAACCGAGAGAAATCAAAAGGAAACCCAAAACACAAAAGCGGGCCGATCCAAAAAGAACAAACCGAAAAGAAAAGTCTGCGTTGTTTGCTCCCGCTTCTCTGATCATCAGAGTGGAACAAAGTACTTAGTAGCGCGCACGCTTGTTGGGATCGGAGTAGTTGCCGGCAGGGCCCTGCGGAGCCGCCGACTGCTGATAAGGTCGCTTCATGTTTTGGCGAGGCATCGTTTGCTGTTTGAAGAAGAAAAAAGCAGTGTGCAGGGTAGGGGGGGGGGAAGGAGGAGGAGGAGGATTTGGCAAAAAAAACAAAAAGCAAGAATGACACAAGGGTCATGCCAAAGAAGAGCGAAACAAGTGGAAGTCCGAAAAACAATCAGGACGGAAAAAGTCAGCAAAGAGCGGGAAAACAAAAAAGTAGAAAAAAAAACCACGCACCCCCGACGAAAGATACAAAGCCCGAATTAATTAAAAAAAAAAAACAGGAAAGTAAAAAATAATAATCAGAAGAAGAAGACGAAGAAAAAGCGCGGGATGAAAACCGGGTGAAGCAGGAACGAAAAAAAAAAAAAAAAAGTGCCAGAAGAGAATCAATAAATAAAAATGGTCAGACAAGGGCTGGCGCCGACCAAAAACGCCCCAACAAACCCGACTTCAACCGCCACGCCAAATCACACTCGGCCACACTCTCCCCACCGCCTCTCATACCCACATCACCAAAGCGAGCAAAAGTGTTTACGATACCTCCGTTTGTGGGGTTCCATACGACAGTGCAGGAACGGCACCAGGATACTGGTGCGCAGCAGGTGCATATCCGGCAAGTCCTGCTGCACCAGGGGCGGCAGCTGGCTGGGGCAGCCTCGAGTAGTTGGACACGCTTTGAGCGCGTTCAACAGCGGCGGCGGCAGCGCTGATGGCCGCCGGCCGTGCAGAAGCAGCATAGGAATGCTGGGTCGGGGCAGCTCCCGCAGAGTATGCCGAAGCACCATAGCCGGTCGCAGCAGCGGGAGTAGCGGCAGTGCCGTTTTGGGCATAGTAGTTGTTCCAAGCTGCGACGGCAGTGTTGTAATCGGAGGTTCCGGCCTGCTAGAGAAGCGCACACAAACCAAAGTGGGGGGGAGGACAATGAAGCAACAGGGACATGGTGAACAACAAAACGTCAAGAAAACTCGAGGAAGAGTCGCTCCACAAACCAAATCCAATCATACCAAATCAAATCAAACAAAGCCAATAAAAATACATACAGTGTCGTAGCTGCTGGCAGAGTACCCGTACTGCGAATAGTCGGCAGCGGCAGGCGCCGCGGCGGTCGCAGCGGGGGCGGGTGGGTAGGAAGAGTACAGTGCTGCCGGCTGCGCCACACTCGAGTAGCCAGTCAGCGGGGGCGGAGCACGCGACGCGGCTGCCGCGGCCGCAGCAGCAGCTGCAGCGGCAGCTTGGCGTTGCTGGTGTTCCGCCTGGGCAAACTGGTGCTGTTGCTGTTGCAGCTGTGCCTGTTGCTGGGCAAGCTGCTCCTGCTGGCGACGAAGCTGCTCTTCTTTTTGCTTGTACTCGGCCTCCTTCAGCGCCTGAGCGTCGCGCTGCTGCTTGAGCCGATCCTGCTCCTCCTGCAAGCGCCTGCGCTCCTCAAATTGCATCTGTGGATCACCGTGGATGGGTGCCGGCGGGGCATACCCGGGCGGGGGCGCGCCATATCGGTCGTCGAAAGGTGGTCGTTGGCCGAGAGCGGACGGGGGCGGTGTCTGGAGGTGGTGCATTGGCGGGTTGCCGGCGGGACCGCCGTAGGGTGCGCCGGGGCCTCGGCGATGGTCATAGGATGGAGCGCCAATCTGCGGTCCTGGTGGCTGATCCAAAAGACCGCGTTGAGGCAGACCGCCGTGTGCGTGCGGGCCGGAGGAAGGAGGCCCGTTGAAGCGAGGGGGCTGCGCGAGCGGCGGCGGTGGTGGTGGTGCGTCAAACTCGGGTCGGCCGCGAGGGCGATCGTCGTAGCGACCCGCACCCTGGTGGTGCGGCGGCCGATCATCGTAACGCGGTGGCGGAGGGCCGCGTTGCTGGTCGTAGTCGGGACGACGAGCGGAATAGCCGTCATCGCGACGCGCGGATCCCGGGCCAGAAAACGGCAGGCCAGGCGACGCGTCACGACGCGGGGGTGGGTGAGCATGGTGCGGCGCAGGTGGTTGAGGCGGGCGTGAAGAAGGGTGCTGGGGTTGCGGCGAAGCAGCTGGGGCATCTCCGTGCAGGCCGCGGGATGCAGGCGGTCGAGATTGGGGAGTTGCCGCAGCAGGCGCGCTCGAAGCAGCGGCAGCCGTAGGGGCAGGGGCATGGGCATGGGCATGGGCATGGGCAGAGGAGGGCGTCGACGCGGAATTTGGTTCGGCAGCGGCAGCCTCGGGCTTGGGCGCGGCCGCGGCATCTGCATCGGGACGACGGTAAGTCTTGTTTGCGTGAAGAGGCGGGCGTACCGAAGGCTTGCCAGGTGGGCCATTCATGTCGCGCGGGCCTCGATGAGGAGAGGCGTCGCGCTCGTCGCGGTAGTGCGGAGGGCCATCTCGCTGGAAGGGGCCATCGCGGGGGAACGGGCCGTCTCGGGGGAACGGACCATCACGGAAGGGGGGAGCCTCGCGATGCGGACCGTCGCGGCGCGGGCCATCACGGAAGGGGCCGTCTCGGAAACCTCCTTCCCGGAAGTGTGCGTCACGCGGGCCGCGGGGAGCGTCACGGAAATGGGGGTCGTCACGATAGGGCCCGTCACGGAATGGGCCATCACGGAATGGGCCATCACGGAATGGACCATCACGGAAAGGACCATCACGGAAAGGACCGTCTCGGAAGGGGCCATCGCGGAAGGAACCGCCACGGTAGTCATCGCGGAAGCCAGGACCATCACGACGATCGCGGTACGGACCGTCACGGAAGTGCTCATCGCGCGGGAAAGGACCATCGCGGTGGAACGGACCGTCGCGCGGGAAGGGTTGCCGCTCGAAGGGCATGCCAGGCGCTGCGCCAGCAAGACCGGGCTGAACGCGACCGCCGGGTGTGGGGAAGAGGCCGCTGTTGCGCTGAGAGCCGCGTCGGTCGCCAAACGCCAGACCCATGATGCCAGATTGGACAGGCGCTGCTGACTTGCAAGGATTGCCGAACGAGACCTTGAATTCCGAGCCGCGAAGCTTGTAGCCGTCAAACTGGGCCTGGGCGCGCTCTGCCTCCTCGATGGAAGCATAGTCGACAAGTGCGTAGCCGCGGTTGGCGTTGTGCGAGCGAGCCAGCATAATTTGGCAGTTGCGAATGTGCTTGCCAGAAGGATCGAGCAGACGGCTCAAAATGGCATTGTCAATCATTTCGGTCGGGAGCCCGTTGACAAACAGTGTGCGCGACTGGAGCTTTGCCAGGGATGCGGCCGAGGCATCAGCCACGTCTACACGGATGGCGCGGTTGTTCAGTTGCTTGACCGCCAGGATTTTGCGGCTGTCGACGGCCAGCTCGCGTGTGGCAAACTCGACAAAGCCGTACCCTTTCGAGAGACCCGTGCGAACATTCATGACGACAAAGCAACGCGAGATGGCAGCGGGTGTCGTCGAGGCGGGCGTCTCGGGCGCGGTTTCAGTGCTCTCAGGCTCGGCAGCAGCAGGAGCAGCAGCAGCAGCAGGCTCTGACTTTGTTTCTGCAACTGCATCAGCAGTCTCTGCCGAGCCATCGACCTCGGCAACATCCTTGGCGGACTCGGCGGCATCCTTGGAAGACGAGTCTGACTTTTTGCGGTCGCGTCCAAACTTTCGCGGCTCGCGGCCCGCGACGATGGAGCGGGTCACAAACTCGCGCAGCCGTGCGGGGGTGACATCCTGTGCAAGATTGCCGATGAAGAGCAGGCTGTCGCACGGGGGCCGTTCAGCGGCGACGCGTGGAGTGCCTTCCATGACGTGGCCGTCCCACTTGGCAATGAATGCTTCGGACAACTGACGGGTGCGGAACAGAACTCGTGCGCGCTTCTCTGAGGCGAAATACTTGAAGAAGAGCACATCATCGGCGGCATTGTCGGCAAACAGCTTGGTGCGCAACGCCTCCTCGCTCAGCGCAGGCAACCCGGACAGCGCCACCAGCCGCTGGTTGTGGAATTCGGCCTTGAACCGCTGCAACGCGTCCTTGGCCTCGCCCTCTGCCATACTGTCCAGATGCTGGAGAGCAAAGTCGGAGGGTGTCGATGACTGGGCCGAGCCGCCAGTGCTGCTCCCAGAGACGGTGCGAGCACGACCACCAGCAGCAGCAGCCGCAGCAGAGGAATCGCTTCCGCCAGCAGCCGCGGCCTTTGCCTTCTTGGCTTGTAGTCGCTTCTTCTTCTTGCCAGACTTTGTCAAGGCAGCTGGCTCTGTGGCATCTGCAGCCACGCCAGACGCAGCTGCAGCCGATCCAGTGGCGGTCGAAGCAGCGCTGCTGTCCTCTTCGTCGTCGTCGTCAACCTCCATCTCGTCCGCACCGCCAGCAGTCGTAGTAGAAGCAGCAGCAGCACCAGCATCAGCACCAGCAGCAGCACCAGTCTCATCCGCCGCATCGTGATCGTCATCGCGTCGTTGCTGGGCGTAGAAAGCCGCCTCTTGCGCGTCGTGATCGTCCTGGTCGTCCGCGTCGTCGTCGCCCTCGTCGCCCTCCGCATGGAAGCCGCTGTGGGATTCGTGCTGCTCTGACTGGCTCTGCTCGGGCGCGTCCTCGTGCATGGCCGTGGGCTCTGTCGCGGTCGCAGCACCATCATCATCAGCGGCAGAACTGCGATCGCTGGTTTCCATTGCGTCGCTCTGTGTGTTGTTTGCAGCAGCTTGTGCTTCAGCTTCAGCGGCGGCGGCGGCCTGTGCTTCAGCGGCAGCAGCAGCAGCAGCAACAGCTTGAGCAGCAGCCGCAGCAGCCTTGGCTTGTTGCGCCTTCGTCAACCGCGCCATTGAAACAGCAAACAAACAAACAAGGGAAAAAAAAAAAAAAAAAAAAAGTGAGCTGCTCAGACAAAGCAAGATCATTGAAAAGGCAAATCAAAAAAATCAAAAATAAACAGCAATTCACTACAGCATCGATAGAATGGCATACCAGATATCCAGTCGTAGATGTTAGAAAGAAAGAAGCAGTCTTTGTTGTTCAGTCGCCATTTCGAGTTTTGGCTTTGGCTTTGTGCTTTGGTCCACTTTGAGGCGAAAATCCTCCACAACATACTCAGATTGCACTTCGATCCACATCGTTTCTTTGCAATAATTTTGAGCTGAGAATCGCGCTGCAACAAAGGTCTACGTTGGGGGGGACGAGCAGCCGGTTGCAGCGGGCAATCCGCCTTCGTCGACCCAGCAACCACCACAGCCGATCGCATCACTCTACGCATGGGTCCCGCTCGTGTTGCGCGTCAGCCAAGTCGACGCTATGCGCCTCGATACAGAGCTTGCACAGCTCATGCACAGCTCATGCGCGGCCAATTCCTCAAGCTCTTTGACTTTTTCATGGTACAGCCCACCCATCGGTCCCTGTGTAGCTGTTGTTGGATTTGCAAGAAGGTTCAATGCACTTGCTTGCTTGTTTGCTGTTTGATTGCTGGAGTATGGCTGACTTTTGGACTCGCTGTGCAGCCGTCGGTCGCCAAGAAGTTTGAGCCCGAATTCGACGCGCTCGTCCACCTCATGATTTACCGACTCTCGGTCTATGCAAAGGACGCCACGTATGGCCAAGGTCTGCTCAGTCTCAAGTATGCAGACGCCCGAAGACTCCGCGAAGACGACGCAAGCCCGCTCCGAACGGCCATGCCGATTGCCGCCTCTGCGGCTACGATGGGTGCTTCTGCAGGTGGGTCGGTGCTGTTGACGATGATTGCGATGATGATGATGATTGATGATGGTCATGAGACCATCGGCATGACGGGTTGGATGTCAAAGTCTGAACGGCTACACTTTACACTTTACCCTTTCAACCCGCCCCCGCCCCTTCAAGGTTTAACCAAGTGGCAAAAGGTGCTTTACGGACTTGCATATATCGGTGGCAAATGGGCCTGGACGCGTGTCAATGATATTAGCTCATATTGGCAATGGAGCGAGCGTGAGGAGGTACAGCTATCACGCGCGGCACAACAGAGCTCTGTTGGTGCCTTTTTTTTTGCTCATCGTGAATACTGTTTGCCTGTTTGCTTGTTTGCCTGTTTGCTTGGGGTTTTTTTCTTGTTTTAACAGAACGATCCGCTCAAGAGGCTGTGGCGGCTCAAAGAAAACCTCGACAAGTTGTACAAATTTTTAACCGTGCTCAACACAATATTATTCTTGCGCGATGGGAGGTGAGCAGGCCTTTGGCAAGTTGCCGTCAAAACGTGTCCATGTTTCTCCCGCTCATTTGCCAAATCATGCATCTGCCTTCCCTTCCTTTAAATCACCATCAACTCCTACTCTCTTCTGGTCAAACCATCCCCCTCATTCTCACAGATTCCCCTTCCTAATCGACCGGATTCTCCGAATTCGCCAAGTCTATTCCACAGGCTCCTTGTCCCGCCAAGTGAGCTACGAGTTTATGAACCGCCAGCTCCTCTGGCACGGGTTTGCCGAGTTTTTGCTCTTTTTGCTTCCCTTGATCAACCTTCAAAAGATCAAAAATGTGGCGCTGCGGATATTGTACTTTACGACCTCCATGCAGCAGCAGCAGCGCGAACAACGGCTCCAAAAGCAACTCCACCAAAAGGGACAACAGCTCGATCCGAAGGCTGCACTAGAGATTCAGCGACAACAACGCCTGCGCGACTTTGAAGGCCCTTGCGGAATCTGCGGTGAGTCGCCCATCGGCACGCCCAGCGTCGTTCCCTGCGGACACGTGTATTGCTACGTGTGCATTGCATCCAACTGCCTCGCGGATAGTGGGTATCGCTGTTTGCGCTGCAATGCCCCTGTCGACAACAAGTTTGAACGGTTTGTCCCGCCCTCGCCTCCCGCATCGCCGTCCTCATCCCTTGCAAGGCACGTAGCCTGATGATGTGCTCGTGTTGTCTTGTTGTTGTCCTTGTCCTGTGTATACACAGGCTGTTTTTTGAAAAAGGTAGCATGAAACCCCCAAAATATGTCGTTCATATCCACCACCGTGTCCTACGTCGCTTTCCGCCGCTGGTGCTCTGATTGTGTGGTTTACACCATGTCATCAGTGTGCTCGAGGGTCGGGAGCGCAGCGGAAGTGCGTTGGGCGGCGGGGCGGAGCGAGAAAAGGAGCGGTTTGTGTCGCGGTGTGATTTCTCAGCCAAGCTTTTCCCAGCCCTCAATCTGTGCCACTGCTACATTCTGTTGCGGGTTCATCTTGTCCAACAATAATCGGGCCGCAGTAGAGGGCGATTAGCCCCAGCACACTTGGTCAAAAAAAAAAAAAAAAAAAAAAAAAAAAAAACTCTTGCATGTCCAAGCGCAATGAAAGAAGCGGTTCAAAGCCTTACCTCGTATGAAAAAAAAAAAAGGCGGACAGTCGGTCATTCTGGAGCAACCAGTCCTGCTCGCACCTCGAGAGGTCAAATCAGCCAGATCATGGAGCAATATCGAAATACGGGAAGAATGCGCTGTATGGTGGTTGGTTTTCACGCGACAATTGTATTTTGGTATGATTGTCCATTTGTGAATGAAGTTGATTGGAAATTGGTTCTATTGATTCCCTTCTGGTGCGAGTCGTCGTCACATGAAGGAGAGCATCGACAGTCGTGCACGCAGTGGGATAGGTCAACGCACGCAAGGACTCGCCAACCCGCAACTGAGCTTCATGACCTCGCAAAGTCGTTGTCGGTTGACAAAAACTGCAATGATTATGCCTCATCCGAAAAGGTAAGCTTGCGAGAGGGATCGACAACACTGTTCAGAGTATCGAGATCCCACATTGCCACTTGCATTTTTGCAGGAATCGCGATGACTTCCATCTTCTTCCTTGGCGCCGGAACTGAGACCCGACCTTCAAGCAGCCGGCCGTTCATGAAAGGCTTGAGGTAGTCTGGTGGCCTGGACAACACCGTGATGAGCAGCTGGTGCGGTCGTTCGCTCTCCGCAAGATGAGCAAAGTGGCGACTCAGCTTCTCAATGTCACTATTCACGACGACAGGACCAGTGCGCGCCTCATTGAGCCGATTGAAATGCTTGCAGGCAACGCCAATCCAAACAGTGTCTTGCACTGTCGGGGTTGCGGCCGTGCAAACAGCAATCATTCCATCAGACGAATGGGACGCTTTGCCAATCCACTCGACAACCGCAATAGGCCCAGTCGGAATTGCCTTGCGCAGTTCCACGAGTTGTGCCACCAAGAGGCCCGGAAGTGCATCCGCATCGATGCCACGTCGCTTCGAGCTGTTCACCTTGCCAACGGAGACGGTGAACGAGCCGGCATGCGTGTGAAGCGTGCTCTCGTCAAAGCCAATGCCTTGGTGAGGCGCAGACGCTCGGAGAATATGCTGCACGACAGTAGAGTTGAGTACTGCTTGAGGAAGCACGTCTTTCGATTGCGCCAGCAGCCAGCCTCTGCTGGCATTGCCGAGTGCGGCTCGGTGGAGCGCAGCAAAGATGGCCCACACCGCCAGCCCCTCGAGTGTTTGTGACGTGACGACGGGGCCTGCGAATTCGATGACCAAGCTCGCGAGCGCCAGTTCCTTCTGGCTGCCAGCAATTTGCGGCACAATGACTTGAAGTTGACCGGATCCCACGGGTTTGGTGTAGCAGAAAAGTCTGTCCAACAGGAGTAGAGCTGGAACTTGGACAGACTCGCGTCTTCCTGGAACCGAAACACTGATTGTCGACCTGGGATCAAACTCGTCGCCTGCGAGCGCCCGACGGACGATGTTGGCGCTCGCCAGATACAGTGGATCGTGCGGGCGGCTAATCGTGTCGGTCAGCTCAAGGGAGTGTTGGAGGAAGACTTGGGTAATCGACGCGTGAGTGGTCCGAAGGGCAAAGTAAGCCCGGATCTGGTCGGATGTCATGGCACCAAAGTCGATGCCACTTGTCCAGAGCACTTGCAGCGCGAAAGCAACCAGACGTGGGACGCCAGCGGTGAGGGCGTGAACGCGTTCGGTGAAGGCAAGGCGTTGCGAGTGGTGCTCGTCGCCGCCCAGACCGAGGGCATCCACCAGCAGCGTTGGGGAGCTCGAACGCGGATGGTGGCGGGTCAGAATCTCCTCAATGTGGTTGCTGCCAAGCGGTGGCAGGATGATTGATTGCAATTCTGACTGCACGACCGCAACAGGGACCACAGGCGCGTCGTTTGAAGGCCTGAGAAGCCCGAGGCGAATGAGATTGAATGCGACCGACTTGCCGGAGCACACAATGTACACATTGTCGAGGTTGAGTAGCGGTGTAAGGAAATCCGACCAAAACGTGTAGTGACGACGCAAGGCTCCAGTGTTCGGCGCGAACACGTTAGTCGGGTTGGAACAGCGGTACTCCGAACCAGGGAACCACGGATCGAAGTCAGAATTCTCGATGGCGCCCATCTCGTCAAAGTGGAGGAGCAAAGGGACACCGGCATGCTTTTGAAGAGTCTCGATCACTAAGTCAAGGGGTCCTCGCGGCACTGCGAGCGGTGGCAGGCCGAGCCTGGAGCAGGTGTTCAAAAATATCGCTTCCAGGCAATCAGCGTACATCTCACTCAGGCGGTTGAAGTGGGTCAGATCGATGAGGATGTAGCGCGCGTTGAGGACGGACTCGTACAGCGGCTTGTTGCCTTCCCTTGCCGATTCGAGGATTTCCGCAGCGTGGGGATTGCGCCCATTGCCGATGTGTTCCACAAAGCTGGTCTTGCCCGAGCCGAACATTTGAGGTAGAGCGAGCAGGATGCCTTTCAGGCTGTTGGATTTGGAAGCAAGTCGTGACACCACTGCTGTCAAGCTCTCGTGACGATTGACAAAGGGCAGTGTCTGCACAAACCAATCGGAATCACGGCCAGATGCTGGTCAACAAATCAAGGATACACAAAAGGGTTATGAGAGTGGGTTCAGCATAAGTAAGCCTGCAATGCTGCGCTCACATACCATCCGGCATTTTGGGAAGTGGCGGAAGTTCAGCTTGAACTTGAGCAGCAAAGGACGTCGCGATTGACTCTTCATCGTCTTTGTCGTTGTCAGCGTCGTCGTCGTCGTCGTTGTCAGCGTCGTCGACTTTGCCGGAGGGCTGCGAAGGAAACAAAAAAAGCCACACATCGTCACAGTGAGCAACACACCACAAGCACACACGACGGGGAGACCCCACTCAATCACAAAACAAATTTGAGACACGGCATTGAGCACGAGCGGACAAGACAGCACAAACAAATGAAATACGTACCAAAGCCCAGCTATCTCGTGGTGGGGCTGCTGTCTCTTTGTGCACTTGGGTCGGTGGTGGTGCCGTCGTCGTCTTTCGCGAGGGAAGAAGATTAAGTCGACGTGACGTGCGAGCTTGGGTCGTGTGTGCGCTCGCGCTCGGGGCGGGACGCTTCAATGTAGACACATCGCCAAGACAAACAACCAAGACCAAACAGCCAAGACGTGGCACGACACACACGACACACACGACAGTCAACCACTAGCTCGACACCACTCAATCACACGACTGAATCACAAAGAAGAAGCATTGCCAACAAGAAGGCAGAGAAAAAAGACAACCGCTGGATGGTCGGCAAAACTCGTTCTACCTGAGTGCTGCTCGACGCGGTGTCCATCGGTACAACAGAGGTCATAGACTTCTTTTCAACGCGAATGCGCTTCGACGAATGATGTGGGTCGCCGGGGTTGCTCGGGTCTTCTTCCTTTTCTTCGTCACGGCTGTGTTTCCGCATTTTTCGAAACAAAACAGAAGTACAATGATCCTCACCTTCCACAGCCAGTTTACGATCGTGATTTATTAGAGTTGAATGGATTAGAAAGAAACCAATGTGGCAGGGTGCAGTGTCCGAGAGTGTGGTGGGGCGAGGCTCAAACACCGGTCTGGTTCTTTAGCAGCTCAATGCCAGTATTCTTTGAAGATTGATTCAATTTTGTTGTAATCCATCGTTCCCTGATATAAAAAAAAAGTACGGTGCAAGCGTCCTGTTCAATAAACGGACGACTTGATGGCCATGCTCGCCGGGTTTGTCGATGAAGGCCTTCTTCGCTTCTGACGTGCTAGTTTTGGTCAAACTCTCTGTTCGACTTGGACGGATGCAAAAACAGTAAAATCGTGTACTATTAACTCCACAAGGCGGACTGGAATCACTCTCGTTTGCTTCTGAATGGGCGGCGGACGGGGACAGTGATATCCGAATTGGTTTCCGAATGTTGACCACAGAGTTCGAACTCTGTTGCAACTGACTGCAGATTCAGCACCTCGCGTCCAAACAAAGCAACTGACATTTTGAAAGTTAGAGTCAGTCTTTTTTTGTATTTCCTTGTTTGATCATCTTTGGGTTCTCCGCTGCTGGTTGGCGCCAAAAAAGCTGCCTTTCCACCATTTTCCATCCATTGCCCGTCGACAGCTCGAATGACCACCATCCTATCGCCTCTCCCTGCTTCTGAGCAGATGACACACCATCCGGACACGCGGTTCCATCATCTGGCTGAGGACGCAGTGAAGCCTCTGCCTCTCGACATGCCCTTGATGGCCCACTCGGTAAAGCAAAACTTGAACTCAACGCTGTCATCATGTTATCTTGCAGAGAACCGTTCTAAAATGAACAATCTTTTGACATATACTTGACACAGCTGGATGACACATTTTCCAGCTCTTCGTCAGAGCCGACGACGAATGCCGACTCGAAGGACAGCAGCAGTCTCGATTCGTCGTTCGAGCTTGCCTGTCAAGACGTCAAGCTTGCCTGTCACGACGACGCCGCTACTGTTGATGATAGCGAGGCACAATACACTGAAGATGACGACGAGGACCAGTGGACTAACTGCGACGACGAACTCGAGTCGTACACACAACTGCAAGTTCCTCGCATTATTTGGCCACCCCATAACGCACCTCAACTCGAATTGAAAACGCTTTCATCGATTCTTGTCAATCCCTATCTCGCCGTTTTGGGTGTTAAGTTGGAGAGCAGTCGCTCTTTTTTGACAATTGCCTTTTCACTTTTTTCGTCTCTCGTTCTCTGGTGTTTTTGGCGATCATGAGCAATTCTTCGGGACGTGGTGGTGGCGGCGCTCGTGGCGGCGCTCGTGGCCACACTCGCATGACCACTGCAACCACACCTGAGGAGCTTGTGGCCCCTGCAAACCCGTGAGTTCGTTGGCGGCTTTGGTTGAAGGCGCGAAAAAAAAATGAAGCGCGGTGTCTCCCTCCGTCCCTCGGGAGCAGCAGTCCACCGCTTCCCCTCCCCCCATCGCCCAAACCGACAAACGCTGCTGACTAAATGCACTATGATCTATCTTGGAGGGATGTCCGCAGTGCGATGCGGGCAGTGTGATGCTGGCAGTGAATCTGTCCTTTGTTTCAAAACGCTTGTTTCAAAAACGCGCGTTCATCTGCAACTCATTTCCCGCCATATCTTTTCGCGGTTTTTTTTCTCAACCCACGCCTCCTGGGAGACGTCGAGACGAGACTCCAATGCGTTGATCAAGTGTCATTGGCATTGCGTTGCGATTGTTAATGGTTCTTGCTCGCCGTTGGAATCGACGGTCGGCAGGAGGGGATGGCGAAAAGAGATGCTGGAAATGGGATGAAACCCCAATGATGCAGTGGTGAGATGCGTGGATGTACGATCTTCTCTGTCTGTCTATGACAGAATGGCGTGTTGCTGATTGATGTTGTTGGGTGTCGCTATGGCGCAAGGGTTGCGCGATGCGCTGTTGGGCTTCGCCATTGTTTTCTTGATTGTGGTTTTTTTTGGTTTTTTTTCTGCTTTCTTTTTCTGCTTTCCTTCCAGTAATCCCGTTGCTCTGTTGACCATTTTGATTTTGATTGTGTTTTTGTTCCTTTTTTTGGTTTTTTTTTGGGGGGGGAGGGGAAGGAGGGGCAGAGGGAGAGGACGGGACGAGGTTGGAAGTTGGTGTTTATCCGTCATTTCGTTATTTCGTTGGCAAGCGGCAGTTGGTTGGTGATGAGTGTTTGAGAACAAGCGACTAATCGCACAAAATGCTTCGAATGTGTCACAAACTCTGTTCTGTCTACGCATCATACAGGATTCTGGAAGCGATTGGTCAATTGCGGGAGGAAATGGGCGCCGTTTCACAGAAAGTGGACGCCGTTTCACGGAAAGTGGACGCCATTACAGCGCAAATCACAGACGTGCAGAAAGACGTAAAAGATGTGCAGATACTGCAGGGTGCGATGACTGAAGCCCACTTTGAGGTGCTGACGCGGAACTCGCAGCTCGTGTACAACATGAAGTTCGCTTCACTCGAGAAGGCGCTCAAAGCCGGTGTCGCACTTCTGAAAACGGTAAGACTACCAGGAATAGCTTGCTGCAGTTGGTGTTTGTGCGTTCTTGGCAACTCATCGTCATTCCTTCGTCTTTTGATCGCTGGTTTCACCAGAATGCCCAGAGTGCAAGCCTGTTTGAGCTCAAGGACGTCCAGAGCCACGCCCGCAAGATCGCCAAGCGGCTCTACGTAAGTCAACACAACACGTTGAAAGTTGTGAGGGCGATCGTTGTCCGCACAGTCCGGCTTACCGTTGCTTGCGTGTTCTTCACTATTGAACCTGTGACAGGACTCTGGCTACTTTCTGCGTTTCATGTACGAAGTCATCTCAGTGGTCGCAAAGTTACCTTCGGTGGTAGGAACTTTGCTGAAGCAGGAGGAACTTGCAGCTCTGTTCAAGGAGGCCGAGTCAAAGGCTAATGCCTTGTTCGGCGAGATGGCCAAGCCCGGCTCTCCTTCTACGCTCAATTGGTGGGCGAACATCAAGTCAAGTCTCGGAGACGCTCGCGGGCTGTTCTCGGACCTCGTGGATCAACCTGCCCTCAAGGCAAAGTTGCACATCATTTGGTCTGACAATTGCGACAGCCAGGCCGCCGTCTTTGAAAAGCTGCTTTGCGATGCTGCAACAGAGTTCCAGGACATGTGCAACAAGGCTACCAACTCTGCCTTTCCGCCGCCATTGTCTCCCAAGCTTCACGACATGCTCTGCGGCAAGCTCGGTCTCCTGGTTGCCGTCAACATCTACACTCGCTTGAAGCCGACGCTCAATCTGCATTTGGGCGAAGTGGAGTGCGATGCCATGGCACCACTTGATGACCCTGTGCAGCCTCGTGTTGGGATCCGGCTGTTGGAGGTCAAGACGAATCCCGATCAACGTGAGGCTGCTGAAAGACAGCTGCTGATTCGCTCGGCACTGTTCGTTGCGCTCTTCCAGCTGATGCCGCTCCGAAGCGTGGATGCACAGATCCCAATCCGGATTCGGGGGCTCTTCTACGCATCTGGACACCTCGTGCCCCAAGACCACTACGATGAAAAGGCTATGAAAGTGCTCCGTGAAGCGTTCAAGAGCAAGGTGTTTGGGGACGCGAGGACGGAGTCTGTCCCAGAGCTGTCGTTTGCCATCTTCCCTGAGAGTGAGTTCAAGCGCGAGATACCCGCTTGGGCCACTTGTTTATTTGAAGCTTCCTCGACCTCCGCTGAGTCTGCTCCTGTCGAGACCCCTGTCGAGGCTCCTGTCGAGGCTCCTGCCGAGGTTCCTGGCAATGCTCCTGTCGAGGCTCCTGTCGTTCTGCCTGACGTTGTGGTTGACGCTCCTACTGAACAGCAAAATGCTCCTGCCGCCCTGTCGGTCTTTGCTCCTGCTGCTGCTGCTGCTGCTGCTGCTGCTGCTGCTTCGACTCAACGTCGTCGCACACATGGTGCATTGGAAGCGAGCACGTCGAACTCAGTGACCTCGAGCGAGCATGAAGAGGAGTTCGACGACGACGCTCCTCGCCAGCTTGCCAAGCGTGTGCGTCTGGAGTCGACTGTGGTCGATGATGGCTCTTCCAGCGTCTGAATTGTCCCCGTGCCGAAGCGTGAACGTCTCTTTTGCCCGTGGCCGATCGTTGCCTGTGCTTCGCATGGATGGCGATTCAGTGGTTGTCGATGTTGATGTTGATGTTGATGTCGATGTTGATGTTGATGTGTCGAGGTGATCTCCGCTCTTGATCCCGACTGCCAATCGTACGACAAACTACCTCCGCAAACCCGAACAGCTCTACGGTGGGCGTTTGTTGACGCTGGATTCGGCACTGACCGGCGGAAACTGATTGGTGGCTTTCTTGCCAAGTGGCACCTTCATCCACCTGTGGATGCGCCGGATGATCCTTGTGACCAATGATGCATGCCTTTTGGTTTCGACTGGTGGTTGTTGTTGTTGTAGTTGTTGGTGGTGTTGTTGTTTCTTTGTCTGTTGTCGTTCTTTCTTTTGTTTTCTTTGGGTGCAGGAAAAAAAAAAAAAAAAAAAAGGAAATCACCGTCAAAAGCCACTCTTTTCTTTTACAAATTAAATTCACACACAATGGCTCGTCTTTATGTTGGCCGCGTTTCCGCCGACGCTCGTGAGCGCGACGTTGAGCATCTCTTTGGCAAGTACGGCCGCACTCGCGACGTGACCCTCAAGAACGGCTTTGGCTTTGTCGTAAGTTGTCTGGGGCGATCGAAGAGCGATGGTTTTGCTCTGCCTTCCCCCCGATCGACACGTCCATCCGTTGACGCTGCATTGGAACTGCAATGCCAAAGCGCTGTGAATTGACTCCTCACTCGGCCTTTCGGCGGGTCGCGCGGGCGGAAGTGGCCTGGGAGGCGAGAGCGAGAGTAGAGTGGCTTGGAAAAAAGTCAAAGATCGTTGCAATGTCGCAGGTGCATCGAATGAGCCGGGCTTGCTGGCGACGATCCAGTCTGTGCGTTTACAAGTCAAGCGAAGGCTCGGTTTGATGAGCATACTGTGCTTGTATTGGTGTGCGTGCTAGGGAGCTCAGCGTCGGGACGGAGCCGATCCAGCACAATGCGCCGCCACCATGCAATGCGCCTCGCTCACCTGCTTTTTGCACTGGCTGTGTTTTTGCCCTGAAATAGGAGTTTGATGACGTCCGCGATGCTGACGATGCCATGCGCGACCTCCACGGCCGTGATTTTATGGGCGATCGGTAACTACATCAAGCAGCTGAACAGTTGCAAACAGGACCACCCCTCATCTCACTCTCGTCATCCTGACGTTGTTGTTGTTGTTGTTTATGTTGTGGCATACAGCCTGATTGTCGAGCGTGCCAACAGCGGTGGCCGCCGTGACCGCGGTGAGCCTCGTGAGCGCCGGTAAGATTCGTAATGTTTGTTCTCTGATCGCCTTCAAAATCAACTCACGTTGGACTTGTCATGCAGCTTCGCTCCCCCGACCCGCACCCAGTACCGTGTTCTGGTTGAGAATTTGTCGACCCGCATCAGCTGGCAGGTACGCACGTGCAGCCTTCGGGCCGCTTGGCACTTCTCGACTGTTTGAAGCGGGGATTTTTTCGTTTTCATTTTTGCTATTGCTGCGATTTGGCGTGGGACTGCCGTCAACGTTGGAAACGGAGACACACGGGGGGACGTATTCAACCCGGCGCGACGCGACGTTACGTTGGGCGATGAAAAAGAGGTGGACACCAAGCGCGTTGCTGCGACGGCGTTGGACTTCTTCGTGGTGGGAATGGGTCATCAAGTGTCGCGCTGTCGTTGTTCTTTTCGTCAAGGCGTTTTGGTTTTGGGTTTACCTGGGGGATCAATCAATGGAAAACAAAGAGGAGGATCGCCTCGTTGCTGGACTCGGGGTGCAATTCGATCTGGACTGGTTCAACTGTCAATGTGGCTTGTCTCTTTGCCCGTCCGTCCGCGCGCTTTGACGGACTACCACTTGCTCGACCCGCACCCCACCTTCCTTGATCGTTCGGATATCTTTCTGGCTCTCTGCTCGCTTTGGACGTGACCCCTCATCTGCATCCATTCTTTTGCTCCCTGCGCTCCGAATCCAATTCCGATTTCTGCCTATTCGTAAATTTTCAGGACCTCAAGGACTTTGTCCGCACCTGCGGTGTTGAAGTGACGTTTGCGGACGCTCACCGTGAACGCGATGGCACTGGGTATGTTTCCGTTCGGTTGGCGTTCGTGAATGTGTCCGGTGGCTCATGCTGTTGTCTTTTTGTTGTGCTTTTTTTTTTTTTTTGGGGGGGGGGGGGTGTTGCGCTTTTGCAGCGTCGTTGAGTTTGCCAACTCGACCGATATGCGCCACGCCATCCGCCGCCTTGACGGCAAGGACCTCAATGGCCGTGACATTCGCCTGCGCGAGGTAAGCAGGCTCTCTGCTTGGCTTATGGTTTTGTTCCAGTGAAAAGAGGCGCTCTTCTATTCCGTGCTAATTGCGCACCAAAACTTGTGCCCTCTCCTTTCGCTCCTTTTATCCTTGCAGGATCGTCCTCGTGACCGCAGCCGCAGCCGTAGCCGCTCTCCTCGCCGCGACCGTTCGTCATCTCGCTCGCCCCGTCGTGACGAGCGCCGTCGCAGCCCGTCCCCTGCTCCTGCCGATGGTGCTGGTGCTGGCTCCGCTGCCGACGACAATGGCAACCGTGCTCGCTCACGCTCTCCGGCTCCTCGCTCGCCTGCTCCCCGTTCCCCGTCCCCCGCACGCGACTAATCGTTTGGGTGTGTATTCAGAAACGTGGTGCAATAATAAAACAAACCCGGCTTGTGGGTTGACGCTTGAAATTTCAAGACTGTTTTTCGTTGGAACAAATTCCTGCCGATTCGAATTCAAAGGCGCGCACGAGTGTGAGAGACCTGGTTTGGCAGTCATGTGTTGAACACGACGGTTGTACGGCCCTGCTCGAGGACGGGGAGAGCAGGCCAGCGAGTGGCGCCTTCGGAGCTGTGTTCCAACATGGTGTTCCAGATTTGCTCCTTATCGGCCCCGTTAAAGAAGAACACGTGGGCACGGGCAGCTTGAATGACCGGCAGCGTCAGAGAAACACGCTCGCGAACGGCAAACTGCTCTGTCTGCGTGTTCACGGTCAACGGCTCGGCTTGGAAGCCAGCGGGAACAACGGGCGGGAACAATGAGGCAATGTGCCCGTCTGGGCCCATGCCGAGCGTCAACACATCCGCCGGACCATACTCATGGAAGAGCTTTTGCAGCCTTGCCCCATAGTCTGCCACGCACTCGGCAATCGGGAGGGTGGTGTTGAGGAGGATGCGATTTGCCTATCGAACGTTTGATTCGCGAGTTAGTGAGGAAGGTGGCCTGATCCCAAAAAAACAATGTGTGTGTGTGTGTGTGTGTGTGGTGGGGGGGGGGATCAACAAGCTGCATCAAGGCATCTGAGAGCAAGAGAGACGACTGCCAGCGTCCTGCTTCCTGCGGATGGACGGTCCTTCCATACCTCGGGAATGGGCTTTTCGGCTTTGAGAATCGTGTTGAGGAGCATGTTGTGATTTGCATTCTTGTCCTCCTTGGCAATGTATCTGCGCGACAAGAACATTTCATCAGAGGCATAGCCAACACTGATCATGACGATGCAGCCCATATCGCCAAGCATTCTGCACTGCAACTTTGGCGGAACAAAGAGTGTTTTCACTTTGACCCAAAGCTCAAACACATACCGCTCGTCCACCAGGAACAGGAACACCTTGTCCCACTGCACTTCGCTGGATGTACCGAGTGCCGTGTAGATCGGGCCCGGGGTTGAGCCACCTGACAGACCCACTGCGCAATCCATCACCAAGCACAAAACAGAGTCGAATCGTCAGTCCGCGCTTCCCTCGCTCGTATTGCATGCAATGGCACAGTCAGCCAACACAACAACAGCGTTACAGAGGCAGCGTCCACGAGCGGCAATGGCGTCGTTGATGAGCTTGATCAGCAACTGGGCGCTCTCGGTCACGAACGCAGCCGGCGCGTTTGTATGCTTGATTCGTGTGTGTTGGTACTGGCTCATGATGAAAGACGACTGAGTTAGTAGGAATGAAGGGATTGTCAAATATAATGGTGTCGCGATGAGAATCGGCAAAAGGACGTGCTGGAATTGTACTGTAGATCTACAACTTCGTAGGATGTTTTTGCTGGTCATTTAAGGCCTCCGCTCGCTTTTCCAATCCCTGCGAGGCCTATTCTTCCCCATTCCACCATTTTATGATAGTATACCATAGATATCAATGATCCATGGCAAAAATAGGGCATGAAAATCGACCAGGTCGCGAGGGGGCGAGTTTGTTGTGTATTGCTGCGACAATCGCCAATTACCCATGACACAGCACCGTCCTGTTGGCTTCTTCGACCCCCGCTCCACTTCTAATTTACTTGTGTGAGTTATTTGTGCCTTTGGGAAGAAGGCGAACGAGATTGGCGAGACTTAACTCCACTCGGTTTCATCACTTGTGGAAAAATCGGAGCTTAACTTTCAGCCGACCTAGCGTTCAATCTTGTCATGTAATTCGCCCAAACCGTTGATTTTGAGCACAACAACACCATAGATGATAGGAATATCACAATAAGCGAGAGCGGGGGTGTGGCTTGATGGGCGATCGTCGCTCCGCCAACTCCGAGAATTTTGCTCAAAATGGCCTTGTTTGTTGTCGCTCCCAACGCAAGCAAGGGCACGTTCGCACTAGATAATTGACTTGAAAGTATATTGTGAATCACCCAGTAGTGGAATTTTTGATTTATTGGCCGGTGGAAGCGCGAAAAAGGGCAACACGCTAGCAACCATTGTCGGTCAAGTCGCCTAGGCCATCGACGTTGTGCCGGGTCTCCGAGTCGGTGTCGAACCCGCCAACCCTCATAGAATTGTTTCCAGTGCCCGAATCTCTCTTGATCCGCTGAAAGAAGTGCTCGGCGTCTTGGAGAACGGTTCTGGCGACTCTTCAATTCGGTCGAGCTTGTGTTCCGACTGCGTTTCGAGCCTTCCGACATTGCCAGCTTGCTTCTCTTTTGTAGCCGGAGAGAATGAAGTGGGGCGGGGTCCGTAGCAGTTGTGTTGCTGCACAGCACCTCGAGCTCTCCAAGTTCGAGCTGTCTGAACTTTGCGGGGAGTGTTCTGATTCAAAGTCGTTGTCTGGCTGCATCATAGCGAGTTTTCCAGCCGCCTCGACATGGTCCTCGCATGACATGTACATGTGCCCATCCGAATCAAGAAACTCGGAGGCCGGAGGAGGTGCCTGCGGTGGAAGCAGTGCTACTTTGTGCAGAAAAAATGGCGGGATGATGGTGCAGCCTGTAGACATGCACTCTGCCGCCTCCTTGCCAAAGACATGTTAGGTGATGTAGTAGAATGACGTCCGACTGGGTTTGGCACTGCGGTGAGCAGTAGGGAAGACGTGATAGAACTTTATGTTTCATAGGCCATGATCCAGATCTGCTCGCATATCGGCAATGTGCCCAACCATTGTCTTTCAGTTACGGCCATATCTGGTGGAATGCACCGCATCCCGTTCCGCTCTGCGAAGTTAAACCACCATGAGAGTAGTTAGTACTGCGGTGGGAGACCACGCGGGAATACTGCTTGTTGTAACTCCTTTTCAGTTAGATTTTTTTTTTCCTTCAGCTTCAGCCTTTGTTTTGATTCCTACATGACTCTAACATTTTACTTTGAAGTTCACCAATTGATACAAAGCTTTTGCTGCTTTTGGACGACGTAATGCTGCCTCTGGATTGCGCGATTGAGCTTTTTTGTCGTTGTTGGTGGATGGTCGTGTCTTCCGCTCCGTTTTGTTCACCGACTATGGGCATGACTGCCGAGCACGATGTTGCAAAGTGCTGAGTCGAAAATAGGTTGATCTCTCTGAGAGTGATGTAGTTTTGGGGCGGGGGACTGTTATGAATTGCTGTGTATCTGTATTTGGAGTGTGTTCACTCGCTTTGTTTCAGTGAAGTCTTTTGTTTCCCTATTATTACTCTCATCATCAACCCATTACTCGTATCTTCGTGGAACGATCTCTGATCATCACACTGCGACGAGTCTCGAGGGTCGAGTAATTGATGTCGCGTAAATCAGCAAGGCAGAATCAAGCAATGGCCGATCACGAGCAGGCCGATGATACGACGGCGTCCACGGCGAGCACGTCGAGCGCAACAAGCGTACCAGCTGAACCAATGAGCACGCAAGAGATGATGCGAATGATGGCTCAAGTGTTTCGAGAGCAGATGGTCTCCATGGCGCAGGAGGTCGTCAAGGATGCGATGCGCAAGGAAACACTCCGTGCGGAAGGTACGATGGCTGCTGCGGGCGCATCGAGCTCGACAAGTGCCCCGGGCGAACTGGTCACCGAGCAATCAGTCATGCTGCTGTTTGCTCAGTTTCAAGAAGCCGTGTTCAAGAGGATGGACGAGCATGGCAAGCGTGGTGCGCACGATGAAACCCCTGAGCTCGCTGAAACAAGCCATGCGGTCTCCACTACGGCAGTGGCCACCACCAGTTCACCGGATGTGACCATCACAAGCACCACTCCGGCGAGCGCCGCCATCTGCACTAATCTGAGGAGACATGGTAGCAAGGTGGAACGCTTCTCTGGGAGTCGTGAAGATGCCAAGGACATCCGACGCAAGACGATCTCTGATCATAACAGGGACAGTCTTGCTTCCACTGATTCATCTGCAATGCTGTCCTATGAGAGTATGACTGAGAAACAGCGCGAGTTGTATGACAAAGCCAAGAATGCGAGCGAAACGCTCCAGTAAGCAGAAAACCAGGTTGATTGGAACATCACAGTGTGATAGCGTGTGTGCTGACGAACTGGATGGGCAGTCTGTGTAGGAAACAGAT